GACGGAGTTCTGCAGATGAGGAATTGATTGACAGGGCTTTGGCGAATGGGTCGAATACAGTCGGCAAATAGCACCATATTTGCATTGCGGAGTGCTTCTCAAACTCCACGGAGGTGACAGAGACACAGATCAACCGAGGTCGACCGATGCAAAAGTAGTGTAACAATCGGTCAAAATGTGGCGTGGCTGGACTCAAGTGCTCGCGGGAAGGTGCAGATAGTGAAAGGAAAAACCAAAGCAGTCTGGAGACGACTCTTTTTTCGCAATAGCTACTAGCTCAAAGGCCAAAAGGTGGAATTTTTATGCAATAGAGAGTTCGAACATCGAACTCAGTTTTAGTTACACATGAATGAAAGGGCGCATTATCATGTAGATTTCAAGGTCTGGTTGTGCAGGGGCGTGGGAATTTGCGGGTTCTGGCGCAGGTGAATGCAGGTACAGTGCTGAGCTTGGATCGCATGTGCGCACCGCTACTTTGTTATTTCAGCCTCAGTCGTACGCCACGAGATGCATGGCTCGCCACGAGGCTACACAACATGACCCTGAGGATGAGAAACAAGGAAAAGTCTGCGGGATCTGCGACTAGGAAGTCTGAACTGGGATTCAGGTTCCGAGGTGGTGGGGTTTACTCACGTTCTAACGCAGGTTAAATGCCATCTATCACTTTTCATTGCTTTCTTTTTTTTTAAGACGGCAGTCCCGATGTAAAGTGACATGTAGATGACCTAGTAAAATATTCCCAAACTCTTTTATTGCATGTAATAATTCTGCAGTCATATATATGTAGTCTTGATCATAAGGGCTTTATACTATTTGGTCTAAGTAGTAACTCAATTCAATAATTTCAAGGTTGTATATCGTAGACCACCTCGATCTCTAATGTTGGAGCGTTGACGCGAGAAGATCGGAATTCTTGATGCAAGATTCCGCCAATAGAGAGCTTCCAAGACAAAGACCATAAGGAGATCGTAATCTTTAAATCTCCTATGGAGATAGGATACAATAAAGCGCTGCTATTTGTCATGTTTCCCTCAATTCTCAGATCCGCGGGTCTTTACTTTGATTCAGATGCGGATCCGACCTTGAAACCTAAAAGACAAGACTCGCTCGAGCTCAAAAGCTTGGACTCTCTATGGAGTAGGTTTGAGGTAGTGCCCCTGCTTAAGCTAAGAATCTCTGTCGTGCAACAAAGCCGGGATTGGAATTGAGATCTTCATATCCCACGAATCAATCGTCTACCCTCAGCGGTCTAGAATTCGCCGTGTCAAGTCGGACGAAATACAATCGAAGATTTGAAGTCGTATGAAAGTACAGCCACCAAAACCATCGAAATACGTTGAAAGCTTGTATGAAAAAACTTCATAGTCCAGTACGATTTATATGTATCCAGAGCGGCATGGACGCATGTACCAAAGCCTAACACGTTTGGCTTGGCTGAGACAAGCAAAGAAACAAACCGATAACCTCGACTCCTCAAAACCCTCATAGACAAGATAGGGAATTGAAAGGCAAAGAAAAAGGAAAGAAAAGACCCCACTCAAACTGCTTCAAGTGAACAATCCTTTAGAAAGTATTCCATGCCTACATGGAGAAAAACAAGGCAACGCCCCACCACTTGGGCATCAGTCTCGTGTCTTTTTTCCCGGAGAGGATTCGCTAATCAAAGCAAACTTCTGACTTGGTCAGCACTAATTGTGCACGAGATGCGGTAGTTAGCAAACGAAGGGCAAGACGGGTGATCCCGCCTGTATCACATTGTACAAACGTGCGCGTTCCAACTGCACATTGTCACGAGTTTGACCATCCAAGTATTCACTTATTTTTTATTAATACAAAACTTCGTCCATAAAACATACCACTTAGAGTCATCTTATCTCGGGTACGGGGTATAAAATGGATTTGTATGGCCCGAGCTCTAAACCCGCCACGGATCGATCCCGTGGTGACTCGGGGATTCATCCCAATTCAACTCGTGGGCCGCAGATCGCACTCTTACTTAGCACCATTTGAAGGATCTCAGAGGCGCCGATGTGATAATGTGGAGGAGGCTTGCATTACTTCTTCCTGGGGCAGCCTATTGCTTTTCATAGCGAGTCGGAGGATTTCTATTTTGTTCTGGAGATGCGACGCGGGTTTTGACTGGGACTGAGGATATTCCTTCGAGGGGGATTGTGAAATGGACTGGAAACTGCAGACGCAGATAACTGCAGAAACTGCAGGAATTGCAGGAATTGCCAGCTTTCCTGTCAGATTTTTGTCTTTTATTTTTAACATGCAGGTTTAAGCTGTCGCCGTTGACTAAGTGCATAACAAATTGTTTGTACGGCGTATCGGGGGTTAGTAGGTTTAGCGGTTGAGAGCTTCAAGTCTAGACCTGGGGGCCGGAAAAAAAAGTCGAGATGGAATTTTGGGAGACTTGTTTTATGTTGATTTTGTACCAATTTTAGGACTTTTGCCAAAGGATGAAAAGACTTTGGGAATTTTGCCGTATTCCTGGAGTCAACATTTGAATGGTTAAACATTGAAGAGTTCCCCCGTTATGATCGGTCAATTGTGTTTGCCTTCAAATCTTCCCATTCCCCTCTCGGAATGTATTTTTGTCAGAGCACACCCAAAAGTACGGAACTTTGAAATCTTCATCCACAAGGCAAAGGGAGGAAACAAACCCCTCTTTCGAGGTCCCCTAACTCATCCAACGAGTAGGAATCCATTCCATAGGTCTTACCGAGTACACACTTCTCATGTAGCCAAGAGGCGGGTCCACGTCAAAATACCCAAAAAAAACCCAAGCTGATCCCGTCCCTAAAAACCCTAGCACCTGCATTTGACTATGGCGGACTAGTAGGTTGGATATGCATGCCGCGGGTGGCACTGCAATAGAGCATGACGTTAGCAGTTAAACCCGTTTCTGATCTTCGCAATCATACTCCCAAAGTTCTACTGTAGCTTGGATTGTGGTGGATCCTGTTATGGAACTAAACAGTACTAAAGTGTCGCGGAGCCAACGTGAACCTTGGGCCTTGATCCCCATCTTAATATGTACCAGCGCCCCACGCGGGACAGGGAAAACAAAGAACGAGAGACGGATGGAGTCAAGAGGAATCGTAGCGGGATCTGTTAGTGGCGACGATGAAGCCACAAAGACAGGGATCAATTCAAGATGGGAACAAACCGAGGCGATAATTCGTAAGGAGTTTTTAGGGGCGATTTTTTTTCAAATCTTCAAATTTTGCTCCTATCTTTGAAGTCGCAAATGTCCTCTTTTTCAATGGATTCTGTGCTCAGACGTCTCTTTTGTCATTTCATACTTTTGAATGGCTGAGAAAAAAAAGAGTTTTAGGGCTCCTGTCACTTTGGGGCTGCGCGGTCGATCCCCGGAGAGATAGTTGACAGGCAACGAGCGTTGCCACAAGAGTGATTGATCGAGTCTGGTGTTTGCTGCGGGCTTTAGCACACGGCCAGTGCATATTTTTTATTTTTTATTATTTTTATTTTATTTTTCAAGACACTTGGACTATTAACCAACATATTATTTTCCAGATGCATTTTTGATTGGTGCGGTACCACGGGAAGGCTTGGTGGTTTTTGAATGTGAACAAATCAGAAATCGAGGGGTGGATTAGGGGGGAAGGAGTTGGAGTTTTTGCGTGGTCTGGAACGGAAAGCCCTCGGTAGATGCAAGGTGCATTTGTTTATAATTATTTAGATTAATTTCTGATTTATTTTTGGTTGGTATATTTGTTGGTCTGACTTGATATCTGGATGTTACATGGGTATTTCTTATTCTGGCGGAATTGAATTTTCTCTTTTTTGAATCTTCTTCCATATGAAAAAAAAGGAAAATGGTTCAAAGGCGAAGAAAGAAAAGAAGAAAAAAAAAAAAAGAGTTGGCGGGATTGGATAGTACTATTGCCTCTTGTACATCAAGTATAGTGTGAGTAATAGATAAATAAATAAAAAATAAATACTTGGTAATCATGTATCAGCACGTATGAAATGGTCACATTACATCATCGCCCGTAAGCAATACCAGTGCCATACCAATAAAACCAACCTTTGAATACCAAAATACCCACATGGATCGTCCCGATCGAGCCCCGGAAAAGAATCAACTGGGTCCCTCGAAAGGAACTCTGGAGAGCTCTTATTCCTCTCCTTCGCCCTCCTTTCTTTTCGTCCCTTTTTCTTTTCTTTTCAAGACTCGTTTGTGTCTTTTAGGATTTCATTGCCGCCGGTGGTAATATAACATTCATTCATCCCTTCTTTTATTATCCTTACGCCCTTGCGTGGGACCCCCAATCACTCAATCTCCCAATAATTAAAAAGCAGAGGGAAATTCAAATTTCGTCATTAACAAGAAACTGCAAGTCAGTTTCCTTTACGGCTTTCCGTCCTTGCTGCGATCTTCATCCACAGGGCTGGGCCACTGGACTCCCTTTCTTACAGTGCATTACTCCCAACCTCGCATTGACGCTACGGGGACTCGAGCGTTACAATTGATTTGCGACTGGTCATCCCCCTTCCAAGGTCGTTCTATGTTCCGGACTTTCTATGCAGCAACTGTTTATAGTTTTCCATTGATTTGTTGTTTGGTGTGTAAAAACTTCCGACTTGTGTTTTTCTCCTTCAAAAGCCCTTTTTTACCTATTCCCTCTCCCCCAGCATTCTTGTCTCGCCCAACACCCTTGGAATTGGGCATTCCATACACAAACACTCCTATAGTTCATCTCTCCCGCTATCCCACTTGCCCTTCCAATAGCGCCCCCTCAATTGACGATTGAATGTTGTAGGATCATCCCCAGCCTTTTTGGCGATCCAATCCTTTCCCCGCGCCTTATCCCTGATTAGCAAACTCGCCACTTCTTCATTGAATCTGGTCCATTGAAGCATGTCAACTGCATCTATCGCTTGAACGCCCCTCGGTCCGTGACCAACTCAAACGGCCGTTTTTTTTTTGTTATTGTTCAACTTTTTTTTTTCTATTACGACAATTGGAAACCATGTCCCATAGTGTCGACACAGAGATGGGATCAATGAAGCCGAATATACCACCATTAAAAATCGCCAAGCCGAATACCGATATACCCAACGCTGAACCCGACGATATACAGTCCATGTCGAGTCGTTTTTACTTGCATAACGCCCAGTCCGAGATCACTCCGCCATTAACACCACAAGGAACACAAGGAAGCAATATGGAACCACCAGAGACCTCCGAACCCCCAAGGGCCGTTTTTCACAATTACCTACGCGCATTCTATCCTTTCCACCCGGCTGGAAATGTTTCGCCATCGACCGTCACTCTTCCATTGGACCAGGGAGATATCATCTTGGTTCACTCCGTTCACACCAATGGCTGGGCCGATGGTACCTTGTTAGATTCTGGACATCGAGGCTGGCTACCCACGAATTATTGCGAAGCATACGACCAATTGCCTATGCGTCCTTTATTAAAAGCCCTCACGGATTTCTGGGATATTATACGAGGTGGATGTGGATCATCATTAAAGGATTTTGGAAATCAAGATTTGATGCGAGGCCCTATTGCCGGTGTTCGCTTCCTTCTGGTAAGTCCAGACTGGCAAGAACAGGATTATCTACCACTGGAAACACCACTGACCATTCACCCGGCCTGTAGGAGAAGGCAGAATGTTTAACAAGGGAAGCACCTTTGGTTAAGAATTATGATGGACTACGCAGAATCCGAAAGGCATTATTATCTGATCTGTCTTCATTGGTGAAGACAGCTAAGAAGTTTCAAGAGGTTGCTAATGGTAGCCCAGCGGATGATGAAGTAGAGGCCATTTTGGATGAGATGCTCTTGAAGGCATTCAAGATTGTGACTCGTGGAGTTCGGTTTTTGGACGTGTGGAACGAGGAGGTTGGCCTGAGTCGCACTATTGCTGAGCTTCAAAATGCCGGCGATGGTCTTACTCAGTTCGACATGCCTCCAACGCCTGCTTCAGAGACCTTCACCATCGATAGTGGGCCAATGTCGGATGCATGCACCGAACGTAACGAGTCTCGACAAATGAGCCGCAGCCGAATGGGTGTTAGTCGAGCATCGGTGCGTACCGAGATGCTCGATCACCCATCTCGTCCGGTCTCTGTCGCAACCAAACGCATTTCCATATCCCATCGAATTTCTTATTCGGGTGCCTCTTCAGCGATTCGTTCCCAGAACCTCGCATCAGAGCGCCTGGGAACGACATACGATGCGTTCCTCGGTGTACTTGGATCTTTCATTGGGCTTCACATGCAATCGCGATCATCTACTGAGTTGGTCGTGACCACCCAGCAAGCAGTGCAATCTTGTCGGTCTTTACTAGATGTTGTAGAGGCTGTCTATGAGCATGATGCTCAGCATAGTTCTTTCCTCGAGGAGGCTCGCGAGTCAATGTGTGAGCGGCTGTCCGAGCTGGTTCACGCCGCTCGTGATGTGTTCCGCCCCGCCAGCTCGCAAGATGATGACTTGGTAATGATGCCGGATCAGGGCAAGCGTCTGGTGGATGCTGCGACTGATTGCGTACGCGCTGCTGGTAATTGCCTGGCTAAGTCCCGTTTGGTGCTGGAACAAACTGGAGACATCGAGCTTGAGCCCCTGAAAAAAGAATTGGAAACTGGCGAGGATGCGCAGGGAATTGTGACCCCTCACTCCGACGACACTCCGAGTGAAGAAAAGTCGCAAGAGCTTTCCTTGCAACTTCCCCCTCCTCCTCACACCATTGCCAAACCAACCCACTCTTCATCACTTTCGACCTCTGCTCTCCCAGATTCTACCGCCCCCTCCCACCTCGCGTCTTCCAACTCCGCAGTCCCATCCCCTGCTCATTCTTCTCTTCCATCATCTTCAATTCTCCCCACCCACCTCGAAATGACTTCTTTCTCTTCATACGATAGCAGTTACCGTGAAAGTCACCCTCAATCCGACGTTAGTGAGTCTTTCGGTCGAGGTGTCACGAGCACGGGTAGCAGCTTCACATACGTCAGCCACACTCGGGACTCCGAAATGAGCGGTCTGTCGCAAGCTTCGACTCGCGCAACCTCCCCTGATATTAGTGGTAGCTTCCCTGGCAGCTTCCATGGGCCATCCCTGAAGGAGAGTGTCAGCCACTCGACCCTGGCCGAGGAGAATGAGGAAACGGAAGCCCACCTTCTGGAGAAGACTTATGCCCACGAGTTAATGTACAAGGAGGGTCAAATCATGGGTGGCAGTCTTCGTGCTTTGATCGAGAAGCTTACCGCCCATCAATCTACCCCCGACGCTCTGTTTGTTTCAACCTTCTACCTCACCTTCCGTCTCTTCGCTACCCCGCTGGAATTTGCCGAGGCGCTCTCGGAGCGATTCGAATACATTGGAGATACCCCCCATGCCGCTGGTCCCGTTCGCTTGCGTGTTTACAACGTCTTCAAGGGCTGGCTCGAGTCCCACTGGCGCCACGACCGCGACAACACTGCTCTGGACTTCATTGTCGATTTCGCTAAGAACCGACTGACCACCGATCTGCCTACTGCAGGTAAGCGTCTGCTTGATTTATCCGACAAGGTGTCCGCTGTTCACGGCCCCGTTGTCCCTCGTCTGGTGTCCTCCATGGGCAAAACCAACACTTCAATTGCTCTATACGTCCACCCTGATACCCCTCTTCCCGCTCCCATCCTTGGAAAGAAGGAGATCAACTTGCTCAAGCAATGGAAGAACGGCGAGGCCTCGATTACAATCCTCGACTTTGACCCGCTGGAATTGGCTCGGCAACTGACCATCAAGGAGTCGCGCATCTTCTGCTCTATTCTTCCCGAGGAACTTCTCGACACTGAATGGACGCGGAAGTCGGGCTCGCTTGCTGTCAACGTCCGTGCCATGTCGACTTTGTCAACCGATCTTGCTCACTTGGTAGCCGACTCCATTCTCTTCCTGGAGGAGCCCAAGAAACGTGCTGTGATCATCAAGCACTGGGTGAAGATTGCCAGCAAATGTCTGGAACTGAACAACTATGACTCACTCATGGCTATCGTCGCATCGTTGAACCTGTCAATGGTACAAAGACTCAAACGTACCTGGGACATGGTCTCTCAGAAGACTAAGGCATCCTTCGAAAATCTCCGCAGCATTGTTGATGTTTCTCGGAACTACATCGTGCTCCGACAACGTCTTCAAAATCACGTTCCACCGTGCCTGCCTTTCGTTGGAACCTACCTGACCGATCTGACCTTTGTCGACCACGGCAACCAGTCTGTCCGCAGCTTGCCCACAGATGACGGTGACCGAAACGTGATCAACTTCGACAAGCACATGAAGACAGCCCGCATCATCAGTGAGCTCCAGCGCTTCCAGATTCCTTACCGTCTTACCGAAGTTCCCGAGTTGCAGACCTGGATGCAAAACGAGCTTGTGCGTGTTCGCTCCATCGGCGGTGAATCTACCAATGCGGCCTTTTACCGTCGGTCGTGTGTTCTTGAGCCTCGAGACCCTTCTGCGCCCCGCGGCACCCATGCCGGCTTGCAACTCCAGCCACCAACACATCTTCAGCCTCATTCACAACCCTCTTCGCAACCTCAAACCCCGTCTGAATCTAATTCTTCAATTCTTGAGAATGCCAAGGACAAGTTTGACTTGTTCTCCTGGACGCACCCGTCTAAACCCAAGTCCGTCGTCGCGACTAATGGGTAAACCCTTCTTTCTTCTTCTTCTCTCTTCCTCACATTATACCCAATTTTTACACTTTTACCTTTTACCTTCTACCTCTATCCATCATATTATTTTCATGACCTGATGACATACTCCCTTACTTCTTGCGTGTTATTTGCCATCTTCTTCTTTCAACATCCCGGCCATTTGCTTCCACTCTTCCCAATTTTGGCTGCATCTACCAACCACCGTTTCGTTTTCTTTCCCATCTCTCAAATGTTCTGTGAATATCTTTTTTATTTCTGTTTCTTTTTTTACTTCATTTTCTCTCTCTTTCTCGTCTTGTTATTTGGGCGGCGCTCGTGTGTTTTGTGTTTCATAGTCCCCACGGGGACTAAACTGGCCTGGGATCAGAAAAAGCGACAACGGAAATGGATGGGGTCCAGCTTGGAAAAATCGGAGTACAACACGGCCTGTCATGTTTTCGTTTTCCCAATTGTTCTGGGGGTGGAAAGGAAGGATCTATCTCATGGAAGGAAAAGGACAGGAAATGGATGGAACTTGGGACCTTATTACTATTATTTTCTGTGTTCAATCCTTAGAAAGGACAAGCCGCGAGGCTTTTGTATAACTGCAACTAGCAAAATCATAAGCTGCCTGGGATGCAATCAAGCTTTTTCAAACAAAACTTCTTCTTCTATTCCTTCTATCGAGTAAGAGTGTAATGTGATCTCGAGAACGCGTAACGAGCCTCTAGATCTGCAATCTCGTGCACTGTACTGGACTGGACTGTACTGTCTCTCGTAGCAATGCTGTTGACTTGCTTGGTTTCACCACGAAGGGCTACTTATCCCAAGCACCACGTAAAGGTGCAAGTCATGCTTGGGTGTCGCACACAAAAAGCCCGTGCGACTGGGCCAAAAACCAAAATCAAAAATGAAGAACAAATTGGAGACCAGCCCCAGTCCAAGTTCCAGCCAAGCGTGAAGAAAAACAGAGCGGATGTTGAGCGAAAATCAGTCCGACAAAGAAATCTCCTGACTCCCCTTCCCCCATCCATGGGTCATGGGCTACACTTCCTCGTAAGTAGGTGTACCATGAACAGGATTCCAGATCGCCCGGTATTTTCGTTTGCCGTTTCAATTCGTTGTCATCCTTGCCTTGGTTTGCGCCCTGCCTTCAACCCTTTTCACTCGACTTCATCCCCGAACATGGAACCGATCTCGACTTTCAAATGTAGAATAGCACGCACGCACGCACGCATTGCATCGCAGCAGACAAAATAGTTGCGATTTCTGAATTCTGGATAATGAAATGTTAGTCATCGACGAGTTGACTTGACTCTCGCACCACCCCCCTTTTTTGCCGCTTTTGTTTTTTCGGTGTTTTTTTTTTGGTCCTTTTCCCTCATTCGTTTTTCCATGTTTTTGTTTTTTGTCGTTTTTGTATAGCTGCGAGGTACAGCTTCTTCTTCGTCACCGCCTCCTTCCTCAGACGTGACTTCCTGGCCGTCGTAACGGTCTTCTGCTTCTTCTTTCGCTGCCGCGCAGCTACTGCTTTCGCCGTCACCTTGGAGTGTCTGTGGGTTTTCTCCAAGGGAGAGGGCCTTCTCGCCGATGTTGGGAGCGGGGAGGAGAGGGTCATTTGGGGCATCGTAGTGCTTGGCTCGCTACTTTCTTCTTCTTCTTCTTCCTCGATGGGCGCTAATCGCGGGATGTTGGTTGTGTCCCAGAGACAGAAGGGGACAGCCCACGCGATTAGGTCTTCTAGTTGGACGAGGAAGGACTTTTCGTTGAATTCCATCACCGAAGTGAATTGGACTTCGAGCTCATTGCCGTCGAAGCTGCCGACAATGACTCGGGCTTTGGCTCCTGGGTACAGAACTACCAGCAGGACCTGGGTGGGATGTTAGATTTTTCTGTGTATGGTGTTGTTGTGGAGCATGGAATGACTGGAATGGACTGATGCACTGGAAAGACTGCATTGATTGAAAAGACTAAGAAGATCGCAAAGGTTCGGTGATGCTCGAAAGACCGAAGACACTGAGAAGATTGGCAATGTGGAAAGCGAGACACTGAAAAGACTGAAGAGAGAAAGACCAAGGAGGTCTAAAAGGCTCGACGATGCTGGAAAGAAAGAAGACACTGGAAAGACCGTAAAGGCTGCAATCAATAGATGCGGCTTACCGGGAAGTGATGATGGACGTTCCAAACGTCGTAGCGACGTAGGGGATCATTGATGACCCTTGACTGGCCGAGCATGGCATCTTTGATATAGATGACAAGGGCCTCCAGCTCACAGGGGCGGGGAAGCAAATCCGCCTTCTCACGGACTTCGACCGTAATTACCCGGTGACAGCCCTTGACCTCAGTGGTCTCCTCAGTGCGGAGGACCTTCAACTTCGGCTTAAGGGCTTTGATCTTGTCACGGGTCTTTGAATGAGGACTGCAAGCAAAGTCAGCGAAGAGCCGAGAGATAAGTGAGAGAACGAAGGGAAGTAAAGTGAAACATACTCGAAGCTGTCAAGTTCAGGGGAGCCGCCATCGATGGAAACCGCATCGCGGTTGCTCAGGTACTCAGAGACGAGCGCCTTTCCGAGCAGGATATCCTTCGCATCTTCTGGCATGGACGGATCCTCTTTAATTCGGCGAGTTGTCGTGAAGAACTTGGTCGTCTTGCGGTGATTTGCTTTGTGCAAGTAAATCGCGGTTTCGGGCCGGAACCAGGGGGTCCCGGGAAGATCTTTGGAGTCAAGGTCGGGAATTTCTTCAAGGTGGCCGAGACAAATCCGCCGTATATGGCAGGCGACCTCTAGGTTGTCTGTGAGGGTGTCGGAAGTGGAAGCATGAAGACGCTTCTGCATGATGGCGAGTTGATCCTCGCACTTGTTGTTGCGCCATACCCAGTGGGGCTCCTGGCGTTTATGGAACTCGGAGGCTGAGCCCCACTGAGTGCTTTGAAGTTGAGATTGAAGTTGGACTAGGTACATACAGGCAGCTACTAGGGCAGGTTCCCCCCTCGAAGGAACGGCGAAAGAAAGAAAATAAAAAGAAGAGAAGAAGGGTGGGGGATGGACGGGGCTTTTATAGCCTGGGGATATCAGTTAAGTTTTGGATTTCTATGGATACAGAGAAAGCTACAGATCTGAGAAAAGGCAATATTCTGTTCTTTTTTACCTGAAATGATAGTGCATTGTCTGGTACAAGAGTCGGAGGGACCGATTTGGGGATACAGAGTGACTCAAGAAGCCCCGACACAATATTGAGGCATCGAAACCTCACTCCGAAGCCCCAAACTGATAATATCCCAATTCAGTTCCGGGGAATATTCTTTCCTTTCTAGTCGACTCTCGTTTTCTGGATTTGTATAAGAGCCCCAATAAGCCTCGGGGTTGAAGCCTATGCCCAACAGTAAATGGGATAGAATCGTAGAATTTCCAACCTTGGAAAAAGCGTGTGAACAGAGAGTATTTCTAAGAAAGGTGATATAGCAGATTAGCTCTGAGCAGTGCCAGATTTTACAGAACCCAAATAGACCAATTTCCATCATTGGTATTTTGCCTCTTCTGTAACTACCGAAATGGCAAGGACTCCAGCGGCCACCGAATGGGAATACTACTGGAAAACTATGTGATCACCGAAGATACATCTAGAACCACTTGATCCTCGGTCCATATGAGCGCTTCTCTCCAGGGCTGTCTATCTCCTGGGCTCGGGGTTTACCCCGTTTGGTCATGGATGCTTTTTGCGTTGATAACTCTATTTTTGCATTTTAGCCGCCGATTTGCAGTAGGATTAATTACTATCTTTGTACCGGGAAAGGTAGGTTTACTATTAAGAGTCCTCTACGAGTTTATATTATTATCTAGCAGAGTGTTCTCACTCCAAGGTTAGCACACAACTTCTCGACAGTAAGGGAGATTGGATTTTTCATGGCAACATTATAAGACGCATTCTTATTTATTGGCACTCGACCTATCACTAGCTCGTTATACAGCGGGGGGATATGGCGTTCCAGTACCAGTCCGGGGCATCACGAAGGCGTTCCTTTCAATGATAGCTTCTGGTAGTATCGTCACTGTCCAGGCTCTTCCCAAGCCCCGTTTATCATAGAGAGGTGGTAGAACGTGGTGAGCAGCCCCGTAGACTGTAGCCATCGGGCTCAATACCGCGAGCGTGAACACATGCGCAAGTGAGCCAACGGTAAACTCACGCGGGACCAGGGAGTCCTTAAATCTTCCCGGATCAATGGTAGCGGAATTTCTTTCAATGTTGCTATCTGGCGGTCATAAAGGATCAGAGTCGAAAGAGGGGTTGGTGTGGGGATCAATTACTCGGCTGAGCGGATCAGTTGTATGACCAAACAGAAGGAAGTAACGCAAACTGAAGTGCGTCGTCCATAGAAGACCTTAGAATCGGAATCCTACACTGACGTGAATCCCACAGGACTGCACGGCAGGGTCTCAAGTTGATGGCGAGACCGTCGAGATGCCATGTGCATATATCCATGTATACATATACCAGCTTGACCAGCTTTTTGTAGATAGTTCAAACATTGGATGTTGAGAGCTCGTTGTGAGATGGACCCCACATGTGCAGAGCCGGAAGTGCGCACCTCGGCGCTGCCATCGGGTTCGATCGCGTCTGCCTTTAGCATCATCTGGGCTAAGATGGTTTCACTGAGTTTCAAAGTCCAGCTTCTTGGGGTCGGTGGGCATATCGGCAAAAGATTCATCGCACGCGGGGATGAGCACCTGTTGGAGGTATCCAGTCAAAGCAGTCAGCTTCCCTAGCGCACCGGGTATGAGTTTGAGCTTGGGTGGTCGTCCCTGATTCAGGATTGTAGATCAATATTTCAACTCGTCTTGAACTGAGGTATTTTCAGGCCTTGGAAGTTGCATGGGACCTAAAAGAACGAAGAACGAGTCTACGAACGGGGAGCGAGGGCGAGAACGCAATGCTGTGGATTGAGTGCTGCAAGGAAGGAAGAGGAAGAAGCTTGGTAGGTAACAGTTGAAAGGAAAGGTGCTTAATGGAGAACAGTAGACTGGAAGTTTGAAGGGTACAAAGCACTTGAGCACACATTATCTGCCCAGATGGAGATATTGAGCACTGCAATCCTTCTATCGAGAGCAAACCATTTAAGATGCATTTTTAATTCATACTACTAGGTATTTCCTATCCTGGCAAACTGATTCTCCATATCGCACTACGTCACCCCACAAAACAACATTTCCTCTAGTTCTCCAAGAGCCTCAATCAATTTCACCCAAGGACGCCACAAACCTTCCCATCCCCACAAAGAGCATCGCATGGACACCCGAATTCGCAAAGAAGACGACGCGAAAGACAAAACCTTCAAATGGGGGGGTCAATTAAGTACTTGATGCATCCATCTATATCCTGTTTCGTATCCAAAATGAGCAGTCCTTGCATATTACCCCTCCACCACTCTCTAGGCCCACGCTATTCCAAGTCGCACCGTCCATAATCCCCATGCCACGTCAGACAAGATCGGATCCCTTCCCCACGAGCCCTCCTGCAAGGGATACGTCAACTCGCAAGATGTACAGTACGGGTCCATCTATGGATCTGCAAGGCGTCAAAATGAGACTTATCGGAAACTATTTTCGCTCTTGCATATTTCGTGCAAAGGTTGCAGATTCTTGGTTATGCGTGGTTGATCTGGTTCATGCTTGGGTCTTTTGTATAACCTTGCGACGTGGTGGCGAGCTGAGGGATCAATCCCGAGGTCGGGCCGTGTGTGTTTTCATGGTCCGGTGACTGTATTGCGCTGTACGCTGGAGGAGGTTGTATGGGTTTGTATTGGTTTTTGGTCTTTTTTTGTGCGTGGGGCGTGGCTCTTTGGCGTGGGAGATGTGATATATCATTTTTGGTGGGCTTGGGCCGGCTTAAGTTGACCTGCCAAGACATCTTTGCCGTATAGAGTGGGATTTGAATGCGCACTGAATGCGAAAAATGATGTTTTACTTGACCCAGGTGATTGATTGATTGAATGATAGTTGTGATAGTAGTGTCATGCTCAGGTGAGGACGTTGGAATGGATATGTCTGGTTGAACTTGTACCTATGGAACCAATCAGTCAACATTTGTATGTACATATTGCGCTTGAAAGGCCTCTACAAAATTCAAGCCTGAATCTTCATAGTCATTACTGTCAGCTGCCATGCCCTCATAAAAAGATTCAACCTCGTACTCTGGTCGTGGCCGCAGATCAAGTATGGGAATCATGGAAGGCCGTCCATGGGCACACTGAAACGGGAACGCACACCGAGCCAGCCGTGAAACCAACGTCCTGCAATCATCAATGCTCAATGGGTCGTTAAACATAATAGCCCCCCGGCAGGCACGGGAATTCAAAAGATCAAAGATACCCTGGGGACAACCACTCATCCTTTGTACCCAAGAATGCGGGGCAGGGGATTCTGATTCAGGTTCCGCGAGAGAGGCTTCGTTGTCGTTGTTCATCTCATCGCCCCGAGTCTGGCTATTTGCAGAGGCCATCCCCGCACCCAGTGGCTTCCTCCTACCGGTTTCCTCGTTTGTCCAAATTTCACGGCGAAGGAGCTCAATGATTATCCTAGGCTCTAAGCGGCATCTCTCTGCAATCAGGGCTGGTAACAATTGGATAGAGACGGTGGACTCGGAGTCTGACGTTTCGTCTATATGGTACCATATTCCCCAGTCTTGAAAGAAGCTTCGATATCGGTGAAAAAGTGTAGCTTCTGTCGAAGAAATTTTGAAAGTAATCGGGTTGATCTCAACAGTGCGAACCTCATTCTGATACGGCAATTCTGTTGAAATAAACATCTCCTCGAATAATTGTTCGATTCGACAACGTTCATCTGCGGCATGTTGGTCGATCAATACCAAAACAGTCTCCTGTATACTGGAGCTTTGTGAAGGTGCTGCGTCCAGTTTGGCGAGAATATACTTTTGATCAACTTGTGCGATGATCGTGGCCTTCATTAGGCTTTGGCGTTGGAGCTTTCCTTTGAACTTGGTAATTTGGGCAGCCTCCATATTTCCAAAATCATGAACACAGTTGCGAGACGAAACCGTATTCAAGTAATCCGTTTCGGGATCAAAGCTCGGTAAAGGTATTTCCGTGCGGGTAAATGTAGGGTTATCCCACGATTTCAGCAAATTTTCTACCCAAACCTTTGGGGTGGATGATGATTCTTGGGCACCACCTAGTCTTGGTAGATTTGATCTCGTGGGTTTGCCAAGCACAGTTGGTTGGACTGTCTGACCCGTTCGTGAATTAATCATATGTGTTTTCCCGGTACGCTGATTGACCCAAGGAATCAATTTGTCGGCCGTAGATGATTCATTCCCAACTTCATCCTTAGAAGCTTCTTTTCCATTGCCTTCAGGTGTTTCGGCTGGCAGGTCCATGGTACACTCTTCTTGAGTTGTCTGGCTCCGCGGACGCTCAGGTAACGTCAAGATCTGTTCCCCCAGGCGGCTAGCAGTATTTCGACAGGGTGCATGGCTGTCAAACTGTTTTGCAGTCTTCACCCTAGACCAACTGTTCAGATTCTGGCTTGAATTTGAATGCTGCGGTCGCTGGAATGAAGGAAGTTTGATATTCTTGTCAAGGGCCTCTTCTGTACTAGATGCCGCACCTCGATTCTTGGAAAACGATTCAGCCCGACTTTGACCGACTGAAGGGCCTCCTTGATCACGATCTGGCATCCTGCTGTGCCGCTTCGTGATCCGGGGTCTCATATTTTGTTGCTTGAGAAATTCCAAGATCATTGCCTCGAGGAGGTCGGTGACGCGTTGAAAAGACTTGTCTGAACTCGGGGATATCCCATCACCATCTTCATCTAATGTTAGAGATGTACTGTTATCGATGCGTATATAGAACATCGGCCACTTGTTGACAGGTTTCGAGGAATTTCTGCCACTGACACTACTTGGGGCCTCGGAGTACCCTAGAACAGGAGATTGAAATGTAGCAGTACTACTGCGAGATAAATTAGAGATCCCAAAGTCCGATAGAGATATCAGACGATTGATCTCGTTGAAGAGCACATTGGAACCGCTCGATAGCACCGGATCGTTACCTAGTGAAATGAATTGGATCTTTTTGGAGGGACTGGGGACAGTGGAAATTGCTGCCCAAATGGTGAGATCGGGAACACTAGCCGAAATGACATGCCATGAATCCAGTTTCCTAGAATTGAGCATCCCGGATTGCGCCAAAATCGATCCAATCCGGCGTAGGCCAATTTCATTTGAGATATTCACACTATCACCCCGTGGATATTTATCAAGGCGAATAGAGATTCTCTTGCCCCGCTCCGCATCGGAGATAACCAATCTCAGTAGGAGAGGGTTGGCTAACATGAGAGCGGCCAGCGAACATCTCAGACTATCCCATTCTCGATCCAACTCATCCTGTCTTTCCAAGGCAAGGGCGCGACGCTTGACACGTACTGGCATATTGCCAAAAAGGTCATTCACCGTCACACATGTGCCGTGTTCACCAAATCGAAGATCTTGATGCGCAGGCGCTGGGATCAAACGCGCCACGGGCATAGAGCGATGAAATATAACCGAATTTGTGGTTTTTTCTTGGACATGGCAGGATGTCACAGTAAGCAAAGATAGCGCACTCAGAGCGAATAAGAAGAGACCGCGTTGACCATATTTGTCTGTCTTTTGGAAATTGGAGGTGTCTGTACTGCGAATTAGCAAGTGTGTAGACATTTCACAGCCAGAGGGACATACGATGAGCTTTCCCAAGCCCCCCTGTGGCCTCAAATTCAACGGAACGAATTCCATCGCCATCGTCTTCGACGATACAACCCCCACGCTTAAAATCCACGGAGATGTGGACAGTGCTGGCATTTGCATCTAGGGCATTTTTGACCAATTCCAAAACCACACCGTTTAGATGGGTGATTGAGATGGAAGACTTAATCTTGGCAGCAACATCTGGAGGGAGAGCTTGGATTCCTGCTCTGGGCGATGGCATGATCTGCGCATCCACTAGCTCAAATATTGAGCAGATCGTTTAACAAACTATGTTTTTGTCTTTCCATAGCAACGACGGTTGGCTGACTTCTAATGACGGCAAGAGCGTTGCCACTTTTGTCATGGTTGTCACATTGCCCAGCTAGGCGTGTAAAAGTAAAAAATAACTGAATGTTTCAGGAATGAAGCCAAAGTCCAAAAGTTCTTTCTTATCCTTACAAAAAGTGAAGTTGAGGAATTCCAGACCGAAATGACATCAAGAGTGGGCACATGACCTGCAAGGATTACTGTCGTGCACGGATAAACAGTCAACCCGCAGTGTTTCCATTTGCCTCGGCGCGCACTCTCTCACAAAGCTTCACTTGTTGCCCCTACTAAGTTGTCGGCATTTGGAAGAGGGCGGATCCTCACGTTTCTCCCTAATTCCAATATGGCTACAGCTGAAGGGCCCTCGCGGGCACACGGTAATCGCCCCCAGGAGAAGATGTGGCCTTTGTGAAACATACTAATGACGCACTTGTATAAATAGATCGCAACGGTCGCCGTCACCCATTTTCTAGCTGGATGAAGCGTCTTGCAAGCCTCAAGGGCTCCTCCGAATCTGGCTCAAACCGCTGGTCCCACAAACGTTACGGTTCCACTAAGGGGAAGAAGAGACAACCGAAGAACAACAATAACAACCCTTATCCGTTATCTGGGACACTCAATCGGCAAACAAATCCAAGCGGGTCGTACGAAGAAAGTGAACGAGATGGTCGCGAGTCTCGCTCACGAAGCGATCCATCCCTGGTCTATTCAGCCTACGACAATCATCTTCCAGGGGCGGGCGCGAAATCCGCGGCCCCCACCATCTCGACCATCGGGGATGCCGCAAACTCCGAGGCAGCCTATTCCAAGGCAGGCACAATGGCAACCAACGGCGGAGGCATCAGTACCAATGGCGGAGGAGAAGGAAGCACATTCTCTTCCCCGAACCCCTCGGTGCGCTCGTTGACAACCACCTTGACAACGGTCCAATCCGCCGCACCTTCAACCCAGTTATACCCCACACAGAACAACACACCGAACGGCCCTGGAAACGGAAACGGACATGGACATGGCCATAGTCACGGAGGACACTCGACACAGAATTCCGGCAACCAACAAGTCCAATTCTCCCACCAGTTCCCGACCTCATCCTCCCCCGCTACTGCCGTGCCCCCACATCTTATACCCCACAGCCAATCCATGACCTACACCACCGCAACAGCAAACAATGTCTTGACCGACAACGCCTCCATCCTCACACTAGCCAGCTCCTCCAAACGCCGTCGCAGAAACTCCCTCGATACAAACGCCTCGGTCCGCGGTCTCGCGCCCTCATCCGTCTTCGGTGGAAGTCGCGAGAGCCTGCCCTTGAGCGTGCTGGGTGGAACTGTCGTCGACCCGTCCAATACCTCTGCCTTCAATGCCCAGGGCGTGCTGAGTCGCCCCAGCATTGTCGGACTGGCTAGCGCCGAGCGCATCAGTGTGTACTCGGCATCCGGCGTTACGCCCATTGCGCCTATCGCGAGCGCCGCAGGTGAGCGGGGAAGCTTCTATACCAAGCCAAGCGCAACTGCTGGTGATGGAGCTAGTATCCGGAGTGGCTCGCCCTCACATGGTCGCAATGATAGCACCGCTGCTAGCATTACTGGCGTCGGCAGCCCGCTTGTCATGGCGTCTGGTCGGGTCAGTCGCAGAAGCTCCGGGTGGGGAGAGATTACGGGCGATGAAGCGGACGAAAGAGGTTCGGCTGACCGCATTGATGAGAAGCCTGCTATGAAGCCTGACTCTAGCTTTCAAGAAGAGCTCAAGGACGAATTCTGATTTTAAATGAGGTGATCGCATAGACCTCGATGATGTAACGCAAAGACAGCGAAGCGATTGACTTGCTTCGGGTTCCTTTTTTCTCTTTTTTTTTTGGTTTCTTGCCGTTTTTCACTTGCTTTCTCTTATACTAATGAACTCACGCATGGAACTTGGATTCGGGGGTATCTGTGGGCTAATTTTGTGGTGTTTGTCTTCTTTCCTTCTTTTTCACGCTGGCGTTTTTTCTTTTCTCTTTGGGTCGGACTTGATATCCTTGCGCTTTTACCTTTGCTTCCGTGCATAAACTTGCAAATTGAATCGTGTATTCATAAGAACGAAGCTACATTCACTTGACCATCTTTTTATGTGCATCCATCGGCTCAGTTTAACCTTCTTGAAAATATATGATCGTGATCATTGAACCACACGACGACGACGAATGATCATCGGCATATCGTATTGGTAGACGAACCAAGCATCCCGATACTTCCACTCGTGCTTGGGATCAACCAATTGGATCTGGAAAAGAGATTAGCTCAAGGATAAAAGAAGCACAAAGGCAAATAGAGCCACTCAAAGAGCCACTCACATCAAACAAGTTGTAAAGCGTCGCAATCAACTTCTTAATCTCCAACATAGCCAAATACCTCCCCATACAAATCCGACCACCACCCCCAAACACAAAATTAACAGTATCCTTCATCCGCCTCAATCTCGCCTCAAACGCCTCCTCGCCCTCCCCTTCGCTTCGAAGCCAGCGATCAGGATCAAAGCTATCAGCATCCTCTCCAAAAACTCCGTAATCCCGACCCGTCACAAATGGATTCGATCCAACCTTCGTCCCAGCGGGCAAGTACCGTCCATCCGGTAGCGTAAACCCACCCTCCGGCACGACTCGTTCAAACACCATCGCAATACCGGGGTTGAGCCGCATCGACTCCCGAATCACCGCGTCGAGATACGGGAGGTCGCGAATTAGGACCCAGGGCGCGGGTTTGGAGGCTGGGAGTGCGGCGGCTGAAAGCTCGGCCGCTAGCTTTGCGCGTGATGCTGGCGCTTTGGCGAGGTAGTAGAGGACGGAGCGCATTGTTGCGGAGCTGGTGTCGCCGCCGGCGAGGATGCTGAGCATGAGCCAGTTGACGATTTGCTGGTCTGTTACGACGTCCGGGTTTGTCTGTTTTAGTTGCACGTATTTGTCCAGCGTGTGAGCTACGGTGCCGGTGCCGGCGGGGGTTTGCTTGTCGGCTAGTTGGGCCTGGTATTCTGCGGCGACTTTGAAGGCGTACAGGACGCCGGTCAGGGTTGGTTTGGGGCCGATGCGCTTGATGGGATTTTTGTCGAGGAGGTTGTCTAGCCAGGGGATTTGGGAGATCTGGGATTTGATAAAGCTCTTTTGTTAGTTGTTTATGTTTTGCGTTGTTATTGTGAGCGTTGATGGCGAGGTGGGTAGGTGCAGTTTGTGTTACGTACGGGTGCGAAGTAGATTAGGCCAGCGGTGGAGTCGGTGATGAGGTTGTCGACGTCCTTTTCTTGGTCAATGAAACCGTAGTGGCGGCCGAAGCTGAAGTTTGCGGTGACATCCCAGGCGACTAGGGTTAGGAGGTGGGAGATTAGCGGGATGTTTATGGGGTAATTTTCAATATGGGATGTATGAATTCGACTTACAGAATCCAATCCATTCATCGGCTGGACAAACCTTGCCGGCGTTTTCACCGTCGACGAATCTCAGGGCTAGTTTGTCCACGAACTTGGTGAGAGTCTCGTCGATCAGAGGCTCATATTCGAGAACCTTGGTCATACTCCAGAGGCCACGAATGTGGCGGATATTTTGATTATGCCAATCTTCATCCTGGGTGTTGAATAGGTTGGATAAACGATGACCTTCGATCAAGACATCATTGGGCCTATACATATCACTCTGTTACATTTCGTCAGCGGGATGTGTTGAGATATTGGAATCAATACTTGCATTGTATATGCGATGCGAGTGAATGTATAAACGAGAAGAAAAGGGAAAAAGAACAAGAAAAGATTTAGATGCACACCTTCTTCCATGGATTACGAGTCGAGTAGATAGTCCGAATCAGATTCGGATCAGAAATGCTCACGCAATTAGGACCAATCTGCACAGCAGTTCCATACTTGCGGTGCAGCTCGACATGCTTCAGATCCACACGGCCCCGATATGTGTGAAATGCACGCCAGAGATCGGTGATCTTGGCCAAACGTGGACCAGGAATCACTCTCAACGGCGAGAAGAAAACATCCCAGCCTAGCTTTGTGAGACATAATAATCCCAGGGCAAGAAGGCCCTGGGCCCACAAGCTAGACGGCAGTGAAGACCACACATCCATTGTGGCCAAGACCTAGCACAAGACAAAAGTACGGAAAAAGGAAAAAAAAGCAAAGAGAAAGCGTTCGCGCTTGCGGTGTGTAAAGAAGAGCAGCTGTTACGCATATGCAGGAAGCTAGGAGTTCAAGGGAACTAACATCACAAATTGTTTTAGGAGCCACGAGGGACCCTGGAATTTGGGGAAGACGAAACGCCTGAAAATTAGACGGGAACGGGAGGTCAATGCGAGGACGAGTTCCAGGCCTTCAAATGTTGGATTACTAGTAATTTACTACTAGAATCAAGTGCTAGTTAGTTAAGGGCTAACGGGGACTGCTGAAGAGTACTAAGGACTACTTGGGACTATGTCCCGTTAATGCGGAGCTCAATTAACGAAAATGACCAGTTTGGACCTTTCATCTTTGGCACGAAACGGGGAAGGGCGGGATGTGGAGACCAGAGTTGATGTGGCGTGGACAATGCAACTGTTCGTTTAGAGCAGTGGGGAGCTTTTTTTTCTTTTCTTTTGCTAGTCAAGAGAATACGGGAATAAGAGGAAAGGTGGGAAAAAATAAAAATAAAGGAAGAAAAGAGAGGGAAAAGATCCAACATTGAAAAACCTTGGAATCGTGCTTTTTTTTCGAACATGTCGTTTTAAAGATGCTTTGATCTCACACGTCTTTGCAGGATGAGGCGAAAAGGGAATAGGCCTTGCATTGACTACATAGAAAATCCATAGAAAATATGACAGATCGGAAACCCCCGTAAAAACTATACAAAAAGCAACGAACCCACTTACTTAGGTAGGAATGACCCATCTGAACCACCAATTCCTCCTGTCATATTTCCTAACTTCGTTTAGACTGGTTTCGGCTTATAGTAAGAAAACTTTACTGCTTAAGATCTCTACACCCTGCATGTATCCCTGTGTTTCTCTCCTTGACCCCATATATACTCGGGTCCAGAGAAGTGAGCCCTAGAGGGTCATACAAAAGTTCTTGATTTTTTTTATTTTTTGCTGTGCTCTTTTTAGCGTGCCCTTTCCCATCCACCCTTCAACATGTCATCCGACTCGCAAGAGAGCAGGGCTCCTTTGGTCAGGGGCGTGATGTGGGTGATGGCGGTGGTTCCTTTGGTTTTCGTTGGCATTCGTTTATATGTCCGGTGTTACGTGAAGCGGGTTTTTGGCTGGGACGATTTTATCATTATTATTGCGACGGTGAGTGCACTCGTTCTATCCTCGTCAATTCTATTCAATCTTCATTTCAGTCCATTTCAATTCAAATCAAATGCAATATTCAATTGACTACTTATCCTATCCTGGTCGCTGAGAAAATATCCGCTGACTCTCCATTCTTAACCCCCCCGATCAGGCCCTTCTGATCGCTTACGCTGCCGTGTGTCATGTTGCCACGCAGTATGGCCTGGGCCAACATCTAGCTGTCGTGGAAGAAAATCCTGATAATCTTATTACCGTGGCTTTGCTATGTGATATTGGCGAAGCTTTGGCTATCATGGCTTGTACTTTGGGAAAGACCTCGTTCGCTGTCACCCTCTTGCGCATCGTCGTCAAGAGGTGGATGACTGTAGTCTTGTGGGTGGTCATCGTGACTATGAACTTGGTCAATATCTTGACGGCTATCTTTGTCTTTGCTCAATGCAAGGATCCTCGACATCTATGGAATCCTGCCATCCCTTCCGAGTGCTGGTCTTCGGATGTTTTTACTAATTATTCGCTGTTTGTCGGAGGTGAGTTCCAGTTACGTACTTGACACGTTCATTCTGCCTTGTCTCTTCGTCTTCCTTCTCTTACTAATGTTCTCATATAGCATACTCTGGTGCTCAAGACTTTGTCCTAGCACTTCTCCCCTGGTCAATTGTGTGGAATCTTCAGATGAAGAAGAAGGAAAAGTTTGGCGTTGCCTTTGCCATGAGTCTGGGTGTCTTGTAAGTTATTGTTGATGGGACTCTATTGGAAGATTCCCAGCCAATTCCTCCTATAACATGTTATACTGACTTTCGCCCGTGCTGTTCCCCAGCGCCGGTGCTGCCGCCATCGTCAAGACAACATTCCTAGTAGCACTGTCCGCTAAAGCAGACTTCACATGTAAGACGACCTAGCACCCAAATTGCCTCTAACGCTATATAAAAAAAAAACAGCAAGAAACAAGTCAGCTAATTTTCAACTTCGATCTGATTAGGGGAACTGGCCCCCCTGCTCTACTGGGCTGCCGTGGAAGACGGTCTGGCCATCACCGCTTCTTCAATCCCGGCTTTGAAACCTCTCTTAGTGAGCATGTTCCCTAGCTCAGCAGAAGACAACTACAACATGATCTCTTATCCGCCCAAAGCCCCTTCTCGGAAAGTCTTTGATAGTTCCGAGGGAGAGACGCAGACGGATATTGGGCGGGAAAGTCTCCGCGATGCGGGGAGTCAGACTGCTATTGTTGAACCGCAGTCTCCCGTGTTGGGGAAAGAAAGTATTAATTTGACTACGGAGGTCTCGGTGATGTATTCTCGGTCTCCATAAAATATTTAAAAATGGATATATGTTTAATGATTCAAGTTCGATGTTCAAAGGCTCCATCCAGGGTTGTCCTCCTTACAAGGTTTACCCAGTTTACTTGTGATAGTTATCGGTAATACGTTACAGAGTGACCCGCGGAAGAATTTATTGAAGTTTTGACAGCGGGAAACTATGGAGCAGGATTGACTACCTACCAAGTTTCCACCGAAAAGTCAGAATCGATCAAACTCCCAAGAGCACTATGAGTACAGTCGTCCGAGATCCAACTAGAAAGAAGAGAGATCAAAAGCCCACACAAACTGTGTTGATAATCAAGCTGCAGGGTGTTGGGCACTATTTTAGGATTGTCAGTCAGTGGGAAGCTTTAAAAGAAAGCAAATGGAGAAAATATCATAAGCCACGTACACATATCTTTGCGCCACTTGGATTGGAAGCAGGCGGACAAACGTTCGTATTGAGACAGCAGCCGGGAAGCGGTCCACCCGTTATACAAGTCGTCAAAGCCGGACACTGTTATACTCTCAGTTCTAGTCCCAATCAATCACTAGGGCGGATGGCGCTTACGCATATTCCTGATGCGGCACAGAAGGGCGTGGCGGCAGGACAGCTGATACAAAGCCCATTGACACAGGCCCCACCACCGGGGCCAGGTGGGCACTAGTAAATTTAATACGTTAGCCGACGAAGGAGGAAAAACCCCCCCAATCCCATATTCTTCCAATCACCGAATACGGAATGCGCATACCGATTTATTGCACTGTCCACAATTGCTCAAGCTTTTAGTCAAGTCAGCGCAGACACCATTGCAACAAGCAGGCAGTGTGCCAGTGCAGGTAGGCGTAGTGCAAGCTCCACAATGAGTGATATCCGAGCTGAGATCCGTACATGTCCCATTACAGCAAGCAGGCTCCAGGCCTCCGCACGGGAACGAGAAACAGTTACCACAGTGGTTAACGTCCGAGGCGAGATCCGTGCAATTACCGCTGCAACAGGCCGGGTTCACGCCCGTACACGCGGGCGTCGTACAGGCTCCACAGTGGCTGGTATTGCTTGCTAGATCCGTGCACGCGCCGCTGCAGCACGCCGGCTTAACCCCGACACATGGGAGCGTGAGACAGGCGCCGCAGTGGTTCGGGTCGATGCTCAGATCCGTGCATGTGCCGGAACAGCAGGCTGGGGAGACGCCCGTGCATGCTGTCGCGTTGCAAGCGCCGCAGTGTGTCAGGGATGAAGAGAGATCGGCGCAGGTCCCGTTGCAGCACTTGGGGTTCACGCCCGTACAGGTTGCCGCTGTGCAGGATCCGCAGTGGAAGCTGTCGGCAGAGAGATCGGTGCATATTCCTGAGCAGCAGCCTGGTAGGGTGCCGGTGCATGGGGAAGCGCTGCATGAGCCGCAGTGTTGGGGGCTGGATAGGAGGTCTGCGCAGGTGCCGTTGCAGCAGGCGGGGAGGAGACCGGTACATGGGGCTGCGGTGCAGGATCCACAGCTCGCTATGCTCGTGGATAGATCGGCGCAGGTGCCGTTGCAGCATGCTGGTATTTGGCCTCCGCATGGGAGCGCATTGCAGTTGCCGCAGTGGTTTACGTTCGAGGTGAGATCGGTGCAGTTTCCTGAGCAGCAGCTTGAGGCGGTTGGTGGGCACTATATATAAATGGGGTTTCAATATTCTTAGCTGAAGATTCTCCCTCTTTCTTTTGTTTCTGAAACAAAAGGGAAAAAAAATTGATATACAATACTTACGGCAGTATTGCATGCACCACAATGAGTGGTGTTGGAATTCAGATCAGAACATGCTCCCGAGCAACATGCCGGAGTGACTCCAAGACATGGAGTTGTGATACAGGCGCCGCAATGGTTGGGATTGGAGTAAAGGTCGGCACAAGTTCCGAGACAACAAGCAGGTTGAACCCCGGTACACTATCGTGTTCTCAAAATTAGCAACCTTGGACCTCAATCTCTTTCTGATACCAGCTCACAGTTGTACTACAATTTCCACAATGATTGGCATCCGTCGCGACATCAGTGCATTCTCCCGAGCAACACTCGGGTATTATTCCCAGACAAGGCGTGCTAGTACAATCACCACAATGGAGAAGGTCAGAATTCAGATCGGCGCATGTACCCGAACAACATGCTGGATCGACTCCCGTGCACTGCGAGCATTTATTAAGCAGAGCCAGTGTGGATGGATAGTAGTCAGACTCACGTTCACCCCACAGACACCACAGTTTGTGGCAGACGCGGTCAGATCAGCGCACTTTCCAGAGCAGCAGGCGGGAATTGTTCCGGTGCACTGTAAAAATCGGTAAGTACTGAGCTTTTCACTTGTCTGGAAAGTAAACTGGGAAAGTTCTGGACTTACCACTGGCGCATTGCATCCTCCACATCGCTGGATGCTCGAAGCCAGATCTTGGCAGGTACCATTGCAACAGGCTGGTTGCAGCCCAGTACACTAGTGCTTGTTTAGCCAGAAATTAAAATATTTCCAAGAAATGATGAATCGCTCGCTCACTGGAAACGCATTACAACTACCACACTTGGTCAAGGACGTGGCGAGATCTGCGCAGCTGCCGAAGCAGCAAGCGGGTTTTTGTCCAATGCACTAGGGAACATCTCATCAGTTCATTTCCCTGCCAGAATGTTTGATCTTAACTCAGTCTACCGGTGGGCCATTTATGGAAATTCAGAAATTTAAAAGAAATGACATCTTACGGTGTTGTTGCATGTTCCGCAGTTGGTAGTGCTCTGACCAAAATCCGTGCAAGTTCCTGAACAGCAGCCAGGAACTTGTTGCCCCTCACACTGAAGGCGATGTTAGCATTTATTGAATAGTGTAGGTCCTTCAGACAAAGCTCCAGGAGAATACGTACTGGTGCATTGCAATTTCCACAATTACCAGTGTCTGATTGCGTGTTCACGCAATTAAAGTTACAGCACGTTTGGTTGGTAGGGCACTATAATAAACTCGAGATCAGTTGACCTGTTTTCTTTTTGATAAGATCTCACTTCCAAAACAAACTGGCAGCATACCGGTTTCCATGGAATAAACGGCGCGCATAGACCATTAAAATCTCCAGTTGATAACGGGGTGACTCTTGTAGTTGCGACAACGGATGAGCTTGCATTCAAGGGCTTTGCATCCGAATACAAAAATACGCTTATCCAGATCGCTAATGTGTATTAGAAGTCTAGCCTTCAGGAAGGTGGCTTAGTGTTCAGTCTCTTACCCAGAACTTGCAAAAGAAATAATGTTTTACTGGCCATCTTGGAAAATGCCACCTGCGGGCAGATATTGGGTGAAGCTAGTAAGTTTTCCCCACCTGGGCAGTAGACAAACCCTTAGATCGAATCGGATAGGTTCGAGGCTTCGGCAGCTTGAAATTTGCCCATATCTCTGAGCTCCATGAGGGTCACTGGTTTTAAGTGTTGTTCATACTACCCAAAACCTTTCCCACATGAAAGCCTCGGTGCAGAATGATAAGTTGCAAGGTTTGGATCAATGTTTTCCTTCCTGATTGTGTGACTTCTCTGCATCAATTGATGTCTCTGGGGTTGACCAGAGAGAGGTTATGCCGAGGACTTTTCCAATTGTTGCCTTTTTTATGGCGAGAACCCTACCCCACATGCAGGGTTACTCCGCAAAATTTTATTTGAAAGGCCGACTCATGGAGAGGATAATGCAACAGTAGTTGATTTTTCTTTTTTTCTTTAGTTAATTCCTCGATAAGGTTGTGATACGACGTTCGTATGTTGCACAAATTCCCCGGGGCCGCTTTGAACTCTAGTATTTCACTGAAGATCCCCCGGGGCCGGGCGCTGACTACACCCGGTAACTGGCTAGTTAAGATTCTTGATTATCAATGCGACGGATGGATGGGTGGGCATGTGTTTTTCAAATGTTATCCAACTTTGAAAATTCAAATGCCACATGTGCAGTTATTTTAACAGAACTTGAGATAGACATCAGCTTCAATTCAACGTCGTGTGTATCTTGATGTAAGCTTTTTAGGATACATGGAGCGTTCATTCAATACGTAGTCTGTCACACCATATCCTACTGTAACCAGTGTTCACATTCATTTTGAACGGCTGTGTCACCCGTGAGCTCGAGGCCCCTGGCAATATACCGATGAATGTTGGAATGATAAATTGATTGGGCTGCCCGGGGGGCTGTAAGGACCTCGAAATGGATGTTTCTGTTCTCATTTTCATATACATCCGTTCACGGGTGGCTTATACATCCTTGAATGGATATGCTGATATATTGATATTATGTGCATAGAGTAAAATACGTTGTAGAAATCATGATACTTACAGCATGGAAAAGACATTATTCATAAAGCCCATGGGACCTCGACATCAAGCTTCTCTGCTACCCGCAGAGCCGAGGCGATACACCCCTCCAGCAGAACCATTCCATCCCAGCACCAACTCCCCACAAGCCAAACATTCCCATCTCCATTTTGCCACTGCTTTGAATCGACCACATCTCTCTGTGACCTTGAGCCGAAGATCTCATTTGTCACTTTGCGGCTGGTCGGGGTGCGCAGTGTCCGTGTAAACGTCACACTATGCTCTATTTTGGATGGATCAATGGGAACAATAGGAGAGGTGGTGATAATGACAGAGGAAAGATGCTCATGCGTGAACTCCGTGGATGTAGAGTTCGAACAAAGGTGAATTCGTTCAGGGAGCGGGAGGCCCGGTTCTGAGCGAATGCCTCCATCCACAAGCTGGCTGCATTTCGGCAACCGGTCGAAATCACGATGGATATAAGCTGGAATAGTAGCAGTCGGGATGACAGCTAGCGCACTCCGCAGAGGGGCGAAGATTGCGCGGACAACGTCTGGCGTGACGGCCATGATGACATGGTCATATAGCTTGGATTCCGCGGAGTCGGCTCCATCGTTTCTCCATGTCAATTGGACCTTGGAGCCGACATTCTGGACTTTGATCGCTGCTGAGGAATATCGTACATTGAGACCCTTGGAAAGCTTATCTTGAACTTTGCTGACGCCACCGATGACGGTGTAATGCGGCTTTCGGAAAGTTTTCGCCTGGTAATCGACCAGGTCGATGGCGGGGAAATTCATTAAGGCGTCGTGCGGGCAGGTAGTTACCGCGGACATGATTGGTAGGTAGTAATGCTTCACGAAGTATTGTGGCAAACGTATCCTCGCCGCGTACTGGCCAAATGTTTCGGATGGCCTTGAGCTGGTGGCTTCTTTGGGCTCGATGAAGAATGAACAGATGACGATCCAGATGTGGCAGATTAATAGGTAGAGGATCTCTACGAGCCATGAGATCCATGAGGGTCCTCGGGGACGAAGAGGGAATTGGTGAGTGTGAGATGAATGAATGAAGCGCGTATAGATATCACTCGGATTTGATTCCGAGATTGTGGAAAATGGAAAAATAAATCTTTGCGAGCCATACTCGATTCCCAGGTAGTCGTACATGCGTTTCAGATTGTCGTAGAAGCCGCTTGCAAAGGCTCGCATGGGTAGATCCACGCGCTGCTCTGTCCCTGTGTTGGTTTTTACAGTGAATGATGCAGAATCAAGCGACAATTCTTTTTGCTATAGAGTAGTCAGAGACTTGCGCAACGACTAAGGGTAAATAAACATGAGGGGGGTTTTTTTTGAAAAAAAAAAAACAACAACAACAACAACAACAACAACAACACAAGCCTACCTTCTCGAAAACCTCCACGTCAAATCTAGCGCGCGGGTCATTTCTTAATATATACGCTGTGATGAGGCCGGCCATGCCAGTGCCAATAATGGCAACCGACTGTGGTTTGACCGATGACATGGTATATCCTTAAACGGTGCCATGTAGGGGAACAAAGTTTCGAGTTGAAGATTTGACGGTGACCGCCGAGCGCGTGAAGGAGTTTGCTGCAGGGCTTTGTCAGCCCATTTCTCAGCTGAAAAAAGGGAAATCAAAGGCATAAAACCGAATGAATAAATTGGATAAAAATTTGCCCCTAAAATCTCACCATGGAATTAAAAATCCTCGGCTACTCTCAACGGTCCATGTGACTTGATTTGGGTATCGAGTTGTTGAGCCAATCAGAACACGTCGATTTCGTTTGTCAATGCCGATCGAAGGATTTTAAGTGAAGCTTCTGCCAATCACTCGAGCCAAGACTGTTTGATGCGTTTGTTCCTCGTTTTCCTTCTCTTTCTACTTTGGGAAATGGGTGTGAAGCCGAGGATTGTTTTTGTTTTTGTTTTTGTTTTTTGTTTTTTTTTTTAAAAAAAAGAGAAGAAGTGTAATAAAATCAAACAAAATCATATGTTCAGACTCTGTACTATGTACAAAAAAGCTGATAGTTTGAAGCTCTATCTCCCCCTACGTAACACAACCGGATTTAGAGTGACACAACAGGGCCAACACATTTCGAATGGCAAACATCCCCAACCGGGACTCATGCTTCGATCTTGAACCTTGGAATATCCAGATCGCTTTACCTGGTCAAATCAAATCGCATCTGGACCAGGAAGCTGAAGGGTCTTTGCAGACCAGGTTTTCCAAAGGCTTGGCATCACCCAACCAATCCCGAACTTCAACCTCCTTTATTGTTCAACATAGTGAGAACTGCCAGTGGACCCACATAACCTCGATCAATTAGCCTCGGTGGAGTATCTACTACTCCAAGAGACATACTGTATAAAATATGCCGGCACTCCTCAAGCGGCTCTTCAAAAAGCCCCGTATCGAGACCTATGGACTGGACCATGCCGTTCTTAACATCCAGCTACCGCCACAAACCATGTGGATGAATATGGGCTACTGGGAAGTAAGCACTGGAATACCATTCCACAACCAAAGACTGAAAATCTAACATTTTCCAGTCCACCTCCGATTTTCCCGAAGCTTGTCAAGCCTTGCTTCACCAAGTCTTATCAGCTGGCCTCTTGCAATCCAACTCCCAATGCCTAAGGGTGCTGGATGTTGGATGCGGCTGCGGCGACCAGTCCCTATACCTCACCAGTCTCCACAGGAATGGATCCTCATCCACCGAGGAATCAGCGTCATCCTCAGCCTTGGAAGCTTCTCCTGCTTTTTCTACTCCGCAGGCCCGCCTACAACACGCCCATCCTCATCCATTATTAATAGATACCTATATCGGTATCACCTTAGAGCCGACACAGGCAGGCTTAGCCAAGTCTCGCGTACAAGATGCACGGCGCAAGCAAAATCAAACCCAACCCCAAACTCATACCCAAAACAACAATGGCCTGGATCTTTCCCCGGCAAAAATATTCTGCGCCGATGCAGCTAACCCCGCGACTTGGCTTGGAGACCTACAAACCTCCATCAGCGACCTAGCCAACACCGCACAACAGCCCAGCACGGAAACATGGCTCCTGGCGCTCGACACAATGTACCACTTCCGGCCATCGCGTCGGCCCATTCTGCAATTCGCGCACGATACACTCCACGCCTCGTATATGGGCTTTGATCTTATTCTCGCCGACAATGTTTCATGGTGGCAACTCTTTCTCTTACGAATCATCTGCTGGGCTCTTGGGGCGCCGTTTGCAAATTTTTTGACCAAGGATCAATATAAGCTTCTTCTTCGTGACGTGGGCTATCGGGCTTCGGAGATTAAGATGACGGATGTCTCTGCTCATGTCTTTGATGGGTTGGCGGGGTTTTTGGGGAGGAGGGTCGGAGAGGCCGAGCCGTTTGGGTTGAGGGTTGGGAAGTATCGGGGGGCGAGGCTGGTTTTTGACTGGTGGGCGAGGAGTGGGATTGTTAGGGGGTATGTGGTTGTTGCGAGGAGATCGTGACATAAAAAAATCAATTGATTGAAACCAAGGCGCCTGGGCACCAATCTACGTAGCTGCAATATTTGAAGCCAGCTTGAGTTTGGGAAACCTTGGAAATTATCTAGATACATTTCACGTACATACATGTGTAGAGTGAGTTTGTTTTGAGTCCTGTATATACTGACGAATCTTCTTTCATCTGCAAAGGCAATGTCTCTTGCCATCAATTAATATTTATAACTCAAAACCACTTCATTGGGAAGGCAAAGGGCTCTGTGGGTTGCGAAACACATTATTGGGATCAATATCCCCCTTGATCCGCTGTAACCGGGGCAAGTTATCACCCCAGTACGCCTCAGCTCCATTGGACAAACGAGGATCAACATATCCAGGGTAAGCAGCATATGGGGCCTCATCACTGGTAACGATCTGGTTGACCCCATCCAAGAAATCAACCTGCGTCTGAGTCACATCCCCGAGCAAGTTAATAGAGTAGGTCTGCAGCCAAATAAGCGCATCCCGATGCGCATAGGATGTAGCATCAGACGCAACGGTATTCGTATAGCCGCCCTCAAAATCAAAGATAAGAAACCACAACAACGTGCCCTGGGCCATATTATCCACATATTCAAAGAACCGGTCAACCGTCTCGCTTCTCATCAGCGTCTCATACGTCAATGCAGTAGACTTCGAATAGAAATGAGCCGGGACCCCACCCCCCAATTCCAAGGCAACTTCTTCCGCCCACTCGCCCACCAGCCCGAGCCAGTCTTCAAAGACGACAGCCGTCCCATTCGCACCAGGGAACTGGGACCCAATATCCAGCTCGTCGTACTCCTCTTTCGTGCCGAAGTACGTGCCGGATATAATCACGCTGTCGATCGCCAGCGTGAGCGTTGATGCAAGTTTCCACGTTAGGGCTGGATCGGAGACGTAGGCTTGCCACTGTTTGAACAACGCGGCGCGCGCCGCGCTCGATCCGATCTTCAGACTGAACTCGTATTGCACTGCGGTGCCGGGCGAGGGCTCCGTGCGCACCGTGAACTCCGTGACGATCCCGAAGCCCGATCCCGCGCCTTTGATCGCCCAGAATACGTCTGCGTTTTGCGTTTCGGATGCTGAGATGATGCTGCCGTTCGCTAGCACTACTTGGGCTTCCAGGACGTGGTCTAGTGCCATGCCGAATTGCCGGGCTGTTGGGCCTAGTCCGCCGATCGTGAAGTGGCCGCCGGAGCCGATCTGGGGGGATGTGCCGTGCGACATCGCGCGGCCGCCGGCGTTGTGGAGGCGCGTGGTCACGTCTGTCAGAAGTGTGCCGCTGCCGATTGTCGCTTGCCAGTTCGTGGTGTTCATGGAGAATTGCTGGAATTCTTTCATGTCGACGACGACGGCGCCGTCGACTCCACCTAGGCCTAGTGTTGTTTGATATTAGATTGGCTTCGTCCGATTCATGTTTAATGGAGTTGTATTGGTAGGCACGTACCGTAGTTGCCGTAGCTATGGCCTCCACTCTTGGCTTGGACGGGGTATCGCGGCGCACTTGACAATGGCAGATACTTGTTCCACGGTGGTTGGGAAGCTAACTGCTGCGGGGGTGACGGGAATGTCAAGGTTGTAGATTTCAACATCTACGGCCTGGTAGAAAAGATCTCCGGCGAACGCAACTCGGCCGCTGCCTGCTACAGCTTCTTGCAAGCAGGGCTTCAGGTTATCAGCACTGGCGATGGTGGCTGTCGTGCCTAAAGTCAGCAGTATGAGTCGAAGAGCCGCCATGACGAAGTATTAAATGGAGGGAGGACCCTGATATTTGAGAAAGACAAACACATCTTGCAAAGGGAGGCCAAGATGCTTCGTATATGTACTAGTATGTAGATAATCACATTGTGGGGCTTTATCGTAATGTAGTAATAGCTTATGCCGCGACTAGTCGTGTTTGAAAGGATTTGTTATTGTGGCGGACTTGAAGAGCTGAAGTGCCAGTCAAGATTCAAGACAAAGTTGCGGAGCAGATCTCGAGTGCTTTGTGGGGCATTATCGTTCAGCTGAGAGACGTGTCAAGTCCCTGGGTAGAATGGACCAATTGAGAGGCTGATAAATACGATGGGGGTCCCTAAGAATCACACTAATGTACGTGACTGCTGGAGCTAGCTGGTAGCGACGCCGATCGATTTACGGAACCTCGGAAGTGCTTCGCTGTGGGCACCTGGACTGAGTAGGGCGTGAATGGGCAGGGATCAGATCATGGTTGCCAGGTTGAGAGATGTATGTGGCTATGATGAAGGTTTGGAACCTGGAAGAACAACATTTGAATACTGGGTAGTATAATAAAGTAAGGTGTATTCGTTTAAATTTGCACTTTAGAAATCATCATTCATGGTCACCTGCCAACCCCCTAATATGCAGAGGCCATTTGGAATGACGCTGACTGCTGACCTCCGATGGAGGTAAGAAATAAACAAGACTCGCTGACAACAATATAAACAGAGGGTAGTTTGGGGATGCAACATCGCAAAAACTACCACTTAAAGCTGGAGGGGACAACGGAACCAGTGGAACGAACTAGAGAGGGGATAACATCTTTTTTTTTGTCATCTTTTCGTGTCATTTTTTGAGCTTTATTTTTCTCCATTGCTTTACGCAATAGTTCCAACGCCGTGCTTGGACTCGGAGGGACTTGAAGAAAGCTCGTTGCGTGATGCCAAGAAGCTCTTGAACATATCGGAGATGGCCTTTTCAGACTGCTCGTTGCGCTCTTCGGTTCCATTCTTCTCCATGATCAAACCCCGGAGCCAGTGGTTCTCCAACTCAAGTTGGGTAACACGAGCCTCGAGAGCGTCGTTCTTATCATTGGTCTCCTTCACGGTACGCTCAAGAGCTGCCTCACGCATCTTCTTCTTCACACGGAAACGAGCACTGGCAGCCGTGTTTCGACGACGCTTATCCTCCTCGGCCATGTTACCCAAGGCCTCCTCAGGGAGGACCTCGGGAGCCTTCTGGGTGTTCTTCCGCTTGGGTCCAGCAACAGGACTGGTCGTAGTGGGTGAGATCGGAGAAAGACTCTGAGCGGGTGCTGGGGCGACATTCTGGGGAAGCTGCATGGGAACAGCCGGAGCAGTGGCGGCGTTAGGCGCAGGGATGGCCGCGAAGGGCGCATTGGGCATGTGCACCGGAGCATTCACGGCATTCAGCTCGGTCTGGAAATCGGTGATGTTTGCAAGGCTTCCATCTGTATGTACTGATTAGCAACAATCTATGACATGAATGCATCGCAAATATCCCGATCTCGGTGACTCGAAGTGGCTGGACAGGGGTCCATCACGTGGTATGGTGTAAGAGTGGAGCATATTCGCGTTTGATATAGCCAATTGCCAGGATCAGATCGGGGATAATCAAAAGCGCTTCAAGCGCCACTGCACGGCATGGCCTGCAGGGCCCCGAAAAAAACCTTGACAGGGGTCCAAACTGAGCCTTGGCAGGTCATGGGCAAATTGCACGTTCGAAAGACGCCATATAGGGCCAAGCGTAGTGCAACCGAACCCGACTATTTTGCAGCCACCAATAACCAATCATGCACGTCTTGAGCCATACCACGCAGGGGTTGTTTGCAAGGGTGGTACACCATAAAGTGGTCCCATACAATGTATCAACCGTGGGCCAAAACCAGGATAATGCGATTCAAAAGGGTTGATACCGCATAAACACTTGCCCAACCACATCGAGAGATCCAATAGCAAGCAAATTCAACACTCCGACTTACCATTCAGGAAGTCCAAGAACTTCATATCCCCATTTTGTGTAGATTGGTCAAGCTCGCCATGCGCCGTCTTGTCAACTGGGTCGAAGGAAGGCAGATCCAGGCCGGTAAAGTTATCGAAATCGAAGAACTCGGCGTTGGTGAAAAGGGCCAACTCATCATCGACATTAAAGGTGTTCTGCTGCTGTTGCTGCAGGGCCTGGTCGTATGCGGACGGAATGGCGTTCAAGTCATCGAGATATTGCGAGAAGTTGGGGGCGCGACGCCCATTGTATCCGGCCATGATGATGTTTCGTCAACTTCGGAGTTGAGCTATTCAAATGGAGGCGAAAGAATGTCTTGTTCCGTTGAACATAGACCGTTTCGCGTGGACGGTCGGACGTGACTCGGTCGCGCCGGATGCGGCTCAGTCGGGGTTTGTCGATTCGGTCTTATATAGGACCGCGGTGACGGGATTAAATCTGGGTTGTTGTCGAAGCGCGTAGGTCACCGTTGTCGATTTGTCGATTTGGTGGTGACGGTGAGGTTGAAGAAGGAAAGTAGGAAGAGGGGATTTGGGATCCAGTTTGGGGCCACGAGTGGGTTTTTTCTTTGAGTTTAAAGTGGGGAGGAATCAGTGAGAGGGGTGGGAGTGGATGATGATTAATCCCCCGTTTTCGCCTCTTGAATCATCCGTTCCATACTTTCCACAGTCAAGAACCCCCCCATTTACTTGATTTTATTTTATGATTCATGGAAGAACAGGTGGACTTGTGAAACTCAATGGAAAGCTATCTACTGCATTACTACGTTGTTGGTATTTTCCTATTCTCTCCTTTTAATGGAATGTGTGGTTTACAAAATCCCATTGAAAACGATCGCACAAAAACGAGGCCGATGATCGGAGTCGAACCCACTTGCCATCCACTTCGCGGACCATCTTCCCCAAATGGGGTAATAGAGTGGGAACAGGCCACTCGCACAGTCAACGTTCCAAGCTAACTGGGTTGTATTCTCCCCATCGTCATATGCACAATTGACGTTTCTTGAGGTAAGGTTGAGACAATCGAACACCTTACTCGGACTGGAATTCCAGCGACAAGCGCGGCTTTGAACCAAATCTCTTCCAAACCCCAGAGCGATTCGGCGGTATCGGTGATTGGCAGAGTATAAGGTTCCAACTTGCATTTGTAAGCCCTAGCGCAGCCACACCTGAATCGGGTACAATCACCTTGAACTCATCCTGGTTTTCCCGAGACCACTCCGCCAAGTATAAACTCAGTGCGCAATTATTAATCGGGGTTGCGGAGAAGCGGCAACTATGAGCTTCTCTGTACTACCCTACAACCCTACCGTACGGCATTCGGTATGTATATGACTGATCTCATGTATGATTGCAGGGTAGAGCTGCACAACATCTTTTTTTTTGGGCACGGACGCCGCAACGGCCCGATGGATTAGCGCGGGTTTCTGGCTAGGGGTTCAACTTTTGAGAACGACTTTCTAGAGCCATCATCCATCATTGAAGATACGAACAATATCTCGTGTTGTGCATAATCATCCATGGATGCCACCGGACTATTGATGACGGGCTAGGGTGAGATTGTGTACGGCCTCGAGCAAATACTGGTTTCGGGATTGCGGCCCGATCTAGATTCCTTGTGGTGGCAAGTAGAAGGGGATGGCCCGGATGGGCTATCGACACCCTGAACATGACATTCGCAGAAGGCTCGGTGCATGTGATTACTATTTACAAATATGTGGAATTGGGGATACATTCAAAAGAGTGAGGGGGAATTGATAAACATATATGAAGTCGTTTTCTCAATCTTCATTACACAGTAGGTGCTGTCTCCGGATAATCTTCCCTCCGAATCTCTATTTCTGGTAACACGGTCTTATCTCCACGTGACTTTGTTGATGCCTCGACGCCTTATCGCCCTCAACGCGTGGAATCTAGACATGAAGAAAACAAGACGATCAGATTAGTGCCCTGGAGGCCCAACAATGCGACCAATCTAAACAAGGACTGTACGAAACACCTATCAATCAGTTTCCAGGAAATTACTGCTTGTCATGGCGCGCCCGAAAATAGTACGGGCGCCGACAACAGCCAGTCTTCCAAACAACCTCCGCATTCCCTCGACTACGTCGTCCTTGACCAAGACCCTGGGCAAACTTTCCCGGCCCGCACTGCTGGATCTAGCTTTATCATGGCTTGACGATAAAAACATCGAATCATTCCCGCCCTACCTCAACCGCAAAAATGACAACAACCCCGACGACGAAGAAGCATTACCCTACCCCGCCGCAGAGACCATTGAAGAAGTGCGCCAGGCATACGAGGATCTACAAGAGAGGAAGGGTGGAAAGCGAGAAGTTCTTGAGCGCATTCTAGAGGGCGACTGGCGACACGGAATCACCCTGCGACAGCTCGCAATGGCTGATCTCCGCTACATGGACGACCACCCAGCAAGCTTGCGCTGGACAGCACTCGAGCTTACTCGCATCGAGACTCAATCCAAAGGGTCTTCCGCGAATGAAGACTGGTCCAGCAGCATCCCCCGCATACAAGCCGCCACTTTCGTGAAAGCTCTCCAGCAGGAAATCGCTTCGCTCGTAAAAGCGCATTACCATCTCGCGCGCTCCTCAACCCTCCCTATCACATTCCTGCGCATATTCATCCTTAACTCGCCCTACCAGTCTCCCCGTCAAGCTCCCGAGGTATTCGCCGACTCGTCGCGCGTCATCTATGTTGCTTTCCCGGACAGCTGTCCCTACATCTACACATCCATCACGGCCTCTTCGGGCTCTAAACCATCTGCGCCCTCGTCTAGCTCTATTGCTACGGACCCACGGAGTCTTCAGCGTCTGGTACGCGATGCCGTTCCAAAAGCTCTCTCCCGCCCCCAGGAGCGATATACCGTCAAAGCTACGGCGCTAGCAGCGAAGAATTTGCCAACTCTGTTAGCCCTGCGCGGACCGGGTCGCTCAGCAGCCGCAAATGGTAGCTATAGTATATTTGCAGATGCTGCTCTAGAAGGAAGTCCGTTGGATCCGCGTCCATCTAATACCGTTCCTGCAGAGGAGCATATGCGTGGTGCGAGGAAACCCGTTGATAATGAGGATAAAGAAAATGGGAACGCGGGAGAGGAATCCCAATTGCCTTTCGTTTCATCTAAAAAGCGAGTCTCTGGAATCACTGATCCTAATTTGTTATCACCGACGTCTAAAAAGAGGCGATTAGCCGTGGATTCACGTTTTGGCTCGGCTGGGTCTTCGCTCACTCCCGCACCGTTGGACCGTTTGGATGTTCGACTTTTAGATTTGCCTGATTTCGGCGACGAGGACAATGAGGTGGATAGACTGGCCGGGGCAGTGCCTCCCGTGTCACTGTCGTTCACTGGAGCCGATGTGATTGGTGGTATTCGGAGGCTCGCTGAACTGGGTGTAGTGGATCCGGAACGCATGCCATCCTGGATGACAGGGGAAGAAGCTGTGAGCATGGCTGTTATTCGGGATGGCCGCCGAATCCAGAAGACAGATTGAATGGGCTTGTTGAAATGTTTTGTGTTGTCCCAAACTTATATTGCAAGTGGCGTCTATGGTTTTTGTTCTACGGATTTTGTTAGGCCTTGTGCTATGATACCCATTTTGGTTGGCTTGCTAGGCGACGAGAAATATAGTCATATCAATCCAAAGTTCGATTTTAAGCGATGGACAAAGGTTTCTCCAAATCAATCGTAAGAGGTCTATGAGGTACGTTGAATGAGCTCTTAGACGGCCCGGGACGGAGTCTGGTCCCCATGTCCATGATGTCTGGTCGTGCACATAGTCCCGGTTCCTGGGCAGAAATTTCGAGATCTAGTTATCAACGTAACTGGGACATAGGAATAATACCTTTGTAGTATTCAATACCTATCGGGTACCGGGCCTAAAGCTATTGATAGCGATAGCTCACCTAGCTAATGGGTATCAATGGAAGCATTCTGCACGAAGAACCTAAGCCACCCTCCGCCGCGAAAGATAATTGAAGATATACAACCATGACTGTTGCGCGCCCTTGGTGTTTGAAACTAAACCCGTGCAGCACCAGGCCAAGAAATAAGAATAAAAATCACTGACGCCGAATTATACGGACGGAATGACTTTGTTGATGTGGCCGGTCATAATACGATCGTCGAACAGTTGAAAAACGTGAGTATACTGAATAATCTGCCCAGCAGTCAGTTAGCAAGTGGCAACTGGTGGGACTGAACAAGGGCAGGGATAAAAGGGAAGACTCATACCACGCTCAGTGGACAATCCGAATTGAGACGCCACATTGACGTAGCCATCTTCACCAATGCTGCCGCTATTTCGGATTGTCTCAATGTTGAGATCAGCAGTATCATTCTTCCAAGCCGCACGACTGATATTCATCCTCTGTTAGCCCAGAACATTGCCCAATGCATATCGAATGAAACTAACCAATAAACGCAGCGCACACCCGATTTTCGCGTCGTGGCTGCCCATTGATCGAAGCAGGTCTTGTGGATGTTGTTACCGCAGGCAGCCTTGCACCAGACAGTATCTTCGTGAGGTTCAAATTCCATGAAACAGATAGGACAATCGCCTTCAACGGGCTTCCGATTACCACCCGTAGGCTCAATAGAGGTGGCCTGGAGTCGATTCAGGGGGGAGTCTTGCCATATTTCGCGAACTTCCTATTTCATGGGATTTCATTAGACCGGTGTACACCAATTGAGCGATATCACTTGCCGTGTTCAAGAAAGCCAATTGATACTGAAGGTCACCTGGAGCTCTCAGTGCAAATACAAGAGCTGTATGCGTTGTCAGTATGGATGAAATGGATGACCGGGTAATGTAGAAATGCCGCCCGATTGAAAAATTTTAAACTGACCATAGCAAATGTGCTTGCACTGGTTGCCGCGCTGTCCATCTGGGCAATTGCATGTTGGATCCCTCCCGATGGTTGTCTTATAGATGTTGCCGGTTGAACCGACAATATCGAAAGAAATCTCAGGGTTCTCATCCAGACCTGTGACCGTATGTCCCACCACAAACAATCTAACAAGGTCTTGTTAGCGATGTATATTCAATACACTATATATACTTAGTAAGGATTTGCGGAGTTATACGAACCTCTGCAGCCTAAGGCGCTTGATTCTTTCAAGGAAGGACTGTGGGGCATGATTGCGATACCTTCTAGCCCGCCGCTCACTTCCATCTTTGTTAGTTGTTGGTCTGTTTTTCCTGACAGGTTGGTTGGATGGAGGTCCTGGTTTATTGTGAACTTGAAGCATTCGATTGTATTCATCTTGATATGGGGTATCTGTGGTTTTGTTGCGATTCGTTTGCTTGTGACGACTTTTGCCGGTCTTTGATAACTTCGATAAGCGAGCAATCTCATCTTGAGCCTTTGAGTGGGCCAGACTCAGTCTGAGTGCCTCACTATCCATCTTGGCTGTGACTGGACGCGGAAATGGCGCTGGAAATTGCCAAATTGCCAAATTGCCAAATCGCCAAGGCAAACTCAAGGTTCTTGAGCGACGGTTTCGATATCTACTCACAGTTCACTACCCGGGTGGATACTGAAGAGACGCAGAGGGTGAGTGTGGCGTCATTAACAATGAACAGTTGATTTCCGAGTCAATCAGATCGAAGCGTCTCAGTTGGTTTTTTGATAATCAAAGAAAAGTATGGTATGAAAGGAAGTTGAAGGTAAAGAGGAAAAAAGAAAAGGACTCGGAGGTATAGTATGAAAGAAAAACATGACCCAGTGATTGTGATGTAATAAGGGAACATGCATGTGGAATGTGTGTGGGTCAACCCCGGAGAGTTTGCACCGTTTGTTGCTTCCCGTTTGCTATCGCTATCGGTCACATGCAATTGCCAACAACTTGACCTTATCATCATTAACCTGTTGAGGTCCGAAGATGGTCTATTCCACAAATTAGGCTCGACCTCTGCAAATAAATAATGGCGCGCTCCCGAGCTGCATCGAGTGCCGATGCCCCAAAAGAACCCCATGGGGTCTCCCTGAAAGGTGGGCAAATCTGGTGGAGCAACGTTGACGGGCACAGCTGACGGCATTCCTCACATTCAGTATTACGGTAAATTTCATAGCCATATGGAACATATACTACTACAGTGTGATGTCTGACGTCTACTAGACTCTCACGACCTTCGCTGTCTTATCAATCTCCCCTCCCCGCCGCGAACACAAAGATCTCCCCGAAAGCATCGCTAGGCTACCCATCTCCCGATTCCGATGACCAGTTCATAATCACGCCGATCGTGGGTTGATCCCTGTATACTGAACCTGCTCCAAATCTTGGCTAATTTGAGGCGCAGCTCACCCTCCCCCCAGCCTTCGGTTCGGTCTACGTCGGAGAAACTTTTGCTTGTACCCTTAGCGCGAATAACGAAATTGACGACGATGAGACCGGACGGGTCGTGACATCGGTGCGCATTGTGGCTGAGATGCAAACTCCATCATCCGTGGCATCTCTAGAACTTGAGCCGTCGGATGATTCCGCGCAATCTGATGGGTTGAAGATCGGCGAGTCATTGCAGAAGATAGTTCGCTATGATCTCAAAGAGGAAGGAAACCACATCCTTGCAGTCAGTGTGAGCTATTCCGAGACCAGGATTGGTCAGGATGCACAAGCTGCTAGTGGTCGAGTCCGGACTTTCCGCAAATTGTATCAATTTGTCGCGCAACCATGTCTTAGCGTTCGGACCAAGGCTTCAGAGCTGCCGCCATTGGAGGTGAATAATAAGTCGCTCGGTCCATATGGGAAAACACGTTTGGTCCGCTTTGCCTTGGAAGCACAACTGGAAAACGTCGGGGATGGAGCCGTTGTAGTCAAGGTAAGCAATTCATCATCGGGCATGGATTCTCGTTTCAACTGGGTAGTCGGCAGTCTTGGCTTACGCATGCAACAGCAAACCAGATTAATCCCCAAGCCACCGTTCAAATCCCAATCGCTCAACTGGGATGATCTGGATGAGTCGGCATCGGTACCTCCGACATTAAATCCGCGCGACGTGCTGCAGATTGCATTCTTGGTGGAACAGGAAGAAGGTTGCCAGGAGGGCCTGGAAGCTCTCCAGAAGGATTTGAGGCGGGACGGGCGTGCCACTCTCGGCCAGTTGTCGATTGAATGGCGTGGAGCCATGGGGGACAAGGGCTTCCTTACCACGGGCAATCTTATGAGCCGGAAACGCACATGAAACACGGTGTGAGCCTGAATGGAATGTTTTATGCTAGCATACGACGACATGCTGGCCGAGTCCCCCGATGCATCTAACCGATTTGGCTGCTGGGCACGAGTGGATCATGAGCAACTTGTGGGGGCTTGAATCTAGAACACGTATATACTAACATTGTTCCAATGAACCGGAAATTCATCGGGCAGCATTTGTAACAAAGTAGTCCACCCAGGTGCTGAATTACGCACAGTGAGCCTACTTCTATCTGAAACCTTTTACACCACAAACAAAACAATTTAGCTTGAGACATTACTCCAAACTTTGATTCAGGTACAAGGCTTGAGTTGTACAAAGATTTAGCCCTGGGGAACTAAGTAGTATCTGCCGAGCCGCACCCTACCGTCAGTCCCTGGCGCCACAAGCATGGGGCGCGGAAGGCGGCTTTTGCCATGCAGCTCTTTTCACGGTCCAGGCTTGAATAGTGGATCTCCCACGGGTTTCTGGCTATTATGAAAATGTCAACCTGTAAAACATAGAGGTATTTTTTTTTTCTCATATCATATTTCTACAGTTGGCAACAAAGAGTGGGCATGCAGATCTAGTCCATGATCGACCCCTAAGGTGTGTACATACAACAGGGGTCGTTATGTACAGGACAGAGTCTAGACCCCATAGCCCCCCCCACCCGATGAACATAGCGTGGATCCAACCCACAGGGCACTTTTTCTTTTCAGCTCCAGGTCTGTTGTAGACACGTTGTTTACCCAATAATCATTCAAGGGTACGATATCATGGGTTTCTGGCTATAATACAAAGACCTCCTGAACTGTCCCCTTTTTCGACGCAGTTTTCTGCTAGAGCTGCCCAAGTGTTACATAATTGTATAGGACTCCCCCACTTTGATTGGAATCCACATTCCCTGCTTCTGTTTATAAGCACTGCTGATTTGGGCATTGGCAAATTGCCCACCGCTTCTTTGCTTGTTGAACACCCCCATGCAAGATTAAGTACGAAGGACAGGTGCAGGTTGGGATAACCTTGCCGTAGCCCTGTCGCATGCATAGATACGAAAAGGGCTACCGGTGCATCAGCACCCGACACGCTACACGTAAGGTTCGCTTGCTAGTCCTTGGCCTGTGTTACTGTGGCGGGCCAAGGGCGTTTTGGAAAATTTCTCCCCCACTAATCACTGATTTTGACGATGAGACAAACGTAATGTAAAGGTGGGCACGCAGAATCCGTAGACATCAGGTAAGGGAGCCCAGAGGAGCCCAGGTGATACATAGCAAAGGAGTTTGAGGAATAGTATGGATTCAATAAGGAAGTACAGATTCAACATTTGAAATGTTGGCACATGTGAGCTTTATACGGATAGACCTCTTTGGGGGTTTGTCACTTGCCGCTTTTGCAATTCTAATCAATGTCACAAGAGGGAAAATGGAATCTAGAAAACCGACAGTGCACTTCATTAGATGATCATAGAGATCATGGCTCCATGGCTTAGGTACATAGTATCTAGTAAGAATCAATTTATCCGACCGGTAGTAGCCAAGCGGTTAAGGCGACATGTTTAGTAGGTATAACTTTTGTAACAGGACCGCGCAAGTTGGGCTTGCATTTATGTTTCAAACAAAGAGTCAAGCTTTTTTCTAGATGTTGAAGACTTCTCATTCAACCTCATACATCGTCTTCAGTTCTTGTGTTTGAGTTTGAGTTTTATTTCTTATTTTGCTCCATTCCAAGGTTCTTCCCGCCTTGAAGCCTTCAGAAGGAATCTGGGCCTATGGATTATACAACGTTAAAGCAGCAGCCCTCTCGGGAGGACATTCCACGGGTATTTCCGTATGGGTATAAAATGTATAGAGGTTCATGTGTTTTATATGTGTTTTGTACTCTGTACACGTACTTTCTGCATGGTAATTTTAACTTTGGGCTTCCGAAAGGAACGCCCCACGGTCGGTACACTTACACCTTTTGAAATCCCAATGAGAATTTCACCCCTCAATTACTCCACCTTCATCCACATTCGGTAGGGATCGGTTCCCCCAGAGGCACAGGCCTCCACTTTCGTTGACTCCTGACTCAAATTCCAACGTGCACATGTGTTACGATGTAGTTGACCTTGATGGGAAACTCAGCAAAGGATGAGCATGTAGGTTCTTAAGTGTTATGTATGAAGAGATTGACTATTCAATAGATGTTACATATAAAGACAAGGATCTCTTTTCTTTTTAGACTAGCATCCGATCCGTGGATCGGACTATCTATGATTTGTGCATGGAATCAGTCACTGATATGCAACGGTTGAAAGCTGCGGAAGTCTCCGACAATTTTTTCTCTTTTCTCCCCTTCCACCCCCAGAAACCCCTATCATCATCTTCTCATGTGAGCGCAATCCCAATCTGCCGAAATTGCCCAGGCATTCTCTTTTGCCCGGTGCATAGTTTCCGTGGCAAGAATAAATAGCATTGTACGGAGTACGGGAGAAGCAATCTCACCTAAAAAAAGGGATCGGCGTTCTCTCAAAAACGCCATGTCTCACGGAAGGGATCAAAGTGACGTGCCTATAGCCCGCCCCCAAAAATACGATATTGGTAAAGTCCCGACGAACCATTCAGAATGATTTTGTAGTTTGAGCGTTGGAAAAGATTCAATTTCCAGGGGTTGTGCATGAGCTGCGATATCGCTTGGCAAGAGGACCTTGAATTTATGCTAATGGACCTCAACCGTGGAACGCGGCCCCAGTGCTTGGGGATCGTATGGGAACCCAACGGGTTGGATGGATTGTAATGGAGAAGGTCCTAGAACTTGAGCTCCACTGACCCAAACAGCTAATGTGAATCAGTTTAGTTGTTTGGTGGAGACCTTTCAAATGTTCTTTCTTTTTTTTTCGTGGAGATTGGAACTGGAACACCTGCATTATATTATTTAGCAAATTTACGAAGACATCTAGAACCAATTGAGACGCTTTCTGTATTATCTATGTCTCCTCGTGCTCAAAATCTATTAATCTTTTTAGTCGTCAATCTTTTCCCTGAGGGTCTGGGATCCTTTGAAACCGGCCAGTTACAGCGTTGGAGTGCAATTGCCTGCAGGATGCTCTCCCGTGTCAGACTCTTGTGCAGCCATGGCCGATCTCTAAGGTATGATAAACCCCTAGCCCTAGGTACCAAAGTGTAACGTGAAGACTTTTGTCTGATGCTTGAAAGGGACCTCTTTCGGATGATACTTAAAAGGCAAGTCTTTCGTCTGATATCTTTAGGTATTAGATTTATAGGGAAATCTTTAAAAAACATAAATAGACATCTTCTCCATACAGCACCTAAGTACCTAAAGATACATTCTATATCCCCATATCCCCATGAACAAATTTTTTCTATTCTCTGATTTGTTTAGTGGGGAATTTTCAAGTTCGGGGCGTGCGTGTGCAGGAGCTAAAAAGTACTTGGTCTGTGCCGAACTAAGCTACTTTACCAGTATCCGCATTACCACTTGGGTACGCAACCATCCGCCCATGTAACTTAATGAGCTAAGGAGAGAAAAAAAAGAAAAGAGAAGAATTGGTATAAGTCAAAGACGAAAGGGAAAAAAAGAGAAATAAAAAAGAAAAGAAAACAGAAAAGCCCCATTCCCCACATTCCTGCTGCATTTCTTTTTTTTCTTATTTTCTGTCCTTTTTTCGTCTTTTTTCTTCAACATCGTCATATCCATTTCTCTCCTTTTTCTTCTCCCTCTCTACCCGTCATTCAATACATACAGGAACATACATCAAACCCACCCCAAAATTGATCTTCACTCCTAAACCCCTCGCCCCTCCTCCCGAAATTCTCCCTCTCTACTCCCCAAGATTGTCCAAAAGTCCTCAATCGATCAATTCCAAAATCCTTGCACGCTTGCTCGTCCACAGCATACGCACCTTTCCTTCCCACCGCCGTTCCGCGACGTTTTCCCTCCCCCCCCCCGCGGCTTTTTTTTTTTAAAAAAAAAAGAAACTGCCAGAACCTATCCACACCCCTGATTGATAAGCTTAGGGATTCTGCAGTCCATGCGGTGACAAGCAAAAGGGTTTTTGGGTGGAACATTGACCAGTCAGGGTAATTGGTCTATCGCAACAACTGCGCAATGTCTACAAGCTCCTTAGAGGGTGCCCCGCTGGCCGATTACTTTTGGATAGCTGGCTTGGACGGATCCGAGGTCTTCGACACATACAAGCGTTTGGGCGAGGAATATCGTATCAATGGCGCTGCATCCCCGGGGCCGGCCCTCGCCGATGCCATTCAGGAAGATGCAGATGCCGAGGAAGAGGATCCCGTCGACGGAGCCTCCCGGCCCACCTCGACTCTGTACACGGGTGCGAGTGTGAGTCGTCGCACCTCTCAACAGCGGCTGTCAACCCTCTCCAGAGACTCGGGACAGACCAATGGCGCCAGCAGCAACCGCAGTAGTGCCACCGTCAAAGGCGCGTCGTCTCTGTTTCGTGCATCCGCGCTGTTTTCGGAGGACTTCGATTTCGACCAGGCTTTGGTTAAATTCGCGTCGGAGAGAGATACCTTTTTGACAGACTTGAATGTGAGCGCCGGCGCCATTACGCAAAATACTCGTCCACGATCGCGGGTGCGGACTCAAAAGATTGTCTCGGATGATTCACCTCAAGGGTCACCCGGTCTCCTTAGATCCGGTATCGGGAGTGTTCGCCGACACATGGCGTTCCGGGATATGAATAGCATGAAAAGACAGCCGTCAATTGCTCGACATGGTATGTGGAATATGTTCGCTTGATTGGCCTTCAGTTCGGCGAATGTGTGATCCATCATTGGTGCATTGCTAACAAGTAATCTCGTCTCCAGCTTCGGTGCGAACATCGCGACGACTAAGTAACTATAACTCAGTAATTCCTGTACCTCAACCGCTTGAATTCTCGCCCTCGATGCATCCATTAAAACGTCGATTCGAACCCGTCCTCCTCGACCGATACCCCACTCGCAACATGTCCGAAGAGCTGCAGCAGCGTGGAAACTTCCCCGATTATGTTCCCATGTTCGCCTTTCCGAATGACATTAATATCGTCTCTTCCGATGAACGTCCACGATCGACTTGGCACGGATTTGCCATGACAACAGATAATGGGTCTAAGCTTCATGCAATTTGCGTGATCATCTGGATTCCTCTCAACCCCCAAGCCGCGGATGAGCTTGAAAAGCGCTGCGAAGAATGGCGCAAAGATAACATGACAGACGAGGAGCGGGAATTGGCCGCGAGTCTGGGAGAAAGATTGGCTTCCGAGCGGGCAAAGTTGTCGCAACTTCTTGCCCAACTACCGAACGTTCCGTCGGGCTCGGAATCCCGTGAGCAACTCGAGGATGAGATTAGTGCGGTTGAGGAGAAGATTGGTCTCATGACAGATCTTCTGCGTCCCGTTCGACATGGCGCAGCTTCAAAGATTGAGGGTCTCACCGATGGCGATACTGGTTTCTGGATTCCGCGAGCATACGGTATCCTTGGCCGAGAGAGCACGATGACCAGCTTCTGGAAGGAATGGTTAAAAGCAATCGTTGTCCCCATGACGGAGAATGCCATTCAGCGTGTGCCTCCTAGTTCACCTCGGATGGGTGTGTGGCAGCCGCTGGAGCGGTATGTGATGAACCTTTGTACAGAGGCATTCTGTCCAATCTCCTCGAAAACACAAGTGGAGCTTGCGATTCGAGAACTGCGGTTGTTTGCTCGGAAAGAGGCGCCTAATGAGCTTCCGGGGTCGCGTAACACTGATCTATACAGCTTGTTCCGAACTCTATCAGTCCCTAACATCATCATCCTTTTCGAGTATGCCCTCACGGAATCCCGCATCATTTTCTTGTCCTCGCATACCTCTATGCTCTATCTTGCGACACGGGCATTGATTGACCTTCTATTTCCACTCCAATGGGCTGGTGTTCTCATCCCGGTTCTGCCTGCACGTCTGATCCAGGCCATCGAAGCACCCTGTCCCTACATTATAGGTATCGAACGCCGCTATGAGAAGGTTGAATTACCCACCGACGACTTTGTTCTGGTGGATTTGGACGCCGACATGATTGAGAGTACTATTCGCCCCACTCCGCTTCCCCGTCATCAGCGCAGGAAACTCTTGTCACTCCTGCAACTGGCCGCACCTCACCACAGCCAATGCGGTGTCCCAACTGGCCCCCCGGCATATGCAATTGAGACCTACCCCTGGGACACTTTCTTGACGGAATCCCCTGCCACCTACAACTCCAAAGCCCCTCCGACCAATCTTGCAAAGTATGTGGGTCTCAACTCCAGCGCATTTGGCTCAGCTGCTGTGGTTCCCAACTCCTACCAGCCACCGATATTCAACACTTTCCTTCACGCGCGACACGAACAAGCGTCCTCGCGAGGTTATTCTTCAAAGAGCTCGGATCGTCCAGGGACGAGTGCAGGATCCAGAGTTGCGACGTCCCCACCTTCGCCGCGAGAGAGCTCTCCAACATCGGGTCACTTCCCTCCGCCCCCTCCTACACCATCTTCGCGCAATGATTCGGGTATGGCCCTACAAGCTTCTTTGCGAGAGAAGCGTTCGGGTCATTTCGATGCTGCATCTCGCAGGAGCTCCTCGTTTGGCATGAACCGACGCCCAAGTGCTCCATTCCTGGGACATACATCTAATTTGTCAGTAACAACGTTGAACACGGATTACGGGACTGGATCTACTTATGCCCCGTCCGTATATGCTCAATCGACCATTGCCGCTTCCACAATTGTCCCCCAGGCTACTGTACAGCCAGCAGGCAATTCCGAGGGCACTTGCTGGATTGAAGGACACTTGCTTCGCATTCAGCCATTTGACGAGAAATCGGTCTGCGCTATCTGCGACGAGCGTGCCGACGAAGGAATGTACAAGTGCACCTCTTGCAAGATGATTGTGCACAATCGCTGCGCCTCTCAAATTTGCCTTGTTTGCGATGCAGCTTTCCATGCTGATCAGGTTCGCGCTGCATTTGTAAGATGCTTTGCTAGCCTGTTTTACACTTACAAGAAGTATCTCGTGCCTACCAGTGGCGATAAGAAGAAATCCGGAATGTTTTACACTTTCAGCATGGATGCTTTCATGAAGAGTCTTCCACATGAGCATGCTGAATACATTGCAGTTCTCCAACAAACACAAGGTAAGCGATGACTTTCGTGTTTCATCAAGGTCCCCGGAGCTAATGTCAAGTTTTTTCAGGATTCAATGAGTTTATCAGTGAGCGAGAACGAGCCAACCCAAAGACCAAGGATTCCAAGATGGCTCTGTTCGATGAAATCGTCCTGTCGAAGCGCAACCGTGGCCGAACATTAATCTTCTCTAGCCGTTCTACCACCGATTTCTTATCTGACACATCCAATCACCTGTGGCGGACCGCGAACGCAACCTTCTTTGCCCCTAGCCGCAGCCAGCAGAACCTCTCCCAGGATTATAGTCGCATCAGCACCCGAGGTGAGCAGTCTTATTCGGTCCCCTGAGATTTATCTTTTGGCTAACAATATGTCAATAGCACCGGCGAAATTGGACACAAGTCTGATGACAGAGCCCCGCATGATTCACGGGGCCCCTCGGGTCTCCAAGACGGCAAATACTGCCCGCAGGAAGCCACTCCCCAAGCTTATGAATGGATTGGCGATCTCTCCTCCCAGTTAATTGGTGTGAATATTCTTCAGAGATCGTCCGGATAGACCCCCTGTAGTCGTGTGGGCCGTCCCTCCTGCATCTTCCCAAACCTGGTCTTTGTTGCCTGGAAAAACAAAACAAAAACAAGCACTCCGGTCTTTGGCTCGGACTCGACTGTCCCGAGAGTAAGGCATCTAGCCCGTGTTTGCCCCAAAGATTGGGCAATGCATGGACGGTGTGTGCCAATCATCTCCGGATGGACGACGCAACCCGGGAAGGACAGACCGCTGGCCGGGCTGAAACTTCTCACCCTTATTTTCTTGCATCTCGATTGATCCAGCTTCACTACCCCTGCCTTGTTTTTCTCTCTCTCCAACCATCTCTCTCTTATCTCTCACCCTCTCTATCTCTCTCACACTCTCTCTCTATTTTGGTTTCCTCTTGCCTGCTTTCTCCGGCACCGAGCCTTGTACTCGGAATAACATTGTTCATGGCCTGCTTTACGCTTGGTAATGCTGTGTCACAAATGCCCTCGAATCTCGATCCTACCTTGAATCTCTCCCTCCCACATGATTTACTTTGCTCTGGCGCGATCACATCCGCCGAAGCACACCACTCGGCCTCTTGTCGGCATGGTATTTTTTTTATTCCCCCAGTCATCGTTTTCTCGTACATAGTGTTTCCCCGGGCTTGATGCCCGGTGGATTGAACAAAACCAAAAGGCGAAATCTAGGCTGGTATTTCTTATTTGCTTGATAAATGGTTTGAATGGGTAGGCAGGTTTCTCCCTACTCTTCTTTTTCCGTCTTTTGTTTTTTTGCTTTTTTTTTGGTTCCGGTTCTTATTCAATACCCCCTTGATTCGGCTGGTATCCTTTTCTCTCGTTTTTCTGTTTGAAGTACAGTGTGGCGAATATTCTCTATTCATTTCTTAACGTTGTGTGATGATACAATGACCCCTTGTCATTTCCGAATCATGGTCACATCGGTTGGATTTTTTGACACGGGTACAGGATAGACATAATCCCGTTATCTGGATGTTTTAATGATGCATTTTGCCTGTGAATATGTCCTGGAATAAATTTTACTCGTGAATAGATCAAAGCTACTACCTAGTACTAGTAGGAATGAGATATGTCATGTTCTGACACGTAGGGCACTGAAGGGGTTTAGGTACCTTATAACCTGTTGGACATTCTCACCTATCAACAAGTAGATCCAATTTGGGCAGTTGTATGAGTGACCACTCAGGATCCAGCATTGGATTTCTTGGTTCAATTTCCGTTTCCATATTTTCTTCAGTCAATAACCCCGGAAGTCATTGGGTCCACTATAAGGGGGATCTCCTTGTAGTTAGACGGAGATTTTCCCCGTATCAGATTGTAGTGTCTGTAACCACAGGGCTATGCTAGGAATCCTGAAAGTAGTAGCATAAGACGTTTATGGTATAAAGTTGACTATTTTTTCTATTCATGAGATTCTTCCAATCAGTCTTCAACTATCACCTTATTTATCTACTTTTTTAGAAATAAATATCTATATATACAAAAATTTCTTAACTGAAGACTTCACATTAAACATGAACCAACAACGGAAAGCTCCCCGAGGTGTTATCAAGCTCCACTCTGATTGGCGGAGAAATGCATCCCCGTCTAATTCTCCCCCGCGCCCCCCGGATGGATCCTCGCATGGTGCATTAGCAACGCGATTTCTTCCATCTCAATGTCGTACTGGTTTCAATGCCGTGGGTACATGGCCATTTTTGCCGCCTCGTGCCCCGTATTAAACTCTATCCATATACCGTGCGGCCGAATGGAATTGACTTGATTTTGACATCGGTTGAACTCCGCGCGCCTTTACCTGGTCCCTAGACTCAAATTTCGCTTGGCCCATGCGACGCGGATACTACTTTCTTGATATCCGTGCTTCCTCCGTCACCCCCCCCCCCCCCTTCTCGTCAATAAGCAAAAGCCATTAAGCCCTTCTGCGTGGCGTGGGGAAAAGCTTCTCAAACCCCTTGACATCCTGACCATTTGCCGCCTCGAACTTCTTTCGCATCTGGAACATCCGGCCCGTCTTGAAAACCCCCAAGTATGAAAACACTTGTGTCTGCTATGCGATGATGCCTACAGCCCTCCAGCCCATGGCGACGCCGTTGCTTGACGAAACTACCATCGCCTCCTTACCACAACCGAGCCCCCCTACCGCCAACAACAATGCTGCTACCTCCGCCTTCAATATTTCCACATTAGTCAACCCCCCGGTGCTTCCGTCAACTCAGAACAATGGACATGTCGCATCACCGTCCGATAACACGACCAGTACCATTGTCGTTGTGTTTGGTCCGAATCAAGACCATATTGTGCATATGGTGGCAGAGGTGCTTGGGAAACCATGGACTACAGAGACATCTCTGGCCACTCTTAATAGAGTCGGTGATGTGATTGTGGTCGGAGTTTGGGCGCAAAATCTACAACGCAGTCTGGAGGGATGTGACCGGTCGTCGCTTGTGATAATCAACACCCATAGTGTGGAGGACGGATCCGCGCCGGACGATCAGCTGTCGGAAACCTGCGACTATGAATTTTTGTACTCGCACAGTCCATTCCTGCGACGGGATCTCACTCGCTTTTTGTCGTTGATTTTGGGCCAGACGAGACCGCATGAGGATCTCCGCACAAAGACCCGCACCAATTTCATTTCCACAACTTTCCCGGACGTTCATGCTGCGCTACCCAATTTGGATATTCTTTCCGTTGGCTCAGATGCGGTGGAGATCCGTGTGGATTTGCTAGTCGAGCCTGGAATAAATGGAAATGGAGCAGGCTCAGTGCCGAGTCTTAGATATGTGGGCCAGCAATTGATGTTGCTCCGCCAGCATACCGAACTGCCCATCATATTTACCACAAGATGTACCAAGGAAAATGGAAAATTCCCCATGGAAGATCCCGTTCTGTTTTACAAGTACCTGCGACGAGCGATCCAGTGGGGTGTCGAGTACGTCGATGTGGAATTATGGCTTCCGGAGAATATCCGCCGGCAGCTTGCCCAAGCCAAAGGCCACAGTACCATTATGTCGGCTTTCCACGATTTTTCAGGAACCTGGAAGTGGACATCCCCTGAGGCCCAGCGCATCTTTGACGAGAGCACAAAGTATGCCGATATCGTCAAGATGATTGCTATGGTCTCGACAATGGAAGAAAACTACGAGCTGGAGTATTTCCGGTCAACTATCAAAAACCGCGGTACAGGCCCGTTGTTATCGGCCGTGAACATGGGCCAGCTGGGCCAGCTCTCCCGTGCGCTCAATACCGTCTTCTCCCCCATCACCCACCCTCTTCTTCCTATGATTGCAGCCCCGGGTCAGTTAACCGCGGCCGAGATCAACGAGGCCCTCCATATTATGGGCCAATTGCCCAAGCGCGATTTCTACGCCATCGGCTCATTCCGCGCGACGCCGCACTCCATGTTCATGGAGAAATGTCTCAACGAGCTAGGCTTGCCGCACTCATTTAACTCCATCGATCGTGGTCCCAAGGGCTCAATGGAGGCCGTGATCATGTCCCCCCAATTCGGCGGCGCCTCAGTAAACCCTCCCATCCCCAGTTCTACAACCTATATCCCCGCCATCAGCGACGCGGCCCGTGCTATCGGGCTCGTCGACACCATAGCCATGAACATAGCCGGCGACGGCTCAGTCTCAGGCACAGGCTCGGCTTCGGGCTCAGCGTCCCCGCCCAACGGCACAGGCACCCCGCATTTCATCGGCGAAAATACCGCCTGGAAGGGCATCCGCGCGACCCTCACACGCGACCATGTCCCCTCTGCATACCGCGGCCGAGCCGCAATTATCTTAGCTGGATCCGAGACAGACGCCTCTGCCGCCATCTTTGCGCTCCGCAATCTAGAGGTTGGCCCTATTTACACGGTCGGATTCAAGGCTTCCGGCCCTCTGGCTGGCGGCCTGCAACCCTTCACATCCATTCAGTCTGTCAAATTGGTCGAGCAGCCATTTGTTATCGTCTCGGCACTCCCACCGGAGAAATCGCTATTGGTTCAGCCGCTTTTGCGCCATTATCGTAGTAACGGTCGGTTGTCGCCGACTGCCACCCGCGGTAAAGTCTATCTGGATTTGACTACTGGGTCTCGGAAGGGTGATCCCCTTGCCGTGGCTGCTAGTGCTGGGTGGACTGCTTATGGGTCGGAGGATGTTAGTGCGTGGACTACGGTTGAGACGTTGCGGTTGTTGGTTGGGCAGAATGTGCCGTTTGACTTTGTACGCATGGCGTCTGGGCGCTCTCTGTTCTAGCTGTACATGTAGTGGCTAGAATTTGTGGGGAATGTTCTTTGTTTGTCTTCAGTTATCTTTCGGCTTGTGCTTTTGATCTTGCTCTATATACTCTTGTTTTATGTTGATATATTGATGGAGGCGGGGCGATGCAATAGACGTTCCATGTTGGCATCGGTGTCTTGTTTATGTGTAGTTCGAATCGGAATGAACATTTGAAACTCGATGTCAATATCTTATTCCGATGGCCTCAACTTCTCAACGTATATTTTCTGGACTTGCCGTGCCTGACCCGATAAGCCTTATCAGCAAAATCCGGGGTACCCCTCAATTTCCTCCGCATTGCACGCCTCTGACGTTTGTTTTTCGTAAACAACTTGATCACACTCTTCATTAGAAACGCCGAAACAAACAATGCATCTACGCCCCGACCATGCCGTCCGGGACCTCCGAACCCTCCACGCCTTCATCCGCGCACACCCTCTTGGCGTCCTCACCACTTCCCTCCCATCAGAGAACCACCCAACACTCCAATGCAGCCATATACCATGGGTGCTGGACAGCAACCCACCAATCAGCCCCAAGGCAGACCTCGCTGCCAATGCCAATCCGACCAAGCTCGATAATCACCCGCCATTCCTTGGCATAATGCGGGGCCATATTGCCCGTGCAAATCCCCAAAGCAAAGCCATGATCGAAGCCGTCACGGAAGCCCGTGCCAAACGCACATCCTCTTCAGACCCAGATACGGAACAGCCACAGGGCTCAGATCTCTTGCCCGAAGATGTCATGATCGTATTCACCAGCCCGGTGGACCACTACATCACACCGAATTTCTACACGCAGGGCAAAGTGGGAGGGAAAGTTGCGCCGACGTGGAATTACGCCGCTGTGCAGGTCTACGGGCGCGCGCGCATCTACCACGACTCGAACGAGGGGGGTGCATGTACGGGCGAGTTTTTGCGGAGCCAGTTGACTGATCTTGCCTCGTTAGGCGAGGAAGGGGTAATGGGGTTTCGGGATGGCAGTGGCAGTCAAGGCAGTGGCACTAGTAGTCTCGGCGAGGCCGGTGGTGAACATTCACCTTGGAAGATCGCCGAGGCGCCCAAGGAGTACATTGCGACGTTGTTGAAGAACATTGTTGGGATGCGCATTGAGATCACCCGGATCGAGGGCCGTTTCAAGGTTAGCCAGGAACGACCGGGGGTTGATCGGAGCGGGGTGGTGGAGGGGTTGGAGGGGATGCAGAGTGATCGCGCACGAGAGATGGCGGGGTTTGTGAAGAGTGGGTGTGTGGTGTCTACGTCTACGTCTACGTGTGACAAGTGAGACTCTGGAGCTATAAACATTGAATGCATAAACATAGAGTACATAGATATATTATTCCAGGGTTCCTGATATGTGGTCTTTCCCGGTCGGGTATTTTGGTTTTATTTTTTTTTCGTACAGGTTACCAGTTTCGGTGGCTGATTTGCTGCAGTCATACGTGCAGATGTGAAGACCTTCGGTTGGATAAATGCTTATTTGGCGAAGCAAAACGGTGCGTTTTCTGCAAGTCATATTTCTGCAGGGCATTGGCATTGTTTGGGAAATAACCCTCAAGGACTCCGTATTAGGCTTTGGTGCTTGTTTGAAGCCGAATCCGAGCCTATTACGAATTCGTATTCGAGTCACTAACTATTTTCTTCACTCTGGACTCCTGGGCCACTCCGTACCCAAAACAGCATCTGGGGTTGTCGATCCAAGTCGTGCATATTCCCCCGCCGGGCGCTTACATTATACATCTGGTGGTGAGTAGGGTTTTGGGGCTTCACATCCCCGATCCGTGCAGAATGTATTAAGGGACGCTTCGGGGTAATTTGTGGGGAAGAGGGTCTGTGGAAGATTATGCGGGATTTGCAGATTTCCAGATTTTCAGGATTTTAGCATCGTAAAGAAAAAGAAAAAAAGGGAAAGCTTGGGATTCCAAGTGTCGCCATTGTCGCCTCCGATGGGCCGAACCCTAACGGTGGGAAGAGCGAAAAGGTAACGATCCCCGAGGGTCTAGTACCCACGAAATAGATTAAGGGAGATTTCAGGGATTTTAGGGGAAAGACTCAAGAGCTTAGAAAGAACTGAAACTGAATGCTTTTATAATAGTAAAAATGCAAAATGCAACGGATCAAAGGGTAAAAAAAAGAAAGAAATCTAGAGTTTTCCTGGCACAATAACTCCGGCGGCACTTTTAGTAGCTTTTTGGTACTTTTAGTCCCTTGACTTGACACTTTCTCCGCATTTTCCCTTTCTCCACAACTTTTTCCCCTGTTTCTTCCCCCTCAATTAGGATTAGAACTTCACATTGCGCCATATGTTTTCCCCCAATTTATTCCTTCCCTTCTATATTCCCCAAATGTGACCATGTCTCGCCCTCAGGTCAGCATCGACCGGCTTATGCCCCGCCGCGCGACAATCGAACCGCGCGAGGCAATGAACTGCAAATCGTGTCGCAAACGAAAGGTACCGTACGGAAAAAATCAAAACTCAAGAAAAACACAAAAAGAAGAGATCGAGAATGAAAGAAAAAGAATCTAATAATTCTTCCGTCATCCCAGATCAAATGTAATCGCTTGCGACCCAGTTGTGAGGCCTGCAAAGTCTTTCAATGTGCCTGCGTATATGGTGAGTCGTTGGTCCACGGCAAAGACTCGGCCCGCCGATCCCAATCGTCTGATTGTTCTCCGCAGATGCAATCCCCAAAAAACGCGGCCCCAAAACAGATGTGTTAGAAGCTCTCCTCAAGCGCGTGGACGGTCTAGAGAAAAGACTCCAGGATGAAAAGAATCCCATCTCGCCTACATCTCCTGATAAAAAGCCCGAGGAGCAGCTCCCGCTCCCGCTAAGCCAACCAAATGGCCGTCGCAACACTATCGATACCACCTCGACTTTCTCCCCCTACCCCTCCGGGGCCTCCGGGGACTCACGACCTTCAATATCCACCCCTTTGTCGCAGGCAGATCAGTTCCCCAGATCCGCAGGCCATGCTTCATCGCTGAGCTTCTCCCAGCCCTCTCATAGTCAGAATGGTGTCTTGTCCGAAATGCTTTTGGATGCCTACTTTACGCGATTACATGGGAAGCCCTTTTATATTTTGGACGAACCAAGTACGCGACAGCGTCATCAGTTAAATCAACTCCCCGCGCATTTGTCTATGGCTATCTCGGCCATGACGTTAAGGTATGTTGCTTTTTCGCTACTGGGGGATAAAATCAGGATACTAATTGTCATATGCTCTTAGGTACACGCATACGCTTGGCCAACCAGAACAGTCTATACATATGGGTTTGGACGCTGCTTTACAAGCGCGCCGGATCGTTGATGTAGACAATCCTACAGTAGAAGCCTTACAGACTCTGCTCTTATTATCACAGGCTTTCTTTGCCTATGGACTGGGCAAGAAAGCCTATATGACATTTTGTACGGATGCACTAAGACTCCCCCAAATAAATTTGAATCCCCTCGGCTAATTTCAAACAGCAAGTTGCGTGGCAATGGTGGTGGCTTTGGATTTGCTTCGCGAAGTCCCCTCCAAAGCTAGTCTCTCGCTTCAAGAGCGTGAGATGAGGCGTCGGCTATTTTGGTCTGTTTATCTCATGGATCGATTTATTGTATGTGGGTCACGACGCCCGTGTCTCATTTCGGATAACTCCATCGTCTTGCGCCTTCCCTCATGGTCTCCACACGCTGCGGGTCTAAATATGGAAGGGGAGTTATTCCATGTTGGTCCCAACATTCAATACTCGGCGGATTCGCGCCGGAAATCCCCGAGTGCTGCATCCCTACTGATCGACATTACCCGTATCCTTGGGGTGACAAATCGATATTTGGCTGCTGGGGGAGTCAAGGGCGATTCCCATTTCCCTTGGCATGCGCTTTCGAACTTATCCAAGATTAGACAAGAGTTGGATATCTGGGCTGCAGGGACACAGGATGTCTTTGCCTCGATCGAGACATTGTTCGGCCATCGAGAGAGTACCACACTACTACTCAGCAAATTGATCTACCATCTGGTTCACTGTCTCTTGTACCGTCCATTCTTGCCTATCGATCTCGTGGAGCTGAGAGGAACGGGTCAGCACCAGTCATGGCAGATCGAGGCCACTAATCTGTGTTTCTCCCACTCGAATGCCATTGCAGAGCTCGTGGAATTGGGTCGCAATTCTCCGCTGGTTGAATGGCCTGCCTTTGTCGGTTACTGTGTGTGTACCGCTGGTACGGTGCATGTTCATGGCGTACACTACAAAGGCCGTGAGGGCGAGGTCTTCTCATCAAGTGCTGAATTTTTGACCCGCGAGATGCACCAACTGACCTGGCTTCGAAATGCCTGGGCGGGCGTCCAACATCAACGTGAATTGCTTCAAACAATCTACACCTGCCACGCTGAGCTGGTTCGTAATCTCGCGAGCAGCCCAATGCGCTTTTCTCCCGTTTTCCACCTCGAAGACTTCCTCGACAGATATCCTGGTTTGACCCTGGATGGAGCCCATGTCCGGTTATTAGATACAGGGGACGAACTTCGCCCAAGGTAATTATCCCACACTCTCTACACATCCCAGGCGCGCCTCTTTTCTCCGAAATCATACTTATCTTTTCTACCACCAGTGGCCCCAACATGGTCGATCGCCAAGATCAATATTACCGCCCCATGGCACCCCCATTATTCCAAAACCCAGGCTTCTACCCCAACACAAGGCCAACACCCCCGCCTTTCCCATCAAATCAAAGCCCCGACTCCGAAAGACACAATTCCGCCTCTCACTCTATGGTCAATAAACAAACCCAAAATCACAACCCAACATCCCTCTCTCCAACCCTCCAATTCCACCAGCCATCTCCCTCCCTCTCCTCTCTCTTCCCCGTCCAAGGTTCAGGCGACCTATCCCCCGGCACACAAGACACCAACAATCACCTCGCCCTCCCCTTCTCCCCATCAGCATTCGGCCTCTCCCCGCCCGCTTTCCTCACAGACTCCGCATTAAGCATCGCTCCCACCCCTCCATCAAATCCACAATACGCTACCTTCCCCTTCGACACTACCCACGCAAACCACAATGCAACCACCGCTCTGACACCAGGTGCGCAATCACAAACTAGTGGCTCGCATACGGGTGGCAGTGAGACGGGTAGTTTGGAGAAAGATCCCTTCTTGAGTTTGTTGGAGCAGCTTGCTGAGAATGAGCACTCGCAGGGTGGTCCAAGTGAACTTGATTTCTTCCTGGGGAATGTGGACCAGGAGCCGGATATTGATATTAATGTTAATCCGGAGAAGGGTGAACTGTAGCATCGTGATTCCTGTTGTCGCGATCTGTCTGTTGGATCTGGCTTGGCTCGGCTTGGCTTTACTTGGCTTTACTTGGCTGGGCTTGGCTTGACTGGGTCTGGCATGTACTTGTCGGTGCTTGTGCTAGTGCTTATTTTGGGGTTCCAAGGTTGGGGATAAGCTTTTGTCTTGTTCAAATGTTGGGCTGGTGTCTGCGATTCGATACCCACAATATTTTGTGTTGTAAATTTTTTCCTTGCATATATATGTCTTGTTCAAAAAATATAAACGAGCAATGAATTTTTTATCTACAGTGCTGTTGTATACTAGCATATCCAAGGTTGAAGTGAAGTCCTTGAGAATATACATGTATTGATTACTGGATCTGGAGAGACAGGCATTCACGGATAGAATGTTTTTTTTTTTGGAAAAAAAAGATGAATTCAAAGGAAAAGTGCTATTTACAAAGTATGTTCAGTCCAGGCGTATCATATATAACCATCATTTTTTAGCTTTTTTTTCTCCAAAAACCCTTACAGTCTTGACGAGCTAGCAGGGGCATTTGCGGCACAACAAGACGAAGCAAAGGCCTCCTTGGACTGGGTATCAACACAGATAGCAGAAGGAGGAACCCAAAGACCGGGATTCTTCTCGTGGAAATTAGAGGCACGGAGCATAATGCTAACCGGCTCAGCAGGCATGACAGGGAAATCCTCAGTGCGAGGGAAATGAGTCAATCCAAACTGGAGGTAGACAACAATATCGGTATTCTCGATACTCTCGTTCCGCTTGGCCCAATCGACGATCGTCGAGTTGTGCGGGTGTCCCTCCTCACCGGTCGACTGGCACACATAGTCACCAGCAGGGAAGAGCTCGTAATCCTTGTAGGGGGTGACCCAGAGCGGCTTGCGGGCGAATCCAGCACGGTTGTAGACTGTGCTGCCGGGCTTAGCGAGCAGCGGCGGGCAGTTGTTGTTGACGATCTTGTAGCCGACGGGCTTCTTGGCGACGGCGTTCATGCGGTTAGGATTAATGATGTCCCATGTGCGGTTGGTCTCGTAGCAGTAATCGGCCGCGCCCTCGAGAGATGTGCGCAGCAGAGTCTTCTTGCTGTAGAAGGCGTTTCCGTAGGGGTTTTCGGGCGAGCCGACGGCGGCCTCGGAGGAGACGGCGTCGTTTTGCACGACGGAGTTGTTGGGTCCGTCGATCTCGGGGTCAATGCGCAGCGAGAAGATGTGTTGGTGGTTGTGCGCGGTGATCTGGGGGGCAACCTGTGTGCCGTAGGGTGCTGCTTCCTCCGTCGGGTGCAGGCAGTAGGTGTTTAGCATGCCGGTCAGCTTCATCTCGAGCTTGTAGGTTCCGTCTAGCGTGAAGGTGTGGTAGAAGCCGTATTCGTAGTTGGCGGCTGTGATGATCTGGGAGACGATGAGCTTGCGGTCGCGGGCTGAGATCACCGTGCCGTCGCGGTAGTCGGTGTGCTTGTATAGGAGGCCGTTGTCTTCCTCGTGGATGCAGATGGCGTTTTTGATCACGGCGGCTTCGCCGTTGGCTGTTGACATGATTCCGTCCATGTAGTGGATTGCGCCCTTGCAATCGCAACCCAGCTTGAGGGAGTTGGTCATGAGACCCGTGCCGTACTCGCCGACATCGAAGGCGTGCTTCTTGTGGTGGGGTCCTTCGGGGGCGCCGTAGGGCACGACCATCTCGACGACACTGATGCGGTTGAAGAGGGTGCGCTCGCGGTCCTCGTACATGTCGTGTGTGCGCACGTCGGAGATGACGATACCTTCGCGGTAGTTGAAGCCGATGTGCATCTTGAAGTTGGCCCAAGAGAGCTCGTTGCCGCGCACCTTGAAGGAGACGCCCTGGGGCTGGGTGATGTCGATGGGCTTGAGGCGGTCGTGGTTGTACTTGTCACCAATGTACTGGGGGAGGTAGTTGTGTTCCTTGAGAGGCACGGCGGTGCGCTCACCGTTCACGAGACGAACGTCAACGCTGAGGACCTCTTCCTTCTCGGTATCGGCCACAACTGTGAAGTCCAATGGGTGGGCATATTGGTTGTCGAACTCCTCGGCGCGGTAGTAGGCCAATCCTTGTTGCAGACGGTGCTCGAGGCCCCAGCGCTCATCGATACCGATGGCCCAGGCGTCAATGAAGACCTTGGACATATCGGTGATGCCGAGCTCGGCACAGGCGCGGATCACGCGGGAATCCTTGCGGGAGATGCGCTCCATGATATCCAGATCCTCGAGGGTGAGAGTAGGCTGGACATCCTTTGTTTGCTTCCATAGCTCGACCTTGCCGGTGACCAGGTTGACGACGACCTCGGCGACGGCCTTGGTCTCGCGCTCAATGATAATGGCAAAACAGCGGCGATCGGGGGCAGGGATCTTTCCAGCGCGGAAGGCCTGGTATTCGGCCTTGGCGGGCTCGCGCAATGTGAGGCAGTTGAATTTGATGGTCTTGGGGCTGGCATATTCGCGGATAAGCTTGGCAGCCAAGGGGATTTCCTTGATTGAAAGCTGGTCTGCATGGTGATTGTGAAATTAGTGCACGTTCGTGAAATATATATGCTAGATCTTTTCGAATGATGCTCGCAAAACGCAATCTTCTTTTTTTTGTTTTTTTTTCAAATGTTCAATCTTCTTGGTATGTGCACGTACCTAGCGGGTGGGGAGTTCCCTGCGGGAGCATAGCAGTTGCAGCAACGCTATCATAGTCTCCCTCCCGGAAAATGGTATAACCCGGGATGGACGTGGTATCAGGGGCAGACGCCATGGTGTAGAGAAATAAGGCAAAGATTGACTTGATGAAGCTGTAACCAGAAAATTCTCATAGGCCAAGGTTCCGTCCAAGACCTTATATAGTGCTCCAACCACTTTTATCAGATCAATAGGAAGCCGCATGGACATTCCCAATTAGGCAGTCGAGACGTTGTCCAGACCAGATAAGTGTGTGGGCGACTCTACCCGAGTTGACGCTTCCCGTGGTTTGCTCCTTTGGGCAAAAGCCTGGAGAAGATGTACGGCATCCCGTTAGACGTGCATTTATCCCGTAATATCTTTTGCGTAAAAGATCGTTTAACTTCTTTGACGTGCGGCAATGTGCGCCAATCAGACCTTTGCACTTGGATGTACTCTCCGAACAAGCATGAGGGCACATAAGCATTCACCGATCGGGCAGTTTAAACCTGGACCCCCGTATGTCATGTGGTCTCTGATCAATTGATAATTTTGTTTAATATTGCTCCTTCCCAAAGTGAAATCAAGCTTATCGTTTATCTTGGCCACGTGAGATGATTCTAGTTTGCCACAAAGGGTTACATATGTCCTACGTAGTGTATAGATCCATTGAATATGGTGTTACGTGTTCAAATAGCTTAAAATATTTTAAATGCTTATATGAGATATGTCAATTTCTTTTTCTAACCCAGCTAAGATAATGTGTGCAATTGTCTTTGAATAATTTCATTATCCCACCTCTAGCTTATCGTTTATCTTATGATCGCCACTCTGGGGGAATTGCGTGGACCTACCTGTTTGGGTTTAGCGTCCGAGTAGCCCAATTGTATTATGTAAACTCCGAAACCCCCGAATCCGAGATTCTCATCGCATCTGGGGACTTTGGGACTCTGGGACTCTGGAGATGCGTGTCCACAGGTGGGGCTTTCTTCTCCAGAAAGGCGGGTCTCATCCGCCTTCCCTTTTGGGAATGTCGTGCCGAGATAGTTATCTTCACGATAACAGCGCTGAAGCTCCAGTTGCGCTTGGACTCTAAAGACTACGGCTGTACTTGACTTGCCACTTTCACCTCTCAAGTGTGTCAATATTGGTATACCATTCTATACTGTCAACCTACAACATGTCTTTAACAGTTCAGTGTACTGCGCCAAACGGCCGCACTTGGACTCAACCCACAGGACTGTTCATCAACAATGAATGGGTCAAGTCCTCAGATGGCGGCAAGATTACCAGCATTAACCCAGCGTATGTGCTCTTTGTCATGTTTCCGTAGCGACGGTAGCATCAACTATGCTCTCGAAATCAGAATTGAAGTTAATCTTTTTTTTTTCTCAAAATTGCAGTACTGCTACAGAAATCGCATCCGTGTATGCCGGTACAGCCCAGGACATCGACACCGCTGTTAAGGCTGCGCGCGCTGCACTCAATGATCCCAGCTGGCGTGACCTGCCAGGTCTCGAGCGCGGCAAGTTGATGAACCGCTTGGCCCAACTCATCGAGGAGAACAAGGAAACCCTGGCTACTATCGAGACTTGCGATAACGGAAAGCCATACCTTGTCTCCTTGAACGACGATATGACCGAGACCGCCGAGACAATCCGCTACTACAGTGGATATGCCGACAAGGTGTTTGGGCAGGTGATCGATACCACCGTTGACAAGTTCGCGTACACTGTGCGCCAGCCAGTGGGTGTCTGCGGCCAGATCATCCCGTGAGTAAAGAATTTCGAACATTTTAAGACCTGAAAAATAAAATTCGAACTGACATTTTCATCTCGTCTAGATGGAACTTCCCCCTCTCTATGGCAGCCTGGAAGCTTGGACCTGCGCTTGCCTGCGGCAACGCCGTCATCCTCAAGCCCGCCGAGCAAACCCCCCTCTCCATCCTATTCCTCGCCAATCTCATCAAGGAAGCCGGATTCCCGCCCGGAGTGGTCAACATCGTCAACGGCCACGGTGCCGTCGCCGGAGCTACCCTCGCCTCACACCTGGACGTGGACAAGATCGCCTTCACCGGCAGCACAGCGACCGCAAAGCAGATCATGAAGATGGCCAGCGCCAACCTGAAGAATATCACCCTTGAGACTGGCGGAAAGAGCCCCTTGATCGTGTTCAACGACTGCGATCTCGAGCAAGCCGTCGAATGGGCACACATCGGTATCATGTACAACCAGGGCCAGATCTGCACGGCCACCTCTCGCATTCTGGTTCAAGATGAGATCTACGATCGCTTCGTTGCGGCCTTCAAGGCGCAGATCAAGAATGTTTCCAAGGTCGGCGATCCGTTCGACGAGAGCACTTTCCAGGGTCCGCAGGTTACCCAGGCGCAGTATGATCGCATCCTGTCTTATGTCGATGTTGGGCACTCTGAGAAGGCTACGCTGGAGTGTGGCGGTAAGCCGTTCAAGGGCGCTGGTGCGGGCAAGGGCTTCTTTATTGAGCCTACTGTCTTCACTAATGTTACTCCTAATATGCGCATTTATCAGGAGGAAGTCTTTGGTCCGTTCGCGGTTATTGCTCGCTTCAAGACTGAGGAGGATGCGGTTCAGATGGCTAATGACTCTACTTATGGTCTTGGAAGTGCTGTTTTCACTACTAACCTTACTCGTGCTCATCGTGTTGCGAAGCGCATTGAGGCGGGTATGGTCTGGATCAACTCTAGTCAGGATAGCGATTGGCGTATCCCCTTCGGTGGTGTCAAGCAGAGTGGTATTGGTCGGGAACTTGGTGAGGCTGGATTGGATGCCTATTCCACTATTAAGGCTATTCATGTGAACATGAAGTCCAAGCTTTAAGGCATGGATTTGTGACGCTGAGATTTCTGGTTATTTTTGTATATAAGATTGAATCAAAATTGAATGACAACGTTAGATTGAAAGATTGGTCATAAATTAACGATCATGTTTGAACCTTTGAATTTTCGTAATATGAACAGGGCTCTTTTCTTCTTCAAATATTTACTAGCATGGACTCGACTTCCTCAATGATTGATGCCATCTATGATCTATCTACAATCAAGTCGCAGTTCCAACTCCCAAAGCAACCCCCCACCCGAATCACTTTATCCATTTTGTAGCAGACTTCCTCCAACATTCTCTCCTCAATTCATGAAATTTGATCATAGAGCCAGTTCAATCTTTCTTCGTGGGTACAGGTGCAGGAGCATCATTGGCCATCGCTTCCTGCGCCTGAATAACATGGGTGAACGCTTCCTCGGTGTTGAGGTAGGTCCGACTTCCTTGAACGAACCAGAAAGCTATCGAAATAACAAGCATCACCCCGAAAACACCAATTGCGTAGTTCATCTCACCCCCCGACGGCTTGGGCGAGCTCGGGAAAAAGAAAAAAACAGTGGTAATGGAGCAGTAGATGATACTGACCCAGTTAGCAGGGGCACCAAATCTTCCAAGATGGAATTCTCCTCCCGGGGGAAGTTTGTTGCGACCCATCATGAGAACAGTGGCAATAGGAAGACCGTATGAGATTGTCAGTGCGATTGTGCTGACACTAAGAATGGCATTCAAGACTGTCTCGGCGAAGAGGAATAGAACGCCAACCAGGGCAATCAGGCCACCCTGGAACCACAAAGCTCGAACTGGGGCCTTCCAGGTAGGATCGACGTGTGATAGATATCGACTGAATGGGAGTCCGCCGTCTCGAGCGAAGCCCCAGGTCAGGCGAGATGCGGTGGTAAAGATACTGACGGCTTGACCGAGGCCATTACAGATGAACAGTGCGATGAGCACAGCGGCTCCATTCCTGCCCACTGTTTCTTGGACGAGTTCCATGAAAGGAAGGCCACTGGGAGAGTCGATGACCGATCCCACCTTTTGGATGCAGAAAAGACAGACCATCATTAAGATGAAGCCGCTTACTGCACCCGAGAGAACTGCAAAGTAAATGACCTTTGGTGCGTTCTTGCGAGGCGCAGGGATTTCCTCGACCATGTGGATCACAGCATCGAAGGCAGTCAACCCATAGGCAGCTTGCACCAATCCAATGAACCAAACCACACCGTCAGGCCATCCGGTTTGGTTGATCCATTTGCCAAAGACAAATGATGGAGGTTGGTAAGAAAGATCTTCTTTCATTCCAACCGAGATCAGAAGAGCGAGGGAAAAGACAAAGAACAAGCCGAAAAACCACACTCCGACAAAGTTATTCAACCAGGGTAGGAACTTTTCTCGCCGACACCCAACGACATTGATCAACGTGAGAACGAAAACGCATCCAAGATAGACAACAAAGTTCAACCACCCGGCCGAAGCTCCTGTCCACTCAACATCGAACATGACCTTCATTCCCAGAATGAAATTGGTCATGAAGGCAACCTGCGAGGCAGCCAGAGTCCACCAGCCGAAAACATTGATCCACGCACAGATATAGGAGACGAAGCGACCTAAGGGAGTATCCCAAAGACGATAGATCCAGTATGCTTGACCCAACGCAGTAGGCATGCTGCTGCAGATTTCTCCCAACGAAAGAGCCACGCATGTGTTACAGAATGCCACAAGAGCGAGTCCCCATAGAATAGAGATCGGGCCGCCATTGATGAGACCGTCCGAAAGATCCTGTGCAAAGGTTGACCATGTTCCAAGAACGCAGAAAGCCAAGGCTAGCATGCTCCAGATGTTGAATTTTCGCTCAAGACTCTGGCCGTGCCCGAACTCCGCCAGGTCGTATGCATCTTGAGTGTTCTGGTCGGTCGGCTTGAGAGTGGTGTCGGTTTCCAAGTCCATAATTTCTGCTCGACGAAGGCGAATTTCAAGCTGCGCAAGGTGGGCTCATTCTCCGCAAAGATCGTATGATGGTGGTCTCCAGGTTGTGGTGTGATGCTTGGGATGAGATTCCAGTGGACCGAAATGGTCAACCCCATAGGGACCCGGGGGTTTTTTTTGTCATTTTCTGGGGAACCCCACGCGTGGTGGGTTCTGTGGGCTCTGGAGGGGAGACATCCTCGTACACCGAAGCTGGCCCACTTGTGGCTACCGGTCCTTGGAAAGGGTCTGGGGATTAGGCGAAAACGTCGCGCGTGTTTCCCCTGGAGTTCCACCATGATTATCTTCACCCCGGAGCTTTGGCGAGGTAGAGTATTCCTGGTCTGGAAGGTAGATCCGGTCTTGGGGCGACGGGTTTTCGAACATGAAGTCATTCGGCAGCATAGTCCTCTCACGGCCCAGATTTCTTACTTGGAATGCTTAGCCTCGTGGAGCACGATAACTGTGTGATCCGATTTTATGACACATGGTTGAAAAATATGTGGTCCTGGGCCGGGGGAGGAGGGTCGGGCTTTCCCCACGGGTTGTTGGAACAAGAAAGACTAGCCGTTGGCTCAGACATTGACCCAATTGCCCATCAAAGAACGCCGACTGCAAAAACAAGGTAGATATCGCGAAGTGGGGTTCTATGGCGGCCGATAGCGCTTGGGTGTACCTGCCCAAAACGGTTACAACCGGCGCTGGCCTCAGGCCGAGATCAGGAAATCCGACTTTAAAACATTTAATTCGGGCCGATCATAAGTTGATGATATATACCCTTGTGAGCGACTGATTGCGAGGGAATTGCGAGCCCAATATCTGCACAGCTTTTGGCAGCGGACCGGAAATTCCTCCCTATAATGGGTTAGAACGCGGTATTTTTTTCGACTTTGAGAAGATTCTCTGGCCAATCAGATCGCGCCATGGCTACCTGTCTATAGTTGCATCGCCATATATGATCGCAGTGAGGCCCAACGCCCCCTTTTTGTCGCTTCAAATTTGCTTTCTTTTTCCCTTCCTTCATTCCATCATGACTCCCGAAAATAAAAAGAAAGATTCTTCCCGTCACCGGTCTCATAAAGGCTGTTGGACCTGTAAACGGAAGCGGATCCACTGCGACGAAACGAGGCCCGGGTGTCAACAGTGCTCCAAACGAGGACTGACATGCGAGGGATACGAAATAAGACTTCGCTGGGGTGCTGGCATTGCTTCCCGGGGTCGATTCAACGGTGCCGAGAAACCCGTTAAAGAGTCTATACCACCCCATTCCATACGAAGGTGGGATCTCAGAGCCAAATGCGGGCAAAAGGATGGCGGTGATGAACAGGGTCAGCCTGTGCTACTTCTTGAACAAAGCTTTACTCCAGGTGAGTAGTGTAATTGCGAGTCGTTCAAAAATGTGATCTATCTGAGAATCGGAACGTCGCTGCTGGATTTGGGGGCATTTAAAATCAACATTTGAAATATCCACATGCAGTGCTGACATGCATGTATAGCCCAACAATCGACGAACCAACCTGTTGTCCCACGAGCAACTGTGAATATACTTAATGTGCCTTTTGGGCAGAGTCCAGAAGACTATATCGGTATTAACAGGCACTTCGAGTTACCTGTATCGCTGGGGAATATGGAACGAGATACCAGACTCTTCGAGGGATTACAAGGAGTAAATGCGGGACAATACACGGATAATGTAGCCAGGGGATCTGCGATCATCGCTTGAATTAAAGGGCAGCTTACACTAAAATTACATCATTACGCAGAAAACTCTAAGTAGAAGTGATTCATGTGAGTGGTGAAGCCCGAATTTTTATTGTTTGAAGGCGCAAATTAATATACATGGTTGACTCGAACACACAACCAAAGACAACAAAAGTGCAGTTGCAAAAGTCAACCAAACTGAGATCTCGAAATTTCAAACAAGAAAAAAATAAAAACAAAAATAAAAACAAAGTGAGGTCTCAACATTTGAACATGAAAAAGAAGAACAAAAAGAAATATCCAAAACACCGAGTGGCCAAAAGACCAACTCCAAACATCTGAGCCCCCGAGGTCACAAACCTCATCATCCTCACACCACGACCGGACCACCATCCTGGACCACATTGCCCGCAGCAGAGAACAAGTCATCGATGACATGGCGATTGCGTGTCGGAACGCATCTTTCACCGACGCATTCGTATTCTTCTTCCGGAATGACCCCAGTTGCCATCAACCCGACAATGATGACGAATGCCGCGATCGCCAACCAAAACAAAATGCCTTTTGCATTCTCTCGCAGCAGCCCCCAGAAGCCCTTTGGCCGGTATGCATTGATCTCCTCAATGCTGAATTGGGCCTCGACGTCTTCGACCATCGCTTGTTGGATGATCTCGGTCTTTTGAAGCCCGCCGAAGTAAGCCTTTTCAGGCAAGGAAATTTGTGAAGAAGACATGATCTTCTTAGATGCTGTGCCTGTCGTGAGTGTTGTGTGAGTTTGATTTACTGGAGTCTAGGCGTTTACGTGGAAGTGAGAGGTGAGTGAGCGATGGACGAGAGGAAAGGAAGAAGAAAGGAAGAAGAAGGTGAGAGGAGGGGGGGGGGGGGGCTTTTATATATTTTTTGCTTGAAGTTTATTCTGTCTATCCGCTTCTTATTTTGTATATGTTACCCTAAAGAGTAATGATAGTTCCAAGGTTCATTTCTTGTTGAAAGGTTTATTAGATGGTACTTATACTGAAATGGTTGATGGTGGTCAGGTTAGGCTTAGTTCATGATCATCTAGGGAAAGTAGTATGAGCCGCTTTTTTGCCAAACTAGGCATTCTATCATACTATACTCTCGCTCCGAAGTTCTATGCAGACTTTTCCAATTTTGAAAAACAGTATACTTCAAAGGTTCGTAGGCCTAGATCATTCGAGACTCACCTAGGCAGTCAATCCTTGCACATATGCCTCAAGTGCTTCACTATTTATATACCTCACTTATCGATAATTCCGTATTCAATCTTCGGTGCCTACCTAGGTAATTTTCCAGCCTTGGACATTTGGAAGATAGCTATGACTCAATTTTACAGGCCTTGACCCATTGTGGATTCTCAATGTAATAGGCACTCCCCATGTACCGAGTATGTACTCGTATCAAATACCCATTTAGGGCATCAATTCATCGGGACCAAACATTGAATTAAGCTCATCTAAGGTTTGTTCCATTCCAAATCCAGAAAATTCAACTATAAAGACAACATAACCAAAAACAAAAAAGAAACGCCTTAGGTGAAAAAAAATCAAGCTTCTAATTTTTTTTCTGTATGTTTTTCTTTTTTTTTGGACCGGCCGTCCTTCCGCTTCCGCTTCCCATTCCCATTCCCGTTGTCTTTTTTCTTCTTTTTTCTGAAATCTGTGATAGTAGTACTTCGTTTTTGTACTCTAATCACGTCATAATCAATCCGACCCGAACTCTCAAGCAAGGAGCTTGAATTCTCCGAGGTAGAGACTGGCAGTGTTGAGGGTTGTGAACTTGAACCTGTTTCTGCAATATTCGGGGTCTCCGAATCTTTCTTATCCGCTTCTCCCATGATATGATCTCCATCTCCATCTTTATGCTGTTGCTGTATTCCTTTGTTTCCCTCCTTTTCCTTTCTTTTTTTGGGTTTTCTTTTCTTCTTTTCAGAATCATCAGTTGCTCCGTTGTGGGCTTTCCGAGATTTAGGAGAGAGAGCCTGCTCTTCCCTCCATTCTCTCATTTGCCGTTTTCCGATGTCTTTCCGCCGAGTTGTTTTTAATCTCGTCTTTTCATTTCTCCTCCAACTCGATCCGAATGAAGAAGTACTGCTACTTCCTCTCCGAGACCAGGCTCGACGCTCCTCCTGTTTTGCCCTCCTCTTCATCCTTTTCAGTCTATCCAGATCCTCCCACACACTCTCCACGTCCTTGGCCAATTCATCCCTGACATCTCGAAGTCTCGCAAGCTCTTCTGTCATGTCGTCTATCTTGTCCTCCAGTTTATCTCGAGTTTTCTCCATTTCATCGATTGCCTCGCCCAGAGCTTCAACCTTCTCCTGTTGTTCATCCCCAACTTCCAGCAGCAAAGTGATTTCCTTCTCTAAATCTTCTATGTCTTGAAGATTCTCTTTTATCTTCGCTATCGTCTCGTTGAGTTTTTCTTGCTCAGTCTTTGGCTTTTCTTTCTCAAAGGTGACCGAATTCTTCCTTTTCTTCTTTCCAGTGCCTTCATTTGACAGAGCAGGAGAAGAAATATTTTTAGGAGATTCTGGAAGAGCTGAAAACGAACTCGCGCGGCTGTAGACACTGGGCGTGTTGGCTGCAGGCCTGCTGACCATAGGGATGTTGAACTTGGGGATGAAGTCGGAAGGCAATGCACCCATCCCAAAGCTGGAACTGGGGCGATCTTCTGTGTTGGTAGGCACAAAACGAAGGCCTCGTAAAATATAAGCAAACATGTTTTTGAACGACTTAAAAGCTGTGCCGCCCGCTTGGCTCGTGATCGGATGCAGCGGAGAAGCGGCATTAAGAGAAGGTAACGGATTAGAGCTAGATGAATTCTTGGCGTGCACTGGATTCGTCAGTCGAGATGGTGGTTGAAAATGAAATGGATATAGATCCTCATATAATGGCTCGGCTACTGTTGTATTTGGGACTCGACTATCAATAGACAACCGGGTTAAAGCACTCATACTAGCCTGGCTGATGAATGGGGGACTTTGAACAGGACTAGGAGGTGACGGGAATTGCTTTGAGGATTCCGTACTCGGAGTAAAAGCAGGGGTTTGGGGTCTTGGAGGAAGCGGGTTAAGACCCAATCCACCGCATGGTACGGAGGATTTTACGGTGCTAGTAAGCTTTGCTTGCAGGGTGAACTCGTTATCCGCCTTTGGCGGGCTTCGAGGTCGCATGAATTTCCAAATATCAGGCTTGAGGACATCTCGGAAGCTCCATATTTCGGGTTCCGTGGCGACATGGGAGAAAGGGCGAGGGGATGACTTGCACTCAACCGTCAATTGGCCCTTGCTATAGATAGCAATAAAAACTCATCGGTTAGCAAATTGCCAAAATGGTTTTTGGGATGAATGTGCACTAAGTAGGCAGGGGGGTTGAAATACCTTTAATAGTGAATGAGTTTTGTCTGGTGGCACCTTCTCAAGAATCACTGAAAGCTTGGCTTTGAGACAATGCAACGGACCCTGCACTATTGGTAGTTTCAGGCCCCCCGCACGCTCTTTATGGTTGCTTACAGGTCACTTTGGTCGTCCTCGGCTGACAATGGATCCTCTTCATCGTCCATTGCACCATCAAACTGCGAAGAACTACGATTTCCCGAAGAAACTTTCTGTCTCCGAGCAGGTCGATTGGTGGAGCTTTGTTCTGAATCCGAACGGAGCTTTCGCTTTCGGGTGGAAGCTTGCGCACTGTTATTTCCAGAGGAGACCTTTTGTCTCTGAAGAGGCGGGTTGGAAGAGATATCATCTGAATCCGCAGACCTCTTCCGCTTCTGGGTAGAAGGTTGAGCAGTTTGATTTACAGAGGATAGCTTCTGTCTCTGCGCAGGTCGATCGGCGGAGCTGTTCTCTGAATCCGAACGAGTCTTTCGCTTTCGGGTAGAAGTTTGCGCGCTGTTATTTCCAGAGGAGACCTTTTGTGTCTGAAGAGTTGGTTTCCAAGACATTTCATCTGAATCCGCAGACCTCTTCCGCCTCTTACTGGGACTTTCAAGCGCATCTCCATTATTAGCAGTCGGCCCGTTGCTTGACCGAGTACGAACTGACTTGGAAGGAGACGGCTTGGTCGAATTAGGGAGCGCTAGACTTGGCTCTCTCGAACGATCTAATTTACCATCTGTAATGAAAGAAGTCGATCGTTAGCATGTCTTGACAAAAGAAAATTCTAATGGAGTTTGCAAGAGGCTCTTTTACCTTCTGTGCTGGCATCCCGTATAATGACTGAAAAGCTTGGCCGTGGTACTTGGTTTTTATCGCCCATGGCGATTCCAAGTCCGGGATGGAAAGCGTCAACAGAGCGCTTGATGACGGTCACCATGTTGAACTCGGTAAGTCTGCTTTCATTACCTTGTGGAATATCGATTTTAGATACGTCGATGTCATTGTAGGCGGAAGGACTCCACCAAATATCGTCCGCACCTAACCTCAAGTAACCTTCCTTCATCAACCCCTTTTGGAGAACCTTGATGTGCAATTCAGAAATATCGATCCAGTTCCCATCTTGACTTTGATGCAAAGCATTGTTGGGATCCTTCAGGAGATCATTGAGCCTGATCTGTAGAAGTCGATGCGGATCATCAGCTCGAATGATATCAATATTGGCATTGGGCACCACGGAGGGTCTGTTGAAGTCGAATGTTTCCGCGCTATCGTTGTGCTTCTCATCCGCAACATCATCCGCAGCGTTATCTGGAGTCTCATCCATGACATCATCATCAGTTGCAGCGTCGTCCTCGGCTTCATCTTCAAACTGCAGCTCGCTATTGGCTTTAGTCTCAGCCCCATCCTCTTCCTCGTTATCAGCCCCATCCTCTTCCTCATTATCAGAAACATCCTCCTCTTCGTAGTGATTCGTTGGGTCTTCGTGATTGTCGTCAAGGCTATTCCCATCTTCACCCTCAGATTCACTCTCAATCACCTCATGAAGTGTGCCTTCTGTTTCAGGCTTATCTGAAACCTGTAGTTCGGATTCTAGCCCAGCTTGAGGGCTAGTATCAGATCCCTTTTTGGTGTTCTCTTCGGGCTTTTTGTTTCCCCAAGGAAGAAAATCAAAAATACTATCAAGGCCAAACGGCTTGCTTGTAGAGGCTACATCAGAAGATTCCTTAACACTGTTAACTTTATCTTGAGACTGATCTTGGGCTTCAGCTTCAGCTTCAGGCTCAACTTCGGTTTCATATTCGGCCTCATCATCTTCATCTTCAGCCTCGCCTTCAACTTCAGCCACAGCTTCAACTTCGGATTCAGATTCAGATTCAGCTTCATCTGTATCCTCTTCAGCCTCGCCTTCAGCTTCGGATTCGGCTTCGGATTCGGATTCAGCTTCAGCCTCACCTTCAACTTCGACTTCAGCTTCGACTTCAAGCTCAGCTTCAACTTCAGATTCAGATTCAGCTTCAGCCTCACCTTCAACTTCAGCTTCACCTTCATCTTCATCCTCATCCATAGCCTCAGCTTCAGCCTCGCCTTCAACTTCAACTTCAGCCACAGCTTCAACTTCAGATTCTGATTCAGCTTCAGCCTCACCTTCAACTTCAAGCTCAGCTTCGACTTCAGATTCAACTTCAGATTCGGATTCATCTTCGGCTTCACCTTCAACTTCACCTTCAACTTCGGATTCGTCTTCGGATTCAGATTCAGCTTCAGCCTCACCTTCAACTTCAAGCTCCGCTTCGACTTCAGATTCAACTTCAGATTCGGATTCATCTTCAGCTTCAGCTTCAACTTCAGCTTCAGCTTCAACTTCAAGCTCGGCTTCAGCTTCGGATTCAGACTCGGATTCAGACTCAGCCTCTGGTACGGCTTGGGACGAAGCTTGAAGCTCAGCTCCGGATTCAGCTTCGGATTCAGCAACGGATTCAGAGTTTGATTCCTCATCAGACCCGTCTTCGGATCCCTGCACTTCTTGCTGTGGCTCATTTTCATGGGTCAGGTCCTCAGGCTCTTCTTCGGACTCGCTATGAGAGTCCAGCTCTTCAAGTCCCGGTGCTTGTTCGTCCTCTGATTCCTCTGATTCGTCAGACAATGCTAAAGGATCACGAGATTGAACACGAGATCGGGAAGATGTAGGTCTAGACTGAACATCGGGTTCTTCCTCCGACTCAGATGATGCATCGTTGGATTGGTTTTCAGATTCTTCCTCTGATTCATCGTCGGACGGTGAAACCCTTTCACTTGACTTGATGCGAGGTTGAGATGAAGTTTTTCTAGACTGATTCTCAGACTCTTCGTCAGACTCTTCTGATTCCGAGACCGATGGATGACGAGATTGAGTTCCAGAGAGAGCGGATAAACTCCTGGATGGCGTGATCGATATACCACGAGGCTGAGTTCCAGACCGAGCGGATACACTCCTGGATGGTGTCATTGATATACCACGAGGCTGGGTTTCAGAGCGAGCGGAGACACTCCTGGATGGTATGACCGATATACCACGAGGCTGAGTTCCAGATCGAGAGGATACATCTCTGGATGATGAAATTGACAGACCGCGCGGGTGAATGCCAGACCGAGGAGATACCTTGTTTGATGATAAACTCGACGGACCACGCGACTCAAAGCCAGATCGAGAAGATACATTTTTGGGCGATGAAAATTTAGGAGAGCTAAATTGAATGCCAACCCGAGGAGATACCTTGTTGGACGATGAGCTTGACGGACCGCGCGACTGAATGCTAGATCGAGAGGATACGTTTTCAGGTTCTTCATCCGATGCTTCTGATTCTTCTGATGCATCCGATTCCGAGACCGATGGATGACGAGATTGAATGCCAGATCGCGCGGATACACTCCTGGATGGTGTGACTGATATACCACGAGGCTGAGTTCCAGATCGAGAGGATGTATTTCTAGACCGGCTATCGGACCCTTCCTCTGATCCCGAAAGAGGAGGCAACCCAGGATGGTTTACATGTGGAGATGATCGAGGCAATGGAGGTAGTGGATGTGCTGGAGGTAATGGATGTGCTGGAGGTAATGGATGTGCTGGAGGTAATGGATGTGCTGGAGGTAATGGATGATAATTTCGATCCGGTAGGTCATAGATATCATCCGATCCATCACTAGACTCGCTGTGGAACTCTTCCTGTGCCTCCTCCGACGATGGACTTGGCGAAGGCTCCCTGGATTGATATTGAGTTTGGGGCGTATAGATAGGAGGTGGTCCTGAATCCGCATAGTATTCATCTTCGGATGCAGCAGATTTCCTTTCAGTCTCTTCCTCAAGCTCTGACTCGTCAGATGAAGAAACCGCAGGTGACGCGCGACCAGAAGAAGTATATCTAGATGAAGCTGGACCCGACGAGTTCAAATACTCAGACACCTTGCTGGACTGCTTGTCGGATTGGTCGTCTGATCCCGAGGTGGAGGCCTGCTCAACATACGTTTTCGGTGGATTTCTGGTTCGTCTGGTTGGTCTCTTTCTAGTTGGAGGTAACACGGGGCGCTTTTCAAGCCGTGACGGATGACGTGAGTTAGGTCCCGCCCCAATACGTGGCGGAAGCATTCTGCCATCCCAATTCGCATGTTGAAGCTGGATGATGCGGTAAAGATTGTGAATGGTGCGCTCTTTGTTTCGCCGGGCTGCATTTTGGATCAACGGTGGCATTTGGTACAATGCCACGAAAACTTCTTCCTTGAGGCGTGATCGGTCATATCTTTGCACAAAATTGACTGGCCTGGCTTCTTGATAAATGCCTTTGAGGGTATCTATGATGATACCTGCGAGCACTACATCCTTAAGACCAAGCTTAAACCAAGCTTCAGTCAGATTTTTGCTGTCGTACCTTGGGTCTACTTCCCTTCTCGGTCCTTTACGAGCTCGAACCATCTTGAGCAATGGCTATAGATGATGAAGATGAAAAGAAGGATTTGCAGATGTTTGAAAATATAATAATAAGTCAAGTATTGAGAAAGTCTTTCAAAATTGTGTTGGTAGCGTTCGTTGCAATTATTGATGTTCGAGGGGGTGCTCACTTTTAACTCAAGGTCCTCTTTGTCCCAAGTCTTCATCTTGACATTTCGGATGAAAATGATTATATTTAGACCACTTCGTTCAGATTCCATGATTCCAAAAAGTTTTGGGGAACATTTTTGTGAAAGAACATTGCCCAAAAAGACATCAAAGACGGAGTCATCTTGGTGAAAGGGTTTTCTCTCGAGAAAAAAGCATTTCAACTTTGAAGAAAGAGAACCAAATGGGAGGGAATTTTTCGACGCCATCATTGCGGGCCCTGGTGAGTATCTTTGTCTTTGTCAAGCTTTGGAGGATGGAAATGGGTAGAATTTTTCTTGATCAGCTTGCCAATCAGTCAGACTTGCTAAATCCCTTTACGCTTAATTGTAAGATTTTGATGAAAGAAAATGCTATCTTCCCCCTTCAGAGCATTGGAAACCAATTTCCAAGGGTTGAAAATGATTATAATTAAATCAAACTTAATTCACAGCCCAAGTAGTCTGGGGCCAGAGAAAAAAGGTCCAAGGCTGGAACAAAGAAACGAGTTTACTCTGTTTTCGCCGTCTTTGAGACATCTTTCCCTTCTGCGGCCGACAGGGCAAGGAATGCTTTCTTGCTGATCGACAAGCTATTGTAGAGCAGAACTGAGCAAGTTGATTAGCAAAGGCCATAAAAATCCGTTCGATGCAGGATACTCACGCAAGGGAATAACAATCCAAAAGGCGTTGCAAAAGACAAAGTATCCCCAAAAGATCCAAGCCTCAGGCCGCGAGTATGAAAGACCAAGAATGTAGTGGTCGAACATGCAGGTCGCATAATAAAGAATATCCCCGTAAAGTTGACCAAGGGAGACAATAGCCTGCAGTGGATAGCGCAGGGGGTGTTGAATCATGATCATGCCAGCCAAAATGAAAGACAAAGGGCCCCAACAGACGGCAGTGATGGTCTCCATGCATAGGACGAAAGCATCTTGAGTTTGGTAACGAGAATCAGACAATGAATATTCCTTCCAGAGTTGTCCAAAGAGATCCTGCATGCTAGACATGCGTCGAAAATTGTATGCGAAATACCCCTCGAAAAAGAGATGGATACAGCCACCTGATTTCATTGTTAGCAAAACCCTTCACTGCAATAGGTGGAAGTTGGTGGAGGGGCCCCGTACATAGCACAAACCACAAAATTGTCCACAAATCACCGGATGATATTTTTGGCTGGATTCTCATCACCAGAAGATATGTCATCAGGAAAATAGCTGTACATCCTACTGCAAAGAGCGACACTAAGGTCAAGGTGTCCCATTCATTGGCCAAATACCCCACGATCTCTAGATCAAGGGGGTAATAAGGGTGCACGGCCACATCAATTATCGACATTCTCACTGATTAATGATACAAGTATGAGAATAAGTATGAGTTCTGAATAAGAATTGAACTTTCGAAATAAAAAATTGTCGATCGCAGATCTCACGTGATAAATAGGGGGTATACAAAGTGAAAGGGGGCTAAACGGACACCCGTGATTCGTGAACTTGAGAAATTGTAGTTACGAGTATGGAGTATGTGGCAGTCAATTTGAAAACACCTTGGCAAGTCAATAGTAATCAAACATGGCAAGAATTAATCTGATACGTTCTATTAGAATGTTGGAACCACCTCCACTCAGGGGGCCAGAAAAGGCCTCCGAGTGAGATTCACCGTTGAGAATCGAGATCACCCTCTTATTACTCCGGACTCTGGGACATAAAAGAGTGTCACGGACCAGACTATAAATCTTCACCAGTCCAACATGAAAGATTCAAGAATATTCCTCGCATCCACCGGGGAACACGGAGCTCATGGGAGTCTTGGCCCCTCGGACACGGACTCTGATTTGGCCGGCCCCAACGCTATCCTAAGCCCGAAAAGGGAAAAATCGGATCTGAAAAAATGGCCCTCCAGATCAACAAAACTGACCTATGATTGGAAAGGGGGCAGAGCGGTCAAATTAAACAACTTCAAAATAAACACTTCCTCTTCCCCCTGAAACCTTTGCATTTCTCCCCGTACCCGTTCCAACGTTCACTAGAGGGAAAATCAAGACACGTAGCGGAATATGTCAACGTCCACGTATTCAGCCACAGACGGTGCGTCACGCCGCCGCGGCCCGAACCCGAATGCGAGAATCGAAGTCCTCATTCCGTCTCCATCAAAAGCGAAAGAGCAGTTAGCTTCCAAGTCCAATCCAAATGGCCATCTTCGCAATGCTTCTAAATCTGCTTCTGCTCCCGAGCCAAAGAGCCAACTTAAACGACGTGAGTCGCGCTCGTGGCTTCGCCGCTTCAAGCATCGCGCCGTGAAGCACACGTGGTTGGTGCCGCTCATTCTGGTTTTGGCGTTCCTTTCGGTGTATGCGCTCAATCCGACCCCGAGCAATATCGTTCATCGCTTTATCTTCCTTTCCTATGAGCAGTCGCCCGTTGACATCGGCGGGCCCGTTCAATATGGTAAGGGATTGTGGGATGTGGCCTTCGTTGCTTTCTATACGATTGTTTTGTCCTTCACGCGCGAGTTTATCATGCAGGAGTTGCTGAGTCCCTTTGCGAGATTCTGTGGCATTCGGTCGCAGCGCAAACAGGCCCGGTTCATGGAGCAGATGTATACCGCTATCTACTGTGCTTGTACTGGTGCTGCGGGTCTGTATGTCATGTCGCGCACGCCTGTTTGGTATTTCCGTACCGCTGGTATGTATGAGGGGTTCCCGCATCGCACGCATGAGGCTGCTTTCAAGTTTTATTACTTGTTTGAGGCGGCTTATTGGGCTCAGCAGGCTCTTGTTATGCTGCTTGGGCTGGAGGAGCGGCGGAAGGATTTCAAGGAGCTTGTGGCTCATCATATTGTCACTTTGGCTTTGATTGGGTTGAGCTACCGATTCCATTTCACTTATATTGGAATTGCTATTTATACTACTCATGATATCAGTGATTTCTTCCTTGCGGTAAGTTTGATGTTTGATGTTTGATTTGGCTTATTCGTGCCCTCTGTGATATCTTTGGGGGTTTTTTTGGCTGATTGTGGTCGTTAGATCTCTAAATCCTTACACTATGCGGGATCGGACATCATGATGCCCTTTTACGCTCTTAACGTGGTTGCGTGGATCTATCTGCGTCACTACCTGAATCTCCACATTCTCTACTCCTTGCTTACTGAGTTCCGAACCATTGGCCCGTACGAACTCAACTGGGAAACTCAGCAATATAAATGCTGGATCTCAAATATCATTACGTTCGCTTTGCTGGCCATGCTTCAGAGTCTCAACCTATTCTGGCTTTACTGTCTCGGGCGCAGCTCTTGGAAGTTTATCACCACCGGTGAGAAAAAAGATGATCGCTCTGATGATTCGGGTCCTGAAGAAGATGCCCAGGCTCCGGAGAATGAGTCTGTCAAGCACTGATTCTGGTTTCGGGGCTTGCATAATACTGTTTGGTCCAAGCGCAGCGCAGTTTGGTACAAAAACAGAACGATAGATGACATGTCGATTTATTCCGACATCTTCACCTCCGTATATCCGGAGGCTAATGACGTTTTTCGGGCATTGATGACACAGCCCCTGTTGTATATTACGATTTTCTTCAAACATCTACCTGGTTTTGCATTCAAATGTTTTTGCTCCTTATTGAATCGGTTTTGGCGACCATTTTTGGCATCTGGAAGGCTGAAATCCGGAGCCAAGATGAGGCACTAATAAAGTTTGAATGCTGGCAGGCTGATGTGGTCTGACGGAGGCGTCAAATGAGGGGTTAATGACTGATGTGTACATAATCTATACGGCATCTATTGCAGGGCTGATGATCAAGATAATCGGAGGCCCTGCATGGGTGGCTTCTTTAATATTAATAATAATGTGGATTTTTCGCAGATTCTATTTAACAAACCATGAGGCTGAAACGGCCCTGACAACATCCGACAAGTCATCCAGCGATCATTATATAATAAACTGATAGACCAAATATTAGGCTATCACTTTTTTCCACCATTGTAAGAGCATCGCCGTATCTCCTCTGTACACGTAGCATCTCGACAATTTCGCTTACAGTAGCATTTATTTGGCCCCGAAGTTTAAACGACAAATCAAGAATTAGTGCGTAAAATCGGGCCACTCAGATGTACTACTATGCTTCTGCAGGCCAGTATTCTAAGCCGACTCGATGCTTTGATTGGTAGAATTGTGTCCGTTCTTCCGCAATTGCGTCCGGATGTCTTACCGTGGGTTAGAGACAGATAAAACGTCCCGGTACTAATGCTATGCTCACAAATCACCTTTCAAACGGTCAGCTCAAGAGGTTTTGAATACTTTTCCTTCTCTTTATATATGTACTACCTACCTTTCGTTACTTATACTTAAATCAAGTACAATAGCTTACTCATGGCCTCCTCTCTTCCTCAAAATGCCGATTATCTCATTATCGGCGGCGGTACTTCCGGCCTTGTAGTCGCGAATCGATTGTCCGAAGACCCCAATATACAGGTCGTGGTCTTGGAAAGTGGCCCTGACAGAACTTCTGATCCGCGGGTGAAAGACCCTAACGCTTGGCCCACTTTGGCTGGCTCGGAGCTAGATTGGCAACTGAAAACAGTGCCCCAGGTATGCTAACAAGAGCTGTTCTGTGTTTATGAAACTCACTGACCTGGCTCTTTGCGCTGCAGACAGGTCTCAATAATCGAGAACAAAATTTGCCAGCGGGGAAGATGCTGGGCGGATCATCTGCTCTGAACGGGCTGGTGTGGGTTCCTCCTTCTCGCGCAGGCATTGATGCGTGGGCGGACTTGGGTAACCCGGACTGGAACTGGGAGTCCCTCCTGCCATATCTTCAAAAGTCGTATAGCGCGTCGCGGCTTGGGCAAAATGTACAGGATGGTACAGACATTGATAGACAGGAGAAAGATACAATCCGATTGGCCAACCCTGCGCGTGCAGAAAAGAGTGACGCGCCTGTTCTCGAGGCTTGGAATAAAGCACTTGAAGAACAAGGATATGACTTTTCCGCCGAGATTCTGGGTGGTCAGAAAACAGTTGGTTCCCGTGATTTTATAGCGACTATCGACCCCTCTGGATCACGCAGTAGTGCCGACAGCACGTATGCTCGAGTCGACCGTCCCAACCTACATATTGTCACTGAGGCGACCGTCCGAAAGATCTTACTTGCCGGTGCTGATGATGAACAGTCTACAGATGTTGTCGCTACTGGAGTGGAAGTCGAAGTAGACGGACAGATCATCACGCTCTTTGCAAAGAAAGAGGTCATTCTTGCCGCAGGCGGATTCCATACTCCGAAGCTACTCGAACTCTCGGGGATCGGGCAAAAGGATCGGCTCACTGAGCTTGGTATTCCTGTTCTCATCGATCTACCTGGCGTGGGCGAGAACCTCCAGAACCACATCATGGCTGCGATTCCCACCCAGCTCAAGATAGAAGGCATCACACCCGGTATCAAGGCGACGGCTTTCACGCGGCTGGACAAAGACAATCAGGAACATGTATTCTCGTTGAGCTTAAGCTCCAACGACAACACCCAGAGCCATGAACATATCATCAAATCCATCCTCCGCAGTCCCGATGAAGCCTCCGCATTTTATATTTTTGGCGTCATGCCCGGGGGCATTGCAATCTTGGGCATCATCTCAAGCTTCCCGTTTTCTCGCGGGAGTGTCCATATTTCATCTTCGGAATTTGATGTCAAGTCCGATATAGATGTACAGGCCTTGGCGAATGAGATGGATATCGAGATTCTGGCCCGTCATGTACAAAACATGCAGAAGTTGGCTTCTTCGCCTGCGCTGGAGCATGTCATTCAGCCTTTCGAGTCACCGGTGGAGCTGGAGGCGCTGAAGGAGGCGCTGCGGGAAGCAATAGCCGCTCTTACTGATCAAACGAGTCATATGATGGTGTATCATATTATTGTTCAATATCTATTCGAAAACTTATCAAAGTAACTCTGTTCTGGTATTCGGAAGGCAGAAATCCTCACATGCATGTTGATTAACATAGGCGTCATAGAATGCTCCATGTGCAATCGGTCAACTAGACTGAGTTGCTGGACAAGCGATTCAAATGGCCCTGTGATTATTCGAGATAATGTCAGCCTTGTAGAAGATGATCAGACATGAATTAACCAATACTTTTAGTACAGTGTTGGAGCGTGGTTCACTTGCATTAGATAAAGAACGTAAACCAATATAGATCTTGATTGAATATTTTGAATGTTTTGGATTTATTGTTCATTTTCAAGTGAGTTCATTATTTACACACTAAGAACAACCGAGTATGAAAAGACCAAACGCCAGGTTTGCAATGTACAGAAGCCACGCCAGCTTCTCAAAAATGTGTACAAAAAAAAGGTGAAAAGGTTAAAAAAAGAGGTGAAAGAAGGGTCGAAGAGTTGAAGTTGGGAAGAAGTGGGTTGAAGGTTGATAGACATCATTTGAAAAAAAAAAAAAAAGTAGAAGAGAAGAAAGAAAATACAAGAAATCGCCAAGGAGGGAAAATGGTAAAGGGTGTTTTCATGACCGTCTTGATGGATGGTTGTAAGCTGGAGAGGCGGGCGATCGCCTTCCAGAGTTATCGGAGCTTGTGGGGATCAAAGGGAGAGTAGGTTCTAAAACGTCGTGAGCGGGCGATCGCGGAGGCCCGGCCAGCTTCTCGTTTGTATGAGTTGGTGATCGGTCATCGATGTTGTAGCGGGAACCCTGGTGGCCCAGAGACATGTTCAGTTCGTGGTTTGACTCGGCATGGCCGGTTTCGTCGATATTCCAGCGAGATCCAAGTCTGCTAGAACTGTCGTCGCCTCGGGCCGTCTTCTCTAGTGGGAGAAGCTCAGTCGTCATCCGGTTTTCAAATCCGGACAGGCGGAAAGATTCGCGGTTGTCTGAGAGACGCTTGTACTTTCCTTCCGGTTCCTTAAGAGTGAAGGCATAGAAAAATCCGATGAGGAGCCAGATCAACAATGCCAACGTGAACACCGCGTTGAAAATAAACCAAAGCACACCCATAATGGAAGTCATCATTTCAGGTTGGTTGAAGACGTTCGAAAAGACGAGCATGAAGATCGCGTTCACGAAATTGAGCACGGTCGCGGTGATGGCGAATCCATTGGCGGCCCGATCCATGTACGGCTTGATGATAATGGTGATAACCATCATGGCGGCTTCCACCACGAGAAGCACCACGGCCTGCGGGATCCATGCGGATTGCGCGAAAGCGGTGATCATACCCCGAACAACTGTGGCTGTCATGACCGGAATGATAAAGTAGTATGCCTGCGCACGATAGTTGATATATAAGAAACCCCACTTTGTCAAGGTGACAGGGTCCGAATAGAGCGTATAAGCCGGGTGCTCATTCAAAGCCTTGGACGCTTTCGCGCGCTGGAAAACTCGGAATCCGGCGTACAGCAGAACAATGCTCATGACCAACCACATTGTGATTGCCAGAACAATCTCCGCGGCGGAGTCTCGCTGAATCAACTCCCACATGCAAATGACACACATCTGAGGGTATCCCAGCGAAACAACTCGGTAGAGACTGCCTCGCATGAACGTTTGCCACTCCGATGTAGCGTTGGCAGCCTGTGCCAGCTTGTTGTTGTTGATCTTGCGGGATAAAGCGGGTAAAACGAGTCGCAAGAACAGGATCGATAGAATGATGAGAACAGCGACAAAGTAAAAGAAGAGGTAACCCGTCATGAAAATGTTGGAAGATTCAATGTTCGCCCGGAAACCGACCCGCTCAATACCTCTCACAGTTTGTTCAGTTCCGCCGGTGGTGGTGGTGGTGGAGCGCTTCGCAAGATAAATGGATTCCTTTCCAGTTAAAGTCAGTAAATCGGCAGGGGTTCCGCCGGTGGCCCGTTGAAACCATGTCGCAATGCTTTGTAAAGCGGTGGTGTGGAGGATGCCCATGGTCCATTGGAAAGTCTGCGTCCATGATTGCACAATCGGAGGGAAGTTGACAGCGGCGTTGCCCGCAATGGCCTGGGTTTGCATGAAACCCAAAAATAGCATGGTTCGGAAATTGAGGTGGGTGGCGATCACGGTGTGACCCAAAATCGAAATCACCACTGTGGTGATGAGGCCCAGCCCCGTGATGATAGCGGTGATCCAGGCGACCGCCGATTGATCAACCGTCTTGCCATTCAGAACGCGTGTTTCGATACAACTGATTGCATCGCCGGTTGTATAATTGACCAAGTTGAGGCGCACGATTGCATCGAGATCAGGGACAGTATAAGCGATGCCTATGGGAGAAGTAATCATGTTAGGGGGAAAACTGGTCGGGTTTCTTGGGGCGACTCTTGAAAGGTCGTCGCAAAAACGGAAATGTCAGGAAGGGACTCACTTGGAATATCGCCAAGAATAGAAGAATCGATAGTCAATGAAGCGGTTGGAATTGTTAATTGTTCTGCGGAGATTGGGCACATGCCCAATCCATTGCTTGAGAGGGTACACGGGTCGACGAGCTTTGTGAGCGCAGTGTATCCATAGACCAAAAGGGAGACTTCGATCTTAAATTTGCCGGTATAATCAATTTTGCCATCGAATTCGATTGTTGCTGAAGAGTTTCCTGGTGTAAAGACGACACTGAAATGATTGACGGAGATTTTGCCATCAGTCGAACATGGGGTCATAGACGACGCCTCGAACAAGTCCTCAGCAGATGCGGCGGAGAAGAAGAGAGCCCCGGCGAGCCCGGCCGCCCAGGGGAACTTCATAGTATGAGTGAGTGTTGGAAGATTTCTCCCAGAGAAATCAACTTAAAGCAAAAAAAAAAAAAGAGTGGAAGGGTTTCGGGGGTTAATTTTTTTCTTCAATGTGAGATCACCGGAATCACGAGCCCCATGATCTGGAATCTGGGCCAGGGGGGGGTTGGAGTATCAAGAAAGGTTCAAGGTCAAAGGGAAGTAAAGAAGCAAGAACCAAGGCAACCGTAATACTTGGGTACAGTAAGCCCCATTTCGGTACCAAACGGGGGCCTTAACTTTTAACGAAACCACTCAAAAGGGCAAGTGAATAAGGGCTCGTATTGAAATGGAAAAGAAGTGTATTTTAACCTTCTGGGCCTGAACTACCATAACTCAACTTGACACTGCCACTTTTGTTTCAGATGTGGAGTTCATCTTTCATATCCTTACCTGCTTTGTTCGGCTGTATCATCCAATCTGGTACAAAAATAGCGTGATTATGGGTCTCGTGGTTCCCACTTGGGGAATATAAAGGAGCTAATCATCAATCTACTGTAGAAAAGTACATAAAAATCCCTGGAGCCTGACCTTGACGTTCTTTGAGAAAAGATGTTCTTTTATAACATCTCATGATCGACTTTCTTTTTCCCTAGACCTGTTAGGATCTTCCCCTGATGATCCTAAGAAAACCACAAACTCTGATCCACCGCCTACCGCCACATGAGGTCACCGACTCCGCAAGGAGAAGGGAATAAGAAAGGGAATAAGAAAGAGGTCAAGCCAAAAAGAAAAGGTTGTCAACGTTGTACTGTGTACGTAGTCCAATCAATCCCCTTGCAGCCACTTGAATACGATACAGAGTATATACTGTGTATTGTACAGGACTGGGAAAAAAAAAAAGGGGGAAATGCCCAGCTTTACCGCCTCCTTGGACTGTGCAGCAAAACGGATATTTTTTGGGAATTTCTTTTTATTTTCTAATTTTTCTTCTCCATTTTCGCCATTTAATTTCATGGCGAATCCATTTCATTGGATGGATCCACTTCACCAAGAGAAAGTCTCACTGGCTGCGAATCACAATCGATCGAAAAATGGGGACCAAACGCGTCGTTTGGGCGGGAAGACCCTGTGAAAAGTGGCTCTCGATGATGCGTCGTCCCCATCTTGGCGTTGTATTGGCCCTAACTTGGTTCAGGACAACACGGGGGGCCCAGATCCTCGCAATGCTTGACGTAGCCAGAAAGAGAAAGAAGAGGGAGAAAAATCCCACTATTGGAATCCTTCAGTAGGCTTGTGTGCTCATCAACTCTGTGTACAATTTCCATTCTAAACCAATGGTCCCTGTGGCGGCGCTACCAGACTCGGTGATTCGTTCATGTTATTTCCAAAGACCCTGAAACTTTATCGCCATACAGTAAGAAACATTCTATTTTTAATCCGGCGTTTAAGAAAAGTGATAAGTTTAAGCGGTATAAAGCCAACCGAATACGAGAGAGCGACTCTCTGCAGGGGAGAGTTGCGTAAGTGCGGACAAATTCTGGTGCGCGTTACGCCCGGTGGGTCCGTGTGGCTGGCAAAGACTTCAAAGTCCAAAAAGTCCGACTGTCCGAGAACTGCGTAGTGTACACAATTTTCTACGGAGTATGCTATGCCAATTATGTACATTGGATCTGATTTACCCTTCTGATCGGATTTTCTAGGGAAATTGCACCCAAAATGACAATCATTTAATGTATGTAACTCTGCCCAACTAGTCTACATGTACATGTACAACACGCCTCATTACTGCAAATGACTGCAAAAAGCAACATTTTTTCAAGGAAAAGTCATATCGATCTGCAACCTACATTTGCTTCGTGCCGATTCCTTCCAATCTTCATCTTGATTATTGCCCATCAGAACCAACATTAAAGCTGGTCCAGGTTCATCGCCATTTTCGCACACGTAATCGGTGGATCGGCCCTAGTCTTCAAATGTTGCAATCGTGTTCTGTAAATAGCAAAGTCGGCTTCTAAGGAATGTGGGGGCGTTCCACATGCACGAGATATGCTCACATGGTGCGGGGGAGCTTGATTCGATTACTGAGATCTGATATCGCCATCGCGTTGGAATGGAGGGTCCAGAGTCTCAGATGTTCAGATGTTCAGATGTTCAATCCCGAGGTCTTGCTTGGTGTTGATTGTCGCTCGTGCTTTTGAGGCTTAACGGTTGTATTGCCTCTTACCGCACAAAAAGACATACACCCATTCTAATTTCTCATTTCTGACAATACACGTAAATTTAGCTAATGTACTAGTTGGTATACATAAACAACACATATGATATCTAACACATCTTATCCCGACGCCTCGTCAGCTTTGAATTTATTTTCTATATGTGCATCTGGTCCCTCCGCATACATATGCAATGCGGACCCAACTCATGACTCCGGTACTCATTGTTTTTAACATCGTTGCATCGTCATGCGTTTGCATTCTCAAGAAAATCGGAGCCCTTGGCTCGGATCCCAGATGCCTGGTTGCCCACGAGCGGCTGGTGCAGGAACAGCACCACTTCCGCCACTGGGAGCCATCCTTGGCGGTGCGCCGCCAGTGTCAAATCGAATCCCCATATCAGGGGACCACATGCCCGGCATGGGGATAGAAGGGGGAGGAACCGCTGCTCGCAGGGGTTGAGGCGCCGTCAGCGGCGCCACAGGTTCCGAGAGCCGAGGTGCGTGCACCGGCGGAGGTGGTTGGGAGAGTGGCTGGGAGGGCGGGGGTGCCGCATATGTTTGAGCGTGATGGGTATGAGCCGGCTGATGAGTAGGTTGGCGTAAATGAGGCTGGGAAATGTGTAGCGACGACATGGCGGTGACGTTGGAGATGTCACTGTTGATCATCGGGTCAGTCACATGGAGCTTTGCCGGTGGGCAAGAAGAGGGAGAGGGTGGGGGAGATTAGGACTCACGCTTCCAGCTGACTAGCCTCCATCCGTCGCTGATGAACAAATGCCTTTGCATCGTCGCGGAATCGGCTCACAATTTTGGCCAGGTCATTGTAGAACTTGCGCCCAACTTCGAGATTGGAAATAATCTCCTTGTACTTCAAGTATCCGTTTTCTAGGTCTTGCAGAGCAGTCTCCCGCTCCTTGGTGGAGGTATCACCTTTGTGAGCTCGGGTGAAGGCCCGGTTAGCCTCGCGTACCTCCTCTCCGAGCTGATCCTGTTCCTTTTGTTCTTGAGCTAACATCTGCCGATCGGAGTCATAGTGGCGCAAGTGCTTCTCAAACAGGTCTTCAAACTGGCTTGCTTGGATGGTCTGCATAGGGAACTCGCGTTCTAACCGAGCAGTCTCATTCAGAAGGGCCGGGTCTGTTTATGTTTCAGCAAATCGAACTCAGGCAAACATTTTTGTTTTTCAAAGGGATCAAAGAAGAGTTACTCACGGATATCATCAGCGCGGCCCTTGTCTTTCAGTGTCTGGATTCGTCGACGCCGCCGGTTTTCCATCCTACTCACTTCACTCAAACAGCTCCGTAGTTTGATAGACTCCCTTTCCAACTCTGGAGGGATGGTGGCCCTGCGGCTGCTTGGAACGTAAGACTCGAGGTCTCGGTTAGTTCCCATGAGAACGAGAAACACGGACTCGGAGTCCCGGAGCTTCTGGTCGACGAGGGAATCGCTACTCTGGGCAGAAGTGAAATACCCGTTGATCTCTTTGGAGGTATTGTAGATCTTAGGGGCAGCTTTCTCTGATGTGTCACGGTTCCATCGATCGGTGCCATATTTGCGAACTGCGGCATCGTCCTCGGCCTTTTCGGCGGCCAGCAACGCAACGCCTTCATTGTAGATAGTCAGATCATTGCCTTTGACCCTTGCGGTGTCCTCGACGGATCGCCGCAGGCGGTTCAGCCCATCTTGCTGACGCATTTCCTCGGCATGGGAGACCAGCGCAGGTGGAAGCCCAAGTGGCTTCTCCAAGGCTTGCAAAGAACCTGGCAAATTCAATGAAGATAAGAGACTAGAGAGTTTAGTTAGTCAGAGATCCTCAAATGAGGGGACTTTTGCAATCCATACTCCCGGAGCTTGTCGGTCATAGACTCCAACTCTCCAACCAGACTTTCATTGATCAACCGATCTCGGCGGTCGGAGTAGATGCTGGCCGCAATGTGTACGGCATAAGGAACCAATCTCGCGAAAAGGGGCTGGCCAAGAGGGCCATTGTTTCCAAGCATCGATATGGCGTCTGTGACTTGTGTCGGTGCCTTGGCAGCAACCATACTAGCGCGGTCAATCGCCTTGAGTTCGGATTTTGTAGGCACAGGATTGAGATAAATCATATCATTGTCCTTCTCCGCGCGCTTCAGATCCTCGGCCACACGACTCTTGAGTCCATTCAGATCTCCCAGCACAGTCCGGTTAATCCACTGCGTTTCCTTCAAGCCTTCTTTAACACAATCTAGACCATCGCGCAATCTTGCCACCTCTTCACCATACTTGCGCTTATCCAGGCAGTCGAGTGCTTGTCGGAATTGTGCCGCGGCTGCAAAGTGATGGTTTTTGGCGGTCATATGGTGGATCCATTCGGTGCTGATTGCATTAGAATTGACGGCCAAGTCCCCTGCATCCCCATAAAAGTCGGAAACCTGTGCAGCGAGTCGTGCGATTGATATATCCTTCAGTCCATCCTTTACAGCCTTCTGCCAGAAGCACTCTTGGCCTTGGGCGAGCAACAGTTGTTCCAAGCTCTTCAATGTCATCTCATCCATATCTTCCGGGGGAGATGTGCGAAGGTCGGGAAGGATATCGTTGCGTAGGTGACTCAAGACTCCAGCCGCTTGACAGGAGTAATTGCATGCTTGCTTGAGGCCATCCGAGGTTGTCCGGTTCCCTGCATATGCAAGTTGGGAGTATAGAGCGGCGAGGTTGAAAAGCACATTGGCGAGTTCGAAGCGAAGGTTATTTTGTGATACTTTTATTCATGCCATCAGCAAACATGTCCCTCTCAGTGTTTCCATTTGCCCCGCCCCGCCACCCATGATGATCTTGTACTCTCAATTTAGGAAGTCACAACTTACCAGGTCGCGATGTGTTAAACCCAAATGCCGGATACCACACAAAATCGACTCCCACCTATTTTTATGCCTGTCGTCAATAAAAAGCTGCAAAAGGAATACTTGACACACAAGGAGGACTGCGTACATCAACCGGGAACTTCCCACCAAGCCATTTCAACTGCGCCGCATATGTAACCAGTCGACTAATGCCACTGACATGCGGCTCCTGTACATTAATAGCCTCGGTTCTCAGACGATCAATAATCAGTAGATCATCAGCAAACATGTCCGGGCGCTGGTCATATTTGGAGGAAATGTATTGCGTAATCGCATCCGATAGCGAAACGCTATGGGAGCGACGAAACGGGAGCTGTAGGATATTGCTGTGTTGGTCGACAGAATGAGTCAGCGGGTTTCAAAGAATTTGGTATTTTCTTTACAAATGCCAGTGGGGTACTCACGATGCCATCGTTGTGGTGGTTCACAGCTTGGGCAAGAAAGAAAGAAACCTTTGTTGACGAGGTTGCTCTGGCACCAAAAAACCCCCACCCGGCAGCGGAATGACGTTGTGGAGCCTGAGGCACCCTACTCCGCATTGTTTAATTTTTGACATGAAGCACTGGGCCAGTCTACTCAGTATTCTCAGGGTTTGATACACTTGCCAACCTGGTAAAGAGCAGCTGCTCAACGTGACATTCTTACTAATAGGATACTTGGCGGTTCCTTCTCGTGGGTATTGTTCAAAATTCAAATACGCCTAGATAACTTACTAGTACAAAATGTCCAGACCGCATACTATGCAAACTACTAGTATGTATGTACTACTTAGTAGTGGTAACATTAAATGTTGGAACGAAGTGGGAACAGTTCATAGAAAAAGGGACTAGTGTATTCCAAACATCTACATACACAGGGCATTGCACCTACTAGTCATATTATCTAGGAAGTAATGGGAAATACCGGTTTCATCTCTCGTATTTAAATGCTATGAGAATCAAGTTGATCGGGGCATATGTAATATGTACTATGTATGCATAGATAAAAAGCATCCCAAAAAGCGCGAAAATTTCTTCCTCGATAAATATGCGGTATTTTCCCTGTCGCGCTTCTTGTTAAAAAGTCGTCCAGGCATGCAGTCGATATGATCAAGACTGATCAAAGTCATGTTCCCGGCACCCTAGCTTCACTCTTCTGGAAGCTCTGTGATTTTGGCCTTGATGAATTCAAACATGCTAAGCAAAATCATATTATTCAGCCCCGTTCGGATCAGAATGATTGACATGCCTTTGTACATGCTCGCCTTAGCAACTGCAGCTGATGCCTCTCCAATTTCCTTGCTTTTACCAAGCAAGACACTTTGAGCACGGGTCTTGCGTGTGTCGAGGGGGTAGGTCTGCATAAATTTGTGAGTAATGAGAGTCAAAAGTTCAGGATCTAGGGGACATACGCAAACCCATGGGACTGTACTACAGATGGCACCAGCAATCATGGGAGCCCCAAAAGGCGATTTGTTATCACCCAGCTCCTTCGCTGCCACCTGCTTGACGGTCTCATAAACGCTGAAATATAGGCCGGAGCCCACAGTGTCGCGCAGAACATGTAAGCGAAAGCCTGTGTAAAGTCCTCGGAAGCCATGACGTTTGACAATTTGCCGGATAGCCTGCACAGTTCCCAGCCGGGGTTTGCGTCGCAGGTCAGGGTTTCGGGCAGCATCAGGGGCAGCTTGTGCGCGGTTGGACACTAAGACCGAAGTTTGGACAACATTCTTAGCTAGCTCAAAGGGACCTTTTAAAGTCAGTCAAATCCAGGTATGTTCCAAGGATAAGGAAATTCGCACAGGCAAGGGGGGATGAGATCAAACCAGCCAGCGCACCCGCAGCGGCAAAGGTCATGATACCACTAACTGTGGGTGTGCTGCTCGGTTTATTGTATTCCGCGAGCGGTGATACTCCAGTTATCTGGCGGATCATGTCGGAGATCCGAATCTTGGCCCAACTGTATGAGGTGAAATTGACTACCCGGACTGCGGTTACACTTGCCAGGGGTGGGAGAGCACCTAGGTAAACAGATCAATACTATATCCAAAAAATACTCTAGGATGGTGGGTTCAAGAATTACCGGCAACATAGCCACGAGGTCCCTCGGTCCGCCACAAGTAGCGCATGCATTGAGAAATGTTCTTGAAGTCGTGACTAGATATGCAGTTTGAGCGTCAACAGCTGATGTTTTGTAGATTTTAGTCAAAAAGCAACATACGTTTGCATGCGGGTTTTAACATTCTCTAGGGGCGTCTAACGGGACGTTAACAAGAAGCACTTATTCAAATCCTGCCCCAAGGGAACCTGCAGATGATCAGAATTACTTACAACAGCCAAAGTTGCACAGACGGTTGACGCTCCTGAAGCCAGCTGCGTCTGGTACTTCTTCAGAAGAGCATTGCGGGTTTTTTCATCCATGTTCCAGATGTTCTGGGCGGGTAACGTTGGGGAAGAGTTGTTGACAGGGAAGAGTTCATGTTCAGCCCGTTTCCCAATAGTCATACCTAATATGTATTACTAGTAGAGATCCCTATGTTCAGTTCTTTGTATTCTTCGATTCGATGTTGCGGTGCTGATTTATTCTTCGATTCGATGTTGCGGTGCTGATATATCCTTCGATTCGACGTTGCGGTGCTGATGTGTTTTCTTTTATAGGTGGTGGAACAGATATTGTCTTGATCGCAACACCAGGTTGAAAATCCTTATGGAACGCAAAGCGGTCTCTCAGTAGTACACGAGAAGACCGTTCAGCGTCCCGTAATTATCCATTCGAGGGTTGGGTTTTTATAGGTTTACGGACACAAAGACAAGCCGAGTGGCTCGATTGGATGAGACGGATTGAAATCTGTGGGTGTGGGACGGCTGGTTCGATGTTGGGCCAAAGGGCTTGTCTCGGCAATCAAAAATATGACCCCGCGGCGACGGCGACCGAGCAGAGCAACGAGCTCTTTGCTGTTGTCAAAGTTCAAGCTTGTGCTGAACTTTTTATATCGAAGCTTCTCTGTTCCAAATAGGCTTAGTAGGGTTCTTTAGAGGATTTCATCGGTCGCAATGGGGTGGAATGTGATTTGGTGCGGGAGCTGAAGGAGATCAGCATTGATCGAACAGTGCGGTCGGCTTTCTCTTAACATACTTGACAGTGGTAAAAAGCTAGAGAGAATAAGAAAAGTAGAATATGTTCATCTTACCGGTACAGCCTTCACCCCGATCATAAAGCAAGACCTGCTCAGAGAACAGAGGTGGAAGAGGAAGTTGAGGGCAGGGCAAATAGGCATGTGGACCGAGCTTTGTGCATTCGCTCAAATAGGCTTAGTGCGGATGCAGTGACGTCGTGAGTATTGCCCCAGCTTAGTCTTGTATTTTCCACAATATTCAGCTGTAGAATGAGGTATATCAGGATTCTTACTCCTAGTATACGGAAGGTCCTTTTTCTCCTTGTCTGAGAGCTTTTATTTCTTTTTTTTTTTGGTGGTGGTTATTTGATTCTATATTATGATGGATGCTGCTCATGGTTGCCCATCAAAGTTCTGGCGGGGAAATTGTTAGCTTTGCCCCCCATGCGGGACAAGGGCTTTGCCGCAATCGCATTTAGATCAAGGATTCTGATTCAAACTGGCCTTGAATCTGTCATTGGCCATTATTAACAAAAGAGATAAGTGGTCCGAGATTAAAAACGATGACAGAACTTGTAAAACCACACGTAGAAAACTAGTACATATAAGATTAGCATTGCCAACATTGAATATAAAGTCTGGGGAGATCCATGGATCCATCAATGGGTATCCTATGCAGCTTGACTATTCCGGTGGAGGATAGTCATCCGGTCTTACTTATAACCTATAAAAGGAATAGTGGATATCTATTCCCCGCCAATGATCTAGAATACATAAGTCGCTAGTTGAATCCAAATCCTATGGTTTGAATGTTTCAAAGCGGATTAGAAAGAAAACACTTGTTTACAGGAGGCCCAGACTTGGGTCAATATAGTTGGAAAGCTGCTGATTGGTGCGCTTTGCAGATCGTGAGGAGGACTGACTTGCCAGGTTTTCCTGCATGCTTAAGTCTGCATGTACCCGTCCAATAAAATGTCCGAATTACAATTTAGCGTATGTTCCCCTCTATAACATGACCAGTTGAAACTGTTTATACATTTCAAGGTTCCAAGGTTGGTCGTAGTTCACTACTCTTTCAAATGTTGCGACCGGATACACATCCATCCACTGCCTTGTCTAGAATCCAAATTTCCTGCCCAGGTGTCACATTCAAATTTTCCGGGCCTGGAGGTTGAATACACATGGATGTGCGTACACAAGTACATCCATCTATCTAGGTGCGTACAAGCATACCTAGAGATATTCATCCAGAGTATGTATACATATCCATTCAAGCACCTATACGCTTGCGGCTTGATCGGTTTTCATTGACAGCAGCACTTGAGATCTACTACCCCGCCCATTCTAATAATCTTTACTTCAAATTTTACCTTCCATCCATGGATATCACCTACGCTTTACCCTTCAAATTCATTAACATATGCATATTTGTAGAGAAAGGTTTCCCTATGTTAGTTAGTTCACTCCAGAGAATCGAGATGATCAGATTAGTCATAAGGCTTGGCGTAACTTGGGCTTCACGTGATAGAATTTCGCTAAATTCAAGATACTCGGCTCAAACACATGATGGTTCATGTGTCAGGGTGTTATTTGGTTTGAAAAGTGGAGACTAGAGATCATTAAAATGCAAATCAGATCATCGGAGTTTTGTTTTTTTGTGCAATGGATTTGTGCAACATATTGTATTGAACCAAGATTCAATGTGCTCCCTCGGGTCCTCGGGACCTCGGTCGCCCCCAGTCCCCGCAAAATAGCAGCCCCCTGCCCCACTCGTGACATAGTCTAAATGCCGACTCGCGAACTTACATATAGCTGCCACCAGCCCCTTGGAGATCCCCGATCCAGACGTGAACACCTTCAAATCCTTTAATTTTCCAAAAAAACTCCACATTTCGCACCATGGGCAAGAAACAAGCAGGTCCTGCCTACGTCTTGGGCGTGGGCATGACCAAGTTCATCAAGCCGCGTGGCAAAGTTGACTATAATGAGCTGGGCTACGAGGCTGGCATCAAAGCCATGCTCGATGCCCACATCACATACGATGATGTCGACCAGGGCGTTGCATGCTATGTGTATGGCGACAGCACATGTGGACAGCGTGTGTTCTACCAATTCGGCCTCACCAACATCCCTATCTACAATGTCAACAACAACTGCTCGACCGGCTCTACTGGCTTGGCCATGGGTCGCACCTTGGTCTCCCACGGTGCTGCCGACTGTGTCCTAGTCGTTGGCTTTGAGAAGATGAACCCCGGTAGCTTGCAGTCGGTATATAACGATCGCACTGGCCCAACCACCCTGTTCGGAACAATGATGGCGGAAACACGGGGAGTGACCAACGCGCCCGGTGCCGCGCAGATGTTCGGAAATGCTGGTCGGGAATACATGGAGAAGTATGAAGAGCACCAGCCCATTTTTCAAGCGAATGTTCCTATTGCTAACGCATTTATTCCTCCTTAGGTACGGCGCAAAGAACGAAGACTTTGCTGAAATCGCCCGCATCAACCACGAGCACTCCAAACGTAACCCTTACTCCCAATTCCAAGACGAATACTCCCTCGAGCAGATTATGAAGGCACCTATGATCTTTGAGCCGCTCACCAAGCTCCAGTGCTGTCCCACTTCGGATGGTGGTGCCGCTGCCGTCATCGTCTCTCAAGAGTTCCTCGATGCCCGTCCCCACCTGAAGGACCAGGCCATCCTGATCGCTGGCCAATCCATGGCCACCGATACCGACCAACTTTACAACACTAGTGCAATTGATCTGATGGGATTCGGCATGTCGCGACATGCGGCCCGCACTGCCATCGCCGAGGCCGGTGTGAATGTCAAGGACATCAAGGTTTGCGAGCTGCACGACTGCTTCTCTGCCAATGAAATGATCACAATCGATGCCCTCGAACTATCTGAGCCCGGCAAGGCCCACGAGATGGTCCGCCGCGGCGATATCACCTACGGTGGTAAAATGGTGATCAACCCCTCGGGTGGTCTCATCTCCAAGGGCCACCCGCTCGGTGCTACTGGTATTGCTCAGTGTTCTGAGCTGGTCTGGCACCTGCGCGGCTGGGCTAACAACCGTCTTATTGACGGTACTGGCGCTGCTTTGCAACACAACCTCGGACTTGGTGGTGCTGTTGTGGTCAGCGTGTACAAGCGTGCTGATGGCAAGGTCGCGGCTGCCGTTCCGTCAGATGTTGTGGGCAAGATCACCGGTCTTGGCTATAACCCGGCTGTCGAGGCTCGTGGATTCACCGCTGAGCAGGCCAACTCGGTATGCAGCAAGAAACACAGCGCGTATGCTCTCGCCGATGCCCAGCAGCGGGTTCTTGCCCGTTTCTAAGACTATGGTCACACAGTCTAGAGCTCTATAAATAGTCGCACATGCTTGTGTAACATGATCACGATCGAGATACATACAATTTTACTTATTCCCCTGCCACGTGGTGATCAATTGATCAAATACAATATCAAATATGCTTGAATCAACCCCCACGTCCACGGGACCGTAGCCCTATGAACTTGGAATATATACAAAACTAGAGCCAGCCTAGATTATCATGAATGCGTTGCCGCCCAGTCGCTAGGAAGCTTATAATCTGGCGGGATTTTATATTGCCCCCAGCAAATCCCGGGGTTGGGGCACTGGAGATCGCAGCGGCCATATAAGCGACAATAACAGTCAGCAGCATTAGGACAAGCATCCTGATTAAGCTGCCGCAACTCCAGCTCCCCACTTGCATTCGGCTTGGCAAATAGTATATGCCAAAGATAAGATAGGATCCGTCCAGCAACCCGGTCATCCAAAGGCGCAGCCTGGCCACCATGAGTCTGCGAGCTACGAGGATCCTCCATCCCATCAAGCAGCCACTGCCGCAAAGCAACATACTCTAGCCGTGAATGCTGCAACACCCGCTCACGAGACACAACGAATTGCGCACAGCACTGAGACCGCACCGCATCCGTCCGCCTCAGCTCCAGCTTCGCCTTCTGCTCCATAGCCGTATAATCCCCTCCACCAAAGATCGACACCAGAGCCCGCGGCAGCGCCGTATCCGACGCTGCACGCGCACTCCACGGCTCCAGCGTCGATTGGAGCCGCATCTCTAGACTGCCCTGCGCCGCTACCGTAGGCGGGCAGGTACTGGTGCTCCAATCACAGCGCAGGTTATAGTACCCCCTCAGCTCCAATGCACGAGGCACGTCTAGCGCGGTGAGCAGGGCCGCGTTATCGTAGTCCGGTGCGTCGTTGTGCCATGCCCAGCGGGACCCGTGTACGAATACCGCGCCTGCCGCTGGTATATCGGCGTAGTTATCGATGATGAATGTGAGGTAGGCCATTGCTTCGTGGCCGCGGTTTGCGGGGACTTGGAGGAACGTGGAGGTTTTGTCGGCTGGGCTGTCGACACCGTACACGCAGAGATGGTAATGGTCTGTCAGTTTGTTGAGCCATGCTGGGTCACCGTCTGCGGCTACGCGTGATACGACCAAGGCTGGGTTTTTGGAGCCGGATAGCTTGGGACATTTGCCTCGGGCTTCGGGGAGTCGGGCGGATGTGGTCTTGTAGCGAATTTTTGTCCATGAGAAGGATTTGTCTTCGGATTGGGGGCGGTTGAGGTAGATAATGAATAGGAGGATGGAGAGGAAAAGCACTAGTTGATTTGTGGCTCTTTGGGTTTTGCGATTCACATGCATCTTGTCCTCATGCTATACCGGGATTTGGGACTTACGTTACCTTCTGGTTTTCAGGAACCATTTGAGCACGCGATACCGATCCGTTGGTATTTATTTTCCCCTAGAACCTGGCTCCGGTCACTCCGGTCCAAGTGGGTCCCCATGGAGTGCGGACACCAATCATATCAAGCAGAAACGTGCTAAGCTTTTTGATAGTTGGCATCTTGGCATGCTTCTATCCTCAACCCCAACATTTCATACCTTGGAATTTGTGCCCTTCTGTTTTCTCATGTGGGTGTCTATATATTCTTTCTAGTTAAGTATACTAACTGAATAGGACGCTGAAGTGATAACTATCCTGTAATTAGTATAGATGGTACTCGGAACTTATAATAAAAGATTGTTTGTGTCGAAATAAAAATACGTAGATGTGGTGGGAAAATTTTTATGGGAAGGAGGAATGGGAAGAGAGTCTATTGCATGGGAATGGGTAATGGGAATAGAATCATGGGAAGTGGGGTGGGAATAGTAGTTATATGGTAAGGGAAAGGGAATGTGGGAATATTGGCATGGAAAGGGGAGTTGGGAATAGCTTTATGGAAAATAAAAATAAAATAAAAATAGGTAGTACCGGTTTATGGTACTGTGGTCTCAAAGAATGAGTATTAAATATCATCGTACCGACCGACAGTGGACCCTCCTCAAGTGCCACCAAGGCGCCTTCAGCTGCTCCCGTGGAGTCGCAGCTGTGCACCGAGCTAAAGCTTCAAAAGGCGAGCCTGACACACAAGAATGAAGCACCAGTCGCGGACAAAGGTTAACAGCATTGGCTTGTACCCCTATACAATGTAAAGGAACGAGCAAGGGTCGATCCCTGGCAAGGTCATCCTGGAGTAATTTCTATGTTGAGTAGTACTTCTAGCCTAGGTTGAACTGGTGACTGTCTTGCCCGCTGCACCACGAAAGTGTTGTTAATTAGCACTCCCGATAAGCCTCCTTTCTGTTTAACTTTGGTGCTAGTATTCCCCCCATACATTCCTCCTCTAGCCATTTCTACTTGTACTACTCTCTTATACTTTCAGGCCCTAATTTTACTTGTGTACTGACTAATTCTTTTAAGCTAGTAGTTTTTCAAGGCTTGAATGGGCCGGCTTTTATAGTAAAAGCTTATTTTATACTTAAAATCTTCTTATGAGACTGGTGGTCATAGACACATACTATTTTCATATCCTCTCATCTACGAAGGTATGTATTTCATTGATCTGATATAGTCGTTTGACCTGTAGATTGCTGGCCTCATGTCAAGCCCATCATAAGTCTCCTCGCTAGTCCATCCACACGGATATTAACACTGGGCCCTTTATTTCATATACTCCTCAGCAGAAAAAAAGACCAAGGGAGCGGGAATATCAGCCGAGCTTTTGACGGGTGATACCCACGTGAGGGAGAGAGCATTCGAACAACGCGTTGCATGAGATTGGAATGTCAATGCTACACATGTATAGCGATTCTTAAATTGACATGCAATTTAAATCTAAATCATTAAAAATGCTCATGCATGGGTTTATTAATTAAGACGGCTTTGTTCCATGTACAATCGAGCCTCGAGTCATCTTACTAATACTGGCAAGGGGGAAAATACCAGGCCAACTCACGGTCAGACATTGATATGCGTAAGTGCAACTGATAATGCGCCAGAGTGGAATGTGGAGTGCTTACGGAAAGATAATGATCCTCATTGGGCATTAATCAATTTTCCTTTCGCCTTTCAATTGGACCGGCTCGTTCCCTTGCATTTTTTGAAGGTCGATCATACTCTGGTCAAGGGATGTTTCAACATGTTGGCGCAGTCGCATATTTACGTGCGTGTCAACCATGGAACCGGTTATGGTTCGCAAAACCAGAGTGGCTGACCTCTGCTGGGGAGATGGGAGGAGACCAATTTTAAGTGGTTTGGGGGTTGTAGTCGGAAATGCCTCGGGAAGACGAGAGTAAACAAGCTGACCCTCGCTGCTCAATTTCCTTTCCCCCCCCCCCTTCAAGGTCGGTCCATTCCCGCCCTATGTGAGTGTTGGAAAGGGATAGGAATATAAATCCAACACAAATCCCCTTCCACGTCGGCCACACATTTTTTGCTCAAATCTACTTGGCTATAGAATACATTCATTCCTTCGAAGCTATACGCCCTTCCACTCCTTTTGCCGATTACTTCTAATATACTTCTTTTCACTTGATACATTTTATCAAACATATTATTATCCACCATGGCTCGCTTCAATCTGTCTTTCCTCGCTGTCTTCCTGTTCCTGGCAGTTTTTGCTCTGTCACTCCCGACCAAGCGTGATGAGCTGTCTTCTGCCGGCCAGGCGCTGGGACTTGATAAGACCTTTGATCAATTGAAGGTTTGTGAAAATGCACTGGATTGCAAGCTCGACTTGGGCTAACACTGTTCATACAGTCTGCTACTAAGATTATGAACAACGTTGATCAGAAGGACGTCAACAACGAGAAGAACGAGGTTGATGACGACGCTGATGTCGATCAGGATTCCAGCGATGATGAGGAGCCCGAGGCTACAAAGACTGAGAAGAAGCTCACCTCTGGCAACTTCGCCACACCCACTGCCACCAGCACTCACAAGCCTACTTCCAAGCCCAATGCTCTGGGCAAGCTCCCCATTGTCGGTGGTCTGCTTGGCGGTACTGGAGCTTTTTAAATGTACACCAAGTGATCCTGAGGGCCAGTAGTTCAGTATGACGGAAGGAAAGAACTATCGTGATGTTTGTGATGATTGGGTCAAACGCGTTGGATTCTACATTTGGAGATTGTCCATGGGGCACCTTTCGCTTGGTTATGTTGGCGTCAAAGGCATTTAGCCAGCCGAGTAGGAAATTTATTGCACATTAATTGTTTTCCTAGTGCAGCCTAGATTTCTTGCACTGTTTCACTTATCGTACAGTAAGCCTGCGCAGAATTTGCATCAAACCATAACTATGCACCACCGTGGAGAAGGGATGTGTTATTGGGAAGTTACAAACTCGATCGAATACATGTTGATCTTCTTGGATCCTCAGTTCTTTCCCTGGGTGGCTTGTTGTTGTCCTTCATGGAGGCCAGTGTAGTACCCTGCATAATACCAGGCCATCATGAGACGCTTCAAGCTTTCATCTTGGACTAATAATCCGTTAGAGAACATATCCACTTAATCAGATCAACAGTGACAAAACATACCTTGAGCTAAGAGCGGCTCAGGCATCGACATGGCCCCCGCGGGAACCTTTGGGCCCTCAGCGGCGGCGCTTCCTCCTTCTGGCGCAGACTGGGCAGCGGCAACCTTTGCTTCGGACTGGTCGGCCTGGAAGAGTTAGATATAAGAAAAGCAGAGTTGAATTAATTTAGACATACCGTGACATCTGCAAGTGAATCGCCAGTATCGACCTCCATGGAGCCATCTTGGATATCGACTTGATCAGCACCCTCGACAGCAGGAAACTCTTCGGCAGTGCCTGTTTCTTCTGCCTCTTTCAGAACATCTTCGACATTCTCGCCCTTGGCATGAATACTGTGATAGAGCTACCATCAACAAGTTAACATAAGTCACGTGAATTCATAGAAATGGAACTCGAGGAAGTATGAAGCGTACCTGGTACTCCTCCACTGCATCGTCCCACGATCGCACTAGAGAAGAATCATCCCAGATCTCCTCGTGTGTCAAAGTATTGGACTTCCCCATGGCCGTCCAATCCTCCGAAAGACGTGTTGGTGAGATAAGGGCGGTGATAGGTGCTGATAGCCTGATAGGCAACGGGTGGAGTCTCACCGCCTTCCGATCCAAATCAGTGAAAAAAAAAGTTTCAGCGCAAAGAAGACGTGCTTGTCTTCAGTATTCAATTCACACCGAACAAATACCAAAATGGCCCCTGCTAAGAAGGATATGAAGCGCAAGGGTAAGCCAACCGCGTTCCAATTGTTACGTTTTAATTAATAGCTTGAATGTCGCTGACACTAAAGAAACAGCGCCCGCCGTGAGCGACCCGCCCGCCAAAAAAACTAAGAAGGTCCAGGCCAAACCTGCTGAGACCTCCGAAGAAGCTCCCAAGTCTATCTTGAAAAAGAAGGCTGCTGCCGCCCCCAAGGCTAAGGAGACCAAGACTGCCGCCCCTGTGAAGGCCAATGGTACCCCTGCTCGCCAGGCCAAGCCTCGCAAGCGCGCTGCCGACTTCATCAGCGACGAGGAGACCGAGGAGCCCGCTGCTCCCTCCCCTGTTGCCGAGAAGAAGACTGCCAACAAGAAGTCCAAGAAGGAGGAGACTGCTCCCGTATCCGCCGTGAAGAAGGCCAAGGCTACACCGAAGGCCAAGAAGGTCGAGGAGGTTGCAGTGGAGTCCGAGGATGACGAGGCTGATTTGATCTCCCTTGGATCTGACAGCGAAGAGGATGAGGAGTCTGAGGATGAGGTCCTGGATGACCAGACTGCTGCGCTCATCAAGGGCTTCGAGAGCAGTGACGATGAGGATGAGTCCGAGGGTGAAGGCCACAACCCCAACAAGCCCGTTCCCAAGATCCCAGATACCAAGAAGGCCCAGAGAAAGATTGCGAAGAGCCAGAAGGATAGCGGTGTTCCTGATACTCCCGGTACCGTCTACGTTGGGTATGTAATATTCCTTCGACCACTTTCATCAGATTTTTTTCCCAACTAACATTGTGCTTTCTAGACGTATTCCTCACGGTTTCTACGAGCACGAAATGCGTGCCTACTTCTCCCAGTTCGGTGAAATTACTCGTCTGCGTCTCTCCCGCAACCGTCTGACCGGTCGGTCAAAGCACTACGCCTTTGTGGAATTCACCTCCACCACCGTCGCCAAGATCGTCGCCGAGACCATGGATAACTACCTGATGTACAGCCATATCCTTAAGTGCAAGTTTGTTCCCCAGGAGCAGCTCCACCCCGAGGTCTGGAAGGGTGCCAACCGCCGCTTCAAGAAGACCCCATGGAACCGCATTGAGAAGAAGCGTCTGGAGAAGGGCAAGACCCGTGAGCAGTGGACCAAGCGTATTGAGCAGGAGCAGAAGAGGAGACAGGCCAAGATTGATAAGCTCCAAGCTTTGGGCTACGATATTGAGCTCCCCCAGCTCAAGAGCGTCGACGATGTGCCAGTTCAAGAAGCCCCCAAGGCCATTGAGGCTACTGAGGCTACTGAGACCATTGAAGCCGCCGAGCCCACCAAGGCTGTTGAGGCTGCCGTGGAAGAGCCCGTGAAGGTCATTGATACCCCCGTTGTCAAGGAAGATACCCCCAAGAAGGGCAAGAAGGGCAAGAAGGTCGAAAAGACCGAGGATGCTCCCAAGCCCAAGGCCACAACAGAGTCCCCTGCACCCAAGAAAAAGGCCACCAAGAAGACCAAGGCCAAGGCTTAAACGGTGTACAAAATTGATTTGATGTATTGTTTATTTCCCATAGCCTTTTATGTGCATGTTTGATGTTTTCTATCTGTTTCTGTTTATTTTAAATATCTATTCAAATAGAACTTATTTTTTAAGAAATTTCTTCAGAGATGATATACAATAGATGCCTAGTACAATATCAACTTGGAGCTGATGTATGTGCATAATGTCACCAAATTTGAGGTATAGAAATAATGAATCATTAGTGATCTGTTATTATTACGTATTATTATTCGGATTATTTCCTAAAATCTCTTCAAAATCCCATTTGTCTTTGATCGCTTAACCAGTTTCTTCAGTCCGAAAAAGCTCCAGTCGAATTCCCTTATGACGCTAGTCCTAATCCAATCTAGCCCCGTCACATGACCTCCACTTGGTAAAGAAAACGCCGCAAAATTTCTTCCCAATCCTTCTTTCTTTCCAACTCCTCGCTCAAAGAATCGCATTCAAAGCTCACACACAAAGAATTTTAATTCTTTCTCATCCTCGCTTTGGGAGAAAGTCCCCGGACACCCTGCACTTTGGTTCTCCAAAGTTATCAAGTCAGGCAATGCGGAAACGCGCCGCCATAGAAGCAATTCGATAGCGGCTGACTGCCCTACTCCCTCCTGGCTTTGTGCTGCCATCCGACGGTCTCGCTTCGTGTGTTGCCGGTCATAATGGGGTGTGTGGTCTTGGTCTGAGAGGGGAAGGGAGGATTTCGGTCTTCCCTTGTGTTGGGTTGCTTTTCGTCGTGTTTGGATAGTCATGCGATTGCTCTTTATTCTCTTCGGGGATGGGGTAACTCAATGGGGCTCATTCTTGAGGCGAGGAGTTCTTGTTTTTCGAGTCTGTAGCTTATGGCAAAGCGGTGATTTGAGATTCTCGGTTTGGGATTTTTTTTTTCTCGGGCTTTTTTCTCTCTTGGTCACAGAAGCCCGGTCGAAGGGGCTGGACTCTTTCTATAACTTCTTTTGCTTCTGGCATGAGCTTCGTATGTTCGCGTGATGATATATCAATCATAGAGTCAAGCACTGAGATCCCAAGGGGTCGATGCTGATAAACGATTTAAAATTATCTGATGAACATTCATATATACCAATTTATTTTATTTTATTCTTTACAATTACTTTTCTTTTTTCCTGAAAACCCTTTGTAAGCCTTGAAGAAACATTTCATATTCAACGATTTTTATTATTTTGACCTGAAATGCAATGAATGGCTTTATGTATGCTATGATCATTACATCGTGGAACTCCCACGTTTCCTTCAGTATAATATCAGTATAATACACCGGAACCTAGTAGAGCCCTTAGGCATGGGGCATGACCGTCTCTCGTCTCTCAATTATTGTGTCTTCTTAGCTCCATTGGCGACAGCCTCTTGTTTCTGCCCAACAACCCGCACCACCAATGCACCAATAATCTCAGCAATGGCAGCAATGGCGCTCGCACACACATTGCTCCAAACGTGAATGCTCACGGAGCCAAGCGGTGCCCTCGGGAATGAAAGAACCCATTCAACGTAGTAGGGGAACCAGCCCTCTGGCAAGGCAAAGATAGGTGTTTTCGAGTACCAGAATTGTAGGAACATCTTGAGTCCGTTGGTGCTGAGCCAGCGGCCGGTCTTGACGATTCGATCGAAGGAACTTTTCTGCGCCGAGATAGTGGTGTCTGTTGAGAAAGGGGGAAACAGAAGTTAGTCGACAGGGAGTAATCAACGAGGTTGTTTGCCTCAATAAATGAAGCTGTCAATATAACACGTACTCATTGCCTCGAACTCCTCGACGGCCTTGTCGTGCCGTCTGCGCAATTTAGCCCATTTCGCAAACTCGTCTTGCGAGCTGGTGCTGTTCATCTCGCGCTTCAACTTCACCACTTCGCCCTTCAATCGCTGTTGCTCGCGGGCATTCCGGGCAGACGACGTTGGCACCTTGAGATACAGTTGCCATAACTAGACGTGGAGAGATGATGTTTAGTATGAGGCCCTTGGTTATCGCGTTGTGGGATCTGGAGGGGAAATTTTTATAGCGCTTGGGTTACGCTTGAACAGACGTACCAGGAGGTCGATTGTTGATGCGCCGATTGTATTGATCAGGTAAATGGCGATATGCACGAAGAGGATCATAAGCGTGAGAGACAGCATGATGGCGGGGGGTTAGCCAGGCGGCCGGATATGTGGGGTTTTCGTTGGCGCTGAAGCTCAAGCAGAAGCTAGGAGCAAGGAGGGCGAGTGACCAAGACTGTGTGATGTTTGCAGGAGGCAGTGGGAATTGCGGTACTTGAAATGCAAGTCGGAGAAAATGACGTCCAGGCGATCTTGCAACTGTGGAAGCCCGGAGTCACTCCTCTCCGCCTTTGTCATGCGGGCCCTTTTTGAGCAACAACTTTCTACACAGCAGCCCTTAATTTCAACAAATCGGTATTCTCTCTGTTGAAATAATTTATCCAGAGACTGGAAAGCAGTTTGAATTGTATCCATGACTCTCCATGACTACTCCTGAGAATGCATACCAGGAAATTGCTCGGGTCTTCTCTTCCAGAGGGAACCAGATCTTGGAGATTGAGATGATCTCCTCCACTCTGGGAACACCCTTTTTGCAAGATGAATTGTTCATTGGAATGACCAAGAAAATGCTCGTGTACGCCTATACCGTCGCACGAAGCCTGTTCTTCGAGCGCCTGGTGTCAATGTCTGGAGATGATTTTCACGTGGACTCCGTCGAGGACGCCATCACTAGCGGGGTATCAGATCGAGCCATTACAGAAGTCATGCTACTTTTTGACTGTGAGCATCTGACCGCATGTAACTGGCGCAAACGTTGGCTGCTGGCAGCCGTTGCACAATGCGCTGAAGATCTAGATCAGATTGCCTCGACAAAAAAGCTGCTGGACACTGAGCTGTCGCTTTTGACGACCTATCAGTGTTCACCACTACACCGGCATACTAAATCTCCGACTCTGTGGTCCCATAGGCTATGGGTAGTGAGGCAGATGTTTCAGATCCAAACCTGGACCCCGGAAGCCCTGTTGAAATTGCATCGTGCGGAGCTTGATGGAGTCCTGCGTGCCGCGGAGTTACACCCTAAGAACTACTATGCCTTCGGCTATATACGGCAGCTTCATGCTCTTCTTGCGCATACGACAGATTTCTCGAACTTGTCTGAACAACTGGCTAGACCCTTGATGGATCCCGTTCTTGACTGGTGTCTTGCTCACCCACGGGATATATCTGCCTGGATCTTTGCGAAGTATTTACTGGGTTGTATTGCGGAGCAACAGGTTCGGACAGACGCGGTAGGGCGAGTGGTCTGTTTTGCGCGCGATATTGGATGGGAGGGCGAGAGCCTGTGGACATTTGTTGACCAATCCATCCGCCAATTCGACTTGGAAAATGTGCTCGATGAGATTTTGCCATCTGATACGCTGGACGCGGACCAACACGCTGTGCCAAAATCGCCTTGGCTGGGCCGGCTGACCAGGGCACAAGCATTTTGGGCTGCATATCGAAACACAAGGGTGGAGGAATAATATGCGACTTGTCGCAAGAGCCAATTCAAGAAAAAAAAGGACAAAATGAACAGCGTTCAAGCCTGGGATATGTAAAGTTCTCGCTCTGGTTTTACAGTGTATGTATGATAAACGCCTCGCTAGTCGCTGGCACGGAAGCCATAAAGCAAACGGAATATTTCCTCGTTGGAAGTTCCCCAAGGTCGAATCCTGCTCAGACCTCAATCTTCACAATCATTGTCACATAGGAATGCATTGCCGAAAGAGGTTTGACGTAGGGAATGATCGGAGAGGACGAAATGATGGGGAATTGGGTTATTTCTTTTGGCCTCCCGCCTCTGCAGCCTTTTTCTCATCGGCTATTATCGAAACAAATGATCAGCAAACTGACGAAGAAAGTCAAGAGTGGGGTGGCGCAATAGGCTTTACCTTTGCGCTGCTTCTCGCGCATGATGGTGGCAGCATCCTCCTTGGTCTTCTGGAACTGAGTACCCGATTGGGTGTTCTTGCCCTTCTGTTTTGGGTCAGTCTCACTGTGAATGATGGGGAGGGGTAAAGGACGAACCTGACCCTGGGCCTTCTTCTGGGCCTTGGCCCGATCGGTATCCCGCTGGTTTCCACGAGTCATGATGTACTAAAATGTAGACTAAAAGATCGCTAATATTGAGAGCGCAACGCCGAGAGTTGATGAAACTTGAGGTGGTAGAAGGGAAAGAAGGAGGGGCGGCGTGTTTTTTTTTTTTCTCCGGCGTTTAAGGCAAACTCCAGGTTCGGACGAATCAGACTTGAGCCATGGAACTCGTTTTCTCCCCGATTCTATACTTATCACTAATCTGTACGTTTGGAATTTCTCAATTTACAGAATTCACTGCATAGCATAAGAGAAGCATAAAGTGAAACTGAGACGAAATAAGAAAAAAAAACAAAACAAAACCTGTAACCAGGCGCTTGGAGAGATGCCGATGATTGGGCGCGTAAATAGTCAGGTTTCGAGTGTTTCCAAGTAGAATGGAAGAGGATGACAAAGAATCATAACATTTGTATATAATTAAGGAGTATTATACTAAAAGCACTATGGGTTAATATAGTAAGAAACATCCTGGTTCCTAAATCAAAGTCCCTAAGTGAATAGTATTGTATTTTGTTCTCTTACCGGTTCTTTTCTTTTCTCTATCATGGATCACTCACTGTTAACCGCTCATCTACGGGGTCGGTTTCAGCATACACAAATATCGAATGCTCTGAACCAATCCTTGCACGATCCATCTCACTAGACCAGAATTGAATCGATCCACCTTCGGGCATCTGCTCCCGATCTCTGCGCTTAAATCTGCCTCTGGCCAGTAAGAAGCTTGCTATAAAAGTAGAGATGAAACGTCGTGTGACAAAGACCCTGAAGAAACATTAAATAAAAAGCCTCAAAATTAGCAGAGCCTTTGATATCGAAATAAACACTGCTTTTTGAGCTTCTAATCATAGGAACCCCCTTTGTTAGGCAAATCGGAAACCCGGGGCTAGTAGGGGTTGTAGGGCGGCTCGAACAATGCAAAGTGAGTATCTAAGATAGTCTTAGTCCTTTCTCTTTCTTTTCCTATTCAACGACTCCCTTCTTCACTTTCTTTCCTTTCTTCTCTTTCTTTAGTTTCTTTCCTTTCTTTCCATCCTCGAATCCTCCTTTCTTTCCTTTGTTTAAGTCCTGCTGGCCAGCTGCTTCCTTTCCCCACTCCTTTAAATCTCACCATCCACGCCCTTTTTCTACACACAACCTTTGGAGTGTCCCTTCATTTATATCAATACGTTTTACAATCTCGAGGATCAGGATATTCTCTTCTCTTAGACTCTTTTCTTTTACGAAATCTCCGGTTTCACCATCATGATGGGTAAACTTCGGGAGTCCCTGGCTGGTCCAGGATATATCATCCTCAACATCGTCCGTGCTTTCAATATCATCGTCTTCCTCGACTTAATCGCAGCCTGCGTGGTCATGTTGGTGAAAACCAAGACTACCAATGGCTTTTTCTTCTTTCAAGCCGTCACACATGCCGTAGTGGCACTCATCAGTAGTAAGTACAATTCTTCTCGTCCCCACTTGAGAATATCTATCCCCGAGCTATGCTAACAAATCTTCACCCGAGCAGTTTTCCTGATCATCTCCGAGCTTCCTATCCTGCGCGGATACTTCAACCGCCAATGGCCTCTGTTCGGCGAAGATGCTAGCTTCGTAACACTGGCAGCCATCATGATGATCCTTGGAGTCGCAACATTGGGCAACCTGAACTCCGCCGCCCTGAGCCAGAAGTCACTGGGACTATCATTCTGGCAGATTGTAATCTCCGCTGGCGTCCTATCCATGGTGATGAGTGTGATCAATCTACTCACGGTAAGTTCCCAGCTTCTGATACCACCAGCTCACACACAAGAGAGATGCTAATTTACGACCCTCATCTAGACATTCATTTTTACCGATCGCAAGGCAGGTGTCAGTGCCCGCCACATTCGGGCGTATGGTGCCGTGGCTCCACAAAAGGTGGTGAGTCGAACCAGCAGCCGCCGCTCATTTCAGCTCAGTCTGAAGCGTGAAGACTCCCTCCCTACCTACACCCGCGAACGCGAACCAGCCCTCAAGCGAGCCTCTCGGCGATTGACAGAACGTTTTCCTCTTAAGATCTCGTCGCCACTTGGCAATACCAAGAACGCTGCCAACGCCAATGACGCCGCCTCGTCCAAGTACTCGCGGGATTCGGGTGAGGTTCGGATGCCAGATCCTGCGCACCACCCGGCCATGTACTCGGGACATGTCTAGATATTTGTATTGTGGGTGCATTTTGTGGATACGGGAGTTTAAATCTCATTTTCTGTCATAGGGCGTTCGATGACTGGGAGGGATGGCGTTTTGAAGCGTGGTTTTCTCAATTTCTTTTTATATTTCTATTCCCACGGTATTTATTGGGGAGCGCGCGTGATGTCCATCTCATATTTCAAGCTTCTTTTGTACTGACAAGTCAGTGCTGTCATTTCAGAATTAAAAACGCATATCTCAGAATTACCTACTAAAGTAGTATGACAAGAAGTCATCTTCACAGTCTAGACTCTAAACCACATGTAGCCCGAATCCCACAAATCACATCGGAATCATCGAAGAGTGGAACCAACGGGAGAGAATGAGAACAAGGGCATTCGGCATTTCAAAGCAATTAAAAGTGGCTCGAGCCTTTTAGCGGGTCGAGGGCTAAAAGTAGTGGATCTAAGAGTTTCTGACTTGCAACGATCAATGATGCGGGGAAAGGGTCTACATTGTAATACTGCAGGAAGTACATACTGTACATCCCTAGTGACATGTAACTAATGATGTTCTTCAATGAAAAGTCTTGGTATCTCTATTCCCTTGATGAGGCGGTGTGGGACTTGTCGATCATCATAACCTTGGAAAGATACACTTGAAACGAGCTTTCTTTTCCCCCTCCGCTCTCTCGTTCCACAGGGATTCTGGTAATTCCTTACTTCTTGGTGACCTTCGTTTGTTCAGCTCCTTCTTTTGACAAGAAAAAAAAGAAGAAAGAAAAAGAAACCATTCCAAAAAAAAAAGGAAGACAATCCCTCAACAATAGCTAGCCTTCGTGCGATTTTATTGTCTTATAACCTGTGACGCGGCGGATCCACGACTCAGACATCGAGACCCCCAATCCCGCTTCGCAAATTAATTAGTGGCGACGCCGACCACTCCTTCGTTTCCCCTCCGGCTGCCATTTTTTCTTCCGCATTCCCACCTTCTGGTTGTTCGCCCAGCATCAGTCATGACCAAAAAAACAACTGTCCCGCAATCGCAGCTCAATGTCTATGGTTCTAGCCGAAATGGCCCACGGCTAGCCATGGAGACCACGTTCCGGGAATGGGTGGTCAACAACCAAATCGGTATGAACGTCAACATCCCCCAGAGAAGCCATCTCAAACATGCTACCCATGCGTAATTTTTTGCGCAAACCGGAGCTCTGGGAGCTTGCGCATTTGCCTGTTCCCATCTGGAATTCCCCCGCTGCTTTTTCTCATACGAACCTCGGCATAGCTGACACTTGGCAATTCCTCCACTATAGGTATCTCCATGACCATCCTGGCTATGTTGCTGGCTCTGCATAACCTTTACCCGTCGCTTCGTCCTTATACCCAACCTTTTTTCAAATTGTCTTACCGCAGTGAATCCGGAGATTATTACGTCCAAGGATGGGACGACGTCTACTTCGTCATCAGCGCCGCACTTGCCCTCACAGCCGTGCGCGCCTTCGCAATTGAATGGGTCCTACAACCGCTGGCCCGCAGGGCGGGCTTGAAGCGGAAGGGATCTGTCCGGTTCGCCGAACAGGGATGGCAGGCCATGTATTATGGTGTCATTTGGGCAGTTGGATTGGTATGTACTCGTCCCCGGAGTAAAGAGGTGATGCAGAAGGAGTGGTAGGCTGACAATTGACTTGATAGTATCTGTGGAAGAATTCCTACTATTGGTTCGACTTTGGAGCCATCTGGGCGGAGTGGCCAGCTCGCCCAGTGTCGGGTCTGATGAAGTGGTATCTTCTCGTGGAGTTGGCCTTTTTGGTGCAACAGATCTTCGTCATCCACGTGGAAGAGCGCCGCAAGGATCACTACCAGATGTTGTCTCACCATATCATCACCAGCACTCTCTTGAGCTCGGCATACATCTACGGTTTCTACAATGTGTCCAACGTGGTACTGTGCTTGATGGACGTCGTGGATTTCCTTCTGCCCGTATGTAAAACTTGATTCTCCGCTGTATCGACATTCAATACTAATCATTCCAATAGTCGGCGAAGATCCTAAAGTACCTCAAGTTTGAAAATGCCTGCAATGTGGCATTCGGCGTCTTCATGTCCGTCTGGTTCATAACCCGACACGTCTTGTATAACATGCTATGGTGGTCTATCTATAAGAACGTGCCATCTCAAATGTCATACGGATGCTACTCTGGCGCTACCTCCGAGATGATCAGCGAGAATGGCTACCCCGATGCCTTTGCATACCTCTTCGCGCCTTTCCGCAGCCTGGAGAACCCCATTTGCATGAACCGGAGCATCAAGTGGATCTTCTTGTCTTTTCTCCTGTCCTTGCAGGGCCTGTCTATTGTCTGGTTTACCATGATTGTTCGCGTCGCATACGGTGTCGTTGTTACTGGCAATGCAGAGGACACTCGTAGTGACGAGGAAGACGAGGCCGAGGTCGAGGTTGAAGCAGGCCAAGTTCTACCCAGCGGATCCGTGCGGCTGGCCGCTCAGGATGGCGCTAACACTGCCACCGTTATCAATGACAGTGCCCTGGGATTGGACCGCCATCGGTCTAATGGCACTTCATCGGTGCGCGCTCGTGGTCGCGGCCGTGTGCCATTTGATCAGAGTGATCGGAAAGCTCTATTGGGTCGCATTGGATGCGAGAAGCCCACATAGGACTCTGTCGCATCTTATTTCCTTTCTCCCTCCCCCTACTTTTTAACTGGCTCTGCCAGAGTTCATTTTGACGAATCGAAACTGGAGACTTTTTAACCAGTACATGCCATTACGCTTGCCTATCTTATCATTTACGTGTCCTGGTTTTCTTGTTCTGACTCTAAAGTCAGAGCAAGTTCACAGGATTGTATAGTGCTAGGGTCATGAATGTTTGTTTTTACTCGTGGAAAATTCGGCGGCGCCGTTCATCCTGACTAAGTCAACTATATCCCTGAGTTATCGTTTTTGATTACCTTTTTATGTTTTTTTTTTCTGCCTCGTGTTGTTTATGGCCTGGTTGGAGGTCTCGGCTTATGTCTTTACTGCTTTATTGAAATGCGATTAGAGATCCAGTCAACAATACCCAATGGATACATTTGAATGATCAGAACACTTTCTACAAAATACATATGGAAAGCTCTTTACCGATTTGGAGGCGAAGAAATAACATTGAATAACTGAGACAAAAAGAAAGACATCATGAGTTTCTAACTATATTTATGCCTGCACAAATATCATGTCCATCAAATGCCCCTAGTAGTTAGGGATGCAGACACCATCGTTCCACTCAGTGGCACCGACACATTGCCAGTCATCGCAGCAAGAAGGGCCACTAGTCTGGCAGGCAACCTTGTAGTCTATGAAGAGAGTCAGCTTGTTCTTTTTCTAATGCCCATGTCTTTTCAATTCCCAGACAAAACTCACTGCCGACACAAGTGCGCTTTTCAAAAGCATCAGGGTAGGGCACGGCGGCGGCAACGGCGGCCAGGGTAGCAATGACGATGGTGATGAACTGCATTTTGGCGGTTGAGATTGGATGATCGAGTGATCGTTTGATTGGAGTTGAGAGTAGAGGAGGTTGGATTGTTTCGTTGATTGAGTTGATTGTTGATGTTCTCTGTATTTCGAGTGGGAATCTTCAGCTATTTAACCATGAGCCAAGCCATTATAGAAGGTAGAAGATGGACATCTCTATAAGTTTCTATCTTTAGCATATCAACTTCAGATTTTCGTATGCGTATGAATTCTTGGCTTGGCTCTGTGGTAGCCTGAGGTTGATGCTTTTGCCCCCGGGATGTAGTATCTAAAACATGAAACAAATACCTCTTTTGCGTGCCGATCTTCCTAGCAATAGCAATTAACTGTAGTAAACAAACTTGGAAAGGCCTATCACTGCCAAAACTCTTCTCTCAATCCTTGTCGTATAGTATTGTTTTTCCCTGATCGGTACTACATGAATCCTGAATAACTTCAACATCCCCACTCCCCAGCCCCATATGAACAGTATGGCAAGTTACAACACTACTTTTTGCTTCGGAAAATGATTGGAAGAAATACTTCATGAATAGTAGTATATAGGTCAATATGTACAAGCTCAGTATTTTTAGCGGTTTTTTTCCCCATATGTTTTATCTATCTCTGGAGTTTCTGCATAGTCTATAGTAGACTATGCGTTATGCACTCTGTGCCCCTTTTTTTTTTTACCTGGATAGTCGTATTTAGTATAACAGGTGGCAAGCCATTCTTAGTCAGGCTTGAAGAGGTTATTCGCTTTCCTAATGAAGAAAGTCGCACTATAAGCAAAGGCCCAAAGGGGGGAATGGGGGCTGTATTTCCACATTAGGCTACGCCAAACCATTGCCAGTTACTTTCAAACCAAGCTGATATGTTTTATTCAGCTTCATTACTTGTCGCTATGGATAAAACAAGGTATGAATATAGATGGCATTCGTACTTGTCTCCTAATTTCAAGACTGCAGCGTAAAATGGTTGGTGCTTTTCTTTCGTGTAGTCTATGAATCTTCTACCAGTGTCTAGCCCCTAGCGGTTTATCAGAGACAACATTTGAAGCTCAGAGCAATACAAATATTTCAAGTCTGCAATGCCATTTTTGTAGATTTTGGAATGAAGCACTGCTACTACATGTATCCCTTCAGGACGAAATGGAACTACTACTAGTGGTGGTAGTACCTAGGTAGATACTATGTAGTGCCATGATATTCGTTAGATCAAATCAATTTGAGTTTGCCAGTGTGGGGACATTACATAGTAAACTAGTACATGTCTCAACATTATGATGATTTGTTTGGCTAGTAGTATCATGTATCAAGACATCTAGAGGCCATTGAGAGCAGCGAGCTATCAATTCCATCATTCAAAATATAAGTTTCTCCAAATTCAGATTTTCTCATTTGTCTTAAGCATTCTTACAAGTTCTAATAGCCATATTGGAATTAGGTTGAAGCGCTTGGAAGGTTCGAGTGAGAATTTCCATTCGTTGTTTCTGGGCTGGGCTGGCCAGAACACTCATGTGCTTTAATTTGGAAAGGGGGCCTTCTCTAGTGATGTCCAGCAGAGACTTTCGCTATGCATTCACTTAATATGTAATTATGTGGTTTATTCATCTAACCATGAGCTGCCAGTGTAATCGATCTGATATTCTTCACAGGCGTGGCAATGACCTTTCGATGTTTCCCGATTGTGATTGATGTTCATTCCCAGCCCCACCTTCACGTTGATGCAACCCTCGGGATCTTTATTGTGAGAGACGCCCATATACGCCGATACACGTGTGGTAGATCGAAGATTAATCAGGGCACGGCGCTCTAGGGTGACGATCTAAGAGATTGGGGGCCGCCTCACGAGGAGTCATAACGGGGACACTGGCGCTGCAACCCCATGAACATGTCTAGCAGTTGTTTATTAGAAAATGATTTCCACGACGTCTGGGGCTTAGGGGGATACGAACCTGGATATCTTCTTACTTTTACGTCCGGTCCAGTTAAAATCGGCTTGAGCTGCCTGATCCATTTGGCGAAGGGAATGCTGCTCATTTCTGCACTAAATCGAACGGAGCTTGTCGGTTCGACCGAGTCTCCGGGCCCTTGCACCATCAATTTATGTCCGACATAGCCAATGTTTGTCATGGAAAAGCTTTGTAGTGATAGCTCTTCTCCAAGAAATTCCCAAATGTGCTTCCAACCAGTAGACTCAGGATTTATTGACAGGTGTTCTTTCAAATATACCAATGTGAGTGTGAGAGTCTTCAGAGTCTGCTTGGCGGTGGTTAAAAATAATTTGAAAGACTCAGATCCGATCTGAATCCAGTGAAGGTGAAGCTCTTTCAGTCGGGTAAAATTGATGTGTTGAGCGAGTCCCAAAAAATAAGAATCACTTATATCACGTGTAAGCTGATCCCATTGGGAGAAATATAGACTTTCAAGTCTGGGTGCAACGAAAATCAGAAGATCAATATATGTGGTTGAGGTTAAAGGTGAAGTTGAAGTTGAAGTTGAAGTTGAAGTTGAAGTTGAAGTTGAAGTTGAAGTTGAAGTTGAAGTTGAAGTTGAAGTTGAAGTGCGACTCAGCTCTTTCTCGTTGTAGCAGATGCACATATGAAGATGTTCCAGGTTTTTAAGCTTTTGGAGGAGAGAAGTATAATGCTCTTGCGTGAGAAAATGATAAGGCGAAGTTGAGCCACAGAAATTAGCACCACATGTGTTTAAGGCTCTGATTTTCGGGTTGGATTCAGTAAGGCCTTGCAACATCCTCGATAAGGCCAGTGAGTTGATATTCGCTGGAAAGTGCCACTGGAGACGTGGCAAGTTGGAGGGCGTAAACACATAGTCAACTTGATCTCTTAGATTTCGCAATCCCAGGCATCGAAATTCCGTTTGCCTTGGATCGAGTAAATAGCTTGTCGCGTAATGCTTTAGTCCAACAGAATTTAAGTTTCCAAAGGAAGAAAAGCATGCGTGAAGCCTAGCGCTAAAGGTGCTTGACTCAAGAAGAGCTTGGTTATCGGCTTTGATGGTTTGATAGATTGCATAACAAGCTCGCAGCTCATCCTCATACCGATCAAGGGGGTTAGATCGCTTTGAATACCCAGAACTTTTTAACTTGAATTTTTCAAGTTCCAGATCGTGTAGACCTTCAAAGACGGTCGGAATCATCCATAATTGCCGAACACATGTTGAAAAGGTATCGTTCTTTGCCAGCTCCTCTAGTTCCCGAATGCCTTCAGCAGTGGCAATGAAGCAAATGCTTTTGAAGTAGCGATCTGCATATGCATCCAGGGACCTTGCGTAAAGCGAGCGAGAGGATAATCTGAGTGCGGCCCATTCGGATTGTTCTAAATAGCTGCAGATTTTGTTCAAAAGTTCGATTGGCAGATTTGTGAGGGCCATTTTTGGGGCTTTTCGGAGAATTGCACAGCTGGGTCTGCACATGTGGAAAAGTCGGTTCACTGGGTTGATCGCATCACCCTGTTTGAATGGTCAGGGTCGCATCCGTCTCGACTTTGATCCAGCATAGCAGGGAGTCCCTGCTGTTTGATACTGGCACGGAACCCAACGAGAAATTGTGCCTAGATATGATATTTCTGTGCCGCGAGCTGACTGGTGCCTCAGGCATCAAATGCTTTTACCCTTCCAGTCCTACATAATAATGTACTGTAAAATATGCGTTACGTTGATATATATGGGAAAAACCTCACCGGGTCTGTCCTGTAACAGGAGTTCCCCAAAACACCTTTCGATTCTGCAAACACAACATTTGAAGATTTGTACACCCGATTGGGTTCAGATGTTAGATCCTCCGATTTCCCTACCGATTCTTTCCCAGGGCATGGAGATTATCTATAACTGATTAAACAGACTTTTCTAGGCCGCTAATCTGGCTTAGCTTCTAAGCAATAGAGGGCTGGATGAGTGTAGCCATCAGTTTGTATAGATAACAAAAAACTTCCAACACCTCTATAGAACAGAAGTAGGCTTCTTCCAGTTTGCCTTCACATTCTCATCCGAACGACTCCAACTTTCCTGAATCAATTCGTCCACATTAACCTGTCCCAGAAACTCATCACTCAGCGCGTTACAAGTAATCTTTGCCATCTTTCCATCAACCATATCATAGGTCGCCCAAACCTTGACTCGAATCACATCTCCAGCCTTGACCTTGTGGCTATGGACCGCATTTTTGGTGACACGGGTATAAAGGAAGTAAGCCTCCATGCTGAAGAAGATCCGCGGGCCATCAAACATGACGAACATCGGGACGACGGTTTCCCGGGCATCGGCGTGGACCATGGCATAATGTCTCATGATTCCCGTTGATCCAATAAGTGTTCCGATCTCGGGATCGGGGATGGCAAGTGTGACATCTTGGTGGTAGTAGCTATGCTGGACGTGGTAGTCCTTTGCATTGAAGGCTTCGATGTATTTGAGGAAATGTCTTAGTGCCATCGTGAGTGGTATTCTTGGAAGTTCTTTAGGGATTGGTACTGAATATCGAGATACTTTCTAAATACCTACCGGAGCTTGAGTCATTTATACCTATCCATAATGTGGAGAAGTTTGCGTCCCGAGGACTTTTGAGCATGGATAAATTGATCCCTGTATCTGACGTAAATAGGACCTGGTACATGGAGTGCATATTCAGTCTCTCATCTGGCCCCACATGCCCTAGTGGACAATTGGATGGCTATATAGCATAGCCGATAGGTAGATTCCATTAAAATTCTGGTAATAATTATTCCAAGAACAATAAACGGCCATCTTGTAAGCTTTTTACGCCCTATATACCTGTTTCCCCCATGCAAATGGTTGATGGACGTGTGTTCGCCAAAGGTCTATTTAGCAAGTGGGTGTTCATTCCAGCACACCCACCGCAGTTCGGTAAGTACAGAATATCCCCACCTCCCGGCGCCCGGCTCCCCCACCTTTTTCCCACTTGACTGCAACTCGTCACTCAGCAAAGCCTGGTAATCCACTAGCGCCATGAGTTCCCCGTCCATTGCAACAGGGCGTGGAATAGACCCAGCTAAGCCCTATGTATGCTCACAATGCAATCGAGCATATACCAAGCAAGACCACTTGAGGGTACGTTCTGAGATCCCCCCGTGGCCCCTGAGAAGCAACTTCAGAAAGTGACTAACGAATTCCTAAGAGACATGAGAGGACACGTGAGATAAATTGTATCGACTACCCTGGAAGAAACTACATTCTTATTCGTGAATAGATTCAAATTCACAGCCGTTCCAATGTCACCAGTGCAGTCGGCGTTTCGGGCGCCAAGATGTGCTTACAAGACACGTGAGACGACAACATAATAATGAGTTTCCATTATTTCCACGAACCTGGGGAAATGAGACCAACCATCCGGTCCCTGAACAAGCTCCGACTTCTAGCAGTTTGACAACTAACTGCCCGGCGGTTGTCCTAGGACAACCGAATGCACCAGAACCACACACATTATTGGAGTCTGGAGTTCTGCTCGAATGGTTAATGTCTGACCTTAATGGAGCCCCAGTAGTACCGCTCCCCCTGGGGGGGTTTTCTGCTCGATCAGTGAATGGTGAAAACCCCACTCGTCCTGGCAACGCGGAAACACGAGCTAGCCAGGGTCCAGGGAACATGGCATTGGACCAGATCTACAAAATGATTGACGATCTTTCGAAAAAACTTAACTCAGATGTTCATCGCTCGGGATTCACTTCTTCATTCTTGGACTCCTGTCTTCATGAGTATTTCAAAAGAATTTCTCCCAATTTTCCTGTCATTCATGAACAGACCTTCTCAGCGCAAAAGACCATTCCACCCCTGTTACTGAACATGGTTGCAATGGGATCTCTCTTTGTCTGTGAGAAAGATGCCATTGAAAAGGGTGAGATGCTTTGGAGATTGGGACACACAGCTGTGTCCACATCTTGGCCCTCGATGCTTGAGATACGAGGACCATGGGATACCTGTGATGGCATTCAATTGGTTCTAACCGCTCTCATCGGACAAGCATATGCGATGCTGTCGAACAACGCAAGCATCCGAACAACTGTATCAGTGATTCATGGATTGGGATTCTACTGGGCCCGAACCACAGGCATGTACTCCGTGCCAGATGTCTTGTTAAATTCACCGAGCCCCAATCTGCCCGAAGAAGAGAAGAATACTCTCTGGAAGACTTGGGCTGCTACTGAAGTCCAACGGAGAGCAATTCATGGACACTATATACTTGACGGCTTGATCTCGCAAGCATCGGGTTCGCCAGCGAGCGCAAGACATCTCATTAACAGCCTTGGAACAGCGTGTTCTGATGCTGCTTTCACGGCGAAGACTGCCGATGAATGGATAGTGGAGATTTCACGTTCAAAGCAATCACAGATTCCAATGAGTGAGGCTTTCACGCGCATATTTGCGCCAAATTACACTGAAATCCCTCTAAAGCTCGCATACTTATCGATATTCGTCATCATCGAAGGGTTGCAGACATTAATTGCCGACCTACATGAAAACAAGGGTCCGGTGTTCGGCTCGGTATCGCGAAATCAGGTTATTCAAGCAATGCTTAATATACACCAAGGAAATATAGCGCTTGAAACGGGATCAGACCGTGATAACCTTCCGCTTCTCATAAGGTGGCATTGCGTTTTTATCGAGACTACGGCTCATTCAATCTCAGTCTACCGATGGCTGTGCGATCACTACGATCTTCCACAGGATCTTAGTGGAATACATGCCAAGGGCCATCATCTAAAGCTCAACTTGACTGAATGGGTTGGACAAGCAGATGCTTTCCGCGCAGTCCTGCACGCCGTCTCTATCACTCGCCTTCTTGATAACCTTCCCCTTAGCCAGGTTTACAGGGCAATGCACATACCTACTGCGGTATTTACTTCAGCGATGGTAATTGCTACCATGTGTCTTTTGAAGGGGCCTTTTATTGAGATTCCGGAACGATATACCTGGCCAGATGTTTGGAAGAGTCAACTTTCTCCAGGTGCAGACCAAGAATCCCTTAGTTCGTCCGGACCTGAAGATGTTCTACGGGATCTAGGAATATCTGGCCCGAGTGGTATGAAACTTGTAAATCTTCTCGATGAGCTGAACTCTCTCCAGGTTATTCTGGAAACTATCGCATCGCGATGGGGCGTCTCCGCACAGATGGGTGAGATCATCGGAAGATTTGCTGCTATTGCGCGCCAAAACCGCACCTCAATTTAAGCCGGACAAATCCATATGTGCAAATCTTATGCACTGCCTGTAATCCCTTCACAATTTGACCTCTGTCTTCGAGTATTTACTGTACATATCAGGCAAAATACTAGCCAAGATTGCCATCTCCTCCGTGCAATGTTTCAAAAGCCCCGTAGCGAATTCCAAAGATACCCCCGCCTTCCTCATTTCGGGATCAGTAATTCCATCAACATCTCCCAACCAGAAGCGAGATCGCATCCTCACTCCATCCGGCTCATTCTTAATCAGATGAATCAAGTGCCCAACATACATCACTTCATTCTTTTCATCATCCCACACTCCCGTCCTCCCACATACAGCAGTCGAGTACCCAGCCTCCTGGAACGCACCCTCCCACCCAGCACCAAAGTACTGACCCGGATCCTTGAAAGATATCTTCAATTTCTGTAGCTCACCCCCGATGTACTCGTGCACCAGGTGATGGCCTCCAATATAGGTGCTGTTATTCTCGCGAGGTCCTTCCCAATCGGAGAATACGTGGTCGCGCGGGTGCCAGAGTGCATATTGCTCTGTTTTGTGGATCCAGCCAAACCACCAGTCTATCATTGCGCCTGTGCAGCCTTTCATGTAGGTTGAGGCTGCAATGTGGCACATTCCGTCTTCGGTGAAGGCCACTCCGGCTTCCATGGGGAGGTAGGGGTGTGAGAGGAGGAGATTGGCATCTTTAAGGGAGAGGCCTGGTGGGGGAAGAGTTAGGGAGGTCATGGTCGTTGTGTTTGGGATTTGGGGAATCTTGCAGATTGAGGATTTATAGTTTTGGGAGTAAATCTCTGGGGAAGTCGACTTGGCTATGTACTGATTGATATAGGTTCGTTAGTTCATGTGGGGGAGATGGGGAAGGTGGGGAAAGAAGGGAGATACCGAGGTGGGGGACTTGGATAGCTACGGCGTACATTTGTACAAGTTCTGATATCCCCAACTTTCCCACATCTATGCACTAGTTGGCACGTGAATGAATTGATTGGATATCTCGGTCGTCTGATATCAAAGTGATGATTGGCTGAACAGCTCAGGTTTCAACTTTGATTTCGGTGTCAGTCCATCATAGCGTACAAGTGCTGGTATATTCGGTCCACGGTGTGGGGGAACCGCGCGGTGAAAATGAAACGATAAGCGTAATGAATTTATAATAGTATGAGAAATTTGCTTCATATACTAGTATATCATCTGGGCATTGTAAGGCCAATGCGCGATTAGAGAGAGAGAGAGAGAGTATCGAAACGCCAAGAATGTTATACGATTGACCATGACCTCTGGAGTTTAATATGTCCCTTTACTCACCACCCAAGATGGTCTTTGAGGGGTTGCAACAACTCCCCCGACTCGGCCTTGTTGGAAATGCAGGTCAAAATATGCTGATCTGGGCGAACAAGAATCCCATGCTCATTCAATCCCATCAAAGATACCCAATTATTGCCCTCTGTTTCTCCTTGCAGTTGGAAGTCAACGCCTAACACGACCGTCTTTAGAGGAAAGACTTGTTGTATCTCTTTGGGCAAGTTGGCAAATGCATCGCTCACCATCGACTGGAAATGAGACAGATTACATTCGTCAATGATCAAAGTGAATGTGTCCAGCTGGCATAAGTCCAGAGTCGAATATTGCTTCTTGGAGATTTCTTCTTTGGTAAGTTCGTGCACGTAACTGCAGTCTATCGCAGGAAGCTGCAGTAGTCCCGAAGTGTCCTTAATCCACGCATGTGGAAGTCGAGCACCGGGTACACACGAAGCTCGAAATGCCGACACGTTGGAGGGGATTTCTGTATCGCCGTACACGTACCCAATGTGTAATCCGAGATTATCAAAATGTTCCCGCTGACCCTCGATTCCTTTGTTGATCTCAATCATGGCTTCTGGATCTTCGATGTTGTGGTAGAGATTTTGTCGGGAGATGGTCACGTCGGGATCAGTCGTACCCAATGCCTTGAGAAGACCGAAGATCTGCTTGCCATTTTTGACGCTCTGGCTAGCGTTGACAAGGGATACTTGACGACGTTCAGGTTGATATGTGTCAAGAAGACTATCACCACCCCAGCCGTGATGGACTGCTGCGAGTTTGTACGCCAGATTATGGACATCGCCTAAGCCAGAGTTTAGACCGAGACCACCGGTCGGAGGGAAGGAATGAGCGGCATCCCCGGCACTTCAGAGAAAACGGTACAATTTAGTCATTGCAAATGCTTTATACTGCTTGATGTTTGACTTACAGGAAGACTTGACCCTTGCGGTATGAGTGGGCTACTTTTCTACTAAGAATCCAAGGCCGATAACTGAGGACATCATAAGGCACCTCAACGCCAATGGCTGCATCAATGATCTCTCGACAGTGTTTTTCATCCCAGGATTCCACTGGGTACTTTTCGGACTGACCATGATCCCTATCAGTATGTTAACAACAAGTTGTATATCATAAACTCACATCGAAGTTGCAAATCAGCACTTGGTTTCCGGACAGATCATATCCAATAATAAATCCAGAGACTAATGGGTCCATGATCCAGTGCAGCATGCCAACTTGTTCCTTGATCACGGGCTTCAAGTCGGCATTGAAATGGATTGTCATCATAGTTTCACCTTGAATAGCTCTGTTAGTTCCGATAAAACGTTAATTCCATAGAATAACTTAAGAAACTGACAAGTCTCTTCGCCTTCACTTGCTATTCCAAGAAACTGTCGAACGGCACTTCTAGCCCCATCGCACGCAATGACATGCTGGGACTTGATACTGTATTCCCTTTGAGATGATCTGTCTTCGATTTTGGTCACAACAAACCCATCTCTCTTGAAACTGAGTAAGCATTATGACTATCTTTGTTGTTCTTTGAGTTAATGTTCATGACTAACCTGCTCAAGGCTCATAAACGAGTGGTTCTTGCGAATTTCAACGAGGTTGGTCTTCGATAGTCGCTTGGAAATGAAATCTTCAAATGCTGGTTGGGGAATATTGTGTATCATCTTTGCGAATAAATAAGTCTCGCATTCCGAGAGGAATTAACGGGTGTCTTACAGTTGGAGTATCGTTAAGAACTCCATGATCCATGCGCTCGTAGGGTAAACGCCCGACTTGTCTGCCAGCTAGACTTGTGACAAAGTTGACCCAATAAGCATCTTGACGAGGGTTGCCAATTTTGCGAATCTCATTTACATCCAACCCCGCCTGTCGACAGAATTCGAGAGATCGAGGCGAAAGCGCATGTGCTTTAGGAGCTGCTAGCCTGGTTGGGTAGCGTTCGATGACCAAAGATCGAACTAATCCCAGTCAGCAACTTGATAATCATAAACGAAGGAGTCTCTGGGGCTAGATACCACCCAGTTGAGCGAGCAAAAAAGCGAGAAGAAGACCTGATGGCCCCCCACCGATAATTAGAACTGGGACCTCCTCATCCAAAGGCGAGGTATGAAACAGAGGTGACATCTCTATGGCTTATGTTCTAGTCTATACAAATTATCGAACAAATTATCGAGGCTTCTAAATAGAACAAAACAGCGTGCCCCGGGAGCAGCCGTTTGTGGGTTTTTATTTTATTTCAGCATAAGGCTGTGAGTTGTGACTTTGCGTGACTTTGCGTGCATGAGTCCCCCACATCGAAAGTGGGAAAGAAGCGGGGAAGTGGGAGGTGGCTCAGGTGGGAAAGCCAACGGAGAATCCCAACTTTCCATCAACTGGTGGGGATTGTGCCTCGGAAGAGCCGAAAGTTGACTAATAGTGTATTTCATTGGCCATTTGGGCAGTTCCATCAGACCAGGGATCCGACGTAGGATATGAGATCGTTTCTGTTTCCGTTTTAGGCGCAGGCCAGGTTCCCCGTACGAGGTCTAGTCTAAGCTTCAAGAAAAACATCCATGAGCTGCGGGATTGCTGAAGATATGCTTGAAGCAGACTTTCAAGCCTCATGGGGTTCATCGGAGATATTTCACCGAGCCAACTCATTCTGATGAACGCGAAAGTTGTCTAATTGGTAGATTCAATCTCACCGTGTATAGATGCGACCTTTCATCCGTTGGTATCCCGCAACTTGGCTAGAGCAGCCATGATACCGTCACTCAGTTCTTCGGTGGGTTCACTTGGTTTTGAGTGACTCTCGTTTGCTGCTGCCTCTAACGCTGCTGTTTCACGGCTCTCGGCTAGCACAGCGCGTAGGATTTCCTCGTCCTCATCCATTTCGGCCTGTCGTGGCCGACTTGCAGGCCTCGCAATCCTTGGAGTTTTGACTTGGGTTTGAGGTTGAGGAGCAGTAGCCTTCTTGGTAGACTCTACTCTGAAGTCCTCTCTCACCGCACTGCACCATTGTTGGACCTTTTTCTCACCCCAGCCAGGGACAGAGTTGATCTGTTCCGGTTGGGCATTCACGGCATTCTGCAAGCTCCCAAATGTAGATATCAAACTTGCAGCGTCCGATTTATTGATACTGCGCGGTGTGGTAACAAACTCCACCAAGGACTCCTTGTATGACTGGGCTTGCTGTGTGCGGATCGCCGTAGGTTGTGCGAATTCAGACGACTTGAACAGTTCGAGATAGTGAGCGGCTTCGGGTGCGGACCAGCAAAGGATCAGGGTGAGATTGTTGACCAAAGAAGTCTTGGAAAGCTCTTTGAGTACTTCCTCGTGATTGGGAATGTCAACCATTACCAGTACAATTCGTAGGTTGTATTTGCCAGCGAGGAGGCGGATTCGCGAGTAAACGTATTCGGGGTGTAGCCGGTGATATTTCAGAGATAAAAACAAGGCGCATGTCGTCATTCCGATCACATAGTCAGCGGGGGTCTCGGTATATTCCCAAGGTACAAGCTTGATGTGGTTCAGAATAGGATTGCCTTTTTGTCGCGGAGAAACAAGAATCGCGGAAGGCCCAGACCGGTTGGGAAGTACTTGTGGTTTTGGCTGCTGAACTTTGGGTGGTCCTGATGAGGACACATTAGGAGTTAGGGAGCCGGAGGACTGGGCATTACTCTCAGCTCCATTACGGGACTGCGCCCGCGAACCTGCTGCAGATCGAGCGTCCATGGTGTAGGTGGAATTGGTAGGAAAGCGGACTCCAAGGTTGTGATAGACGATAAAGGATAACAGCTCCGTCTTATCGGGATATCCACTATTCATCCTCACCGCCATGGTTTTTCTGCCGTCAAATTCTATGGAGGAAAAAAAAAAAGAGCGAACCAGCCGGCCTTTTGATATTCTACAAACATATTAAATCATGTCGGAACCACACAAGAAACGACGCCTGTCACAGGACGATTCTCCCAAAGATGCCGATACGAAAATGAACGACACCAAGACCGAGGACACAGATGCCACCGCACCAATTCAACCGAAGCGAACCCTCTTCGTTCGATCGCTGCCCTTCTCGGCGACCACTGAGACTCTCGGCGCGTACTTTTCACAGTCCTATGTGATTAAGCACGCCACTGTTGTCAGCGACCCACAGACCAAGAAGTCAAAGGGATATGGTTTCGTTACCTTCGCCGACCTCGAGGATGCCGAGAGCGCCCTGAAAGAGCTCAATGGATCCACCTTTGAAGGCAAGAAGATTCGAGTCGATTACGCCCAAGCCCGTCAACGTGAAATTGACGAGAAGATCGGCAAGAGTGTTCCTTCCGCTGCTGTTCTGAAAAAGAAACAAGACCGAGAAGACCAACGATCGGCCGCGCCACCCAAGTTGATTGTTCGCAACTTGCCTTGGAGCATCAAAGAACCAGCTGATTTGATCGCCCTTTTCCGCAGTTTCGGATTGGTCAAATATGCTACTCTTCCCAAGAAGGGAACACAACTTGCTGGTTTCGGTTTCGTGACTATTCGGGGTAGGAAGAATGCCGAGAAGGCGCTCCAGGCAGTGAACGGCAAAGAGATTGATGGTCGCACATTGGCCGTCGATTGGGCCGTAGAGAAGGAGGTGTGGGATACTCAGCAGAAGGCGGAGGATGATAAGGAGGAAAAGAAGGAAGAGAAGGAAGAGAAGGAGGAAGAGGAGGAAGAGGAGGAGGAATCTGATGATGTCAAGATGAAAGACGATGAGGCTTCGGAGGAAGTCTCTGAGGTCGAGGGATCTGATGAAGAGGAGGATGAGAACGAAGATGAGGATATGGAAGATCTGGGTGATGATGATGAGGGAGAGGATGAGGATGACGACCGCAACAATTCGACCATCTTCCTACGCAACCTGCCCTTCACTTGTGATGACGGGGCTCTCTACGAACACTTCAAACAATTCGGTCCTTTGCGATATGCTCGTATCGTCGTGGACCACGAGACTGAGCGTCCCCGTGGTACTGGCTTCGTGTGCTTCTGGAAGCCCGAAGATGCAATCACCTGTGTACGTGAAGCTCCCAAGAACAGTATGCCACAACCTACCGGCAAGGACCGTAACAACGCGATGAAGCACTCCGTCTTGCAGAACGAGGCCTCTGACCCCAGCGGTCGGTATACCTTGGATGGCCGTGTTATTCAGGTTGCCCGCGCTGTGAATAAGCGGGAAGCTACAAGACTCGAAGAGGAGGGTGTTTCACACCGTCTTGTGCGTGACAAGGATAAGAGACGTCTTTACCTTCTGTCTGAGGGTACTATTCCTTCCAACTCTCCTGCTTACAAGATGCTCTCCCCATCTGAGATCAAAATGCGTGAGGAGAGTCACACCCATCGTCAAACCGTCATTAAGAAGAACCCTGCCCTTCACCTCAGTCTCTGCCGTCTCTCCATCCGCAACATTCCTAAACACATCACCTCGAGAGATTTGAAGCAGCTTGCTCGTGAAGCCGTTGTTGGCTTTGCCACTGAAGTCAAGAACGAACAGCGACAGCGTCTGTCAAAGGAGGAGGTTCTGCGATCTGCCGACACCATGAAGGAGCTGGAGCAATTGAGAAAGGAAAAGCGTGTGGGTATTGTGCGACAAGCCATGATTGTCTACGAAACCCGTGAGGGTACCAAGGTCTCAGAGAAGACTGGTGGTGGTCGCAGCCGTGGTTACGGTTTCATCGAGTACTATACCCATCGTCACGCATTGATGGGTCTGCGCTGGCTTAACTGCCACGCCGTTGAGATCCCCGCTAGTGCTCAGGTCGATGGTGAGAAGGAGAAGAAGAAGCGACTGATTGTGGAATTCGCCATTGAAAACGCACAGGTCATCAAACGCCGTCAAGAACTGCAAGAAAAGCAGGAGAAGGACAAGGCCGAAAAGGAGAAGGCTAAGGCTAAGGCCGAGGAGGTACTGGCTGGCCAGAAGAGGAAGCGCGCTGCTGAAAGGGAGGCTGCGAAGGAAGCCGAAGATGAGGAGGAGAACAAGCTTGCGAAGCGCAACCGTATCATCGCACAGAAGCGGATGAAGCGCAGAGGTCGCAAGGGCTAGTGGTCTGTGGTGTATTCCTTATCTTGTTTCCTTTTTTTTGCATGTATAGAGAGGGTCATACCCTTGTACGCCTTACGGCCGTGACTCTATCCGTTTCTTTTTCTCTTTTAATGTTGGATACCAAACATTGTGGAAATAAAAAAGCAGTTGTTATTTGACCGTCGACCTGATTTCCAAGATCCGACATACACTTCGGGTATATTCCATGTAATCCATAAAAAGCGATAGCACGATAAGCATGAAGCCTTGAGTACTAGTGTAATATGCTGTCCCTTTTTCTCTCCGCTTAGAGGTTCTTCGCACCCTCCACCTTTCCAACAATGTTGTATCGCTTGCTGAAGAAAGTAAACCATTCCTCCAGCGTGGTTTTATCCTTGTCCTCCAGGTCATACCATTCCGGTACACAGTCTTCAGGCTTTAGCGACGAGCGGGCGAGAGCACGAGAGGCATCCTTGCCAGCGAAGACTATTGCGTCAATTTCCCATGTCAGTTGCTGTTCGTTACCTCGGTGCATGTTGGATTAACCCCACACGGCGCGAAGAGGAGGATAGGATGTACGACTCACCGCGATATGACCCAGCAGATCCGTAGGCTTCATTACGCGACACATCAAAGATCACGCCCTTGATGGCGACCAGGGTTGGGCGACTGGGATCGGTACCTGTGATGAAGCATGAGTTGTGGGTTCGGAGTTCGCGGAGACCGAGTCAGATGCGCGGGGTGGGAGGTTTCTTACCGTCGCATTTGGCCAATTCCTCCTGGGAGATTAGGTCGTCCTTTGGTGGGTCCAGCTGAACTGGCACCTTGGGAGCAAAGCGCTTGGATTGAGTATCTTCGGTCATTTTTGTGATTTGGAGAGTGGTTGAGATGGTGTCAAGTCCCCGAGGGATTATAGTCGTGGGGCAAGCGGGGCGGGGTTCGAAGCATAACCGATTTTGCTTACGAACTCTTCCTTGTGATTGCCCACCGAAGTAGATATAGAGAGTTGCGTATTGATTTTCTACATTCCTTAAGTACTTCTTCTGATCGGATGATAGTCGTTTCATAGTTGTAATGTCTTATATAACCCGATCTTAGCTAGGCAGAAAATGTTCAAGGCTCTCTTGCATGCTGAAAGCAAGTAGTTATAAGATAGACAAAGTACAAAGTTAATAAAATACTACATAGTGAAAAATTTAGGACGATGAGGTTATAGTTAGGTTATTTCTGTCACATTTAGGCTTGCGGTCTGTATGGCATAGTACTTACTAGTTAAGTACTTAGTATGCTTGCTTTGGTGGCGAACCATCTACATCAGATGTCAGATGATGACTTGTCGCAATTCGAACCTTAGACCGAACCTCTTAACGACCTTCTCTTTTCCACACACAGATGTTAGCCCCTTCATCTCCACAAGACCAATTGAACCAAAATAATAACTAGTATTTACGACATGTCCTCCAACGACAAGTCGAACTCACTTCCACATTGGGTTTATCCTCCGGACCCTCAAAACCCTCGACCGAGCTCCACGGAAGCAGTGGTCCACCATCTCTACTTTGAAGACAACGATAGCTTCTTCCCTCCTACCTGGCTTAGAAAAGAGGATGCCCCCCAGCGACGTTCCTCCGAAGATAGTTCGGCCAGCCACGAATCTCAAGACGAGCATCATTCTGAAATGAAGCCAGATCATGCTAGATGAATATCAAGGGTCATCAGGAATCCGAGAGCTTTGCGCTATGTAACATAACATTTATCAATGAACCTCCAGTTTTTTCCCAGGTTTACTCAAGAACCTGGCATCTACAGAGTAGAGGCACTCTTATTAACTTTGGAAATTCCCACCAGTCACAAAAAGTATTTATTTCCAATAATCAGGCTGAAGGGCTGAACCAATATAAACACCATTATGCATATTCAATATCTTTACACACATCACACGCCTGAAGACAGCTCCATCTATTGCTTTTGCTCTTTCTCGGCCTCTGCAGCCTTCAGCGCATCGAGTCGCTGCTTATTCCGCTTGCCCAAGATCCGGAGGGTGTTCTGACGCTCAATCTCCGTCATCTCATCCCAGTTTCCAATCCGCGCAAGCGTTCCATCAACATTAACAACCATCGGTCCCAGATGGTTCAGGGTGACTGTAGAACCGCCTTCGGCACTGAGGTCAAGCCGTTGTGGTTGATCGCCGGAGTCGCTGGAGGGGAGGTAGAGTTGTTCTGAGGGAGGGGAGACCTGGTCATCTGACTGGGACTGAGTAGAGTCCTGCTTCGGGGCCTCGGTGTTTGATGAAGACATTGTGTGAGCCTGGCGACTTTGTTCAAAGGTGGAGTTGAGAGGCGAGCACTGGGGGTAGAGGATGTTGTATAGTCGCGAGTTCGAAGTTGGGAAATGGGAGACGGTTTTCAGGGCGCCGGCACTAGGGATAGCGGCACGGGCGAGAATTGGGTTGACGGTCAAGTGGAGGAGGGCAGCGCGGTAGGCAGTTCGTGATAGCAGCATTGTGAATTTGTGGAAGAGTGGATTGTTATTGATGGTGGAGTTTCCGAGAGGATAAAAATGCGGGTGGAGCCAAGACGGTTCTGGAACTTGCGGGATTGATTTTCATCTCCGAAGAATTCAAGCCTCAGGAGAGACCGCATCGCTAATGTTAGGCTTTGCAATTATCTCAGACGCGTCGAGTTGTCGAATGCGATGATGTATTAGGAATTAAATTTGCCTATGTACAATGTGATTGTTTCTCTACCAAAGCACCTGTGGCTTTTCTAATTTTGATGTCGGCATACTACAAGCTGTTTATCGGAACCACCAATTTACCTAGTTTTAGTGATCAGTGACTTGCCTTTGGTACTCAACGTCCCTTTCGACTTACCGACGCAGTGACACCTTCTCCGATTCCCTTGATGCTATGCCACCAGCCCTTGGGAATAAAGAGACCGTCGCCAGCCTCCAGGTGCACTTCGTAACGATGTCCGCTATCTGAACCTGCAGAAGCTGAGACACCCCATACCATCTCATCTAACAAGGCTCGTTCTTGGCCCTGCATCATCTCCTCACCTCTAATTGCCGCGGCTTCTTTGCCACCACTTTGACCTAATTCTCTGCGAACCGCAGAGAATAGCGCCTGTCCCTCTGCGGGAGCTAGAAGCCTGACCACTTTCTGCCCAGCAAGCTGCACAAACAGGTTGGGGTTGGGATCCCGGTGCAGCGGAGTATAAGTAGGCGGATGCCCAATCCACACATTCGTATCGTACACATCTCCTTTCCCAGCCTGTGCGACAATGGTGGGTGTCGGGAAATCGTCTCGCAGCACTGGTGGAAGATCCATCAGTTGGCACTGTGCTAGATACAGCCGAGCCGACTGTGGAGACATTTCCGCCATGCGCATCCAGTCAAGAAAGAGTGTAAGCGGCGCATGAAACTGCCGGAAGTTCACAGCTTCGGTGGCTCTTTGTTCCGATCCTGTGCGATCTGTACTGGGTGGTTGTGTGGCTTTCTCGGTAAGTTCGAGTGGGACAAACGCGTCGGCGGCATGTGTTCGCAGATAGTCGTCGTTCAGGCGCGTCGCGGACGTCATTGGGGAGGGGCTTTGGAACCAGTTCTTCAGCGCGGGCAGGTCACGGAAATAAGAGCGTGGGAGCAATCCGGGTTGCTCTGGGCTGAAACATTGCTGTTGAAAGGTATTGACGTTGGCATCTTTGAGGGTATCGAGGGAGCGGTATTGATAAATTGGTGACGCTGAGAATGTGCGTGTACTGCAGTTTGGGCGCAGTTTAAGAGAAGCGAAGCGTCGTTTCAAGACCCAATTGGGCGACCATGACTGGAGCTTCATTCAGGTGATCGCGAAAGTTGAAGTTGGTTGAGGACCAAACCCGCGGAATGCACAGATACCATCATACTAGTACGGTATACGGTATACCCCACCCGCATGACTGTATTAGGCGGCGCCACAACGGAGCGACCAAATAAGAAAATGGTCTATTGTTGGTTAATCATACATGAATTATACACAGGACGCGTCGCATCAATTAAAAGAAGACTTATTTACAAGGATTTTCGGTTAATCAGCGGTCAACCCTTCAAATCAGACCAGAAAGAATTCCGGACCGAGGCTGCGTGCTTCCCCTCACCTCGCAAAACCACCCTCATCTGTAGACTGTGACCTACTGCAATCTTAACAACGGATGCTTCTTCCATTTCGTTTTAATTTGTCCCATCTACCGAATTACTACTTGTATGCATCCGAGTCAACTGTTGCACAGGATTAAAATTGAATGCAACCCCTTCAATGTTACAGGCGCTGATATGCAAAGCTAGACACCCTAAATCACTTTAACAAGCGCCGGAATACTACCTATATATCACGCCCTCGGCGATAAACGCCAATTTAATCCTCAACTTTAGACTACTCAAGTGCTGAGAAACCATTTGGCAATGCCTTCAATCGCAAGGATTCACAAGCGCCATGTTTATGGGAAAGATGCCCATACATATTACCCGGTGCTCATTATCGGCGCCGGGGAATCGGGGGTAGCGATGGGATGCCGCCTCAAAGAAGTCCTGGGAATAGATCAATTTCGAATTTTTGAGCGGCAATCGGGTATTGGAGGTACTTGGTGGATCAACCGGTATCCTGGTGCTGCGTGTGATGTGTAGGTCTCTTCCGATCAATCCAATAATGTTAATCACTAACATAATGCTACCACAGTCCAGCGGTACTTTACTCTTTTTCCTTCTCTCCCAAGACGGACTGGTCCACACTACACCCACCCGGTGCAGAACTTGCACAGTATTTCGCAGATGTATGCGAAAAATATCAGATTGTCGACAAGATCCAATTTCACACTGATGTGAAGGAGCTCAGATGGGTGGAAGAAGATGAGGAATGGGAGGTTATTCTTTCTCATCTGGTTCCAGGAACAGGTGATCTCTCTCAGCATGAGCGTGATCAGCTGGCTGAAAAGGAAGGCCTGCACCGTGTGTACATCAAAACTGAAATGGTGCGGGCTAAGATTGTTGTGAGCGGCGTAGGAGGACTAGTTGAGCCCAATACATGGCCAAAGGGCATTCCAGGCATTGAGGAATTCCAAGGCGAGGTCACGCATACCGCTAGATGGAATAGCGATATCGACTTCCGGGATAAAGATGTCATTGTGGTGGGCTCTGGCTGCAGTGCAGCCCAAGTCATCCCCAGTCTGGTGAACGAAGGCAATGTTCGCTCTATCACACAAATAATGCGAACCCCTCCTTGGGTACAGCCAGATTTATTACCATCCAATGTCCTCGCTTGGTATGAAAAGTGGAGTCCGACCTTGATGACCAACGTCCCTGGTCTTGCACGCTTGATGCGTAACTATGTTTTCTGCGGCGCTGAGAGAAACTGGTTCTCTATGTTCCCCGACACTCCCTATAGTCATCGGAAAAAACCAGAGATCGAGAAGAGATTCATGGACAACATGCTCTCCCTCACGCCGGAGAAATACCATGAGATTCTCACTCCAAACTATCCCCTCGGTTGCAAACGCCGCATTATCGACGATTCTTGGTATAAAAGTTTGAATTCGCCAATTGTTGAGCTCACAACGCAGCCGTTGAGTCAGGTTCATGCAAAAAGTGTTATTATAGGGCCTGGCAATCATTATCCAACCGACACGACAAAGTCAACAGATGACCCCCGGAGATACCGGCCGATGTGATTATCTTGGGAAATGGATTTGAGACTAACAAATGGCTACATCCACTGAAAGTTGTTGGAAAAGAAAAGAAGGATATGCAAGATTATTGGGACGAACGTGGCGGTGCGCAAGCATATCTTGGAATTGCCATGGATCATTTCCCAAATTTCTTCATGCTCTTTGGTCCAAACACAGCTACGGGTCATACCAGCGTGATATTTGCCACAGAAAATGCCGTGAACTATTCATTGAAGTTCATCAACCCCATTTTGGATGGTCAGATAAGTTCATATGAGATCAAGGAGTCGGCAGAGCGGGCATGGACGAAGCAGGTGCAGAACCAACTACAGAAGACAGTCTTCCGGCGAGGTGTGTGCTCAAGTTGGTATAGTACCGCAGACGGTTGGAACTCCAGCACTTACCCGTGAGTATTATGATACTATTTGATGGCCATTGCTTCTTTTTGATGTTTGATCTTACTGACGAGGCGTTTAGATACACCCAGCTGCACTACTGGTATCGGTGTACTTTCCCTGTATGGCAGGATTGGACTGCCAAAATGACACAGAAAGGCCTGATTATCCAGCGAGCTCGTAGAGCTTTTAGATTATCAGTTCTCTTTGGGCTTATAGCCGGGCTTGCATGGTTGAAGAAGAAGCCACAGCATCAACACCAAGTGATGCAGGCTCTTCTCGCAGGCAAAAACTGGATTCTGACCAGCCTTCGTTAAGACTCGCAATGATATCGTCACTTCAAGGCAGCTCATTGTGAAACTATGAAAAGTGAAGAGAAGAAGAGCAGTTATTTAATGATGGGTGGAAGGGATAGTAGGCAAGATTGGAAATGCTGATTTGTGAACCATGGAGAACCAAGGCATAGGAGGACATAATATTCACCGATATTTCACTTGGTCCATAAGGCTGCGCAAATTTTAAAGTCGATTTAATATTATAGTACCTCAAGATGATCATTCTTAATCAAATGTAAGGCAGTAAGAACTTAGAAGGAATCTACTTCCTCAGTGCCCAATCATCTCTCTATGAGAGATGACTCAGCCCGGAATCCGGGGAAGCGGCAAACCCCGCGAGGAATATCTCCGCACTTCTTTGAAGGCCTTTCTCCCCAAAAACTTCCCCTGGTGACCCTGTTCTCTGCGTTTCATGGCTTCCGAATCGCCTCAGATTGAAATGACACCTCCGGGGATGGGTCCCGGGGATCAGGCCACAAGTCCGGCTGCGGATTCGGCCAAGAGGAAGGCGGAACAAGGCAACGGAACTCAGACGCGCGCAAAGCGGAATCGCTACATTTCTATCGCATGGTATGTTTATTACCTGAATCACTTCAAGACTAGTCCCGATACCTTGGTCGGCATTTGAAGATTGCCGTTAACCGAGATACGATTAGCTGCAGCATTAGACTAGCAGCAGTATCGTCATGCCACCCGACGTTTCATCCGGTCAGCTAGACTGAGCTAACGAACACTTTGTTTAGTAATGAGTGCAAGCGTCGCAAAATCAAATGCAATGGACAAGTACCCTGTGGGAGATGCGGGCACCTCAACTTGGAATGTACGAAACTATCCAAGCCGCAATATACTCATGTTGCGCAAAGACCGCCTTACCTTACTAACATGATGTTTAGGCCGATATGCGCCGAATTGCTGTAACAATAACTTCAAAGACTCAGAGTAGGTCACGGAACTTGAGCCAAAAATTCTGCTCCGAATGTACCTTGCTAAGCTCCGTCCAGGGAATATCGGTCGATGGGGTCTCAAATAGCGACGCTACAAGACCAAGTCAACAGTCTTTTCAACAACATCAACGAACTTAGGGCCCAGAAACCCAGTTTTGAAAGCCCTTCATTTGACCATCTATCTCGTGATGGCTCCTCCCAAGCGGTTTTTACTCCCTTGCCCACCGGGATGCCGAAGGTCCGACCCCGGCATCCGCATTTCCATGGCCCAACGAGCTCGGCGTTTAATTTTGACGTTGCCAAGTCAAGCCTTCAGAGTATGGGCATCACACCAGCAGAGGACGCTATACCTGACGACTTAACAACGGCGCATGTTACGCCAGCTGGATCACCGCCTCCACATATGAGCACCCTTACCTCCACTATTCATCCGACCAAGGATCTTCTATGGGGCATATCGCGCAAGGCTGCTATAGAGCTGTGTGAAACTTATGATGAAGAAATCGGGATCATGTATCCTATTGTTGACATCACTACAGTCATCAAGGAGGCTAATCTACTCTACGACTTCATGGAAGCCGCCATCGGTAGTGGTCTTGCCCAACCGAGTTTGCCTGGTCCGGACAGCCTTCATAATGAAAGCGCAATTCTTCTTAAGCTTATTCTCGCCACCACGCTGGTTGTGAAAGGGGGTGGGCAGAGCAACGATGGGAGGCGGTTATATCTGAGCATCAAGCCTGTGATTGAATCTAAGCTATGGGAACCTTATGCTATTAAAAACATCCAGCTCTTTGCTCTCGTGGTAGGTGGTGACTCTTTTTGGAGTGAGCTTCTTCAAACAACCATTAACATTATCTCGGACAGGCTACCTACCATTTCCACACGGATGATGACGCCATGGCCTACCGACTGATTGGCTTAGCTGCGCGCATGTGTTTGGAAATGGGTCTCCATCGTCGAGAGGCCTTAATAAAATCTTTCCCCAACGAGGCCGAATGGAACGAAGCCACTCGTATATTTTGGTCAGTTTACAGTTTGGACCGACGGTGGAGCTTGGGCACTGGGTTGCCATTTGTGATTCAGGATGAAGATATTGACCCGAACCTACCAGAGCCGGTAAGTGAGCGAGATGTGTGCTGAAATGTTTCTCTTCTGACTCCAACAGGATGCATCTCTAACCTATCTTCGGTGTATGATATCATACAATCGAATCAGCTCCAAGATTTGGTATTCAGGCCTGGGCTCAGAAGGAACGACAGATATTCGACGCGATGAGATTGGCTACTTGGACTATCAAGTCTTGCAGTGGTACAGGCAAGTGCCGGATGAACTTAAATTTTATCCTGTGGAATCTCCCAAGAATGGAGAAACTGCAACTCGTGGCATGAGACGTCTCCGGATTCTACTCTACTTGCGAATGAACCAGCTACGAATCCTGATCTATCGTCCAGTGCTTCACTCGGCAGCAAGCATTGCAGAAGACCGAGGTTATTCTCAGACCGTGGTAGACATTGCCAAGGACACCGTTCGAGTGCTTACACGACTGAATCAGATGTCTGATATCTACCGTACCCAACAGATCACATTTAATTATTTCCTCGTTGCTGCGCTGGCTGTGCTGTTCCTCGCCGTGTGTCATGCACCTGCCGACTTTAATCGGCAAGTCCGGGACGAGTTCTACATGGCTTTGGACCTTATCAATGGATTCAGTACCAAATCATTCGTATCGAAACGGCTGTGGAAGACTATTAAAGGGCTTCGAATGATTGGAGAGAAATTGGGGGTCTTGGCCCGTCCCTTTGGCACAGACTCTAATGATCCCCACTCCACCGCAGCGGTGGCTATGGCAGATCTTGCTGGGCACTCGGTCAATGACCTTTCTGCCTACAGTCCCTTGAATGGTTTCCAGATGAGTCACGAGCTGACGCATCTATTTGAGGCTGTTGGTTCATTTGGCAGCTACCTGCCAGGCACGAGTGGTCCAGAGGGCATCAATGGATTTGTTGGCACAGCTGGAGAAATCCAGAATACCGGCGAAGGACTTTCCGGGATTCTGGGTGGTGAGGAGGAGTTTTCTCGCATCCTTCGTGACTTATTCTGATGGGATAGGAGTTACAGATAAGAGAAATATAAGAAAGCCCTGTATGCATACTATAGCATACTCAGTACATACTAGTACATACTACTTGGAGAGAGCATATGTATAAATACTTGATACTCAGGATTTGATACGTACTTACTTATAGGTATACACTTGAAACTGAAATAGAGCTTTCCAAGGTCGTACAGTAGTACAGGAGTACTACTGTATAGTACTATCCACAGCTGCCTCAGTCCAGATGCCTGTTCTATAGTGAGACCCCAACATCGGCCTCGCACGTGATCGTGAGCTACCACTTGGATTGATTGATTTCTTTCTTCGTCCCACCTGACTTTTGAGGTTGTCAAAGTCGTTTCATGCAAACCATCATGGCTGCAGAGATATCCCCTGCATTGTTCTGATCTGTGCCACCGCCTCACGACTTCCGAACCGAACGTTAGCGTCCCAGCAATAGCCTGGGAAAAGAATATTGAATCGACAAAGCACCAAACCCTTGTGGCGTTGGCTCACGAAATTGATAAACATTCGTTTTAGACGCGTCTTAGACGACTCTGGTAAGTGATTTCGGGTGACCTTGCTCCTTTGGTAGCTCCGAATTGATGGGGAAAGCTGATAAGATTTTGGTGGGGCTAGTCGTCTGAGATACGACGTTCTCGACTTCGCACAACCTCCCCTCCCGCAAATTGCCATCAACGTCGAACTTCTCCAGAGACCACTCTCGCCCTCCAACTCCATTCGTGTCCCACCGACGATCCCGGACTCCACCGCTTGCCGATTCTCGTTGATGATCTGAATTACTCGAGTAATTTTCTTAAGCGAATTCCCTTTCCCGCTGCCCCCACGTTGATCCTCCCGCCCGCGGCTGCTACCCAACCCCCTCGCATTTCGCGTGACAGGGTTGCTGTGTTGTCGTCGCCCCCTTCTCCCGCATATCAAATAATCTCGGCAACGTGTCGAGAGAGACAGGTTCGGCGTTGGCCGACGGCCTGGACAGGCTGGATTTGAGTCAACTGTCTGAATCAACTCTTTCCTCATCCGTGTCCGCCTCATTCGATATGTCGTCGTCGGAAGGTGCGCCGGAGTCTTGGATCTCCTCGTTTTGCTCGCTCATGGGTCATGAGTTCTTTGCTGAGGTGTCGGAGGACTTCATTGAGGATGATTTCAACCTAACGGGCCTGCAGTCGCAGGTGCCGATGTATAAAGAAGCGCTAGAGATGATTCTTGACGTGGAGCCCGAGGATGACGAGGAGGAGGAAGAAGAAGAAGAGGAGGAGGATGACGACGAAGTTCTGGGTGAGGACCGACCGGTTGGCTATCGCAGAGCTGGTGATCGCCGACACGCGCGCGTGGCTAGCGATCTAAGTGTCATTGAGAGCTCTGCCGAGCTACTGTACGGTCTAATCCACCAGCGGTATATCACCTCACGACCGGGTATTCAACAGATGCTGGAAAAGTATGAAATGCAGCATTTTGGCGTCTGTCCGCGCGTCAACTGTAGTGGATGCAAAGTTCTGCCCGTGGGCCGATCCGATACCCCAGGTCAAGAAACGGTTAAGCTCTTCTGTCCTGGCTGCATGGACATCTACACCCCACCCAACAGCCGCTTTCACTCCGTGGACGGAGCCTTCTTTGGTACAACATTCGGATGTCTATTCTTCATGACATTCCCCGATTTGGGTATCGGACCCCGCTTAGATGCCTCCTTGGCTAACATGCCACGAACCACCACTTCACAACCTGGAAGCCGACCCCAAACGGAGACCGAATCCCCTACACCTGAGAATCAACCACTAGAGATCAATGGCGTACGCACGGAGAGCTTCTGCCCGGGACTTGGGCGTGGTAAGGTTTACGACCCCAGGATCTACGGGTTCAAGGTCTCTGAAGCGTCGCGTGTGGGACCTCGCATGAAGTGGCTTCGAATGAAGCCCAGGAATATCTGTGAGCTAGATGAGGTCTTGCAGCACGAGGAACTTGGTGCATTTCCCGATCAAAAGTCCAGCTCGGGTCAATCTCGGGGGGATAAGGATGGAGATATGGAAATGAAAGCCGGGCAGTCTCAGGAGGCATCAATTGCAAACCGGAAAAAGGCACCCATGCGACGACGACGATTGGGTGACCCTACCCCCTCTGACCAGATGAGCGTCCAAGGGAGTGAGATGGGCTAAGATGCACACCCCCGTTGGCTTTTCTCCCCCATCAAGAGGAACCGACTGTCCCCCGCCACATCTACCATCATGTTTCCCTCTCCAGGTGTCATGCGGCACCATTTAATGCCAGAAGTCAAATACGATATTTTCCGCTGAGGGAATAGTGGAAGACATGCAGGACGGTAGCTTGGCTTCAAGTGTTTTCTCATTATTCCATCTTGTTTCAATTAATGGGATGGTCAAATGCCACTTCGATACTGCGGTCGATTATTTAGGTCCTTTGTTGCATGTTTCTTGTTCCCAGTCTTGCCGATCATTTCTAGGTACAAACTTTTGAGCATTGATTTTTTTATAAGTGTTCTTTATTTTCCAATAGCGAATGGTTCATGCCACTTTTCGGGTATTCATGAAAAGGCAGGCCTGGAAAGTAGTATGTAGTGTTTAGTGTGCTCCAGGGTTGCTTGGAATGACGAAGTAGGGTATTTCCAAGGTCGAATTCATATTGGAGATGAGATTCCTTTGAAGCTTTCAAATGTTCTGGAAATTGTTTCAATATTGGGAAACATCTGATGAGCTAGGATATTGGTCCAAGGGTTCGTGGTGCCATAAAGACTTGGGGTTGGCTAGCATGCATGATATCTTTTGAATGTTTCAAGATTCACATGTAATTATAAAGATTTGAAATCAGAGTCGAAAAGGAACCGATTGCCCTTGTTATTAATCCCTGTTGAAGAAGCCACATTTATGGCTGGACATGATCATGCACCTACGTGTGAATATAACAAGGGGTTCTTTCTATTGCAGACGCACGTTCAGCTGGGCCAAGATGCTGGAAACATCAGCATTTTAATCACATAGATATGCAAGCGATGTAACTATCCTGGTTCATATGGAGGCAAAATAGGTGGCGCATGGATTATTGGCCTAAAGAAACCAGGGTGATCCTACTTATCCTATGGTGAAGTGGTTGCTTGGAATGGCAGCGTAGCATGGCAAGGCAAGAATATTGGCAATGGGCGTTGGCCACGTAGATTAGACCTTGGTTCTATTTGAAATCAATATAAACCAAGCTAATGGATCCGGGCTTCTCGAGGTCTCCTACCAGAGTGGGAAGTCACTAGTACCAGGTATGTCAATGTTTTCTAATGTTTGTTTCGTTTAAGACGTGCATTAAGAATGGGCTTTTCCTTTCTTAGACCCACGTATAAGAGATGGACTTGATTAATTTATAGGTTTTGTACGGTATATCTCCGAAAGCTTTGAATGTTGATTGCTTGGACTGTGAATGTACTAGTATACTTCGTACATGGTAAAGTACTTGAGACTAGTGGTAAGTCGTGCTGATCCACTAGCGACGCACCCATGTGTCCACAGTCCAATGACTGACTCGTGCTCGGATAAATCCGTACTATTGCTCTTTTTGGGATTCGTGATTTCTAATGATTCCCTATTCCTTGCTGTATTCCAGTCCGAACAAAACAACCCCCTTATTGCCAACACTTGATTGAAACCGAACCACGTCACCAAAGTTCGATGAAGTTACTTAAAATACCCCCTGCATTGAAGTTGATTGGCTGGATTGGAAATTCACGAGAGACATGTTGACGACTCTGTAGATCACATGGGACTTTTTTTTTTTTTTTTCAATCAATTGATTGTTATGGAATATGTTTATTGTGTCATTAGCTGATCACTCATGAGTCATGTATAGAGAGATGTACATGTCGGCGTCTTTCCGAAATGGAATCCTAACTCGATCAAGCAGGTGGAAACTAAAGAAATCCGAACTCCACCATAAAAAGGGGCCAAACCAAATAGCCGACTTGGAAATAAAAAGGATCATAAAAATAAACCTGATCTGCATATCTGACTTTTTTTTTCTGGTTATCTTTCTTTTCTCAAGATCTCCATGACGAAAAGAAAACGGGTCCCAGTTTTTATGCCGATCGGACCCCATGAAATCCAGTGGGGCAACCTAATTTAACTGCAAAGTTCAGGTAGTATATAGGGCTTATAGGGCTTAAGATTTATAAAGTAACGTTTTTTTTTTGGCCCCCTCGTGGCATGGGTTTCTTTTATTTTGACTTACTTGCGCGCTAATAATTAGATGAGACTCGTGATCGAATGGGGATATTGGTCTATATAGTAGATTCATTTAGAAGACTCCGTGTGGGAAATGGTCACACTGGATTCTTTTGGGGGTTTTACAATAGTGAAGTATACAGTATACACTTATGTATTCTTGTACTCTTGTAAAGGTAAACTATCATGGGAACCTGTTGGAACAGAACCCTGCATTATCACGCATGCCTTGGACTCATGTTTCAAAAATAGTAACATGCTGGGTGATTGTAATATTGTGATATCAATCTATTAGCGACGGGAGTCTGATATACTCGGCAATTATAGGTCAATGTCAATGTTGTGCATTATCTGGGTGACCACATGATAATGATGAATCAACATTTGAAACAATGTACCTGGATACGTACAAAATAACGGGATTGTTCACTCGGTCAACGCCCGAGTTGACCAGTTAACCTATAGATCTGACCCGGCTCGGTAAGAATCACCAATTTAAACTAGCACGTCTTTTCTTTTCTTTTTTTTCTGTTTTTCTGTTTTTCTCCTTTTCTCCTTTTCTTATTCTCTCTGTCATTGGTCTCCCTCTCTGCAGGGCTCTCTCTTTTTTGCCTTTTGCCTATATTAAGGTTGGAGTAGAGTCCAAGGGAACTTCTGCATCAGGACAGCAATGCGAACATGTATTCCGCCCCAAAAGTCCATGATGATCCTGTTTCATGTTCCAAGGGTTTTTGTTTTTGGTCTTGGCTTCCGGGTGATATATCCAGATGTCCACATGTTCACAAGCGAGGCTAGATAACATATGCAGACTAACCCAAAAGGGAAAATGGGGAAAGCTCAATTCTTTCCCCCCAATGATCAGTCATTTTTCTCCTCATTTTCTCCCCATTTCTCCCCAAACGTGCATGTCTTCGGCCCCCTTTCACCCTTTCCCAGGTCTAGTCTACTTTGGTTCTACTATGTTCCAGACACGACCTCGCCTCCTTATACTCACGCAAAGGGCGCGCCATCGTGCCCTTTCCAGTCTAGGTACATGGTGCTTGGAATCACAGGTTCCAAGGGACTCAAGTGCACATGCATTCTTGACCAGGCTAATCCCAACCCTTGGGTCTTTTATGCTTTTTGATTTGTGACTCTTTCACTATACGGCCGAAACCAACGGCCTAAAATGTCCCTGTCGATAGGTGCGCGCGGGCCACCCGATTGCAATTGCCTTGTTGTTTTTTTCTTTTCTTTTTATTATCCCTCCCCCTCTTTGGCTTTTGGCTTTTGGCTTTTTGTCTTGGAGGCTGGCTGGTTCTTATTGGGAGGCGACCTAGTGAACCACCGGGACGGTAACGAGAAAAGAGAACAGATCAATTTATTTTTTTTTAAAGAAAAAGTCAAATAAGAATCTACGTTCCTAAAATAGAGAGCGAGGCGGCTCTTCCTCCGTAAAATTCATGGGTCCCGCCGGAACCTTACCAATCCTAGGCCGATCTGAGAAGGTGAGGATGATGTACAGGGCTGGAGTGGAGGGGGAAAGCGTTGGAGGCGTATAGGCTGAGGAGCAGCCTAGCTGCCTAGGTGCTACCTTGGTCTATCCAACTCTTTTGGTATGAATGGGAGCCTGTACGGAGTCAAATGAGGGGGGGAAAAGGTACGAAGTAGAAAGTAGAAAAGAAAGAGGCACCAATGCCCCCGGGGAGATAGGGATACTGGACAGTGGACACCCCCCGCCAAATCCCTGCCTATTCTCTTGTCGTTCCCACTTCTCTACTAGTAGTAGTCTTGCAGGCCCAAGGGAATGGGATCTCGGATTATTGCATCATCGTCATCGGCTTTCGGGCGTAATGAAGAGTCGAGACCATTAAGCCCGCAATCTCTTGCGGGTGCGGGCTACCGCAATCTCTCCCCGTGTGATTGGTTGGGGGCACGGATGTCGGAATGCCGGGAGTTTCTGCAGCGATCACACAAAAATCCAGTGGACTGGTTACAAGGCCACATGGTTTCGAAGCGACGGCTCCGCCCGGATCCTGACTCATGGTCTCCCTTGGATTTGAGCTGAGCCAAGGCTCAAGGGAGGGTGGTTCCATATCCACTTGACCCGCTATCTGTTACGGATATGCACCTGAGCAAGGGTTAGCGTTGTACTTTTCCTCTTTGTTTTTTGGGTACCGGTTCTGTTTCGTTCTTTCTCGCTTCTTAGCGGGGAATTTATTCTCATGGAGGAATTCAAGAGCTTAAATGTGCTTTGCAAAAAAACTTCATGCTTCCACTTGGTTGTTGTATAGAGTGTTGGTTATAACGAGGGAAGCCCTAAGTCAAATTAGTCCCGGTTAGGCAAATGTTACTTCGCATGTTTCATCGCCCGTTGTGGATGCTCCAAATGGGTAAAATCGACAAGCTGTATTACGCCATACTGTTTGTGGTATCGGTTAAGTCCTTCTTTAGTGGGGGTTTTAGTTTATTTTTCATTTCCATTTGGAATTTTTGTGTATTTTCTTGTATGGATTCTGGGGGGGGGGGGGGGCCGCAAACTTATCCTAAATAGTCCCAACCTAAATCTCATTGGACGTAACAGATCCCTAAATGGTCCTTGCGACGTGGGACGCCTGATGGTATTTCAACTTACCGAACTTGCCTTAACTTGCCTTTTCCCACGTTTTGGGGGCCAGAAAACGTGGCCAATCGTTATTGCCGATCAAAAGGTTATTGCCCTTGCTCACAAATGCTACAGAAACGGTTCGACGTAGAGTGAATCATGCTTCGTTGTAAAGGTTATATCATATTGACCCTTTTGGTTCCCTTTCCCGTCTCCAAAACCTGTAAGTACTCGAACAATTGAAATAGATTATATAGGAAAACGCCCAGATGATGCTCGCTCATGAACCAATGAAAATCAATCCAAAAACATAAAGGAGAGAGATGGGGGGAAACAACCAAGTAAAAGATAATTCGTTAAGAGACAAGATTCTTTCTTCAGACCCAAAGTGGAGAGAGGCTTTCCATAACAAGTATGGGGGGAAAGAACAGGAAAAAAAAAAAGATAAACCAGAATCATGGGCTCATTAAAGACATTCCCCGATCAACACGGAGTTAACGGTAATACCCGCAAGGAAGCAGCGGACACGTATTTCGGCGCCTTAATCCCAGAAAGTAAAAGACCAATAAGAGATAAGAGACGGAGAAACTGAATCACCGCCGCATCTCATATTCAAAAAGTCCCGGCCTGGAACGGGGAGAACAAGGTGGTGACTGAGGAGTCAAGGGATAAAAGGCCGATGCCTCGGGGGAGGTGGATATCGCGCGCTTATCATCCGAATAGGCATAAGAAAGCGAAGGCATCTGCAAACATCATAAGAGATATTAGCTTCTGCAGCCTTGTGAAGAATCACCGAGAATAATGTACCGAAAGACCCGGTTCCGGATGTGAAGGCTGAGCACATAGTTCGATGCCCGCCATGGAGGCGTAGCTCATGCTGAACGGACTCATGATATCCTCGTCGTAGGCCGGTTTGCGCGGGGCTCCCATCGCTGCCGTGGGCACCATGGGCACTACCGATGGGATCGCGTCGCTATATTCCGGGAATGACAGACCCCCGTAGCTGCTCGGAATAGTCTGGTACACGGGGATTTGCCCGTAGGTTTGGCGGTAGGCGTCATATTGCGACATTGGGGGGTAAGAGAAGGCTGGTGGTGGGGAGGCGGAGAGTTGACGGGTACATTGTTGGCCGAACATGGACCTTTCGTCTGGGGTGTGGTAGAAATCGTATGAGGCTGGCCGGTCTCCTTGTGGGTGGGATTTTGATTCTCCGGATTTGGACGCTCGCTTTGTTCGAGTCTTGGGGGTGGTTTTGGGTGGTTCGGCGTGGGATTGTTCTGGTGAGGCGGATGATGCAGCTCGTCGTTCTAGATCCTCCAAGCGACGCTTCAATTTCTTGCCTATTGGGGGGGGGGTTTATGTTAGCTGTTGTGTGGAAATGCGGTTCTTCTTTCTTTTACGATTCACTTGTAGTTTTGGGGGGTTTTTTGGTATTTTCTCGTTCTATAGTTCCGATCACTCACGGTAATTTCTTTGCGCGATTCGATTCTGAATGCGACGACGCTCTGCTAGATCGGAGATCTTGGTCCAGTCTTCATTGGGGTTTGCGTTGGGACTGAAAGCACTACTATTGCTGTGCGTTGTAGAGCGAGAGCCCGAATGGGCATCGTAAGTAGAGCGCTGCATTATAAAATTGTTCAAGTGGAGTAACAAAGAAGAGTACTAATCCACATGGTCTTAAGGGCAGAGAGGGGGGGCTAAAGATTGATTATATACTCGGGTCGGAGTATGGGGCTCCTAATCCCGTCAGCTGGGAAATGTCTTTTTTACTTAGCTATTTTTGCTAAGCCCCCGTCGTGATAACTTATGCAGTCCGTGCTCGTAATAGACTCTGGTAGCCATGTGTATTTTGGGGCCGTAGATCGTGATTTGATTTGATTTTTGATTTTAATTTTAATTTTTTAAATCTTTTTTATTTTCAATTTAATCATTTAGCAATTTCCATTTATGATACGGTATTTTCGCATGGACGGACAGGGATCATTCCGGTTCAGCCTCGAGATCCTGGTCAAATTCATCTGGGCCACGTTTTTTTTATTTATTATTTTATTTCATTTTAGACACTTTTTTAGGCATTTTGGATCATATTTATTTCATATTTATTTTCCCTTTTTTTTTTTTAATCCTTATTCCCGTCTATAGTGGAGACCTCCAGATGGAATCCTGTATATAGTATACCCCCCGGTTTATAACGATTAGAATCCACCCTGTGAAGAAATATGAATGTTATCAAATATAAAGAAAAAGAAAAAGAAAAAAGAAAGACAAAGAAAAGCAAAAGTCTCGAATTGTATGGCCGGAACGTTCGAAGCTCATTCGATATTTAGCCTAGTCCGCAACACGATCCCCAGGGATGAAACGGGGAAATGCGTTGTTCAGAGGGGGTTACACTAACATTCTTGGTGTTTTTTGGTTTTGTGGTTTTGTGGTTTTGTGGTTTTTGGTTTTGATGGGGTTTTTTCCCTTAGTTTATTTCACTCTATTTCCTTTTCTAATTGTTATTTCGTCTTCGTTTTTTATTTAAAAGTGACATCTCTTATCACGTGGAAAACGAAGTGAAGAAGGGCCACGTTTTTATTCAAGAAAAAAAAAAAAAAGACATGTAACTTCTTCCCTTTTTTTTCCCATAGCAAAAAAACAGAAACTCCATAGCAGAAATCAACTTCACTCCTCTTGGCAGACTAGGGGGATAAAGATCTCACCCGTTGATCGTTGATCAAACCCTCAAGCTCTGTTCATCCGGAGCCCGAGTACACGGGGAGTGGAGAAAGGGCCCCGGGGGCCAATGTGCAAATAATACCCTAATGTATATAATACTATGATACTAAGAAATTATAATAAATTATAATACCTATTACCGGGTTTATTGATTATAAATCTCGATTTCCACGGGAAAATGGGAAATTATTTACATTTACTACATTATTTACCTTACAGGGATAACATGCATGCCCACTGCAATTGGCGTTTAGCGTACAAGGGGGCCGGAATCCCTGAAGCCATAAAGAGACCCGAAAGAACGGGACGCATTATCCGTAATCGCTTAACAATGCCTAGCTTGAATGTGAATTGCATTTCTGCATTTCCACTTGTTCGTTGACTTCCAGCTCGTGTAGCCCTAAATCCCTCGTGGTCGAGTCAAGAGAGTTGGTTCAACCATATTCAAATCTCAACCAATGTAACGCTCATATTTCTTCGTTTTTCTTCTTGTGGTTTCCTAATTTCATTTCGCTGCAGAAAAAAATAAAATAATAAAATAATATAAGAAAAATTAAAAAAAAAATTTAAAAAACAGAACAATTCCAGGATATAGGGGAAGAAAAGCCACTGGACTCGGGGTTGATTGGCGTAATCTGCAGCTGAACGGCACATTTCCCAAGGTGCTGACCAGCGGACATAATCAATACGAGCGGGGTCAATGATTTCCAGAATTTTTGGAGAATTGTCAAAACAATGCGTGGCTTTTCGTCCCCCAAACGTTTGGCAATAAAAAACAATATAGGGCTGAGAATGTATGAGTGTCATCACTGAACCCCACCGGACCCCTCTTCCCCTCTGAGACAGTGACAGCGGAACGAGGCTGTGCACGATTTGGACTTCACCGCTCCTATGCACCCTCGCGGCTCGAACGTCAAGCCTTACGCATCAATCCCGGGGCACATCTTCTCTCTGACAGCAGGGATTGTAGCCACTCACGTCTTGCTAGTCCCCGGATGCTTGGGTGGCATTGTAGTTCGGACCTTCTAGTCACCGTCTAGAAAAAAGGTTCCTGGCGGTGTGCATGACACGCAGACACGAAGTCTGCAGAGAGTTCCTTATCCCTTTCCCCATTTCGGTGTGACATCTTATCATCTATATCCCAATCTAGTGGTTTCAATGGGAAAAACTCCGGAGAGGCGATTGAGAGAAAAAAAAAAAAAAGAAAAGAAAAGACCCAAGAAATCAGGGAATGTCATCCGCAAAACGGCTGCGGCAATCTCCGATCCCTATGACGCTGGTTGCCCCAGACCCTTTCACAGTTACACGGGCGAGTGTGATATGGACCGAGTATGAACCGAATTCGGGAAAAGCTCCTGACGTGCCTATTCGAGGGTCAGCTGTGTCCTGACCAATTATCTGCCAACGTTGGACAAGGCGTCCAGTGTTGACGGCCTCAAGTGTTTCTCTCCTGGACAAGATTCACCTCCGAGAAAGAGGAGACAAACTCTTGAAGAAAATCTTGCACCAGAGAGGTTTTGGTTTTGATTGTCTTGAATTCTTTTTTTGGATACCACCTACGGGATCAACATGGTTAACCAGTCTTGATTATGAACGAGAGGTTCTTTTCGAATTCTATTCCGACCCAAACGGCCGTCCTTGCAAGCTCCTACGTACCGTTGCCGCGTCATGGTCTATGGTGATGGTCTAAATTCAAGTGGAAGAAAGTGAGGGTGGTACCAGCTGAATAGCTTGCCCCCTTGGAAACCTGCCTTTCAACTGACGAGGTATTTCAATCTGCAAAGTTGAATCAAGGCCACTAGACTGGTTAACCGGCTACTGACCACCTCGCTAATGCAGAACATTGTAGCTGCCCCCAGATAAATGTCACGCTGCAGGTGTGTACAGACTCAGACTGAAACTCGAACTTGAGATTTTTTTTTTTTTTTTTTGGCTTTTATTTTTGGCTCCACGTGGCCCACACGTGCTGCAAGTCGCCTATCCTATCTCTTCTGGGGAACAGCCTCATAGCTGGTGTGACCTATTGTTTATACCCCGAGGGCCTGAGATGGCTGACTCAATGGTTACTAAGTTTGTTCGGGGACCAACTTTCATTTCTGGCTCGGGATTCGGGGGTTGTATCGTCTCAGACTTGACACTTGATTTCATTTTCCCTTATCAATTTGACTCGGCGAGCCCATGGCTTTCAGCATTGTGTTTGTGCAAGGCCATCCTTTTGCCATTGTGATGCATAGCTAACGAGTGTACACCTGGCTAGAGCCGGAGGGCTTGATTGGCCCAACAAGCTGGGAAACAGAATTCAAATACACGACTTTGTCCTGTGAGTATGAATGGCATTTCATTCTATTGACTTCAAAATGGCAAGCTTGTTTCAAGTTGCAACTGAAACTCGTTGAGTCTTTTTGTGGAATAGCAAGAGATAACACCAAGCCAAATAACAGCACTGGAAAGAGAAACTTTGATGAGCTCAAGACTTAAGAATGTGAACTTAGGGCCGCCACGTTTTTATGGGAGACTGAGCCTGTATTGGTTTGCCTTTTTTAGGGTAGAATACTTCGAGTCTGTTTTGTATTTCTATATGCGCATTCAAGGGTTCCCCTCTTTCTACGCAATAATTTTCATGAAGAATCTTGATTGTCGGATCCATGCATTGCACCACATGGCAATTAATGATTCACAAAGCTTGGAGGCCCGGGGCTTTTTTCCCCCGTCACGGTCTTTGTGTGGCTTCGAGAAATGCAGCTAAAACAGACGTAGTACTGTATATCTTTTTGACCTTGAACAAAATGATCTTCTAAATGCTGCAGTCCTTTTCACTCAAAGTATTCCGGTAGGTTTGAAAATCAATAACAAGAAAATGTCCGCGTGACTCGCAATCTCAAAGACTTGACCAATGATCGGAGAACATGAGATAATAGTACATCAACTGGTTGGCTAGGAATTTCACCCCTTGAACTCAACATGGTTGAACGCCCCGGTGATTTTTACATCAGGTTGCTCAACATCTCCCATTGTTTCAGCTAAGCCAGCCTTCTTCTTAGCTTTAGCTTCATTGACAGCCATTCTTGCCCGAGGAACGACGTTCCATTGGATGGCCTTGTGGTAAAACTTTCGCTTTGACTCAATCTCCTGGTCCCGATCCTCATCGGGCATGAAGAGAAGATCCACGGACTCCAGGTTAAGGTAAGAGGTCTCCGGGTAGAAACAATAAACGATAATTGCCGCGACGAGGTTGAACACCGCGAAAATGATATAGGTCTTATAGCCAATATTCTCAAGGGCTGGCGGTGTAATCTCCACAACCTATAAGCTCCTCGTTAGTTTTATGGGGAAAAAATTAAATGGTGACAGTATGACAACGTACAAGGAAATTTCCTAGAAAGTCGGCCGCGGCCGCCAGCGCGGCTCCCTTAGATCGGACTTTGAGTGGCAAAATCTCGGCTGGGTATACCCAGACGGTGGCCATCCAGCCTGTGAAACGTATTAGAAATATCATCTTAATCATCTGCGACGTGGGACTTACCCCATGTGAAGCAGGCTTCAAATGCAAACACAAAGAACACCGATGCAATTCCAGATTGCTGAGTACCGATTGCGACAGTGATGGCCTCGCATATCAAAACAACGCACATGCCTACTGCCATGCTGATAAATAGACGTCTCCTTCCAACCGCATCGATCATGTACCACTAGTCATTATAAGTTTTGCTGTCATTCACGTTGAATCTTTATAAAGGAAATTGGTCCTTACCGTGAGTAAAGAGGCCAGAATGTACCATACTTGGAGAAAGCAGCCCACAAACAATGCTCGTTCCTGAGACATTCCCAGGCTCTCTGTAAAAAGAGTGGGGGCATAGTAGCTCACAATATTGATACCTATGGGATGAGAGATATTAGGGTAGAAGGGAAAGATTTCGATTGAAGTAGGACTCACCTGAAGTCTGCTGCATGAATTGGATTCCGAGTGCCAGGAAAAACCGCTTGTTCGTTCCGCATCCCCCGTCCGTAAACAGTGATTTCCAAGAGCCTTCCTGCTCAGCTTCAATATTTATAGCCGCTAAAATATCGGCTTTCTCTTCTTGAACAGCTGGATCGTTTTCTGGCTTATTGCGTAACTTTGCAAGGACCATGACGCCCCGCTCGGGGGAAGACTCGTGAAGCATGAGCCAACGTGGCGTATCCGGTAAAAAGGGTGTGACAATGAGCACATAGATGGCAAATATGGCTTGAAATGCCAATGGGAATCGCCACTGGATTGGGCCAGGCTGGAAATACAATGCATAATTGATCCAGTAAGCCAACATTAATCCAAACAACATTGTTGTCAGTTGGCAAGACATATGCCATCCTCGTTGACTAGGCAGACAAATCTCACTCTGATATACAGGTGCAACCGATGTCAAATAGCCAATACCTATATGATAGGGCTATATTAGAGAACATATCTCAAGAAGCGTGGAAACTTCATTACACATACCCAGACCAGCAATGATTCTGCCCACCATCATTTGCACTCTCTCCACAGCACCAGCCATCAAAGCTGAACCGACGACAATCAAAGCGGCACCAGCCATCAGTCCTCCCTTTCGACCCATTCGCTCCACGGTAAATGCAGCTAGGATTGCCCCAAACACGGCCCCAACATCATATAAAGCAGTAATGGTGCCGGTCATGAGAGTACTCGGATGTCCCATTTCCGCTAGCCAGTAATCCGAAATGACCACACCCGACATAACACCCTGATCATATCCGAATAGCAGGAATGACGAGGCACATACTGACGTGATGGCACCCACTAATGAAGCTCCTTTTAGGCTTTGCAGACCTGTCTTATTGAACATTTTGGAATCAACCCCCAGTATAGAAGCCAGGGATGAAAAGAAGAAGAAGAAAACAAGACAATTCACATTGGCGCCGAGAAATGTAGAATGAATCCGAGCATTTATACCCCCACCAACACTCGGGCCGTGTATGAGGTATTTGGGTTCCGAGTCCGAAATGCGTGGGGGTGGATCTGGGGGAATGGGGAACGGAGAATGTGGGGGAGCCAGTAAACCCTTCAACAACCCAGTTTTCCTTGATTTGCTTCAGGGTAAACGTTCTATCTGGTGGCCAAGTCAAGTGGAACCCGAAGAGATCGTACTGCCTTATTTCCTGTTCAAGCATTCCCCGCGTGTGTCGATCAAAGCTTCGTACCAATTGCATTGCATGGCTTCGGGAAATAACCGGACAGGCCTCGTCCGCCCCCGCGTTCGGGTTAGACCCCGGTATATGTTGCAAAGAGGAGTGCGAGTACTCTCTGGAACGAGTGGTGGCAGTTAGGTCATAATTGGGACGTTCCGCTATTCGTGGGAAACGGTCGTGCATTACTCTTCACGTCATATTTTGGTTGCAGCTAGGATGCCATCACCTATCTCACAAAGTGTGAAGATAATCCAAGCTTACTTCTTTTCTCGGGTCAGATGCAGCTAGAGGTCGACTTTCCAGAGCAAAGCATCTGACAGGCTGCATATACCTTGTGGAAGGACGGACTTTGTCCGAGATCGAGTGGTAATGCATCGGTGCATAGCAACAAGTCGTATAGGAGTACCGAATACGGAAAGGGCAGACGCTAACACAATTTCCCAAAAAATTCCCCATATGGGAATCGCTTCACAGGCTATTTTGCGATCACAGCCCGGAAAATGATGGCGTTTGCGGGGATTTCTTCATTTTTCAACTACCGTTTCTACCATCTTCCATGGTCATACTGCAGTAGTAGAACTGAATGTCTAAACCCATGAGTTGAGTAGGGTTTGTGAAAAAGATCTGTTTACACTGAATACCTGTAAAAGAAACCTATGGCGAGAAACATCCGAGATATCTACTTGATTGCTTTTGATCTGAGGGATATTATCAAAATCTGGCTTGTGGAAAGTGCAATGCTTGAAAAATCATGCAAACAATTGAAACATAATAGATAGAATTAAAACAGAACGATAAATTTCCAACAGGTCAAGACAGCCAACGCCTACTTGTCATTCCTTTTTTGGTAAAAAGATCAGATCATATTTAAACAACGTGACTGCAAATCAATTAGCTTCCATTTGTCAATTGGGTTCCAGGGAAATAGACTTACCTCCACTCGTGCGCTTCATCTCCGTGCTGGATAGCCTCGATCCAGTTCTTCATCTGAAGAGCAATCTCTCCAGCCTCCTCATCCTTCTTCAAACCACAATCCACCAGCTTACCACGGTAGCTAATGTTTCGCACGGGGCTCACGATGGCTGCAGTGCCAGCACCGAAGACCTCAATCATACGGCCTTCCTCGGCAGCCTTCGCGACATCGGACATGCGGATCTTCCGCTCCGAAATAAGCCAGCCCTTGGGCTCCAGTCTCTCACGAGCGAGCGCGAGAACGGAATCTCTTGTCACACCCTCCAGGATAGTTCCATCAAGGGGAGCCGTGATCAACTCCTTCTGTCCAGTCTCCTCGTTCTTGATGGCGATAAAGAGGTTCATTGTGCCGACTTCAGTCACAAATTCCTCTTCGCCGAAGAGCCACAGGTTCTGTTGGAAACCGCGGGAAGCGGCCTCGAGCTGGGGCAAAATGCAGGGAGCATAGTTCGCACCGAGCTTCTTGTCACCAACACCACCAGGCCAAGCGCGGACGGCATAATCAGTGGCCTCGAGAGAGATGGCCTTGAAGCCAGTCGGGTAGTACGGGCCAACGGGGCTAGCAATAACAAACAGAAGGGCTGATCCGGGAGGGCCAACGCCCAGAGTCTTCTGGGTGCCAATCATGGTGGGTCGGAGGTACAAAGAGTAACCACGAGCACTGCGGCAGGTCAGTTAGGTCTCATCGCATATTGATGTTGGAGAGGGGATTACTGACTCTGGGATGAAACGATCGTCCAACTTCACAAACTCTCCAATTAGCTTAACCAGCTCATCGCCGTCAAATGTAGGTAGGGCAATACGCGCGGAGGACTTGTTCAGACGCTCCATGTTCTTGTTGGGACGGAACAGACGTGTGCCTCCAGTCTTGTCTTTGTATGCCTTCATTCCCTCGAAACACTCAAAGGCATAGTGGAACACACAGGTAGAAGGGTCCAAGCTGAGGTTCTGGTAAGGGATAATGCGGGGTGTGTGCCAGCCATCGGTAGCCGTCCACTCGATCGAGATCATATGGTCTAGTATTGCATCCGAATTAGCCGTTTGCTAATGAGGCGAGGCGAGGGCAGGAATCAGAGTCTTACCAGTGAAAGTCTTTCCAAAAACAAGATCCTTGTTAGGGGTGAGCTCCTTGGGGGTCTGAGTCTTCGTCAGGCTCAGCTTGGAGGCATCCAAGCCAGCCAATTGTGCGACGGACGCGGTGGCACTGAAATTCCTCCGCCATAGCCGGCTGGCGGCAGTAGTTTGCGAGGACAGGATCCGTGGCATTGCCAGGCCGGTCAGGGCCGTTCGGCGAGTCAATTGCTGAAGGGACTTCATGGCGAGATGTGTGATGACCAAAGGGGAGAATGTGAGAAGATCAAGATGACCACACGGGAGTTTTAAATCGACAATATGACTCCGCACGCAACAATCTTTCGGAGCTCAGGACAAACTCCGATCGTGCCAACCAAAGCACGGAACAGGCTCACCGCCTGACCAGATCAGTCGAAGAAAGCCGATCTCGCCAATCATCGTGCTGAAATTGAATGAAGAGACCCGCCGACTTCGGATGGAGCTGGGGCACCCTCAAGCCTGTGGTTGGGTGGGAGAGCTCGGCTCACTGTGACTCTGCTGTTTTTCTCTTGGGTATCTTTTAGTTGATGTTCCGACGCAAAGCGCGCGGGGGTGGAAGGTCACATGATAGTACTTTGAGCTTCAGTCCACGTGATCTTCGTGATAGGAACAACTGTTAGATGTTATCATCGAGAATTCGAATTCCGGATTGAAGTGACGCGACCCCGATTCTACTGGACCCAGGTATAAACAAGCTGGTAGGCTAGCGTGCTCGGGCTGTGGTCTATCGCGAACCCTCTTATCAATCAACGGTACCCAATTGTCTCTCTCTCAAAGTCATGCCTTGTATCATCATCCTGAACGCGCTGTGAAATCAATGTCCCGTTGTCGGATACTGTCCCACTTCTTATGATTGAGTCATCCTTCGACCAGTAACGCCCGAAATGTTTACTTCGGCTTTGAAGTCGTTCAACTCGAACATCTCCGCCAATTATCAAATCGCGCCCCACCCCACTGTATACTCGGGCCCCTGGAAAATCCACGATGCCAAAAAGAAGTCGACCGGAACGGCCGCCTCCGTATTCATCTTTGATCGCAAAGTCCTCGAGCCACGGTCGGGGGGTTTTGGATCCCGCTCAGGATCCTCCTCGAAGAAGCTACAAGAAGATGTGATCGAGCGGCTTAAGCGCGAGGCCAGCAATCTGGCCCGTCTGCGGCACCCGTCCATTCTCCAAGTTCTAGAACCCGTGGAAGAGACTCGCAGTGGTGGTCTCATGTTTGCGACTGAGCCCCTTACTGCATCGCTTTCGGGGCTATTACTTCAAAAGGGTGAGCAGGAGAGCACATCTGGCGCCGGTTCACATTCAGGTCGTTATATGGTGGAGGAGGCCGATGGAAGTCGGAGAAGACGCGACTTGGAGATTGATGAACTGGAGATTCAAAAAGGCCTGTTGCAGGTTGCAAAGGGTCTTGAATTCCTCCATGAATCTGCCGGTCTGGTACACGGCAATCTGAACCCTGATGCCATCTATATCAATGCCAAATCGGACTGGAAAATCTCCGGTCTGGGGTTTGCAGGGCCACCAGACTCCTCAGAGACCAAGTCATCTCTCCCTCCTTTGGCTGTCTCAGAGGTTCTTTATCAAGATCCGAGACTTCCCCCATCGGTGCAGCTAAACATGGACTTTACGTCTCCTGATTTTGCCCTCGATTCCAATGTGTCATCATCCGCCGATCTTTTCTCCCTGGGTCTAATCATCATTGCTCTCTACAATTCACCTCATATCTCGCCGATTCAGGCACATGCCAATTTGTCAACTTACAAGAAGCTATTGAGCTCCTCATCGACCACTCCGTCCCAAGGCAACAATTTTCTTTGTTCAAGCCCTATCCCTCGGGATGTCTTATCCCATGTGCTACCCAGATTGATCACTCGAAGGCCTGCCCAGCGCATGAATGCCAGGGAGTTCCAACAGTCTCCGTATTTCGATAATGTTCTGGTATCTGCGATTCGATTTTTGGAATCGCTACCGACGAAAAATGCAAGCGAAAAATCACAATTCTTGCGTGGACTCCAACGAGTTCTTCCTGAATTTCCCGCTTCGGTTCTGGAGAGAAAAGTGCTGGGAGCACTGTTGGATGAGATGAAGGATCGCGAACTTCTTCCCCTTATTCTACACAATGTGTTTGGAATACTTCAAAAGATTCCCAACGGACGTCGCACGTTTCCTGAAAAGGTTATTCCTCGCTTGAAGGAAGTGTTTGGGACAATACCAGGGAAAGCACCACAAGAACGCGACTCTAAGAAGGATGCAGGCCTCATGGTTGTATTAGAGAATATGAAAATTGTCGCAGAGAACTGCTCAGGTCTGGAGTTTAAAGACGGTAAGATATAGTGTAATTTTCCTTTGAATAAACAAGGAGCTAACCATTTCTATCAGATATATTGCCTTTTATTCGGCTGGGCCTCGAGTCACCTACCCATTCCTTAGTGGATGCTTCTATTAGAAGTCTACCTATTTTTCTTCCCGTTCTCGACTTCAGCACCGTGAAGAATGAAGTATTTCCCCCGATATCCAGTACATTCAGTCGGACCAGCAGCCTTGCCATTAAGGTCCGTAGCCTGGAGGCGTTCGCTGTTCTCTGTGGAGGATCTTTCGATGATTCTAGTCTCGAAGATGATCTTTCTGGCGCAGTGCAAACAAACAAAACTACCAAATCATCCATTCTGGACAAGTACACCATTCAAGAGAAACTCGTCCCATCTCTCAAGGCTATCAAGACGAAGGAACCTTCGGTCATGGTAGCAGCACTAAAGGTCTTCCGTGAAGTTGGCAAGATCGTGGACACCGATTTTCTTGCCCTCGAGGTGCTTCCAGTTCTTTGGAGCTTCAGCCTTGGTCCCCTTTTAAACCTCCAGCAATTCAATGACTTCATGTCGTTGATAAAATCGCTGTCTACGAAGATTGAGAAGGACCAGACGCGAAAGTTGCAAGAACTTTCGTCGGGTGGTGATTCAAGTGGATTCCAAAATGGAACAAATAATCTCTCGCAGTCGGCGATGGATCTGCCCTCGTCAGACACAGACAGTGCAAGGGATAACTTTGAGCGCCTCGTGCTTGGAAAGAGTATGACACCCTCGACTAGCAATCCAATGGATATGTGGGGCAATGTTGAACCAGCAGCATCTGCGTCGAAGCCAACTACCACATCAACTGCATTTTCATGGTCTACGAACAATGGAGCAGCCCTCAAGCCAGCGAGCTCATCTGGTCAGCTTGGTTTCCGTTCTATCACCCCGGATCAAAAACTCAGTTCTTTCCCATCTCTGGCGCCTGCAAGACAAACCTCGCCCCCAACACCGGCTTTCCCCACTATGCAGCCTATGCAACCATCGTCGCCAACTTGGGGCACTCAGCTTCAAGGAGGAACTCGAGCGGGTCAATCATTGGGCTCACTTTCCGGTATGGCAGCTGGGATGTCATCACCTCAACAGGTTTCCAATTACTCGGCCTTTTCAATCCCACCTCCACCAGGAGGGATTAATTCAAATAATGCCATGAGATCTCCGTTGGGCATGAATACAACTCCAGCACATTTCCCAGCTCCGCCCCAGACTCAATATCAACCACCACCAGCACAGAAACAAGGCTTGGACAAATATGAAAGTTTGATATGAAATCAGTGGTCTACTTTGTGTTGATTATTTCCCCGACCGGTTTCATATATGAAGTGTACTCAGGTCTACAGTAGCCGAGTAATGCCCATGATATTGATTGATGTAACTAGAATTTATGAACCTTTCGCATAATTCCAAGGTTTCTGTCCAGGCTAGGACCTTCAATGTTCCAAGGTTGGAAACCCAACATTGAAAGAAGAAATTTTCTTTTTAACTCTATAGACTGCACATGTGTGAGTCTTGCTTCAAATGTTGTGCTGGTGCATGTATATACTATTACAAAGTACTTACTCACTCCTAGTGCTGATCATGACTTACAAGTTTTGAAGGGTTGTTTTATTACACACGGTATATAAGGAAGGCTTTTACTTGGTTTATTCCCTGGATATTGAAAATTAATATGTACTATCATCTAGTTCTAGTCATTAATAGTTAGTTAACTAAGTTAGTTAGCTAGTTAGTTAGTTAACTAGTTATGAGTATAAATATGATGACTAATCAAGCCAGAATCGGCAATCATGAATCATGAAATTCATGAATCGGGACCAATTCAACAGCAAAAGCAAAAGCGGCAGTGTGTAAGCACTAAAGCGGAAAGGGTGGAAGCTAGTATATGACATATATCAAGCTTTAAATACATATGCACTTGCTGTGTAGCACTGCGTTGCGTTTATCGCTTAGCCGGAGCTCCGGTTTACCTCCGCTACCCCTCAATCGTGGGATTCGTGGCTACCCTTTGTTTGTTACCCCATCCCACTACTTCTCTTCATCATATCTTCCTCGAGCCCCCGACATGGATGACAACGTCAAAAAGCACTATCTGGCAGACTCGCCTCCCTCGGTGGTCAGACTAGAAATCAAGTCACACTTCGACTCCCTCCAGAGTGATTCCCTTAGAAAATATGCCCACTATATGAGCCGGTATGCCCCATAAGCGCGTCAATTTCCCGAGCCGCGGAATATATAGAGCTGACTTCGAAGTGCCATTGAACAGAGCGGCATTTGAAGGAACTCGTATTACATTGCGTCAAGTTTCCCCCGAGTCTGAGCCCATCTATGATCTCATAATTTCCCTTCACCATGCTTGCAATGGCAACTGGAATAGCTTGGCTCAAAAGACCCAAGTCAGTGATGAGCATCTCCGCTTCTTCCTTGAATATGCAACTCAGTTCTTGGGTAACTGCGGTAACTACAAAGGCTTTGGTGACTCCAAGTTCATTCCCCGTTTGCCCCTCTCTGCTTTTGAAACGCTGTCATCCATCACACCTGAAACCAAGACAGCTTTCCAAAAAGCAAACACCACCGGAGGGGGTATCTACGAGACTACTGAGCAGTCCATGATGCACCTTGGTTACCCCACTAGCGGTCACATGACCACTTATTATCCTGATTCACCTACCATCACCAAGGACGAGATTACCATTATTGGAAATCTGATGGAGAAGAAGGGTCTCGCATTGGAGAACACAAGAATTCGCAAGACCACGTCGGGTGATTTCGAACTTCTCATCGCATCGGGTGTCTCAAATCCCCCGGTGAGAGATCGCGATCTCGGAGATTTGGCTACCTTTGAACTAGATGGGAGCTTGGAAGGAAAATCGGTGCGCCTTGTGTTTGGGGATTACCAGGAGGAGATGGCGAAGATTGCCCACTCCATCAAGCAGGCAGGACTAAACGCCGCAAATGATAACCAGAAGCGGATGTTAGAGTCCTATGCTCGAACATTCGGTACGGGATCTATTGAGGCATTCAAAGAGAGCCAGCGCATTTGGGTGAAAGACCAGAAGCCTGTTTTGGAAACAAACTTGGGCTTTGTGGAGACTTACCGTGACCCCCATGGAGTGCGTGGAGAGTGGGAAGGCTTGATTGCTTTGGTAAGGCTAGAAATTTTTGGGGGGTTTTTAACTATCCGAGTCTTGCTAATGCTTCCACTGTAGGTTAACATGGAGCGAACAAGAGCATTCGGAGCACTGGTTGACAGTGCCGAAAGCATGATCCCCAAGCTGCCCTGGGGTACGGACTTTGAGAAAGACAAGTTTCTCAGCCCGGACTTTACTTCACTCGAGGTGCTTAGCTTCGCCGGGTCGGGAATTCCTGCCGGTATCAATCTTCCCAATTACGATGATATCCGCCAAAACTTAGGCTTTAAGAACGTGTCCCTGGGTAATGTTCTGAGTGCCAAGGCCCCCAATGAACCTATTCCTTTCGTTGCCGAGGCGGATCAGGAGGTTTACCGCCGATGCCGCGATCCTGCCTTTGAAGTTCAGGTTGGTATCCACGAACTTCTCGGTCACGGAACTGGCAAGTTGCTGCAAGAAACAGCCCCTGGAGAATACAACTTTGATGTTTCCAATCCTCCGATTAGTCCCGTGACGAACAAGCCCGTGGCAAGCTGGTACAAGCCCGGCCAAACCTGGAGCTCGGTATTCGGGGCTATCGCTGGGTCATATGAAGAATGCCGTGCTGAGTGTGTGGCTATGGTGCTGGGCTGTGACTTTGAAATTCTAAAGATCTTTGGCTTTGGGGATGGCACTGAAGATATGAGCAACGAAGCTGGCGACGTCCTGTTCGCCGCTTACCTGCAAATGGCTCGTGCCGGTCTGGTTGCATTGGAGTTCTGGGACCCCAAGACTCAAAAGTGGGGCCAGGCTCATATGCAGGCTCGCTATAGTATCCTCCGCACTTTCCTCAGTGCAGGTGACAACTTTGTCAAGTTGTCGTACACCAAGGAGGATCTATCAGACCTGGAGATCCATCTGGATCGTTCTAAGATTCTAACCCATGGACGACCTGCCGTGGAGAAGTACCTACAGAAGCTTCATGTGTACAAGAGCACTGCGGATGTTCAAGCAGGTAAGGCCTTGTATGATGAGATCACATCTGTGGACAGCTGGTGGGGAACTCAGGTCCGTGAAGTTGTCTTGAAGAACAAGGTTCCTCGAAAGGTCTTTGTGCAAGCCAACACGATCCTAGAGGGAGACAAGGTGACCCTGAAGGAATATGAGCCGACTTTAGAAGGCCTGATCCAGAGTTACGTCGACCGCAAGGTATAATTAAGTCCGAATGCAGCCTACTGTTAGTTGCGCCTCTTAAGACAGTTGAACAAGCACCCATTTTTTGGAACCTCATACCTAGTATACACCAGATTTCCTCCCTTTGGGTTTTCTCGCTACATAGCTAGTAGGTAGCTACTATCAGTCTATATGGCGCTTAGGGCTATGCTTGTAATACAGTATAAATTCAAGGTCTGGTCATATATCAACTCCAAATGTCCATGTGATAAACCAAACATCCGTGGGTAGTTAAAGTCGTCAACCCTACTGAGTATGTATTGCCGGCGTAGGATCCCTGTAATACATATATCCAGATGTCAGTCACTTTTGTCATCGAATGTTTTACATGGCTCATATTTCACGCCTTGTTCAACATTTCTCGCCCAGTTTTCTGTGAGCAATGATTCAACAATAGCATTGCATTATTTGCAAACATTGAATCATCCATTTGGAGCAGCAACCAGAAGATGACTTCCCTATCTAGTCCAGTAGCCAGCGTCAGTGTCTTCTCTCGTGATATGGTTCCATTCTTGAGCAGAAATTCGAATTCTATCTCATCCCCGCCTCTTATAGCCGCTTCCAAGTGCTTTGTGCTACCTGAGTCTCCTTGTCAAGAAGCAAAAGACCCATCCCTTTGTTATCATGCCGAGTAGCAATTTTCCAAGGGTGTCATTCAATGTTGAAGAAATCATTAGCTAGTTATAACTAACAGATGCCTCAAGAACACTGATGAGTCAGCGAATGTTCAAGATCATCACCGAGTACGCACTGATTAGTCACAAAATTTAAAGGGTACAACATAGCCTAGCAAGCCCGGGGGTCTACATAAATGTGGCATCATGATAATAAAGCAATCTTTAGTTAGTGGGAGAAAGTACACATGCAGCATGTACAGGTATAATATAATAACATTCGAAGAGAAATATAGTGGCGTTTGAATGGATACGGGCGACTTACCGCCAGACACATGTGCATGATGAAATGTGATCAACTAAGCGCCGTCCCCATTCCTCCATCTCTCCTCTTCCCTTCCCCAATACCGGACATCAACAATAACGACAAATTCGGTTTACCCGCTTAGTCGTCCTTGAAATATATTTTCATGTTTTGATTCTTCTTCCTACGTACAAATACAACCTACACCAACTGGAATTCTTGGTGGATCCCCCCATCCCGCCTCCTGATCGACATACAAACAGACCCTTTGCGGTTATAAGTCTAGAGCTCATCAGGTCAACCGCGTCTCTGCGATTGATTCTGGCTCCCTTGCACTAGCATTGTGTCTGAAGTAACACCCTCAGGGCATTCATCAATCACGGCGCCATTACACTCTCCAACTGACTCCCCCGAGGTGGACGACTATTACACCGCACCCCCGCCGCATTTCCCTGCTTCAGCGTCTGCTAGCTCTTCTGTTAGCCCGCCACCCTTCTCCGCACTCGACTTTGCTGTCAACACCAATCAACCTAAGGTCACTGAATCCGGACCAGCTTCCGCCCCAACCTTTGCGTCGCCGCCTGTTGAGGAGCCTCTTGAGCCGGCTCCCTCGTCGTCAGTCGTCGCAGACACCAAAGCGAGCTTCTCAGAACCCAAGGGTGACGGGCTTGGGAAAACATCTGACGACGGTGAACCGCCGCCGCCATACACCGAAGGCTATAGTCCACTTGAGTCATTTACCTACGTGATGGCCGCAGCTGGAGGTGCCTCGAGCATCATTACCCAGGTTCAGCAGACAGGAGGACCACCTATCAATACACTAGGAGGTACGTGTGCATCGCAGTAGATCCTTGAGAATGTATGCAGCACTAACAATCGCTGCACGTATAGATATTGGCGGAGACGAGCATATCATTCTCGACCTTCGGTAAGAGCTTCATTTCCTCCCCGTGGGGGTTTTTTTTTCTTATCTGGCGTGATGCTAATAATGAATTAAGGGGTATCCGATTTACACTGTCCCGCGATGAACTGTTGACCTTGCCGGAGTTCGTGCTACTCTCTCTGTTCCCTAATGGTCTCCTCCCCGACGGGAATATGGGCGGTTTCCACGAAGGCGACGTGTACCCGGTTGACGTAAGTAATAGTCATTTCGGCATGTTTCGATTTTCAGAGCGACCAGTCTGACATCTTCCAGTATGATCCCGCATCACTTCAATACATGCTTGATTTCTTCCGCACTGTTGCTCAATCCATTCCGTCCACGCAGCCTTCAGAATCGACATCTCCAGAGTTGGAAATGGCAGATGTAATGCAAAACTCCGCGCGTGACATGCTTCAGGATCGTGCTGGGATCATCGTCCTCCGTGAGGATCTTGATTTTTACGTGATTCCACCTCGACCAGAGATTGGGCATGACGAAATGCTGGAGGTCAAGCGGGCCGCTGGTCGGGCGCTGTTGAACCAGGATGGCATTTTCTCTGGATTGCGCAAGAGCGAGGAGCTGGGGTCTACTGAGCAGCACCTGATTGAGATGCTGACTGCTGGGTAAGTTTCCTCATAATGTATCCCTCTTTTAATTGGCCTTTTCGTCTGATGATTTACATAGTGGATTTGATCGCGAGGACAAATGGGGTCATCGTGCTCCGGAACCGCACAAGGCCGTCATTTGCAGTCTTGCTTTGGCCAAGCTTCGCACTGACATCCGAGGCGATCTTTCGAACAACAATGCCGTTGGAATGGCTCAAAAACTTCTTCTCTTCTGGAGAAAGCCCGCTCGTCGGTGTTGGTGGGAAGGCGTCGACCTGGATAACGTTGAAGGTGTCGATGGGCAAGTCAAGGTGTGGATTCGACGAGTCTGGACTCTGGAAATGGTAGGAATATGATTTATTTCCCCGAAACGTGTTGCAACTAACATCTTTATACAGAGTGTCATTGGACTTCGTTGATAACGCCCAATTCGTTCTGTCTGCATCTGTATCTATACCCAGATTACTCTCTAGCTTCCCTTGTTGATCTTTGTTATTACCTTTCTTACTGCGTTGTTTCATTCATTTCATTACTTATATCTCGAAGTCTTTCGTTTTCTCTCTTCTCAACAACAGGAGTGGCGTACTTTGCGACTTGGCGTCTTTTTTTTTTCAACTTCCCTTCTAGTTGGATATTCCTCAAAACACAGCCCATTTCTATGGTGATATTGGACATACAAGCGAACATTTGAATTGATTCCTATTTCCTGCATAAGTCTATCTTGCATGATCAATCGATCAGTAAACGTAAAATTGTCTCTCATGTCTGATTCTGTAGTCTTAAGTGCTTACTAGTATTTGTCCTCCATTTCTGAATGAAGCTAGTGGGTGATTGGTGCCTCCTCGGTCAGGCAGTCACAGCACGTGACTATGGAATGGGCTTTTGCTCGATCGGGGAAAACGCGACGGCGTCCAAGCATCCCAGTTAACTCTGACCTCAATTCCATCCACTTTCTCGGTTGATTCTTACCTATTTGAGAACTTCCTAGATCTTGAATTACTCAATAATCCCCCGTGCTCTTCAACTCTTCCTTTTGCCGACCAGTTGTGATATCCTCGTTGGCAGTTTAGACTGACGCGAAGTCTTGCGATTTGAAATCCCCCGCGAAGGGGCATGTATTTGTCGAGATAAATCGCCAACATGTCCCCTCTGAGAGGATATATCACCACATATCCAACGCGCGTTCGTCAGTATGGAAATGCGCTCCTCACACCCGTCTACCCAGTGCAAACAGGTCCAACGCCGCGAACGACCAAACGCGGAACAACTGCAATAAATTATGCCGAAGATGGGTTCGATGATGATGACTTTGATGAGAGCGATGGACCCCGGCGACCAACTGGGTTGAGGAGTCTACGTCGTGAAGAATCAGCGAGTGGTGTTATGTCCATGCCGGAGAAGTTGGGCAAGGAAGCGCATGCGCCAGTGGAAGTCCAGGGCGTATTTCGAGAATGGATGATCAAGCGGATGCTCAGGCCAGCGTATGTACACCCATTATCTTCGTTTTATCCTCCTCTTTGCCCTCTTTCCCCTCTTTCCCAGTTTACCTCTTCCCGTGTGCGGCTCGCTAGTCATACTCCGACCTTCCTTCTATTGTGACTTTCTTTCACCTTATGCGCATTGCGCATTTCCCTCTCCGTGACAATGTTCTCACCTGGGTCTCTGGGAGGCGAGCTGAGTTTGGAGAGAGAAGACACATCCTCCAAATCATCTGATACACCAGACCTAAGCTACCCATCCCCAAGAACTACTAACACGTACCGCATTAGTTGTGCCGAGCAACTCCAGATACAAGCACAGCTGCCCTTGACACTGATTCCAATCCGAATTGACGTGGAAGTCCCCGGGCACCAACCTCTCGAACCCTTCCCCCTCCCACGCGGCGTCATGGATCCCAGCATCAACCCGACACTTCCTGCATACCGTCGACCTGACGTCCTTCCTCCGTTTCGAATCAAGGATACTTTCCTTTGGAACCTTCATGAGGCTCTGTCTACACCGGAAGAGTTTGCCATTGGCTTTGTGCGCGATCTAGATCTTCCCAACCCGCAAGCAACAACAATGACCATCAGCAATCAGATCAGGCAGCAATTGGAAGAGTACGCAGGTGTAGCACTGCACCCTTTGTTCCAAACCTCCCAAATTCCTGTGACAAGTGTGCCTCCGCAAGCCGAGCCCTCGAGAGATCCATCGATGACTCCGGCTGCTACAAATGCCGCAACTCCGGATGGCCGGTCTGTTGGACCAGGAGTCGCTGCCACCAAAGATGCGCTGGTTAATGACAGTCTTCACAACCCAGATGATGCCTACCGTTGCGTGATAAACCTCAATATTAATCTTCAAAACAAGCTCTACACTGACAAGTTCGAGTGGTCACTTCTCCATCCTGCCGGTATGCCTGAACAATATGCAAAAATCACCTGCGCCGATCTCGGTCTTAATGGTGAGTGGGTAGGTGCCATTACGCATGGTATCTATGAAGCGGTGTTGAAACTGAAGAAGGAGGTCTGCGAAAGCGGTGGTCTTGTTAGCGGCATCAACGGTATCGGAAATGAGATCGATAATCAGGCCGCAAATGGGGCCGAAGCTGGCTGGCGATATGACCCTGAGACTCTATGTGAACAGTGGGGGCCCAGAGTGGAAATTCTTTCCAAGGATGAAATTGAGAGGCGAGAAGGAGACCGGGAACGACAAATCCGACGTCTACGACGAGAGACAGCCCGATTCTCCTCCACCACGGGCATCACTCCAGACGCTTCCCGACAGAGCAGTGGGTACTTTGATATCGACAGTGAAACCCCACTGGGTAGAGGAGAGCGAAACAAGCGCAAGCGTCGTTTCCGCAGCATCAGTCCGATGGGTAGGGGAGGCACTCCCGGTGGCCGGGGCACTCCTGATACGAGCTCGGGGGCTGGTTATGGTGGAGGCGGCGGTACACTTTCCGAGTGGTATGTCAAACCCGCGATCCGAGTCCTTCAAACGGCTTACTTACATGTCCATTTTGGTTTCTAGGGAACGCCAAAGCTGGCGCTGCAGCAACTGTATGGTCTGGGGCTCAGCTGTTTGGGCTGTACGAGACGGTCCAGAAGGTCCACGGGTAAGTTGACCTCCAAGACGATACCCCTCTGGTGCTTTATTTTTCTCATACTAGATCTGACTGGTTTCTCTTTTAGACCCTCTGCCACAATTGCGGCTTCCTCTACGAACGAGACAAAGTCGTCCCCCAATGGTCAAAAGATCTACACCGTCACGACGTTCCCGTTGGCCGTTTTACTTAGGCCTGTCGCTATCAATTTCTTCCGCCATAATTTCACCATGTATCACCTGATCCGCGGATGTTTACTCCAATTTTACCGTTGACCCCTTTCCCACAATCTGTTCCTTAGCTCCACATCTACCACGCATATCTTTTCCCCTTCATCCCATGGTTTGAAATCCAATCCCAAGTGTGCTGTGCAGGTTGATAACTTTCCCCGCAAAGGTCGATAGCATTCCCTGCGTGGCTTCTCGAAGAAAAGTCCAATGAGCATGCATGAGGCTATCCTTTCACCCTATTTGGGCGGCATTTTGTTTCAATGGACTCATGAATAGGTGTGGTAATGGCCCTTTCTTATTTCTTAGTTTATGTATGAATATGAATGAACTGTCTCTTGTCTATTGTTCATCACTCCCTATGGGTAACACACTACCCTCCCCTTTGCTACTTGGGTATTTGTATTTCATACTACATACTAGTTGTTAGTCCTTATTTGCAGTAACTGGCAAAAGATGGAGAAAGCGTGGGGATACTAAGGTTAAACGTGACCTGCTGAGTCAGTATTCAGATAAGAGATAAGCCGGAGGTTGTTGTGGCCTTGAACCCGCAAAGCTCACTTGCATTAGGTCTCTTCAACTCCAAATAATCCTCTCACGGCCTTCGACACAATGGTTAGTTTTACTTGAAGCTGATCTGAATATAAATTTCTTCTTACTGATCTATTCTGATCTAGGCGGCCGCCCAGGTAATCTCGAATTCTGGGCATGAAGACATGATTGTATGTATCGTGTCCAACCGGACGGGGTCAATTCCCCGCCTTCCAGCTCCCACGCGGCGATTGTAAAGAGAGTTTTGGCTGATTATGGGGACCCAATTGCAGCACGATGCCGGTCTAGACTACTATGGCCGCAGGTTGGCAACTTGCTCGTCGGATAAAACGATCAAGATCTTTGAGATTGAGGGGGAATCGCACCGCTTGGTGGAGACCCTCAAGGGGTGAGCCTCTTCTGGAATCGCTGACTCTACTAGCAAGCATGGCTACTAACCTGACTTTGACTTACCCAGCCATGAAGGTGCGGTCTGGTGTGTTGCTTGGGTAGGTGGATATTCATCACCCCCGTCAATTCGCGCAATTCAACTAATTTCGTCTTTACCCAGGCACACCCCAAATTTGGCACAATCCTCGCCTCTTCTTCGTATGATGGGAAGGTCTTGATCTGGCGCGAGCAGCCTCAGAATGCCACCTCCCCCGCTGGTGGAAGCACATGGACTAAGGTTTTTGATTTCTCCCTCCACACCGCTTCTGTCAACATGGTCTCTTGGGCTCCTCATGAGAGTGGCTGTCTCCTTGCCTGCGCTTCTTCCGACGGTCATGCGAGCGTTCTTGAATTCCGCGACAACAACTGGACTCACCAGACTTTCCACGCTCACGGAATGGGTGTCAACTCTATCAGCTGGGCCCCCGCTGCTTTCGCTGGCAGCTTGATTAGCTCCAACCCAGGACCGGGCCAGCAGAGACGTTTTGTCACTGGAGGAAGTGACAACCTGGTAAAGATCTGGGACTATAGGTATGTACATTGTGTTCAACTCCTCCCTGCCCTTTTTCTCTCTCTCTCTCTCTCTCTCTCTCTCTCTCTCTCTCTCTCTCTCTCTCTCTCTCTCTCTCCTCGCGTCATATATACGTTTTGGTTAATGCTAACTTTTTTCTTGTTACAGCCCCGAATCCAAAACTTACAACACTATCCAAACATTGGAGGGCCACTCAGACTGGGTCCGTGATGTGGCCTGGTCACCGAGCATTTTGTCCAAGTCTTACATCGCCTCCGCTTCTCAGGATAAGACTGTCCGCATCTGGACCTCCGATGCCTCCAACCCCGGGCAGTGGACCAGCCAAATTCTCGAATTTGATACTGTCCTTTGGCGGGTCAGCTGGAGCCTCAGCGGTAACATCCTGGCGGTCAGCGGCGGTGACAATAAGGTTAGCTTGTGGAAGGAGAATCTTAAGGGCCAGTGGGAGAAAGTCAAGGACATTGAAGAGTAGATTTAATTTTCCTATCTCGTATCATTTATTCCCTTCGTCACAAAATATGTGTCGAGATTTGCTTTTTTTTGGTCCTTTTTACATTTTCTTTTTTTTTTCAAAAGAAAAATATAACAGTTAGATTCATCCATCAAACCACCTAGGAATAATATACGTGTGAATCCCCATGAAAAACAATTAACCGCTCTCCATAAAGTAGAATTAATGTAAGATATAAACAATCGTAAACATATGGGAATTAAAAAGACAAATACAAAAAGAAAGGACAGTGCAAGACAAAACAATCAAACCTCGTTACGGCCTGGAATTGCAGCATAGTTGGGTCAGCGGTGGTCTTCACACGTCCCAGTAGATGAACGGACCCCTGCCCATGGGGTTCTGCAAGTCGATCCACAATCCCAACATGAGCCTCCCCCCGGGAAGAATGATTGCCTCGTAGCCGTGAATCCACCTAGTTGCCAATGGGGGCCATGTGAACACTTCGTTGGCTGGAGGTCTTTCACAGATCGTAAAGCAGATGCGAGACCACCCAGGAATTCCACCACATGGTGTCTCAATTGGCTCTACAAAGCCAAAAATTGGGTTGGCTGCATCCTGGCTCGATCTGAGCACATTCTGGAAACCGGTGAAATGGATCCGCTTATTGTCGAGGTCCACGCATCTAGGCATGAAAGCGTTGCATTCAGCAGGCCAGAAGGGCTCGGAAGACCGCTCTTTGATCTCCAGGGTCTGTTTGGATTCATTAGATATCAAGCTTCAAGCCACCTGTCTGTTTTGGGAGTTATCAATCTAGGATCTTACTTGAATATCAACTTCCGGTAGATGTGAATCCCCATCCGCGCAGGTCTCCCGGTGATCTTCTGCGTCGAAGGAAACTGGCATTGGGTGAAGACACGCTGTGATATGGTTTGTCAGCTAAATGATGAAATTATGGTATCCGATGAGTCTTCCAGTAACTTACAAAAATACCCAGTCCACGACTTGCTCAGGTCTGTGGCTTTCGATCCGTCTGTCTTGAGGGCCCGGGGCTTGTACATGTCTGCCAGCCCATTGAAAGATTCGTGAAAGCTATGTTCATCGGGGCTCATAAGGTGTCTCATCCAGAAGCTGCGCATATCCAGTAGCCGGGAAAGATTCACATTCCTATGATCAATGAACGGGACTTGGAGCTCGCCGAGGGTATAGACTTGGCGGATGTTGTAGTCTCCGCGAGAGATGGTCAAAGTGGCAGTCGAGTCAAGAGCTAGGGCAGTCAGGGCCTGTTACGCAGTGAAAAACATTAGCACTCTTTCAATCCCTATCATCTGATGGGTCCTATTCAACAGAGGTAGTACTAACCAGCTGAACTGCACAGAAAGCCTCTGGGTGCTTACCCTTGAAATTGGGCTGGCTCAGGAATTGGATGTCACAAACTTCGTTTTGGATTTGCTGGTACGTCTTAGAGGCCACCGCGATTTGCCAAGGCAAATCAATCACCTCGGAGATCATGGTCTGGAAAACCTCCAGCCAAAACTTCTGCTGGGCATGGCTGTAGTCTCGGAAATCGGTACCTCGTCCAAGCACAATCATTCGAGTTTGGTACTCGACCATCAGCTCTTGAGAGCTTCGTCCTTGGGGCAGATCATAAGTCTGCTTGAAGCGAACGCGCCACAAGGCTGTGTTTGGCTCATGTTGTCCTAGAATGCGGGCCTTCATCTCCTTGTTGGCCAAAGCAAGTTTGATAATATCATAATCGTGGGGTAGAAGAATGGCGATCCGATGAAGGATCTGAAAATTGTCAGCTATTAGTCTCTTTTCTCAAGAGTTTCTAAGAAAGCTGGTTTACCTCGTTCGGCAGCTTCAAGATTTGACCACTTCTTGCCTGGTCAATTGGCAGCTCGAATTCTCCAGAACCCATGATTGCTTGAATGGAGGCTTTTGATTGAGCGTGTTCAATTGATGTGCCCAAAAAAAAACACGATTGAACTTGTGGTAACGAAGGAATCAGCCGCGAGGAATGAATCAGTCGCGAGGAAGAAATCAGCAACGATGAAGAAATCAGCAGTAAGGAACAAGGTTGGCTGTGAAGGAAGCAAGATTTTCCCAGGTAACTGTTAGGGAATCTTTTTTTAACTCCGTGAATTGAAAAAAAGAGAGAGAGCGAGATAGAGAGAAAGAGAAAAAGAGAGAGAGGGAGAAAGAGAGAAAGAGAGTCAATGTGTGCAAAAGCAACAACACAAAACAGGAGGATGGGAGGTCATTGGGATACAGGATAAATCAAGAAAGAGAAAGAGAAATAGTGTGGGGTGTAGATTATACATAGTAAGAAGGTAAGATCTATAGGATCTCCTATATTTAATACCAAGATCATATGTTACTACTAGGTACTACTAACTAGTATGTCTATTATTCTCTATTGTTCTCTATTCCTCTCACTTTCCCTATATGATTTCCCTCTATATTACTTTATTTTCCCTCTATTATTCTCTAATCTTCTCTACTTCCCTCTAATTTCCTCTATTTCCCTATATCATTTCTCTCTATATTGCTCTATTTTCCTCTTCTACATGATCAAAAGCGCATATCAGGTATGACCTTCCATTATCCTCTATTGTTCGCTATCTCTCCTATTCCAGACTCTCTTTCACACCCCAGCCATTGGCTAATAACCCTTTTACTTCTTCAAGTCCCAATCCGCTCATCTCAGGATAGATAATGAGGACGGCCACCCACCCCACCGCACATACACCGGCGTATATCACGAATGTCCAGGTTGGAGATAGCCATTCCATCATGGGCAAGAAAGTTATTCCAACAATAAAATTAGAACCCCAGTTCGTGGCAGTAGCAATACCTGACCCCAAGGACCGGACGTTCAATGGAAACAACTCCGACTGCTGCCACGGCACGTTACCAAGCCCAAAAGCATAAGCTGCCGTGTAAATCGTCAGGCAAGACAAGATCAGCAAGGAATAAGTAGTGTGGTTATCAGCATCCTCTCCGCCGTGTACTGAAGGCCGAGAGCCCCATGGGATTTCCAGCGAGGAGAAGGAAACAGCGGAAAGGCCTAGTGCGAGGATCATCACCGGTATTGAATAGAGTAATATGCGGCGTCGCCCAATCCTATCAATAAATGCAAATGCAAGAAGAGTAAATAGGAAGTTGGTCACTGCAATCGTGAGGGATGTCAAAGTCGGCGATGAGAAGGAGAGCATCTTGAAAATGACCCCGGAGAAGTACATCAAGCTATTGAAACCACATAGCTGTTGAAGACCCTGGAGCATCATTGCAATTATCAGTGCCCTTCTGTTTCCTCCATCGTATAGCAAGTCCTGTGCTCGCTGTGAAACATCATCGAGCCAGTGCGAGTTTGTGCTGGATGTTTGACCTCGGTCCATTTGCCCGGTTTCCTGAATGGTTTCACCTCTAATATCGCACAATACTCGATGAACTACCCGGTCACACTGGGGACAGTTCTTGTAGATGCGAGTCAATACTGCCACAGCCTGGGATTCATAGCCTGCCTGGATGAGCCAACGTGGTGTTTCTGGTAGAGCTAAAAGAACAGCAAACTGGAGGAATGCCGGCGCTGCTCCCAGACCAACGATCCAGCGCCAGCCTCCACTTGTTTGGGAAAATAACCAACCCACAATATATGCAACCACTTGGCCACCAGTGATCAAGAGGCACATGATTGTAACAAGTCGACCTCTAGCATGCGACGGTGCCACTTCCGCAATGTATCTGGATTTAAACAACGTATTAGCCTTTCAAGTTCAAGTTTCATTCCCATTCAGATGCGGGCAAGCGAGTTTATAGACGAACAGTGGAGTAACAGCGCTTGCACTGCCAACCGCAAGGCCAACAATACTGCGGCCAATGATCATACACCATACTCTACTCGTGAAGGCTTGGATCACTGCTCCTAGCGCAAACAGAATATCGGCAACGAGGATGACCCTCCGACGACCAAATGTATCAGCCAGAACACCCGTGAATGGACTGGCAATCAATGCAAAAAGACTGGTACATGATGTGATAAGACTCTCGTCAAGTGTTGTCAACGGTCGATTAGATAGATCAGAGCCAATGGTCACGAGGGTGGAGGATATAACACCGGTACTGTTGATTTACAGTAACTGTTAACCACTATCTTTGTATAGCAGGGAAAATATTCTTCACATACTCATAGCCAAAAAGAAGACCACTTATACCAGCTGAAAATGTCAAAACCCATATGAACCATCCCTCTGAATAGCTTAGATCGAAGTCCAGAATCTCGTCATGATCGTCGACGTTGAAGTCGGAAGAGGTGTCGTTGGGGGTAAGTAATGGAGCGTTCGGACCCGTGTTATCCAGCTCCTCCCTTGTACTCATATTGTTTGATCAGGTACACCAAAATTTACACCGAATATCATCGGGCTGGGCGGGCTTTAAGCAGCTATGGTCCGGGGAGGAGAAGAGCACAAGTGAGACCTCGGAAGGATAGATGGAGGTTCCAGCACGATAAGTCGATAAGCCGATAAGCCGATAAGCCGATAACGAGTTCAGGGCTCCACTAGGAATGATCGTCATTGATTGTCTCCTTTTACCAACCTGGAATATCAATGGTTTGCGCATATCAATTATGGGCTGTGTTATTTATCTCAAGGAATATGCATAGTAGGCATAGAATCATTAAGTCTACCTAAATACTCATTTTCTATTCTAATTGACTTAGAATTGTCATTGATCCCCCCCCTCCCCCCTGGCCGATGTATACTATGTAGGCTTAATGCTTAGCTACAACACCAGCTGCATCAGCTTGTGCGGTAATCATCTTCTTGTATGCCTTCACATCACCGTCGAACTTGTGAACAGTTCCCTCGTTACAGACCCAAAGACTCTTACAGACATTCTGCAACATCGTCACGTCGTGGGAAACCATGACCACACCACCCTCAAACCGCTGGAGCGCATCAGAAAGCGCATCCATACCTTCGATATCCAAGTGATTGGAAGGCTCGTCAAGAACAAGGATATGAGGATTAGTCAAAGACAGGCATGCAAAGGCCACACGAGACTTCTGACCTCCAGACAAAAGTTCCATTCGCTGAAGACCAGTCATACCGGTGATACCAAAGCTATAGTATGGGGGAATAGGTAAGTATATTTTGCCACAGTATATCGTCCAGATTGGGGTTTGAAACTTACGCGCCCAGGTGTCTTCGGTACTCCTCGTCGGACTTTCCGGGATATGTCTTTGCCATGAAGCTCACAGCACTGGAGTTCATGTCGAGAGCATCAACGTGATGTTGAGCAAAGAATCCGATGCGCAGTCTCGAGTGTGTAGAGATCAATCCCTTGGTCGCCTGGAGTTGATTGGTGAGCAGTTTGAGCACTGTGGTCTTACCAGCACCGTTCGGTCCAACAATTCCGATACGCGAATCTAGCTGAACATCAAGTTCCACATCCCTGAGGAGAGGTCTTTCTGGCGTGTAGCCGAAGCAAACATCCGACATTTGAACAATAGGAGGCGAAAGTTTCTCAACCTCGGGGAATTGGAAGTGCACGACGTATTCGCTCTCTGGCGCTTCCAGAGCTGGCATACGTTCAAGTTTCTTGATTCTGGACTGAGCCTCTGAGGATTTGGCGGCGTTGTATCGGAACTTGTCAATGAAGGCTAATCACAAAATGTCAGCATTCAATAGATATACATAAACTTCCTCCCCCGGAAGGAACAAGCCTCTTACCTTGCAAGTGTGCTCGCTCGGCCATTTGCTTCTCATATTCGCGCTTGGCATTCTTCCTTCGCTCTTCCTTCGTCGCGTAGAACGATTCTATAAATTCGTTAGCCATGTTACGCGATTTTCATACTTCCAATCAAGACCTACCAAAGTTAGCGCCTTTGTAGTAATCCAATCTCTCTGAGTGCTGATGAACAATATCTGTGGCAACTTCGTTCAAGAAGGCTCTGTCGTGAGAAACAACCAGTACTGTACTAGGGTATCCCTGAAGGTAGTTAGACAAGAAAGTGATAGACGGAACATCCAACATGTTCGACGGTTCTGTAAGATTGTTAGTGGCAGGGTTCTTTGGTACTCGCACTAAGTTCAAAGCGTACCGTCAAGAAGCAATAGATCAGGTTCGCAGAACAGGGCTCGAGCCAATGCAAGACGCATTCTCCAACCTCCAGAAAATGTCTTGGTTGCATACTGCTGCCTCTCTTGAGAGAAGCCAAGACCAGCTAAAATACTAGCCGCTCGAGACTCCGCCTTGTCTGATTCCATCTCGGAAAGTTTGGAGTAAATGTCGCTTAATGTGATATCCAGGCCCTCTCGTTCCTGATCTAAGCGAGCAGCATCCTTGGATGTGTCTGCCAGGGAGGATCGTTCCTCTTCGATAGCAGCCAGTTGTTTCGAGATTTTCTGCCAAATTCGCTTTTTAGTAAGCTCTAACGAGATATCCTTATTGAGAAACAACTCACCTCTTGTTCGCCGAGGAGATGTTTGCGCCACACGTCGGCGTCCAAAACTGCCTGTAGTGCCGGGGTATCGTCACCCATGATCTTGAGACAATCGTTAGTGTCTGAGAATAGGCTGCTTAGGGTAAATTGGAGGATGTTTTACCTCTTGTTCAACGTGGAGAATCGAGATATGGCTTGGAACGGCGACTTCTCTGCGACTAAGGGCTCGCAACAGGGTAGACTTTCCGATACCGTTTTGACCAACCAGACCATATCGTCGGCCAAAGGCAAGAGTCAGATCGGCATCTGTCAGGATGCGCAGACCACCGATAGAGATATCGAGGTTGTCCAGTTTGATATCCTTACTCTTGGATTGGGAGTCCGCGCCCATCTGAAGTGGGTTGACCGCCATGAAGAATTCTTCATACGTCATAGTTTCATCTGGCTGGATCAGGCGCGAAGCCTCGTAGGTAACTGTCTTCATTTGTTTCTTTTCCTGCTTTGCTCTGATCTTGCGCTCTGCCTTCTCCAGCTTCTTCTTATCCACTCGGGACTCCACTTTTCGGGCATTAGCGGACTCCAAATCCACGTTGGTGCCAGTCAAGCCTAGTGTGGAAGACATGTTCCGTTGCGAGCCAACATTGATGGTCTGATCAAGCCTCCTGGCCGCAAAGGGCATCTGCGGGCGCTCTGAATCGCCATTGGAGGTGCTCAGGGATGTAATGAATTTTTCCACCAGATTGACAATTGCATCACGATTCTGCGCAGAGAAGTCTCCTGAGGCAGAGATCAACAGTTCCGTCACTGTTTCCGCGGCTTCTGTTAGGGGCGACTGGGTGTTGGCATCTTCGACATAGAGGTTGGAAGCATGCGTCAAATAACCCTGTGACTGTCATTAGCTTCCATCAAGAAACTGATTTGAGAGTTGATCTTCACATCCATACCACAGAGTATTCGGAAATGACATGGTCCAAGCCAGCGATTTTAGCCTGAAGTTCTGCCTCCATGATGAGAATTGCACCAACTAGGAGAAAAGAGAGATTCCCGGATTGCGACGAGGCACACAATTCCAAAATGACCAAGAGATCTGGGGTAAAGCTAAGCGGCCACAAAGTGGCGTGTTTTTTGAAGCGTTATCGATAAGATCATGTGATCTTATCGTGCCTGCAAAAAAAAAGATCCATAGGAAGTAATGAATTTAAATAGCCATTGGCACATTTTAGAATGACAATATTAATATGGTATTCTGATCTGAGCATACATACTTGATTTAAGAGCATGGTAATATCATACATCTGACTTTCAATTCATATTGCGCAGGAAATGACCCTCTTCTCCCTAATCATATTGGAGCTCTTCCAAAGCTACAGTATGCTCGAAAGAGGTGGACTATCTATGTATGTACTCAAACCTTCATGTGGTACAAGAAGGGATTCAATGGTTTGTTTGTTTTGGTCGTTCATGATCTCCGCATCCAATGAACAAGCATAAGTTCTTGCAATAGTAGTACCACACAATAAGTCATACTAAATGTTCCACATGCTATTCTAGAGAAGGTATAAGCCACTTGGTACGTACTACACCCATAGTTAACATACTATATGTAAATAAATTCCAGATTATACAGGCGATAGAGCTCTATTATGTACTGTGGATCTAAATTATCCGGCATTCTAGAGAGGCCTCAAAAGTTTTAATTTAATCTATTGATATTCATTATCAGGGGAAACAACCAAAAATTTCGATCCCCCAGGCAGATTTCGGTCGCAACTGGATAGAAAAATAGAAATGCGGCTCTCCATGATAACATTTCGCTCCGACAAAGCCTCCTAAATCTTGCAAGGTGATATTCTTATGATTTGCACATCTTTTCAAACAGACATCGTGATCTGAATCCTATGGCTTTCTAGCCTTTTGATTTTCAATTCTTGTTATACCTCTCTCTTTGATGGAAAACGGAAGTCGAAACTCCAAGGAAAGCGAGAGAAAAAAATTAGAAAATTGACATCAGGTACAGGGGTGATTCAGTTCCTGACTGCAGGATGCAGGCCAGATTACGGAGTAGATTCTCTGACGAAAGATCGTTATTGCGCCTAGAATACATCACCTGCAGTCCCACGTTGGGAAACACGTCAAGCTGTCGGGAGCTTATGAGCCACTCGAACAAGAAAAAAGTAAACAGAACTTGACCAGCAAAAGATTGCTGCCAATCTGCTCCTTTACTACTTGGCTTTTTTTTTTTTTTTTTTCCCGTCACAAGATTTCCCCTCGAGGACAAGACCTATCTCAAGTACTGCGTAGGGGAACAGTATCTGATGGACCTTCCCAAAGCATGCCGATCGGAAGTGAGAAATTAGGCTTTAGATCATTCGATCCAGCTCCAAGTCAAGTTGAAAGGGAAAAGAATACGGATATTAACAGAAAAGAAAAATAAAAAAGCAAAAAAATCTCTGCGACACGGGAATTGTTTGGCTCCAGTTCAATCCCCATCTGCCCTAACTCGGTAGTAAGAACCGATTGTTCGAGCTTGACCCACGGGCAAGCTCCCCTTTCATTTCACAGAAGTGGAGGGTATGACGATATTGATCAGAGCTATGCCAGGATATTGCAGATAACATTTCTGCTGGTTCCGAGCTTCCTGAAAAGACAACGCAGCAACGGGAGAGAACGTTTAGGGAGGGGATCAGCGTCCGAAAGAATGGATCTAGTGGATATCCGGCTTCGAGAAGGAAAACACTTGAAACTGGGAACATACTGGCGTAAAGAGTCCAAACAAGACTAACATATATGCTCCAAGCGGGGGGGGTTTTTCTTAAGGGATGCGTTGTTGTTATCCCCAAGATTGGCCGGTTTTATTTTCGTGCTTTGAGGGGGGATGTTTCAGGAAGGAACAACATTGGACAAATAAGCCGCCCGGACAAGGGTTGGGAACAAGGCCCTGTTTTTTTTTTTCTTCCCTTTGGCGCTCTGGGAACCGTTCGTCCAACCGGTGGACACAGATCGGCCAGACTGGGGCCCTTGCGATCGCGCGACTAACGATCCTGGGAAGGCGAGGGGGGCCCGACGCGATCTCAGCCAGCCGAAACAAATTGATGTGGGGATTTCATATCTCGCATGGCTTTCTTTTCCTTTCTTTTCCCTTTTTTCTCTTTTCTTGCGCGCCGAGTTTCCCTTGGTCCACAGCCACTCGCATCCACATGCGGACTTCTCCGTATAGTGTAGAGTTTTGGTCTGGACACGAGCAGATGCAATGTGAGCCGCAAGGGGTCCGCATTTTCGCCGTCAATAAGTCAATTTGCAATCGCCCGTTTTTTTCTTTTCTTTTTCTTTTTTTTTTTTCTCTTGAATTCATGAAAGAGTGGGGGGGATAGTTGGAAGTAGGGAAGGATTGGAGAAGAGAGAAAAGAGTGGACAGAGAGGAGCATATGCGTGTAATAAAGAAAACACGATGCAAATCATATAAACAATAATCAAAACAATAAACCTCCTTCCCTAATATAAACAATAAAACTCCTACATAGGAGATTATTTTAAAAGAGATTTAGATATCCAAGGACGATTATACTCCCTGCGTGTAATCTGAACAATATTGACCTGCTCCTAGCGTGACCAATTGGCCCCAGCTGAGGTTAGCGTTAAAATCCCCGAGTCCTTGTTGTTGTTGACCAAACTCCACACTCTCTCCGTCATCATTGTCCCTTCTGTCTTTTCTCTCTCTTTTGACCTTGAAGGGCAGAATTGGGTTAAGTTTGCGCTATATTTCATCCCACGTTCTTTTCTTCTTTAGGGGGTTCCTGGCGCATATCTACAACCTACCCTGGAGTCCATCTCCCACATCCCCCCCTCCTCCTCCCATTCCCATTCACGCAACCATATGGGATGTCACTCACAAGGATTCTCGACCCTGCGGAGCTAAGCTGGAGGGTGTTTGACACTCTCTTCAGTGTCCTCTGAGGATGGATCATATCTCCACGGTAGGATCTCCTGTGAGGGATGGCTATAAACAACACTAACGCGGTCATCAGCTCTGTGCCCTGAGCACCATCGGGATTGCATCCACTGGTCTCGCACTCGGTCGGGTCGAACGAACCAAACAAAAACTTTTACGGCGCAAAACTCTGCCTTACGATCGGCAATTACCTGAACTCACCGAATCAACACCAGTCGATGTTCGACCTGGGACTGCTCGATCGGGACGACCGAACCCCGCGGGGTCGGCGTGGACACTGAAAGAGAACGAAATAGACAGCGATAGTTCGCGGGGTATTCAATCCCAAGGGCCGGACCTACGAAAAGCGTCGCTGTCCTTCGGCGCTGCCAGGCTTCGTCGTCGAGGCCAAACCTTAACCAACCCCCCTCTCCGGATTCCAGAAAACGATCCAGCCGAGGCGCACTCCCGGCGACCTTCCACCGGTTGGTTACGAAGATTATCGATGGCATCTTTTCAGACTGAAAGCCCATCGACCAATAGTCCTGTGACGCCGTCCTTCAATGGATCTGCAAGTCCAATCTTCCCTCGTCCCCATAGCCAACGCAGATCTCCCAACAAACTTGTCAAGCGCACGGCCTCACAGCATTCCAATGTACACCCTCTTTTTGTCAACACATCCGTCTCCCCCGCCTCAGGTTTGCGCAGACCAGCCACCAGCTATCAGCGATCGGAAACCATGCGGTCACAGTCCCCTCTGGGTACCGATTTCGAACCAAGTTTTCCAGAGCGATATTCGGCTGAGTCACTAACGATGGAGGAGTTTGACCTCCAAGCCCAAAATGATTGGAAGCCATTCTTCCTCACAAGATCGAAGGGATTTTCTGAGAAGTTGGCACGAAAACTACCCGCGGGGAATTCAAAGGCTCCCAGTGTGCGGCGAATAACATCCGACCGGGATAGTTTACCAGCATTGGTCCTTGCAACTACTATTACAAACAAGACCCCAAACCATTCGGACCATCAAAATGTGCCTAGGACCCCGGTGATATTTCGAAATCCATTCCAAGCTGAGCAGGCGGAAACCCATGCCTTCGATGAAATCACGCCTTTACCAACTCCGCCGCAAGCAAAACGGGCTCACAAGCACTCTTACTCACTAAATGATGTAGAACCTAAGAAGATTGTGGTGAACGCAGTCACCGCAAGTGGCACTCCAATCGACGGGCGGCCCCGTGGTGGCTCGTTAAAACGTGTGAAGGGAAGAACGTTTTCCATTCCTCAGTTAGAGCTTTCGCGGTTTGAGGGAGCAATGCCAGCCCCAGCCCCAGCACTACCATCACAACGACGCAATATTACCGATCCCAGTGTCTTTCGGCAGCCACATGCCCTTTCCCCGGCGGGCCTGTCGCTCTCCAGTTTTGGGAGGGACTGCCAGATTGTCCCTCGATCGGTGTCGCAAGATTACAACATTGGTCTACCTCGGAACCGGCCGTTGACTTCAGATGCTGTTGCCCTATCAGCTTGGCAACATTCATGTCGAACAGATGGTAACCTGTACTCTTCTCTCCGCCGCCGTCCAAAGCGGCACTCAATCACCGCATCAGATCCCTCCTCCACGGTGATAGGCTCTGATGACACTCGCGTATTTACTTCGAGTGATGAATACGAGACTGATATAATGACTGATTATTGGGATTCAATCCGCACACGGGGTACCAGTGGGAGTGGATTGAGAGGTTTGCGTATTGAGACGATGTTTGACGACAAGGCAGAAACACGACTGTCCAATGAGGAAGTCGCGACCCTGGAAGATCTTCTCCCGCGTGGTTCCTTTGCAGCTCGCATGGAAAGGGATCCACCTCTTTTCCCTGTGGCACTTCTTCCCCCGGCGCCCGTGCACATCAGTGATATCGTGTCACTATCAGGGGATGATGAAGAAACACGCAGTATGATCGGAGCATTGCCCGGTGAAAAGGACAGCAGCACCCTTTCTCACACTTCTGTGGTCTTGTCAGGACAGAACGCTTCCGGTCTTCCTCCCGCGATGCTGTCAGGCTCCTCCCCTGTGGAAGAGCTTCAAGTGAGCCAAAAGATGAATATTTTTGACTGGTCGGAGCAGTCACGGGCTGATCGTGATATGTCAGACTCGGACGCACGACCAAGAACAGTGCATGGGAAGCAGAATGGAATCGACCGAGGCAGCCGAGCGGCCTGTCGCAAAGTTCCATCCGCCATTCACCTTCGAAGTCAGAGTGTGCCCGTGGCTCGAGATATCAACCCGAATGATTCACGTCAAACATCTGGTAAATTTGGCACGTGGGGCTTAGGTAGCAAAGGAGTCAGCGAGGACTGGGATAGCGATTTTGACTTTGACGATGAGGATGATGCCCAGGAGGCCACTCCCAGTCAAGACACCATTCCCACAGTCTCGGAGGGCCCCTCTCAACTGATGACAGTTCCGCAAGCCATTCTGGAGCGCCAAGCGAGCCTTCGAGGTCAATTTGGTCAAGTCCAAGAGCTCACGCTATTGGTGGAAGAATTGAAGCGCTTGAGACATCAAGCTAGCGTCTTGGATCTTCTAAGAGGTCCATCGAGTGAATTATGGAAGGAAGCTGAAGGCATTGTAAATTTGGCCACTATCGATGAAGACGAGGATCGCCATTCACCTCCCGGCTCTCCCTCGTCGCTTACTTTCAGCTTTGATGATTCCGATGATGAAGGGTTGAACGTTTCGTCGAAGCACAATAGTGCATCTTCATGGCAAAGCAGCCCTCCGCACTCCGATACACTATCCCCACCAGCATTCAAGCCTCTCAGGCAACTTTCCAAGAATTCACCTAAATCCAAATCTGTACTGGACGTTCTTCAACACACTCAGCTCCCCGAGAACTCGACGCTACCTAGGCTTACTCCTTCTTCGCGCTCTCAGAAGTTGCCATTTGATACATCTTCTCTACGTGATCTGGTGGTTCGCGCTGGGGTGGTTACTCGTGCCTTGAAGGAAGTGATTCGGAAAGCCGAGGGTGTTGACCCAAACCCGGAGGATACCTTCCCTTCCGATCCTCCCTTTCGACGGATTTTCGATCAGCCCTCCCATGATGACCTGGCGGATTTCGAGGCCGCGTTGGCTGAGATGCACTGATCGGTCTTGACAGTTTTTTTTTTTTTTTTTTTTGGGGCATCAAAACTCTCCTGATACCCCCACATATATACCCGACTAATGTTCAGCTCAAGTGGACCTAGTTTCGACTTGAAGGATTCCCTGTTGTGGTGTTTCCATGTTCTAATGAGTGCCTTATTCATTCAATACCTTCCGCCTACCTATTCTTCACCATTTATCTCTTCTTCATCCGGTTCACTGAGCGAACGGATTATCTACTTTCCATTCCGGCACCTCAAAAAGCCATTACATCTCTTTGTACAACTTTTGTTTATCCATGTACATTGCTCTATTATACCTCTCCCTGTCCCACTTTTTTTATGCTCGCACACTATTCAGCTGCGGACTCGAGTATGGAGAAGCACTCCAGAGGCCGTGGCGATTTTTTTCTTTTCTTTTGTTTCTTTTGTTTCAGCGTTACACTCTTTTTTCTTTCACCTTTGTTGCATACTTGCGCTGCCAATACTTCATAATTATGCTCTAATAATCATGGGTGGGGGAGGTTGTTTGATCAAGAGGATCTGCAATGTGATGATGTTTCTAGGACGAAGACCCGATCATGAAACCTCATGCATCTTATTTAATTTTTCATTCTACTTAGACAAACCCAGGGGGCTGGCATCAGGAACATATACACCAAATCCCAAGTCCGCCCACATATAACGCATATAACACACATGTTCAATCTCAGAAACTTCTAGGATTGCAATGCCGCCTGCTACGGTAGTCTGGAATCTTATGATGCCTATCTAGGTAAATGGATGGATAGCGGACATTCCAAGTAGCCCTATGGATATTCAACCCATTTTTCCCAATTCAAACCTTGGAACATTCAATGTTCAATGTTTGAGGCTTCGGCAGCACCAGTTTGAGCAATTCCAAGGTTCCAAGGTCACATGCAGTACACATTCATGCATACATATACATGGATATGTACTAGGTAGTAAACTCCTGGGTATATTTCAATGTTGTCGTTATTGATGGCTCTAGTCGGGAGTCAGTAAGTATTGATGTAACATTTAACATTTATTTGAGTATCTAGTAGGTACATACATTCAAATATTATACTGATACAGTATATCTGCATATATATTGTATGTATTATGTGTGTATATTGATATAAATATATTAAAGTGTAGTTCCAAAGTATGTATGTATATAATATATAAGCACTATAAAATAAGTAATTAACTGGTTAAATACTATTAAATTATATATATTAAGATATACACAGACTAGGTGCTATTTAGGCTCATCAATTGATGCTATAAACCTGATTTCTAAGAGTATATATCTGAACGTTACATCCTTGAACATTTGAAACCAGCTGGTACATCTATGTATTCATCTAGAGTGTACATGTTGTAAAAGATTATCTTTAACATACAAACGTGACTTTCAAATGTTGATACGGTAGCGAGCATTTCATTCAATTGGGAAGAAAAGGCCGAGGATTATCCGGGATGATGTACATACTAGCTTATATATTCTGTCAAACTCATGGAACGGGGCGGGAAGGGAGAGAATGTCGGGTTCGGGTTCCAAAGACGGATTCTCGGGATTAGGGTATATTGATATGGATTGCCCTGATAAAACGATAATGATTATTGTATGACCACCGAACCTTGATTATGGGGGAAAATGTGGCTTTATGGATTTTGGGGCTAATAGAAACAAGACATGAGGTGGATTCAATGATAATATAGTGCAACCGCTAAAAGTACTAGTTAAAAGGGGAGATTTTGCAGTAGGCCGTATCCGTATCTATATACAACTTCCTCCGGACCTGAAATAGATTTCTCAAGCTTAAGGATCGTCCAATCAGAGAAAGGAAGCCACCAGATATGGAACCCGTAGAATATTACAGTATAAATGATACCGAACGGTACCTTTGTAAACGGGTTCATGTTTGGTGCTTCATCTCCGGTTCAGGGGCGGGCTGTCTTTGATTGGTCGGTACCTGACACCCACCCGCGTTAGGGGCTCCATCGGGAGTCGCAAGCCTTGCAGGTGCGAGACAGAAAAGCAAGACAATAATAAACAACGGTTAGAACAACAGAGAAAGAGAGAAAGAGAAAAAAAAGAGAATAGCAAGTAAGAGATCAGGATAAAAAAAAGCCACATGAAGCAACACCAATCTAAAGTGTATGTCAAATTTGGTTTTTCTTAGGGTTTCATGCTTATGATCCAGGGGGAAAATACATGATTTTGGAAAGTGCGGAGATTCGAAGAAGCCCGTATTGTATGGTGTATGGAAGATACGCCACACAGAACTTCAGAGTCTCGCCCCTTCTCCTCTTTTTCCTTCTTCATCTCTCGCTCTCTCTCTTTCTCTCTCATTCTCGTCCGACCCTCATTCATTCCCTTTTTTTTTTTTTTTTGCTGCTGGCCGCCACTCTTTTTGGTTCCCAAGGACTGTTGTCCTGTTCACTCTTTTGCTCTTCAAAACCCTCGAAGAATCGCTTTTGCCCTGCCGATCCTGTGACTTTCGACAAATCTCGAATCTTGAATATCAATTTTGGTGAATTTAAATGACTTCGATTTAAAAACTCACTTCTTCCCGAATTTGCGTGGGTGTGCGTGTCGACTGGCCGACGTGCTGGAAGCGGAGCCCGTTTGATTTTACCCCAACACGCCTCACCATCATACCGACCTGATGATGGGGCACCCCGTTCGACGGGAGGTGGTACCCTCCCTCCGAATTCCACTCTTGGTCCCGACCACGACATCTCTGAGCGTGGATTTGCCCACTCTGGTGGCCCGAGATAGCTCATCAACCTCAACTTCATCGTCATCGTCATCATCATCTGAAAAAGCCACCAGCAACTTGGACACGACCGTTTTACCCGTGGTACTCGGTGCAGCGTAGGTTTCCTTGAAATCTTCCAATTCCTCGTGGACACGGCGTGGCATATGAGATTCTTAGACTAATGACTCGTCTCACCATTAGAGTTCCTATTGTTTGTGCTATCATAGCCTTTATCATCCTTCACCGAAGACATGTTAAAAAGTTGTTACGTGAGGATGCCAATGATAAACATAAATCTCTAGATTTTGGCATGGATGATGTGAACCCTCGTCGAACCAAGCCAGGCCCCGGTGGAATGCCGCAGATGATGGAACCTAGTCACGGCAAGGGGCTTTCTCTTGACGTTTATCCTTATCTGATGCCCCCGGGTCTCCACAGCCCTCGAGACTCCATACATTCCATCTCGAGATCGATTGACGATGACAAATACCGCCCCGCCACGTTTATCACAAATGACAACGCGTCCATCAGGTCATATCCAAGAAGTCGCGATGATGCGTCTAGTGTGGCCGGATCGACCACTCGATTTGGAGCCTCAGAGGAGCCCAACTCGGGCCTTCTCCGGAACGCCCAGCGCATGTCTCGCTCATCACCACCTCTGCACCGCCGTCCTTCAGAGGCGCCAACCTCACCACCTCCCGCTCATCTACACCAGGACTACCCCAGACCGATTCCGGGAATGAACCCTTACCCTGTACAGCATGGGGATCAGGCACATGGCATGGCTGTCGGAAGCCCTCACGCTGACTCCAATATCCATGAGCGACCGGCTTCACCTTCAGTGTCAGAACCTCAATTCAACTTGCCAGAACCCCAGTTCAATTTGCCCGAGTCTCAGTTCAACTTCGGTTCAGCATCAGAGCTCCACTTTGAAACCCCAGCCCATGCACATGGCAACGATTCGAACATGTTCGATGAGGATCGTCCCAATTTCCCGCTGTCTGACTCGGTGCCATCTCACCATGAACACGAGCCTGCTCAAGCGTCTGCTGTGCAGCTCCCCCGTATCTCTTTCCCCGCCAGCGACATCACCAGTAGTGACTATGGCGATGACCACCGCAAGTCAGAACTCATGATCCCCGAGGTGAACATCCACGGTGCCGTGGAGGCAGAACATCATCAGTATCAGCATCAGCAGGAACCGAATAAAATCCCCGAGCTTCCCGAGGAACCCCAAAGCCTGGAACCTGTCTACGACGCTCACCGTGACACCCGCCGGATGACTCTCGGTGTACGCCCACTGCCCCCAGAGGACCCAGCCGACAACCCGGAGCAGCGTGCCAACCGGATTCGCTCCTTCTACAAGGAGTATTTCGATGATAGCAAGCGAGAAACTACTTATTACGAGGACTACGGCTCCGAATTTTATGAAGGCAGCTATGTCTACGACCCCACCAACGGAGATTACTTTGATGCGGCGCCCCCTGCTCCATTTGCTGAGCCAGTAGGCCGCCGGGCCATGACCCCTCCACCTCGCGCTCCGCCCCGATTCCAGGGCGCTGCTCGTCATATGGCGACCAATTCTGCCGGTAATAATGGCTTTGGTGGACCCGGACCTCGTGCTTTCTCCTCTGCCTCTGGACATCCTGGCCCCAGAGGTCCTCGTCGGGCGAAACCGCCCGCAGCTCTTCAAGCCATTCCGACGCCGCTCCAAGTTCTTCCCACACCTCATATGTTGAAGGACGACGCCATCCTGACTGCCGCGGCTTTTGCCCCGGGTAAGAGCTTCCGAGATCAACAAGCAGGTCGTCCCGAAACACCCACTGGTGGCATGCAACCCTACAGCCCTGCGCTCCGTGCTCACACTCCTCTGATATCGTCGTTTGATGATCTTGCTGTGATTCCCAGCGCGTAAGTCTTGTTTCTTTTTCTTTTCTTTTTCTTTTTTTTGATTCTACTTTATCCCGCCTTTTTCTTGATAATCTCTCCTAAACGCTCCTGGCCCTTATCTGACCTTTATCTCTAGTCATGCCCTGCGCAAGTCTGGCACTTACACATCTTTGGATTTCGCGCCACCGCCCCGATTCAAGAACTCAGACAGTGGCAGTGATGCGGGTAGTATTCGCAGCAACCGGACGGGTATCTCTAACACCCACCAGAACAATATTCGCCTGGGTAACTACCGAGTCAGCCGTCTGCCCACTGACATGGTCGGCACCAGGGATGACATGATGACTAGCCTGCGTCCAGATATGGATTTGACGAGATAAACCTAGAAGAAAAGAAGAAGTTCTGTCCTCCCTTGTCATGACTTTGTTGTTTTTTTGGTGTTCTTCATTTGGCCAACTTTTTTTTCCAATTTTTTTTTTTCATTACCAGGACACTTGTGATGACCTGCCAATTTTTTTATCTTATAAACATACTACATGGCGCCCCGGTGCTCTCTGCAGCGGAGGGCCTGTCTCATGGCATTTGCACCCCCTCCTTTTCTAGATTTTACTTCTGTCTCCTACCTTTTTGGACGTCTTTGCTCCGGCGTAAATACATACTGTTCCGGCGCTCATTTTTGATCTTATATGGCGATGTCCTTTGCTTGGCCATGTATATATGCATTGGAATCAATTTCACTTGGTCGAGCTGGACAATGGCCAAACTCCGATCGACCACGTTAAAAATTATTATTTTTTTTTGAATCAAGGGTGTTTTTTTTTTCTTTTTTAGTTTTGATAGTTCATGGAGTTTTACTGGAAATATTTGCATGTTCTGGATTCTGGATTCTAGATCATTGGGCGTCGTCACTGCCGTTGTCAACATGTCTTTCAGAACCAGTTAATGAATGCGGATCTCGGTAGTACTGGTCCACTGGCTAGCGATACCGTGTTCGATGACAAGGTGAGAAATGAACATTTGAATCAAAATGATGTCCACAGTGGTTGGCTCCACAGTGATTGGACACGACTCGACGAGGACGTAAGTCGGGCCACAAGTGGAGATTCCCCCGTTCCCCTTTTTGGTTCTTGTTACGCTAAAGTCCCGGATGTAGAGGAAATTGAGATCTGGGCCTGTAACGAAGTCCAGATCAAAAACTCACAGATCTAGATTTTAAGGTTATATATATGTATCTTGTATATAGCAATGCGTTATCGTGAAGAATGGACAAGAAAAATCCGAGACATTTGTATTGTTTTTTTTTGGTTCCTCGATGTTCAATGTTTGGCTCCTCGAATCAAATCGCAGCCACAAAACCTGGAAGCCGTTGAGCCAAACTAATCAAACCAATCAAACATTCGGATTTGGATATTTATGTATAGTAAGTACTGTAAGATGAAATCATACACAGTTCATATTGAGGCATAAACATAAACATGGCCCTAAATCAGTAAGGGAAAAGACAAAACCCATATGGTCCGGATCCAGGGATACACTCATTTGGGGAGAAAATAACAGAAACAAGAAACAAAACTGGTAAAGAAAAAAGAGAGAAAAAAAAAACAGATAATACTAGAATACAGGAAATCAGCTAATAAATGCAACCTTGAGTAAAATTGTCAGAATAAATGCTGCAAGCAGAGAGATGAATCCAGAGTTAGAAAAAAAAAACGAATGTATTATTTCGAATTATTTCGATTATTTCGACTATTTCTATTAATACAACCATACCACTAGGAATGCGGATACCGTTCCATCTCGACCGGGAGCAGTCATCAATCTCCACTTTCCCTCTTTCTTTCTCTCCTCCCTCACTGCCCCGTTTTTTCCCTTTTTCCACACAATTTCCATCTCATGGCTCCCGACTAGATTCGGTGACTTGGGGAACCTTTTCTCTTCTCTTCTTCCTTTTCCTTTTTTTTTTTCCCCCCCTCATTTTTTTTTTGGCTATCCAAATCATCCGCATGCTTCCAAGCCTCACTTGAACCCCCCTGAGGCCAATTCGCTTTTGCACCAATTACAAAGATACCGACCCCCGATTTGCTTTGAAAAACGCGTCTTCGCCTGAATCGCCGTCACTCGTTATTCGGCTAATCTATGATATTTTCATTTGAACTTACTCGTTCTGCGCATTTCCTCTCGCATTTACATTCGGGACAAGTTGTAAGACGTTCGACTTGAAACCCGATCGGCTTCCCGACGTCCCGTACAACCTGATATCTTGAATCCATCCAATTGCTGCAATCGGGATATACAACCTTACCACCATCATGTCGGCCGCAGTAAAGCGGGCTTCAAATGCTGGCTCCAGTGCGAGTGCAGTTGCGGGCGCCGCCGAGACAACCGCCGAGACAACCGCTGCGGAGACGACAGCCACCAGTGCTAGTGCGACGGCGGAATCTACAAGCGCTACCTCAACTGAGGCTACGACGTCTAGTGTCCCAACCTCCACCAGTGAGACGCATACCAGTACCACCAGTACAAGCACCTCCTCGACTGAGACTACCACCTCAGCCGCCCCCACTTCTACAACGGCTTCTCCGACCACGACCACTTCCGACACCACCAGTTCGACCATCGCGAGCACCACGAGTGAGCCTACCACTGACAGCACCACTAGCTCAGAGTCTCAACACGCGACCACCATCTACATTACTTCGACTGCCACCGATGGCGCCGTGACTACCGCAACCTCCACACTTAACTCAGCCTCGTCCAGCTCGGCCGCATTGTCCACCTCAACAGGGGCAGCTGCTGCGGGTAGTGGTGGCCTTTCCGCCAGTGGCACCATTGCGGTAGCGGTGGTTGTGCCCGTGGTCTCCGTGGCACTGATCGCTCTCGCCGCAATTTTCTTCTGGCGCAAGCGCAAGGCCAAGAAGGCGGCCGAGGAGGAACGTCGAAAGGAAGTCGAAGAATATGGCTTCAACCCGAACAATGACGCAACCTTCCCGGGCATGGCTGGCAGCGTGGCACCCAAGGATGATACCTCATCCGGATACCGAGGATGGGGAACCACATCAGCCGGCCGGAAGGCCTCGACTAACCTCTCCAGCGGAATGGGACTAGCCATGTCCGAAGGCAGTGGCCAGTATCACCATAACGCTACTCCCAGTGAAGGTACCGTGCAATACTCAGACGGAGTTCGACCGGACTCGGGAGAGATTGTTGAACCAATTGGCGTGTTGGGTGCTGCCCCCGTGGCGGCCAACAACCGCAATGGAGACATCCACCGGGGAGCTTCGAACGCGTCGTCTGCTTACTCTGCTGGCAACCGATCGGAGGCGTCCGAAGAGAGTCACATGTCTGCTGTACACCCGTCAGGTAGCTACTATGGGGAAAACCCTTACTACGGAGAGATCCCTGGGCATGGTGCCTATGGTGATGATTCCTACCAACCTGTGATTCGGGATGTGCAAGCGCGTCGTAACACGCGTATCGAGAATCCAGGTGTCTACCCTCGACAAGGGAACGCCGGAATCGCTCAGAACTTTTAAGATGCCTCGATAGTATCTTTTCTTGCCATATTTCAACTGTCTTGAACATCCTATTCTTCAAAAGTTCGGGTTTTTGTCCGACCTCATCCAATCTTTTCTTTCCTTTTTCCGCTCCCTCTCTCTCACACACGCTTTTTCTTTTTCTTTTTCTCTTTTTTTTTTTCTTGACCACTGCCGATTCCATTCCTTGTCTTATGGGCCCTTTTGTAATCTTGGCCCGGTGCCCTTGTCGTTCCCGGCGTGGTGGACATTTTTTACCTTCATGTGTTTATTGACCCTTTACCCTCTTACTTCCCCGTTCTCATAATCGGCTTGGGGGTTACCCGTGTCCTGTTTTAGTTCATCATGCCTCGTTTACTTCCTCTTTTATTGGCTTCTTTGATCTGTTTGATATATCCCTCGCATCTGGTTCCTTACCATACCCGTTGTTGTTTGAGTCCTGCCTCTATGTCTCCCCCACTCCCCCCATGTACATTGTACCCTGCTGTTCAGATCAGATCAGAGCCATGGGGTACTGACAGGGAGCTCAGGTTTCTCTATTTCCGTACTTTTCCAAGTATATTCGAAGAAAAAAAAAATCCAACGAAATAGGGTCGCCTGATAATCATCTGTGTATAGGTCGGAAGTAATCAAATATAGCGTATTGAGAACAGTATTGCAAGTGACTATATAACTTACCAAACAGCACTAGATAACTGACTATTTAACTTAGCATCTATTGTATGTAGATTAGTTAGTATGTACTTAGATTAGTTAGTATGTACTTAGATAAGTAGCAGTTTTGCGTTGCTTTGCGCTACTTGCAAGATACATGACTTTAGTATTGTAGATCCATACAAAGATCAAGTTCCTCCAATGTACTGTGGATCCCGGACTGATATCCTGTCGTCCCGAAACGTGCGCCCGCTGTTCACGGTGATTGGCGGTCTAAGCTCCCCCACCAGCTTTAACCTCAACCTCGTTCCTTCACTTTTTTTGGGAAAATCGAAGGGAAATTGAGGGAAAGCGCCTCTACTCGGATTGATTGGCCCAGTCCGCACTTACTACAGAGTCAGTACCTGACATCTCTTTTACAAGACCTCGTGGAATGTACCACACTGGAAGGGATTGACTCCCGAAAAACTTCCCCCGCCTAGCACTTGATGTCCCTTTACACTTGATGGAATACATGCGCCAAAACGGGGCATATCTGTCGCACTTCCTGTCATACGCTTGGTGACACTACGGAGTACTCCTGTCCCACTGTAATCTTCCCCACTCGTTGCGCTGTTGCGCCCACCCCTGCCCGCTCGACTCGAGGTCCTCTTGTCTGGGGTCTCTGAGAACCCTTCCCCCTCCTCCTTATTTTCCCTCCCCAGAGCTGCCCTTTTTTCCCCCCCTTCTGAGAACATTCCTATTTCTTCCTCCCTTTCCAAACTCTTCGTCAACATCTCGGTTCTGTTTTCACAATCTATACCTCCGTGAGCCGACGCTCTCAAACTGAGAGCCAGTCAAGATGTGAGTGGCCAACCCCTCCCCCCCCTCCCTCCGCCTCATTCAGTGCGCAACTGAGACCTGACCCTCCTGCAGGAAGTTCGGCAAACAGATTCAGCGCCGGCAGCTTGATCTCCCGGAATATGCGGCTAGTTTCGTCAATTATAAGGCATTGAAAAAGGTGGGATCGCCTCTACAGTCCACTCGATGCGGTAGCTTGAGACTCACGGCTAATACTCCTCATAGCTGATCAAGCAACTGAGTGCCACACCGACAATTCCAGCTCAAAGGACCCCCGAAGAAATTGCCCAAGATGGAACTTTGGATCCGCAAGCCTCGCTGCGAGCGAACAAAGAGGTGTTCTTCTTCCGCTTGGTGAGTTCCGGAAAGCTTCCTTCTTTACAATACCAGAGACTTACAGATCCAACTAGGAGCGGGAAATTGAAAAAGTCAATGCATTCTACCTACAAAAAGAGTCCGAGGTAACTACCCAAATATCGCACTCCCTCCACATGTATATATGAATTACTCACTTATCGCATTACTAGTTTTCGCTGCGGCTTAAAACCCTAGTCGATAAGAAGCGCGTGGTCCAGTCCCGGACCAGCACCAATTCCAAGGCCCCATCCAACTTTATGGCACTATTTGAGGGCTTCCAACAATTCGATGGCGACTTAAATAAACTGCAGCAATTTGTGGAGATCAACGAGACCGCCGTGTCCAAAATCTTGAAAAAGTGGGATAAGACATCTAAATCCCGAATGAAGGAGCTCTACTTGCAGCGCGCAGTCGAAGTACAACCCTGTTTCAACCGCGAGGTCCTTCGGGATCTATCGGACCGAGCAACTACAGCCCGGTTGGAGTTGGAGGCATGGGCCGAGGGGGAGAACCTACAGTTTGATACGTCACGGCCCTCGGACCGTGGCACAGCCCCTGGTTTTGGTACTGAGGAAGAAGAGCTGGACCTTCAAATCCTACAATCTGCCTCACAGGGGAATCTACAGAACTTGCGGGAGTGGTTGAGCAAGCTAGAGTCACTCCCTGATTCCCAAGATCGAGCCACGCGGACGTTCCTGACGGCGATCAACGGCTTCCCCGATGATGTGCTCGCTCTCCTTCTCGAGAGCAAATTGGTGGACGTACATGCCGAGGATGATATCAACGAACGCAACTGCCTTCACGAAGCCGCCATCTCTGGGCGAGACTTTGTCCTTAAGGCCGGAATTGCCGCATCGGTAGATATTGCTCGATCAGATGTCTATGGACGAATTCCTCTCCACTACGCCTGTATGCACGGTCGTGTAGACATGGTCCGCGAACTGCTGGCAGTAGGCCCGCACACAGTTGACATGATGGACCACGATAATTTCACCCCTCTCATCCACAGCATCGTGAAACGCCAGCTCGCGTGTGCGAAACAGGTCTTGATTAGCAATGCTCGCATCGATCCAGCATCAGACTCGGACCACATCCCCTTGAATCTTGCCTGTCAGCACGGATCGTTGCCTATTGTGCAGATGCTTCTGGAACGGAAGGCCCGTCTGCTGCCAGATGCGGAGGGCCTCTACCCGCAACATATGGTAGCTCGGGCGTCACAATCACCGGACCTGCTCCTTCTATTGAAGCAGCACGGAGCCGATATGAATCAAAGGGACAAATTGTATCAATGGACACCGCTATTCCACGCGGCAAGCGAGGGCTGTGTACCGTGTCTACGGACACTTCTCGACCTCGGTGTGGAGGCGCAGGTCGCAGATGAGAAGGGCCTTTCCGCCATGTATTACGCTGCTTGGGAAGGGCATCTTGAGTGCATGCTACATCTTTGGGCCCAACCCTTGATTGATCCCCCTACACAGCGACCTCTCGATATTTTGAACGGGTTTCAATTCCGGGAATCCAGCTACATGGATGAAGACATTGGAAGACGGGGGAGCTCAGTTGAGATGGAGATTGCCGATGGTATCCCTGACCTTTCTCTGCCACCTCCTATCATTCCCCTACGACGCTACGGCCACAACTTCCTGGACAAAAATGTCTTTGTGCAGCTTCTGTTTGATCAAGGGAATACCGGCTCCATTATCTTTGACCAGGCAGGTCGCCATCCGGCCGCACGGCTCACTATCTCGTCCAAGCTATCCGACTTAATTCCCCGTACCATAATGCTTCCAATTCAAGAAGACTCTCGCACAATATCTTTCCACGTGGATAACTTGGACACTTTCGCGGTGGACTTTGAGATCTTCCCCACTTTTGGCTCCAAGGTGATCGCAAAGAGTGTGGCCTTGCCGGTGACCTTCCGGGCCGAAAGATCTAGCACAGGCTCCTGCTGCCTTCCCCTCTTTGACCCTCGCCTTCGGGCCATTGGTCAACTACAGTTCAACTTCCAGGTCATCAAGCCGTACCATGGTGACCCTCTGGAAATCACACACTTTGCGACTTACTGGAAGGCGACTGGTGCTATCGACTCAGAGCACAACGGATTGGTGACAGGCTCTAGCTTGTCAGGAGACTATGTCCAACTATTCGTGCAGCTGACACGAGATCGCGTGCCGGTGCTTTATCCCCAGTTTCTCATCGACCACCATGGAATTGAAATCCCAGTGTGTCAGTTGACATATGCGCAATTCCAGGCCATTGGTGTTGAACGAGGTGTCAACCGATCTCACATTATCCAATTCTTAGAAACCCAGGCACTGGGTGATATGCCACAAGCTCATCGTCTTTTGGCGGAGTCGTTCATGTCTCTACAAGACGTTCTGCAGGAATTGCCAATGGGGTTGAATATCAACCTTGCTGTTCTTTATCCGTCTAGCGCCGAGGAAAGATCTCTCGGGATGACCTCTTTAGCTGATGTCAACAGCTTCGCTGACGCCATTTTGACTGTCGTCTTCCACCATGCGCGTGTGTCTCGCGACAAGAACCCCGACTTTATGCGTTCTGTGGTATTCACTTCTTACAACCCCAATATCTGTACTGCTTTGAACTGGAAGCAACCTAATTGTAAGCCCTTTGATTTTTCATTCTTGTCTAGTCAAAACCAGACCCCTCCCCCACGGATCACTAACCTTCTTATCTACTCCTTCAGACCCCGTTCTTCTTTGCAACGACTTGGGCCAAATTCGGGACTTGACTCTTAACATGGACATTCTTCCCGACGTCAACAGCAGCGGGCGCACCTCTATGTCTATCAAGGAATCTGCACGCATCGCTCAAAGTAACAACTTTATGGGCCTGATTTGCCGGTCAAGTCTTCTTGTATGTCTATTTTGCTCTTCAGCTCCACCGTTATGAGAATGATTTGTATGCTGACTCTGCTTGTCCACAGAACGTTGTCCCTGCCCTTGTGGAGACAATCAAAGAACTTGGCCTCGTTCTTGTTGCTGATACTTGTGACGAGGCAGGTCAACCTGACCGCAGGGACTCTTTGGCAGCTGCCAACCCTGTAGGCGTGGCTGAATGGGCTTATCGCATGCCCGATGGGGTCAATGGTGCGATGAAAGCCAACGGTGTCCTCCGATTCAACGATATGATTGACATGTGAGGACATATCAGATTCAACACCCTTTCCCTTTTCTTTTTGAGACGAAGACCACGAGATTTGAATAGCTTTATGTCATCGTCTCATGTTCATGTTCATGAATTCCTTTTGACCAGTTATCAGGGCGGATCATTTTTATTTCCCAGCGAGTTGCAATTCGAACGCTTGATTATTCACTTTGTTTTTCTTTCCTTTCCTTTCCTTTCTCCCCCCTTCTTTTGTCTCTTTTCTGTCTATCTCTTTTGCTCTTTAGTCTCACGGCGCTGGGATAGATGACTTTTATGGCTCAGGAGTTGTATCATATCTTGTAGATTGAGTGGGGAGGGCGTATGCGCCGGGATTAGATCTTAAAATGGCTAATGTACAATGTTCCCCGAATGACACACAAACACCTGTTCTTCTCGCTATGCTATACAAATCGACTCCAAGGATTAAAATCAAGGGGTCTTGGGCTTCCGCTTTCCGATGTTCCAACCCCAACTACGCAGAACTTGGACGACCTTGGGAGTTACGGCCGCTGTCAATGGCACCCGGACGAAAATGAAGACACTCTTGTGGATGGCATATGCCAATGCAAGTTGTGTCCAGATACCTAGGGATGAAAATATATCATGAGATGACATGATCATCGATGTTAAAAGGGGGAATTGGGGGGAGGTAGAACCCACTGGCTTCTTCGTAGTTTGGTTCCTCTGCCTGGACAAGGCTGCCGTCCTCCGCCTTCTTCTGAGGCCAAATCGATGGGAATGTTTGCTTTACCGATTGCACAATTACATGCTCGAAATGACCGATTCGCTCAACGCCTAGTAGCCGTACAGCTGCAAAGCAAATGGGAAAGTCCAGCGCCGATAGCGTCAGGTACACCCCCAGCGCGGCCCACCCGTATTCACGGCTCAGCTTGCGCAACCGTTGAGACAGCGATCCACCCTCTTTGGAAGCCTCGGATGCGTTGTTCGCAGATCCCGAGTTGAAGCGCTGGTTTGTCCTTTGTTTGGGAAGCTGCACTGATCGCAGTCCCGGTCGCGACCGAGGGATCGCGCGGCTGCTATAGTTGACCGCCGTTGTGAAAGACCGGCGCATGGACTTGATCATTGTTTGAGAGCCAGAGCCAAGGAATGGCTGGCGTTGGAGGACGGCCAACGTTTGTCGAGAATACGTGGGTGCGGCTCTCATTGCCGATCTCTGCATGAGCTCTGGCTGCGCGAGCCAGCGCGATAGGAGAGAAGGTCGGAGAGACATTTGGATCTGCCCGATGCAAAAGTTGCTGAGTACCCGGGCGTGATGGAAGGTTGGGTGGTTGGTTATATAAGGGGAGAGAAGGTGTGTTTGTTCTATTCTTTTTTTTTTTTTAGGTATTATTTTTCCCCCTTCGAATCGGGCGATCCTCTGGCCGGCGTCGGCCGCCCCGGTCCGATCATGCAGGTCGGACTTAAAAAGGACTTAAATCATATGAGTCAATATGATGTCGCCGAGAGGTAAACAAGTTATACAGACTCATTTGGGGCTTAGCTGCTTGGTTTCTAAGCTTGATTAAATGTCAAATGGTGCAATGAAAAGGGTGGGAATTAATTAAGATATCTAGACAATTCCTGTTCTTTAGATTATTGCTTGGGTTCATTTTAGGGGTTTGAGAGAGAACCAGTGAAAGATATCATAGCGTTGATATTTTGCTTTTAAAATTTAAAGACTCTTTCATAGCATTATCTGGTACATAGAGAGATATAGAAATAGTTGTATACTGTACGTGCATGTATACTATGCGTAGTTAGTTAGCTAGCTAGTTTGTTAGTTGACGAACTGTAGGAGGGATTTGTGCTGACTCATCCCGCCGGCCAAAAACTTCGAGTCCGCAAGATGCATTTCACCAAATCTCCTCAAGTTGCAAACCACCGCATCATGTCGCCACGCCTACCAGGGAAGCTGTTTCAGCTTTCCTCATCCCTATGGGATACTAAATTGACCGTACCCCGGATTTCTATGCGAACATTCGGCATCAAATCCCTCAACACCCCCAAACCCAGCCGCTTCAACATCGGTCCCGGCCTGCCCGTCCTTGAGTCGACATCGACTGCAGCTCTACGCCGCAAGGCAAATTCTCTCCCCCTACGCACCGGTGCAATTGCGACCAAAAAGGGTATGACCGCTATCTTCGATCCGGAAACTGGCAAACGCACCCCCTGCACTGTGTTACAAATGGACCGCGTCGAGGTGGTCTCGCACAAGACTCGCCAAAAGCATGGCTATTATGCTGTCCAGATTGGCTCAGGCTGGAAGCACCCCAGCAATGTTACCAAATCACTCCTAGGCCACTTCTCCGCCAATGGTCTTTCACCCAAACGTCATGTCTTCGAGTTCCGCGTAAAGGATGAATCCGGCCTCCTCCCCGTTGGCCAGAGTGTTAGTGCCAGTTGGTTCCAGGAGGGTCAATTTGTCGATGCTCGCTCCAATACCAAGGGTAAAGGATTTGCAGGTGTCATGAAACGACACGGTTTCCACGGTCAGGACCGCAGCCACGGTGTTAGTTTGACCCATCGTTCTATGGGTTCTGCTGGTCCCAGTCAGGGTGGTGGTTCTCGTGTATACCCAGGAAAGAAGATGGCAGGAAATATGGGTAACACCCAAAACACTGTTCAGAACTTGAAGATCATGAAGGTTGATGCTGAAGCTGGAATTGTGGTCGTGAGCGGTAAGATTTAATCTATTCCTTCCCCCATACCCTTTGGGTTGATGTTGCTTGTTGTTTCTAGCTTTGTTTTACTGACGGTGACTTTTTCTGTTCATATACAGGTGCTGTGAGTGGTCCTAAGGGATGCAGTGTGAGAATCCAGGATGCGATCAAGAAGCCTTGGCCTGAGGTTAGCCCAGCTGTCTCGGCCTAGTGGCAATCCTAACATTGGGAGGAGGAAGCATGTACTACTACTACTACTACACCATTCGCGCAATACTTGTTCACTTGAGCGGCGTTTGTATATGATACAACAAATGATATCCTTTAGTTTTTTTTTGTTCCACTTTTCTTCCCCTTCTCCAGGGCTCAAACACATTCTCTTTCGTTCCACAAATATCGCGGTTCGACCAAATAATACCTGTGTTTAATATCCATAAAACGCCGGTTCCCAATGCGCAAGGCCATTTATTTGTACAAAATCCACACTTCGGTTCCTCTTTTACTCCTTCCGGAAGGGATCACTGTCGTTATCCAGCAACTGCACCACGGTTCCATCTTCGGTCTCCAGACTCCATTCCTCGGTACGGAACTAGTTTGAGATATTAGAAAAAACAAGCCAGAACTCGAATTGAAGGGAATCACCCATTTGGTTTAGAAGGATTCATTTCACTCACGTAACTCATCCGGTCCGGCCGGATACTTCGAAACCTCATCTTGCCCTGGGTCTTGGTGCCTTTCACCCAGAATGAGATATCGATGCGCCCATGTAGTTGATTCATTTCTCCACTGATCCATGGGATCTGCTGGGCAAAGTAGATCTCATCACCCAGGATCTCGCGGGCCTGGGGGGATGTCCGCAAAGCGTATAGTGTGCTGCTGACGATACTCGAGGAGGACTTTTGGTAGTTGAAGATACCAAGCATAGCAGCACCGACTGCCACAGCAAAGAAAGGGAAGGTCCGCATCCAACGGCGGCTGTTCTGGATGGTGGGGAGCTCTCGGTCTGCGCGTCGCTCCATCAATGGCCCCGTGTTGGGGCCCGGGGCAGGAATCATGGTGCGCCGGGGAGCATTGCGAGATAGGCGCGTTAGTTGAGTGAGACCTGTGCGCCGGGGCAGAGAGCGGAGGAAGAGCATTGTCAGGTCAAATTGGAGAGCGCTATATTGTTGAATGGGAAGAAGGATCACAAGTTGTAGATTTTGGATTTCCCGAGTCCGCAAGCCAAACAGAACAAACATGTGTGTTTTCGACGTCACACACCTACATCCTTCCCCAACTGCAACATACTTGTTATGCTATTTAAACAGGACTGAAAGCTTTCGACCTCTCTTGATTCATTCCGCCGGTTTGCTTCTGCTCCGGTCTCTTCATGGCGGCAGTGCGGTTACGCCGGGTCTTTCGATATCCAGAAGACTCGGACCATGAGAATGACCATGAGGAGCTTGACGAGCAGGAGCAGGAGAGGGTGATTGAGCAGTTGCAGCGACAGAATGACACCCGTAATGCTTACTACAAGGTAAAATTATATAAGAAGTCACGACGGTTACAGCCTGCAGTCTTTGTGTTGTCCTTCTAACTTTATATCTAGCTCATATTCACCGTGATCCCATTAGTCTTGATGACCACCTTTCTCCCATCACTACTATGGACCTCGAGTTTCTCTGAACGTTTTTGTTCTCTAGCGGGCATCTCATCCTTGCTAGCCTCAGCCTACGTCATGCAATACTTCCCTCTCCATGCAGACCGCAAGGGTAAAAAACCCATGATAATGGAAAACGAACATCTGGCTTTGATCCATGCGGCCCTGGTGCCTATGAACGGAGTGGTGTGCGGGTTACTGGCGCTATCTGTGTTCTTGGGGGCCTGGCCTTCTGGCTCCTGGCCGGCACTCTATCTCATCCCTGGTGGTAGGTCGCAGTCTCACTCACAATTGATCTCCTTTGCCTTACCAAACTCTTACCGTGACTCTTCCTCTCTGTGTAGCTATGCTTGGAGCTACTCTACTCGCTCGGCAGTCAATACTTTCGGTCGACATTTCCGCACTCAAAGACCTGCAATATGAGTACAAAGGCGCCTAGGAAAACAGAAGGAAAGGAGAATAGAAGGATACAAAAAATTCTAATATTATCAAAATGGTCATTATCATCGTACAGCGAGATTTGTCGTATGGGTGAAAAGGACTAGGGGTAATCGCTTTGAATAAAAGAGCAAATCAACCAAAAAAAAAAAAAATAAAAATAAAAAAAGGAAAAAAGGAAAAATGATGAAAGACCCAGCATTTCCCAGCGTACAACACTAGGGCATCTTGCTAGATAGAGAACCAAGAAAACATAGAGAAGGGGAGGAAGAGGATGAATACCCTTGCCCAAATCAAGCCCTTAAGTGTCATTCTGGCCCGAGGTCGCAAATGAGCCATTTCCAAGTTCCAGTGCAGGGTCCACTGGGATATAACTTGGAGTGTTGCATTCTTCCGAGTCGCCGTTCAATGAAACTTGCTGCATAGGATCCATCAGAATCGCGTTATCCTTCCACATTTTTTGCCGCTTCTGTTCGGCCTCCTCCATTCGTTGTTTCAGACGTCGTTGGCTATTTTCTTCCAGGCTGGGAAGCCACCTGAGATTCGGAAGACGCAATGTCACCAAGGATTCGACACTTCGCGGATCGGCAATTTTTTTTGTGTCGTGTCCCAGTAATACATGGTAGGGCTCATGGGGGGTCATAGTCGGGTCTTTTTGGCAAGGCGTGCAATTGCATTTCTTGTTGCATCGAGGGCACAACCAGTGAGAGCACTCCATCGCTTCCTGGGGTGGAATATCAAATGCGCGGTAGAGGATGGCATAGCAATATTTCAATTGACAATCCGAACATGTTGCCAGCTTCCAGAGAGGTTCAACATTCTTACACATGTGACACGACCCGGTTTTCTCACCCTTTTTCTGGGTCCTTCGTTTTTTTCGTGGCTGGTCATCATCATCATCATCAGTGCCAGAAGGAGTGGGGCAAGTTAACTGTTTCAGGTTTGGGTTTTGAGGATCGACCCAAGGTCTAGCAGCCAGTTGCTCTAGACAAATTTGCGCCGTTGACTTGCGACCTGACTGGGCTAGTGCAACGGCGAGCAGGGGAAATTGAACTTTGCGGTCTTTATCATTTTTGAGCCCGATGATTTGACGGCGAAATGTGGCATGTCTGTCGCGAAGAAGTTTCCATGGGAATTGCTCAGCCCATCTCAACTTGGAAATGCAATGGCAGCTCCGGCCCAACACATAGCAATCCAAACAAATGTCATATGCGTCATTCCCATCCGTGGCACAAGAAGAGCAAGTCAGGAACCTATTGAAAATATTACACCGGCAGTATGAGCAGGTGATATTGCTGTCAAATTTGACATACTCAATGCCTTTTTCTCCAGGGAAGTTGGGGGGAAGGTTTTCTGAGAGGAGGACATCCGTGAAGATTAAAAATAACTTTTCAAAATCTTCCCACAGTTGCCGAACTGCGGGATGGTCCCCCGTCGAGCCCTCTCCTCGTAACAATCTTGAATAATGTTCGAGCGCATGAAAGACGATGGCTTTGTTCTTGTATTGCTCATCACGGCACACCATCCGTGCGTGAGGAAGTGCTTCATTCATGGCCATCCTTAGAGTCTCCACCGTGGTCCGGTTCCAAGCCACTTTCATGGTGCGCGTACCCCGATTCCAGACCTGATGGGCTGCCAGCGGTGGGATGAGGATGAGATCCCCAGGCCTCTGTTCTACCACGTAGGTCTTGAAGGGTGCGCCTACCCATGCATTGAGTTGCGCAAAGTGATCTTCCAGGTCAATATCATGACCAAGCACCGAGGCCCAATAGTCGGACACAATATCGCGTTCTTTCGTTTCCGTCATGAACCAAACCGATGATCCTAACCGGGTGGCCTGTCCACTCTCCATAGTTCCATCTGATGCCTCCACCATGATATTGTGGCCTAGACTGGCACACATTTCCTGATGCGCAGGGGTGTAGGTGCCTTCAGGGCCAATGTAACACATGAGATTTTGGGCCCGCATTTCTTCAGGCAAACAGCTCATTAAATCGCCTGATTTGGCAATGGTATCCCCTTCTGGCGTCCTGGCATATTCTGCCTGGCAAGTAAATTCAGACCCTGGGCCTTTGTATGGCTTGGGACCATCATTGAAGTAAAACAACGATGGTGGAATGATTTTCTCCAGGGATCGCTGCCACTCCGGAGGGCAGTCCATATCCTTCAAATACAATCTTTGATCTGTGCGGGGCACAGGTGAGAGTACAGGCGCCGAGAGCGTTGGCAAGCTCTTTAAATAATGTGCCGTGCTCATGGGGATGTTGATTCCACGTTTCAAATCACGCACCTGTTCGCCTGGTGCAGAGTTAGAGGCGCGATCTATACTGGGAAAACAGAGTCAAATAGGGCAACTTACTTTGGCAATTCTGCTGTAACCACTTGGAAGAGAACAGTGGTTTATCCAAATACTCTTGAAACCCCTCAATCACTAAGGGTTCTCCTAGCATGATAACGTGGAACAGAACGAGCTTATCAAAGTCCTCCCGCGGCTGCCCATCAATTGACTGACATGTAATGCGCTTCGCAAACTCAAAGTTGTCCGCGGTTTCCACTAGCTCCTCCAGATTTAGATGGGTAGGAAAGGGCTCGAAAATGGCTCGTGAAGGCGGAGTCATGGTGGTGGGGGATGATGGTGATCAGTGGCACGAATTAGGATAACGGTCTCTGTTCGAGCGACGAAAAAGATCGCATGGAAGTGTGCATGCTTAAAGACGGAGGAAGGAAAGACAAGTTACTGATGTTGAGAAGATTAAGCTGATCAGTAATCTAAAGATCATAAGCATAGTGTGATAGAGTAAAAACAACACACCGACAGTCAAGAAAACGTTCAACTGAAATTCGACCTTACACCATTTCCCACATTCAGCCGAGTGTCAAGTTCATTTGGGTAGAAAGAAGAGACCTCGTTAAAGAGATTCCAGAAGAAGGTGGGTATGGTGGAGTGGAAGATGGACAGAAGAGAAAGAACGATATGAGAAGAGGCTCCGTCGCTCCGTTAACTATAGACGCGAAAGAGACGCGGTAGGGAATTACTATTTTGGGATTAGTGGCGATCGACGGGAAGCTTTTTGTTAATTGCATATAACGAACGCATGCTCTCTCTTTGCCTTTTTCCTTTCTTCCAAGTGATACATAACCTACAGAGCATGCCTCAGAGCTCTTCACGGGAGTTGACACCATGCTGCCATCCACTAGCCTCCGTTTCTTCCGTCTCTCACGACACACTCGCCACTGTCTACCCTTGAGGAATTCCACCTACAGTCCATATCGCCATGGATGCCTGTCGACCCTCACTGCCAAATTCGAATGCTTGACATCTCAGAACCCCCGATCTGGTGTATCTCTTGCCTTAACCCCCCGGGGGTTAACCTCCCAAATTCATTCCACGGCAACCCGATCTCTTGCAGTTGATGTGAAGGCCCCTAACCCGGCAACCCATTACATTCCACCTCAGACCGGTCTGATCGCCTCATTGCCTTCGTCTTGGGTTCCATATGCCGAGTTGGTCCGCCTGGATAAACCAACCGGCACATATTATTTGTTCTTTCCGACTCTTTTTTCCACTCTCATGGCTGCTTCCATGGCTGCCAACGTCACCCCCATACAAGTGCTTGGTACAGCCGGACTTTTTTTTACCGGGGCCTTGATCATGCGTGGCGCAGGGTGTGCCATTAATGACCTGTGGGATCGAAATCTCGACCCACATGTAGAACGTACCAAATTCCGTCCCATCGCCCGAGGAGCACTTTCCCCTCCCAAGGCTGTTCTCTTTACAGGTACTCAGTTATTGGCTGGACTGGCAGTACTTCTTCAATTCCCAACACAGTGCCTCTGGTATGCGATACCGAGTTTGCCTATTGTGGTGGCATACCCCTTGGCTAAACGGATGACCAACTATCCTCAGTTGGTGTTGGGGTTCGCCTTCTCGTGGGGAGCAATTATGGGGTTTCCAGCCCTGGGAGTGGATCTATTGGCCAACCAGGATGCTCTTCTGGCCGCAGGGGCCCTATATTCTAGTTGTATTGCGTGGACGGTTTTGTACGATATGATATATGCTCATATGGACATCAAAGACGATGTGGCGGCAGGTATTAAGTCTATCGCTCTGCGCCATGAACACAACACCAAGGCCGTCTTAACGGGTCTGGCAGCCACTCAGGTGACCCTCCTAGGCGCTGCAGGTGTTGCCGCAGGCTGTGGTCCAGTATTCTTCGTTGGCAGCTGTGGCAGTGCCCTTCTTTCCCTGGGAATCATGATTTGGAAGGTTCAACTTAAGAGTGTCTCGAACTGCTGGTGGTGGTTTAAGAACGGGTGTTTGCTGACCGGCGGGGGAATCACAGTGGGACTTCTCGGTGAGTATGGCGCTCATTATCTGGGTTTGTACGATAGTACCGCCCAGTCCGGTTCCGACTCCGCGTCGAGGCAATGACAGTGATAGGTGGAAATCAAGATTGAGCCACTGAGAGACCCAAGTGCTCTTCCACGTTACGGACAATATCTCTCCAGTCCATCATTCCACCACTCCCCACATCCCCACAGGCAAGAGGCTTATCTATCGGGGGAAGTACAGTCACCCATCCCGCCGGATTTGTGGGACTCCATCCCCATTGGTCTCTTAGGATGCCGAGATTCTGCCGTGTGATTGGTTGATGCCACATGGCGCTATTCATGGCAGGGGCCACGAAAATCCGTGGTTTTTGAGCCTTGAAATCTTGATCGACCAGACCAGTTGTGTCCCAGGCCCGCACCACCGACAGTAGGAGGTTGTCTGCAATGCCCACACTCATCTTCGCCATTGTATTGGCTGATAGGGGAGCGATCAGCAACATATGTGCCCACTTGTTGATCGTTAGCTTCTTTCCGATCGTTCCAGTATAAGCTCAATGTTAACCTTGCGTAATTCAATGTGTAAGATATTTGCTCCACGAGTCCATGGTGTTGCCCATTCATCGTCATCCCGGTAGATTGCATCCACTCCCTTGATCTGCTGAAGGCTATCCAAAGCAGGCTGCTCATGGCTTTGGTCAAAGAGAAATCTTTCAGCTGATTGAGTTACTATTATTCGTAATGAGATAGACGGATGGGAACATAAGGCCTCGGCGATATTGGGAAGCTTTATAGTGGCGACTGAGCCAGTCTGTAGAATGTCAGGAGTAACTCACTATTAGAGTAAAGTGAGACTGGGACTTACGGCTGCAAGGATTATGTGAAATTTCTTATCATCTTCATACTGTTTTGCTGAGAATGAGGCTGAATTCATGGTGGGGGAGTAGATGGAAGTAGTAGGTACAAAATGATGCAAGGTTCACAACGGGTCGCATGTGGGGCGCGACGTAATTAGTTAGCCAACTATTGATTAGATAATACCAATCGGCTCCGTACTGGCACTCTTTCCTCCGTTCCTCCAGTCTCAAAAGTGTCATAGAATCTTGACAACAGTTCATCATGTTCTCCAGAACGGTCTTCTCGGTATGCATTCATTCAATGCAAGATGTTTATAAGACTAGCTTAGGCTTACCACAATCCCAGGCTTTCCGCCCAATCTCGCGACCGGCAACGCTGCGCCCTATCCGTTTCCCAGCATTTCCTCTGCCGTCCACCCTCAACACTCGTTTCCTGTCCTCGGAGACCAAGGCAGCTATTGACAAGGCTATTTCTTCGGCTCCCGTTGTTCTATTCATGAAGGGTACTCCCGAAACTCCTCAGTGTGGTTTCTCGCGTGCGAGCATCCAAATTCTGGGTCTGCAGGGCGTAGACCCTAAGAAGTTCGTGGCATTCAATGTTTTGGAGGATCCAGAGTTGCGTCAAGGTCAGTTTTAGCTTATCTTCTCTAGGGCTGCTGGGGCTGAAAGCTAAACGATTTGTTTGTGCAGGCGTCAAAGAATTCTCAGACTGGCCGACCATTCCTCAACTATACTTGGACAAGGAGTTTGTTGGAGGTTGTGACATCTTGATGTCCATGCACCAGAATGGGGAGCTTGCCAAATTGTTGGAGACCAAGGATGTTCTTGTGGCAGCGGATCAATAAATAGATAACCTGGGGCGTATCCCAAGAGACTTTTTAGATGGTTGTCAGAAAGTTGTATTGTAATATTATATTTAGTTTTTTTTTACCGCCACCAGCCCTCCTCCAGTATTATGTCCAGCTGTATAGATCTTCGTTGTTGGGCTCAAGCGCTTCCAAATTTCCATAAAGACGATGGAGGAAGAAAGGAAACTTCCTCAACCATCTAGAACGCCATATAACAAACACCATTTCTTTTCGTAATGGATATCAGTTGCCATGTGCCAGCAAAAATCATTATGATAAGAGAAAACTCTGCCAGTTGATGATATTCGCCGTCTAGTTATATGGTTGAATTGGGTTCTTATTAAGCAGTGGCCATCTTATGTGGATGCTAAGCTGACGCTTGCTCCTGGGATTTCACGAGATCCTCAGTGATGCCTTTTTCTAGTTTGGCCCTTTGCCGCGCTTCATACGCTTCTCGGCTCTTCAGGATACGACCAACGATCTCACCTGCATTGACATGTTGGAAAGCATGCCGTGCGACCTCCTGGAAGATACCCATCCTTTTGGGGGCATCATATGGATCATATGTTAGAGGAATAAACGTCGTGGGTCCATGATAAACCACATGAGGTACGCCGAGTGGCAGGGCTTCCAAATAAGGCTGACTGGGCGTGAAAGGTGCCGAGAAGATGACGGCGTGAATATACCGGCATTGAAGGACACATAAGCCACGCTCAAAGATGTTCATGATGGGATAGTTGAGTCCCTTCCAGTGGTTGATCACGTCGTCATCATGAATTCCGGCAACGATATACGCAGGGGCGTAGTCTTCATTGTACTCCTTGAGTCGTTTCTCCTTCTGCTCCGGGTCAAACCAGCCTCGTTGACGACCCTCAGCCTCCTCCATCTCCATAACTTTCCGCAGAAATTCAATATGACCAGATGAGAAAAGGTCAAAGCCTCCGTCAACATACACAATCCGTTGGCCTGGTTTCGGGCCCTTCCCATCCACTAAAGTTTCAAAGCTTCCAGCTTCCTCAACTTGGTGTTCAATTTTCGCCGTCCCGGATCCAGTCCATGTCCAAACTTTGGGACCGGGCTGAAGTCCACTCTCGTCTGTCGCATAGGCTCGAATCCTCTGCACCAAATCTTCCGCAGCTGCCTTGCGCTCAGCGTGGCTTCCTGAGCCATCCTCTCCCGAAAGAGTACCCCTGACAGACTTGATAAAGTGATTCTTCGTACATAAAAGCATACGGCCGACCAAATCCGTGGTAGAAATGCCGGGGGTTCGCTTAACGACTTTGAACCGACCTGCTGCCTTGACATATCGATAGCAGTCATTTCCATCACTATCAGATGTAATATCGTCACCATGTACCACGTATTTACAGCCGTAATGAGAAACCCAGGGTAGGAAAGTGACGTAGGGAGCATGGGGCACACTTTGAGTGGCCCACCGGCAAGCATCGACGGCCGCGACTCTGGTAATGGGAGTAAAAGAAATATCAGTAATCGCAATCACTAGCTCGACAAGTCAGGGACTACGAACCGTTCATCCAACGACATCACTGTCGGGCCCTTGTTCTCCAGAATTGCTTGGTCCGAGTGAATACCCACGTATAGTGCCTTGCCGAGTTGACGAGCTTGAAGCATAGCACCCGCATGTCCTTTTTGAACGATGGGTTAGATCAGGCCCTTTGCTCTGGGAGAAAGGAAGTCTTACCATGATGGCTAAAGTCAAAGCATCCATCAACCCAGATACGATCCTCGGAGATTGGCATATCTTCCTGAGGATCCACAGGCCATTGGCCCGGTTGAGGGATCTGTTCGTCAATGGGCAGAGTGTCCATTGGAGAAGAGACTGCTTGTTAAGGGGGTCAATAGGGAAAAGGTCTTTGCGGGATGGGGGGGGGGGAAACAAAAATAAAAAGGGGAAATTCAATCGTCAACCCGAAATTATTTCCGAGGGGGGTTCTCGTAACAGAGGGGAAAGGAGAGGGGACCCGTTGTGGGGAACTCTAGATCTCCTGAGATTCGGCATGTTTCTCAACTTCCTTTTGCTTTTTCTCTGCAACGAACTCCCCCCCCCCCCCCCAATCCCTGAGGATCCTCCGTATTCTCCAGCATACGGGAGACTATTGTTGTTTATTGTTTATTGTTTATTGTTACTGCTCTTTTGTTCTGTGAGATTAACTTAGTGACAATGATTTCGTCAACGTTTGCCCCGACCCTGTCGCGGAGGGATACGGCCAAGCCTAGTGGAGGTTATGACGGTACACATAGCAGCATTCCTCCGGTTTCCAGTGGTGGGGGGCCATTTGGACCCCAAAGTGCGAGTGCCATCTATCAACAGATTCATGACATGGCCGCGAAACGAATCTCGACCCTGGATTATTTGAGAAAGGCGTAAGCTCCAATTTCACCTCCTCGGGATCCTGATTCAAACTGAACCAAGTTTATATCTTCAGTCTCGAAGGCCGCGCCTATTGGTTCAATACCGTCCACTTCTCCCGGGCAGATATCAGTCGACTGCCATATTTCGAAGCCCGCAAGCTTTCCCGACGAGCAGTCAATTATCTCCTTTTAGGCCTATCACTACCATCGATTCTCGATGTCAATTCAACCCCGTTCGAGTACCTAAGAACCCTCAATGCCCTGCTACTCGAGTTCGAGACTTTTCAGCAAGTGCACCCACCCGATGGCAGCTCTTCGTCTAGTCTTGCGCGAGCACGTATTCCCCAGATGTTCAAGCGCGCAGCACACGCCGGCACGAAGACCCGACGCGCTAGCTCTGCCACGGAGATCGGCCTACCGATGCAGTCAAGTGACCCGACGGATTTGAAAAGCACAGCAGGCAATATAACTTCGCCGTCCACAGCGGCTGCCTCGGTGATTTCATTCCCTCTCACTGAGTCTTCGGATCTCTTACCCGGCGAAGAATATACCTATCTTCTCACACCATCGTTACCCTTCGAACCGGACTTTTTTGAAACGTTTGCAACCCTCTGTGATGTCCTGATCGATTGTTACAGCCGAATCACAACCCTCGTATCGGCACCCTCAGTCTGCACGGTAGCCCTGGGAGAGACTTTCTCTAAAGCAGATGCCAAACTACGAAAGATTATGGTCGCAGGTGCGGTTCGGGAGTTTGAAGATGCCAGTCGGACTGGCGTCAAAAATGAGGTTTCTGGTGTCAGCCGCGTCGTGCTCGGCGGATTGTTAGGCTAAGATCACGCCGGTGGGCCGAGGTGCTGTAGGTACTGAATTGTGCAAGGGAAGACGACATGTTTATGAGCTATGGAAGGCGTTTTGGAATCGGTGTAGAAGGTGTATTATGTCAGGGTTAACTTTGATGACTTGTACGGAAGCAACGAAAACGAAAAGCAGTACTTTAACAAAAGAACCATTAGGATTTGGTTCTATGTTTCAAATTCTTCTATTGCATGCATATTTGCCCTTCTAGAGCGGATATCGCCAGTTTCAATGAAAATTAAGGCGCTGAAGGAACAATCATAGAAACTTTTTTCCGGTCATGTCGCATCTAGAAGCAATGGGTGCGGTCGTTGTGACGGAGATCCCTGCTCCATGAAGTGAGGCGTAAACAGAACAATCCGGTGATATAGAACAGATAAATGAGGGGGAAGAAACTCCTGAACACGCCACGGGCTGGAAATGCTGAAAAACAGATGACGCCGAAGAAATGCAATCGCTTGGTGAAAGAAACGGAGAAAAGGAGGAGGGGGAAAGACGAATTCGAAAGTTGAAAGTTGAAAGTTGAAAGTTGAAAGTTGAAAGTTGAAAGTTGAAAGTTGAAAGTTGAAAGTCGAAAGACGAAAGACGAAAGACGAAAGACGAAAGACGAAAGACGAAAGACGAAAGACGAAAGACGATAGGCGGGAGGCAATCACTGCAGGTGCTTCTCAAGGTCGCGTTGTTCACCGAATACGCGACGGCTCATCTCTAGGACGGTTTCGAAGCCTTCGCGACCATGTTTGGCATTCTCACGAAATCTCTCCACGCTCGCCTCCTCGACCTTGTTCTTGATTTTTTGCCAACCACCACACAGGGCAGTAATCTGGGCCTCTTGGGTGAACTCGGTATTGGTGGTGGGAGAAGTAGGTGACGGCTGGTACACCACAGTCTCGCGAACGCTCAAGACATTGGACCAAGTCAAGTTGGTGGAACACATGGTGACTTTTTTGGAGGCCGGGTCGACATAGGAAACTTCATAGACGTGTGAGGTGGCACTTCCACCAAATAGCGCAGAGACCCATTGTGGGACCGATTGGTTACATGTGATGAGACGCTCCGTCCGCAACTATACGGGGTGAAAGTTAGCTTCCATAGTCCAGTAGATGGCCGAAGATTGGTAGACTCACGATGCCGGTCTTGGGGTCTACTGTCCGGGAGAGTGTGTCTACACCCACAACATGGGTCACCTTGTCGTTCCACGGACAATACTTGCGCCAGTTGGCCGTAGACACCTCATCCCATGAGTAGTCAAAGGTGCAGGTTGACGAAAAGACCTTCATGGCTCGCGCGCTCAACAGAGTCGCTTTGTAAAGAGTATGGGAAGGATTAAGAGACAGAGCAATAAGAGGAAGAAATGCAAAAGGTGAACAAGTTAAGTAGAATATGAAGTGGCAAGAAGATCAATCTAGAAAAAGTAAACTCCCGATGAGTCAGGAATCACGGAAAAAGGTGGGTTTCCCTGCGGTGGCGATCGTGTGTCAGATCGAATTTTTTGAGGGGGAAAGATTGACAAGATTTACGGGTCAGGGCAACTCCCCGAGAGGAGCCGTGGCTCGGGGCTTCCCGGTTGGCTTATGTAAGTGCCATACAATGTTAGTTAGTTATAGTAAACTATGGCAAATTGGGTCTAGTCTTCCATGTGTACATCCTAGTACTGAATAGCTTGTTATATATCACTCCTAGTATTAGTACTGTATACAAGCTGTGTATATTATCCTCCGCTACTCTTATACCCCTCATTCCTCTCACCCTCGCCCCATCCACCACCCACCATGGTCGAACTTCGCAAACGCAAAGCCCCCGCGCCACCACCTCCGGTTGTGCAAAAGAAACCTAAATCGGTCCCTAAAGCCAAAGAGGCCATCGAGGTCGTGGCCCCCAGTCAGCCTGCAGCGCAAAAGGTGCCTCAAGTTGCCGACATCATTGAGTTAGAGGGATTTGGCGGCGAGATTGAAACCAACGATGGCACTACGACCACCTTGAAGAAGCTTGTGGAAGAAAGCTCGACGGGTGTCGTTCTATTCACCTATCCTAAAGCCTCAACCCCTGGATGTACGTTTTAATCTTCTTCCCTCACATCGAATGGCTAAGCCTAGGCGCAGTGTATTTCTGGTTTTGGTTTTCTAATTCAAGGGATGCAACATCACCAGGTATCAAGCAAGCGTGCCTGTTTCGTGACAACCACAAACATCTTACATCTACTGGTCTATCTATCTACGGTCTCTCAGCCGATTCACCCAAAGCCAACACCACTTTCCAAACGAAGCAAAGTCTCCCCTATCCGCTTCTATGCAATCCCAGTGGGACATTGATTGGCGCGTTGGGATTCAAAAAGGTCCCCAGAGGCACTATCCGAGGTGTATTTGCTGTGGATAAGAAGGGCAAGGTCTTGCTTCTAGAAGCCGGTGGCCCCGATGCAACCGTGGATGCCGTGCAGAAACTTGTCGCCCTGGACTCTAGCAATGAAGGTGGACAGAATGAGGAAAGCAATGAGAGTAAATAGGTTACTGTAGAAGATTATCTACCTATAACATGAAGCCATCTCTACATGGATGATCAAGGGAGTTCTATTTCTGGGGCAGAACGATACTCTCCCGTTCATGCTAGCGACTCAAATTTTTTCTTAGATTGATATTGTTTTTGTCAATTCATATAAACCCCCCAAAAAGAGAGTTATAACTTCAACAACAATACCCACCTCCAGTTTCATTCAGGCTGGTCCACCCATTTTAATGTCATTAGTAATAGAGGTGGGTGAGCTGTCGGAAAAACAATAATCCCGGTCCGGATGAAACGGAGTGCATGTTGTATCTTGCCGCATTATGATCCCACTTTCCAGCAGAGCCCATCTCCACAATTCTGGGTTTCAAGGACTTTAAGAGGTGAGATTCTTCTAGCGAAGGAATTGTCTTTGGTGGCTCGTTTGATTGCCTCCATTTCGTCACTGTCAATGGTGTAACTGACCAAACGCAGGTCAGAATCTTCTTCATCATGGCCCGCGATATCCTGAACGCCGCCAAATCGGTCTCAAAGACAGTCAATGTGTTTCCAATCGGCCAGGTAGGATCTCCAATATCTCTTGTAAAAAAAAAAAATTAAGGATATTAATGGGGAGGCAGAAATACTCTCTTCGGTCTACCGGTATCTGGGAGCGGATCCGTCGCGTCCTTGCCGTAGACCCCGACCGCTCAACCGGTATCCCATTGAACTCGCAGTTCCGTCTCCCGACCCCTGGGTCTGTGCCTCCCTTGGCCTACGATGATCCTGTGACAATTCCAGCAGGTGACCTTGCCGACAACCCATACTGGAAGCGAGACGTCCGAAGAAACTACCCTCAGCTGAGCACCATCAGCCAGGCTGATGCCGTGAGCCTTCTCACAGTCGGCAGTCAAGCAGCTCCTAAGGATGATATCTTGCAGATTGGAGAGGCAGGAGAGAAGCAACTGGTATCGGTCAAGGAACAAGGTGAGGAGCGAGGCTTGGCTGCGCTCTTCGAGAAGGATCAAAAGAGCATTCAGGGTGTGCTGGGTGCCAACGGCCTGCCCCCTACACCTTGCAACATTAACCCTACTCCACAGCCTTTGCAATCAAAATATGAGATTGGTAGTGAGCACGGTTACCCCGATGTGTATGTGACCTTGGCTTGAACTTCCGTCGACATCCTAAGCTAACTCTCTCATGACTAGTTACCCTTGCCGCACTTTTGTTTAATTAGACGATTCTCCCGGGTGTAGTTTCTTGATTTCCTCCCCCTCCCTCTTTACAAATAAAGGGATATGCTACATTCATAAATCAAGCTGCTTCCGTTTCTTTTACTTCTGCACAATGGGTACCAGTAGACCCGAGGTCTACCACTGATGAGATTGTATCCATATCTGTAGTATCACGAGCCTACCCTCAAGGAACTTATCAGGTCATCCAAATGTTGATTGACCTGGCCAATGAACCTCCAGGACTCTTTTCCCTGCATAGCGTTTAGTGTCAAATCATTGTTTTCAAATATTGAAGCGTGTTCAAATGTTGGTACATACCCGCACATGCATACATGTATTGTATGGTTATAACGCTTCAAGTATTTGGACCAATCATTACACATGTACGAATTACATGTATATCTATAATTCATACGCGGGTATAAATCTAGTACACGTTCTTTTTGATTTGCAGTGATATACTGGAACGAGATACTTAACGAGAGGAAGAAGAAGAGAGAGAGAGAGAGAAAAATGTAAAAAGAAATGGACAAGAAAGGTACAGATTGACAGACACCTTCCTATCGTTCAGCTGGGTTGAAATCATAGTAGCATTTCCAGTGCGGCTCAAATTATGTCTCAATCTAGTCGAAGGGGTGGGTACGAGTTCCCCACCAGGTCAGGAACAAACTTAGGCCGACCGTCTCAAAGACCCGACTAACAGCTCCAACAGCCACTGTGTCCAGGGGTCTCTTCTCGGCAAAGATCTGGCTGACAAACTGTATATCCCTGTTAGATTGTGGAACGGATCAGGGTTTGCAAGGAGAAAGGGGGAACGTACACCGGGAGCAGAGCTAGCAAAGAAGATCAAGGTGCCGAGGTAGGCAGCACCCTTGTAACTGAGAGTACCGGTAGCGTTGATCAGTGCAGCTACACCATAAGTCTGCACAGCACTTCCAGCTAGAGAGCTACCCCATGCAGCGGCAGCCCCGGCAGCTTCCTTCGACTTGATGAATTCTTCCTTTGAGTTTGCCGCCTGGGCTCGGTGGTAAGTGTCCCCAAAGAGAGGTGCCAGAATTCCCAGTGACGCTGTGTGGGTGAAGAAGGTACCTAGGGCAATGGCCGAGGGCTTCACAGGAGGCAGATCTAAATAAATTATGTATAGATTAGCCCACTAGACTTTTTGCCCTTGAACCCCCAGCCGACTAGTAGATATAAATACTCACAGTGTAAGGTAGTCATGATGGATGGGATAGCAGAAGTACAAAGGATTGATAGAATGCTCTCGACATGACCAGGTCAGGTTGGAAGATATAGTTCCCAGCTTCGGTGACGTCGTCATGATTCAGCGGTATGCGGAGAGGAGCATGACGTCAAGTCGTAGCCAAAAAAAGAAAAAGAGCGATCCACATCCCTTGGAAATCTGGGGAGCTGTTAGAAGTTGGAAGTGGGAAATGAGCAATTACAGGTCGAAAATCTTGATTTAGTTACATTCAATGTACATATCATTGTGATGCATGAAATTCGATTTTATTCCGGATTAGCATCTTGGGGCCCTGGGGCCCTGGGGCTCTGCCGAGAAGACGTGGAGACGCACGATGCCGATCCTTGTCAAAAGCAAAAACGACCAATAAAGATGATTTTCTGAGGACGTACAAAGTTATTCAGATTGAAATTGAAATATAAATTGGTTTTTAGCCTACACTACATACGTATACGGAATACCTAATATTCAAAACGTCATGAATATACAAAAGCCCATATATATATATATACCACATGTGCAGTATAGCAATCCTTGAGACATGTGTATTACAATTGAAATTCGTACCAGTTGACCGGAAACATTTGAATGATCCATGACCCATTTTTAGTGGACATTTCCAGATTACCATTATGGATCTCTTAACTATATCTGTACTGATCATACACTATTGCCTAACCAATCTTAAATACTTTATGTCTTACAATATCACTTGGTCTATTCTATTATTATATGTCTATTTCTTTCCCTCTCATTCTCTCTTACATATGCTCGCTCTTCTCTTCTACTTCTATATACAGTCATATATAATTGTATCATATACTGTAGAGATTTTCTTAGGCGATATCATGTGATAGCCGATAAGGAAACGCCATTTATCCACGCTCTTCCACCCCACTCTATTGCATTTCATATTTTATGTTTTTTTTCTTTTCTTTTTTCTTGTGGTTTTTTTTTTTTTTGTTTTCTTTTCTCTTCCCTACTCCGCTATTTCTAACCTACTGTTAATTCAATCATATCCTTTGTTTCATCAACAGAAGAACCTGACAATGGAAAGATCCGTTAGCCCATCATCGGATACAGATGTTCCCTTTAACGTGAGCACCTCGTTGGCTCCACCACGCATCAATAAACTTGCAGGAACTACATCCCTTGATTTTGACGGGAGTTTAAAAGAGCCACTTTTGCTCAAAGAGGACTTGAAGAATGGTTGTGGAGGTCAATTGTGGCCAGCTGGGATGGTCTTGGCTAAATATTTTCTCCATCAATATCCCGATTTGTCTGAAAAGTCCATGTAATTCCAATCCCTTTTGCTGTTCCTCCCCCATCTGCTCTTTGTGGCCTTTCTTTGCTTACATCCTACCAAACGAAGGTTTGACCGCTAATGCATGATTTACAGTGTGGAACTCGGGGCTGGGGGTGGACTTGTTGGACTCGCAGTGGCCCGCAAGACTGGATCACCCATCCACATCACGGATCAACAACCTATGTTCTCCCTCATGAATGACAACATCAAATTGAACCATCTCGAGTCAATAGTGACAGCTTCGGTCCTGAATTGGGGGGAGCCTATTCCCGAGCACATTCCATCAAAACCCGAGGTCATTCTCGCTGCCGACTGCGTCTATTTTGAGCCAGCATTTCCTCTCCTCATAGCCACCCTGCAAGAGTTGCTAGGCCCCAACTCTGTCTGCTATTTTTGCTTCAAACGACGCAGAAGAGCTGACATAAGATTTATGAAAATGGCGAAAAAGACATTCGACGTAGTAGAAATTCGGGACGATCCCAATGCCCATTCCTACAACCGGGAAAACATATTCCTCTTTACGATTCGAGCCAAGTCATCAAAGGGCATGAAAAGGGTTCAGTCTGACCTAAAATAAAATGGCATGGGAAATATGTATCTTCCAACAAAATTCAAATGTTTGGAAAATATACATACATATGTAATACATATTTGTATATATATATATCGAAATATGGGAAATCTATACATACATACATACATAGGTGACAGACGGGACGCTGTATTATCTCCAAAAGAAAAAAAAAAGAAAAAAAGACAAAGGGAGATTCGAAGAAAAACAAAACAAGTCACTCAAGATCATAGCTTCAAATTATCAGCGCTACTCTTGGCATTAGTCCCAACTCTAGCGCCATTCATATCCGTAACTTGGCCCTCCTTGTTGACAACCTTGACGCCACCCTTCTTCAAGTCCGAGACAAGCTGTTGTTTCTCAGCAGCCTTGCCCTTCTTCTGGGTCGGCTCCTCATGGGATTTCTGCTTCTTTCTCTGGCGACGAGCCCGCGCTTTCTCCTCCCGACTCATCTCTTCCTTAGATATAGTGGCACCGGTCTTTAGCACCAGCTCGCCTGCAGCTCTTCCATCATCGCCGGGAGCGTAGATTTCCTGGGGTGCTAGAGCCGATGGCCCGTCGGCCGCACTTCCCGCCGTAGGGCGTGCCTCTTCCATCATGATAGTTGATGCGTCAGTCACAACGCTAATGTTCGCCTGGGGCGCCTGGGGCTTGTAATGCCAGTTGGAAAGCGTGTCCAATTGTGAGCTGATTTCCTTCCAGAGGTTGTTGACCTCGGCGTGTTCCCGCATCAGCTTGCGGTCTTTCGAATCCGCGTAATTCGGGTCGGTAGCACGCAAATGGTCGGCTTCGTAGATTTCAGCTAGACTTTGCTGTGCCTTGGTATCCTCTAGCTCAAAGCGGCTGCTGCGTGTGGCTTTAGCGTCGGTAGCACCTGGGCGGCGGCGAATCACTTCATCAAACTCGGTGGCAAGAATTCGGCGCTTGATCAGCTCTTCGATATCCTCGGTGGTTTCATTCGTCACGACAGGGACTGGCTTGCCGACTCTTTCAAAGTCCAGATCTTGCTCAATTAGAGAATTGACAGGTCTTTCGACGGCACGAGCTTCACCGGCAAGCATCCATTCCTTCTTTGCCACGTTGGCCGCTTCCAATCGACGAATTTCGTCGGCGATTCGCGCCCTCTGCTTCTCATGTGTTGATTTGGGGGCTTGAGAATCATCGGCACCATCGGCAGCATCTCCTTCGTCCTCGATATCGGACTCTCCGTCAAACAAATCACACCGCACGTTCTCCATGGCACGATCAACGTCATTATCCGAAATAGTTGCGGTGGGCTGAGTCTTCGGAAGTGCACGTGCTTTCTTGGATGAAGCTTTGCGTGGTGGAGGGGCGAAAAAGTCGGTGTACTTGATGTCGCTTGTATCCATCCAAGCAGGGGCATCCATGTCGCCTATATCTGAAACATCGTCGTCGTCCTCGTCGTCCTCTCCGTGAAGATCGGCATTGCCAAAGGTTGGCCCCTCCTCTTCACTACTGTCATCCACATCCATGTCATCTAGCTTGTTTGCTTTGCTTGATGTATTTCCCTTGGCACTAGACATCACATTCCCAGCAGTTAGTGGATTTGCATGCCAGTCTAGATCCTCATCGCTGTCGTCGGCATCCACGTTCGCCCCGTTGGCGTCTTGTCTCTCCCAGATTTCAGTTTGCTTGTTGAAGTCATCAATCGAAAAAAACCCGTCATTGAGTCCAAAGCGATCTTCAACGTAGACCCCAGGATCTTCAGTGGATTTTATGGATGCCTCTTCATCCTCATCCGAGTCTTCGTCGATCATGTCGACATCCTCCGGTTCTTCGTTATCTGGAGAGTCGGATTCGGATTCCTGCGCCTCGTCGATCTCGGAGTCGACATTCGCATCTTCTATGGCACCGAATGGCATGCCGACACCGTCGCTCTCGGAGTCGGTTCCCTCGAGGTCGGAAAAATCCAGCGAGTCCGACTCTTCTTCACTAACGGATGATGACGATTCATCATTAGTTGCCAGCAAGTTGACATCCCTCTCGATTTCATTCCCGGCGGCATCGAGAATCCTTGTAGCCTGTTCCCAGATCTGGCTAGATGTGAATCCATCCACATATAGGTTCTTCAATTGTAAAGGGGGGTATACTGAATCCGATTCAGCTTCCGACCTTTTGCGCTTCTTGTTGACCTGGCGACGCATGGATTGCTCCTCTACAACAGAGGAGGCAAGCGGATCCAGAATTTGTTTGGTGGAATTTGCAATTAGGGTATGTAAGTCATCGGTAGGGTGAAGGAAAGTCCATGGAGTAGACAAGATTGAAGGAAGAGTTGGTTGAATGGTGGATTGGGGCTGAGGCCCCGTCTTCCGTTTCGCCATGTTGTCAAGAGGGTGAGAAAGACCCAATTAGTCAAGCAAGCACTTTTTGGTAAAAGAAGTTTCGAAGGAGCAGAGAGAAAAATTGTTGCACGGAGAGCGGGTCAAGAGCCAATCACATGGGCTCTCGATAAGATAAGCGGCCCCACTAGATAACCACAAAATGTACTGAGTAGTACATGTACTAGTTAACTAACATACTATACATACTGAGGCTATGATATATGATACATGATATACAGGTATATTGTAAAACCCCATTTCTAATAGATATACACCTGAGCCCAATAATATTCTTACTGGGAATTTGGTAAAAAAAAAAAAGGTCAGGTCAATCAAAATGACAAGTTATAATACGGGCTATATAACTATGGACCGATAGGTACTTGAAGTCATCAGTCATCAGTCATCAATCACTCGGTCACGCCCCAGTGACAGCAAAAATGTGTAATTCAACAGTGATAGCATTTGCCGCTTCATGGTTTTCTTTTTTTTTATTTTTATTCAGATAATCAACTCTACAAGGTACTGAGTGCACCCGACGTCATGTCGATATCAGTCCGGACTTCTAGACCCCAACAATATACCTGGATGCACGGGTCCTATTAAGACGGGCCCGGATTTCCTGCTCTTACCATATGCATACCTCACATCGTGAATTCTGGGCGTGATTTCATGGTGACGGACCAGTTTCAAGTTCGGATTTCAAATATAAGAGCTCAAGGTGGCATACACCGCTATAACTTATATACGATTCATTCCAACCGATTTATTTTCTTTTCACAGATTTAATAACCTCATCTGAATTGAATATTTCGCCCATTCTTACCATTCCACATCCATAATGCCTCCAGTTGCCCAGTATACAGAAAGGCCAGCAAGCGGATCCAAGTCCCAATTCCAACCAGGTGTGGAACGCTCCTTTCAGGGTCGAGTTTATTATGAGTGAACAGTACTGATGCCGCATTAAAAACCTTTCTTTGAGGGGGGTTTCTTTTTAAATGAAAATAGGACATAAAATCCCGATCCAGCATCTAACGAAGCCGGGTCTTCAGGCCGACATGGAAGATCCGAAGCCGGTTTCCTCCCATATCCCGACTGAGGATGGCGGGTATCAGCTCTACAAGGCCGCTGGCAAACTTGAAGGAAAGAGAGCCATTATCACGGGCGGAGACTCTGGTATCGGACGGGCCACGGCAATTCTTTTTGCCATGGAAGGTGCCTCGAGTCTGATAGTTTATCTACCCGAGGAAGAAAAAGATGCACAGGAAACAAAGAAGAAGGTTGAAGAAGCCGGACGTCAATGCCATTGTTTGGCCATAGATATCCGCAAAAAGGAGAATTGCCAGAAAATCGTCGACACGGCCATTAATACCATGGGTGGCATCGATATTCTGGTCAATAACGCCGCCTTTCAAGACATGCTGAGCGATATCAGTGAATTGAGCGAGTACGGAGTCTACGGAGTCTACTGATGTGTATGAGCTAGAATACCTGCTTACGATCTTGATAGGGAACAGTGGGAGCGGAGCTTTGACACCAATATTCACTCGTTTTTCTATCTTTCCAAATACTCGCTACTTCATATGAAGCCCGGGTCAACAATCATCAACTGTGCCTCTGTGAACCCATATATCGGTCGGGGAGATTTGCTGGATTACACATCCACCAAGGGAGCGATTGTAGCGTTCACCAGAGCTCTCTCGAACCAACAAGTCAAGAAGGGCATTCGAGTCAATTGTGTTTGCCCAGGCCCGAGTAAGCAGCTCTGATTAGAGAATGCAGAGTCTCGCTAACCAAAAGTTCTAGTCTGGACTCCACTGATTCCATCCACGATGGGGACTGCTGCGATGGAACAATTCCATGCTGTGCCAATTGGACGACCTGGGCAGCCCAGTGAGGTCGGAACGTGTTTTGTTTTCCTTGCAAGCCAGGACAGTAGCTATATCTCTGGCCAATGTCTACACCCCAATGGTGGTATCATGGTCAATGGTTAACTACAAGAGTCGAGAAGTTGGGCCATGACGATGTATGTAATCCTTAGCAGGTGGTACGGTTACTAGTCCTGTCATTGAGGAAGAATACCGATAGCTGAAGATCACCATCTATGTACTTCAAATGTTATGGATGAAAAAGAAATCACTCCTTTCGCACCCAAATTTCACCAAGTGATTTTGCAAGTATATGTATACTAGTACACAGTCAAGCCAAAATACGGTCAAAGTCATGATTCCCTATGAACATTTGAACGAACACCCACTAAAGCATACATGAAGGCAACCGTAGCCGGTCGAGAAGACTTGGATGTTCGGGATAGAAAGTGTTCAAGGAAAGTTTAACATAAATATAGCATATATATATATATATATATATGTATTCTACTACATACTTGAAGGCGCAGGGGTTGATCAACATTGAATGTAGTTCCAATGTTAGTTAAACAGACTTTGAAGCATATTCTACGCAAGGCGGACTCGAGTTGAAGCAGTACATTGGAATATTGAAGAAATCGAAGGGTCACAATCCAGGCCCATAATTGATATACACAGGAATAAGACACACAGACTCCACGATGGCTGAATGAATTTTAGAGTCCACCGTGCATGATGGTTCAAACAAAGAAAGAAAATCGCAAATAACTGTAAAATTTAACGACGGTACCACATGCGAGTGATACGAGTATGTCTCATTTTCTTCTGCAGCTGGAAAATGCCATACATCAATGCCTCGGAGGTGGGAGGACCTGGATTTCATTAGCAATATAAAAAGAAAAGAAAAAAAAATTCAAGACTCACATCCAGGAACGTAAACATCCACGGGCACAATACGATCACATCCCCGGACCACCGAATAACTGTAGTGGTAGTAGCCACCACCGTTGGCGCAGCTACCCATGCTGATCACCCACCGGGGGTCGGGCATCTGATCATAAACTTGGCGGAGAGCAGGGGCCATCTTATTGGTCAATGTACCGGCCACAATCATCACATCTGACTGTCGTGGGGAGGCTCGGAAGATGATACCCAGGCGATCTTGGTCGTACCGAGGGGTAGAAAGGTGCATCATCTCAACGGCGCAACAGGCAAGACCAAAGGTCATGGGCCACAGGGAGCTCTGGCGGGCCCAATTGGCAACCTGGTCAAGGGTAGTCCTAGAAAGAGAGGGGAGGCAAGGTCAGTACGCAGGCCATGGACTCAGGATTGGGTGCACGTTTACAGGACATATTGCATGGCACCCTCCTTCTTCTCTTGACTGGCCAAAGGCACCTCTGCCCGCACTTTACCGGATGCAGAGAGGGACTGGCCTGTTGATGCCTGGCGCTCGAGAGCAGTCGCTGATTTCACGGACGAGGTCGACAGGGCGGCAATGGGCTGCGGGCGAAGGCATAGCGCCAGCCGAGGACGCGCTGGGTTGACAATTAGTAAGAAGATCAAAAAGACTCCAGAAAGATGGGATCCAATACTTAATGCGCCAGTAATGGCAGGTCTGATCATAGGAAGCATCGTGTCAGTGGGGAGTCGACAATAATCTTGGGACCCTGGAGCTTCGCAAGTGGCGGGCGTTCTCTTGTTTTAAAGGGAGGACTTTTGCCGGGTCGAGAAGGAACAATCTGTGAATGACGCAGGTATCGGTATGGTGTAGAAGAGTGACATAAGCAGTTTGGGATGATTCAATTGGTAAACTCTGTAAAGAATGTGACAGTATTGTCAGAGCGGTGAGTCGGTGGTAAAGGCATTTGACCACATCATGATTGGTCTACCGGGGGAAGTTGCCTGATTATGGCCTGAACCTGCAGGGGCTCAACTTCTTTCAATTATGACCGTTAGCTAATGAATTCTAATTAATTAAGTACCGTGACTGCACATAAATAACACATCAAGCTACATTTCCCTACACCCGAGGCTGTGGTGATACTTGATAAAAGTACAAACCAACTTCCACACTTCCCCAAACAAGGGGCTGGATGTAGATTTACTCTGCAGGATGGCTGGTCCCAGAATAGCCTGTATTGGGGTGATTGGGAAAGCTGTACGTGATGAAATGGCGCATGGGCTGTGTTGCTTCTAAATCCATTCGCTATTGCTAATCATGTCCACAGGACAACCCCCTCCACATTGCCCTGTTCCCACCCTATTCAGATGCGATGATTGAATTCTCGTTCCTGCTTAATTCATGCCTTGACATATTTGAAATCCGGCGGAAGCAAACCTCTATCGACCAAGACCTCGGCCTCCTTCATGCCATCGATGAAAGGCTGGCAGCCTATGGCTGGCTCACAACCACGGGTGTGAAGCTTTTGGTTATTGTGGATCTTTTTGGTCCTGAGGCTACCAGCGCCAGACTTCCAGGTCCTGCAGTCAGTGGTCTTAGGGATTCAGATCTCAAACCAGTACGTCGCAATATGTATCATTCATCCGCAGAGCATAGTCTGACTACCTATCTGTCTTAGGCATTTCGGGCCCTGCAGAGCGCATATATCAACCTTCTTCAAAACCCATTCTACTCCCCAGATGACCATGTCCCTATCCAAGGGGTTACTGCTGGGTCAGCCTCCTCCTGCCAGTCCATTTCGAATGCCAGGTTCATAGCAGATGTTAAGCGCATAGGTGAAACCTGGGTGCCAGGTGCTGGATTATGATGAGCCATGAGTTGAAACTTCAGAAGCGTCATTGTATGGAGATACTAGTAATTGCAAAACCACGACCATCGGGGTCAACCGCTTTACGCTTACAATTCCGTAGTGTCAAGACAAGCAAGGATACCAACAGATTCGGTTTTGTTTTGAAATCTTGCGATCATTTGGTTTGGATCGCCTTATAAATTGTGTAGTGTACATATTGAGGACTCTTGGTATAAGTACAGATTGTTGATCCTAATAGATACCCAAAGTCATGTGTACCGCGCTCCTGATTAAACATTGAGCTAGCAAGTCTCTGTTTTTGAACTTGAATTGGCTTCATCAAATATGCTATTTGAAGCTGGATGAAAATGTATGGGTGGCTTAGGTGCTGTAGACTTCGGATTCAGTTTGCTCCAGAGCATTCAGTGTTTCTTCCATTTCCCTAGGGTTGCAGATAGCCCACACACCGCCACCCTTGGTGTTGACTCTTCCAACCTCTTTGCCAACCAAATTTCGGCCCACTTTACCTGGTCCAATACCAATCCATCGCTTAATTCCTTTATTTTGATGGAGATAGCGGATGCTTTCCCACCATCGTACCGTGTCTGTACACTGACGTGACAAAAGGTGCTTTAGATCCTGCTTGGACTTAAAAGGTAATGCAGAGACGTTGGACATGCACGGAATAATGCCGGGAAAGTTAATATCCACCTCTTGCAACGCAATCTTCATATCCTCTGCGGCAGGGAGCATGACTGGGCTATGAAACGGACTGTCGCTCTTGAGCCTAACAGCACGAGGGTCGTGTCCCCCGAACTGGCGAAGTTGGACAAGGAGGACCCGGATTCTTTCAATACTGCCGCTAAGTACGATTTGGTTCGGAGAGTTGATGTTGGCCACCATCACCTGCGGAATGGGTGGGTGATTGGTATCATCGAGGTGGGTGGTCGCTAGGCCCAGGAATTCATGGACAGTCTGAAGCAAGCTTTCGAGATGATCAGGCTCACAGATAAGCGCCACCATGCCATAACTATCACCTGATTGTTCAACCATTCGCCTTGTGCATTGAGCCATCACTTCAGCCCGGCGACGAACTAGGCGAAGTGCATCGGGAAAATTAAGATGTTGGGAAGCCACTAATGCGGCAAACTCTCCCAGGCTGTGACCTAATGTGACATCAATCCGGGCGCCAATATTGAAGTTAAATTCTTCTTCCAGAATGCGGAGTATGAGGACAGAGACTGCCATAACTGCTGGTTGCGCATTCTGTGTTTGATTCAATTTTGAATTGGGCCCATCGTGAATGATTTGAGATAGCTTAAAGCCAAGAATAGAATCCATCTCATCCAGGAGTTTAGCTGTGGCTTGAGGGAAGTGGTTCATCCAAGTGTTGGCCATGCCCACTCGCTGGACACCATGCCCTATGGAAGATAGTTAGGCCAGGTTGACGATCTGATCGGAAAAGGAACAAGGCAAACCTGGAAAAAAGAGAGCTGTGTGTAATTCTTTCCTGAGGCGGGGAATTTGAATGGTATTGCTCCACCTCATAGTCACCGTCGAAGCCCCGACCAGGGCGCGGCGTAGAGAACGTGTCACAGCGGGGGCCATTCTTGCTAAAATGCGTATATAGCAGCAACCCCAAAATTCGGCATGATCTGACCGAAGTAGCTCATGGGCATATTGGTGGTGGTTTAAAGACCAGTGAAAGATGCAGCAGAGTCACCGAAGCTCTTATCCGAATGCCGACGCGGAGGGGAATCTTTGGTTCACGTGAGTGGGCGTTCCGTTCGGCGGCATTCCCGCTCGGAGCATGTACTGTACTCCAGTCAAGCCAGAGTTTAGAACTTTTCGATCATAGCTGTGTATATTAATACTATAAATAAATGTCTTATATTGGAAGATATTTATGGCCATCTATAAACAGGTGCCCCATTATCAACATATGTATATATATATATATATATATATATACTATATACTAATAATATGCCTATGTAGCTTTGAAGTCAATATTCAGATATCAAGTGTTAAGAGTGCCTGTAACATTGCCAGAAAGTAAGTCCAACTTAGCAGGGGAAACCTAGCAGAAACCAATTGAGATATTATTGATAGAGATATACGGTGTAGACATGGGAGTAAATAATAATACTTATGTAACTATGCAGGCGATTCATAACTAATAAATACTACTAGTATACATATATGCTAATTCCTCCGTACTGTAAGTACTAGTACCTTAGGTGGGTCAACCAAAAGATAAGGGAAGGCGGTGCGTAAACCAACGCGTTATTATTACCTGTGGCTGGCACACCGCCTTCCTTATAGCACAGCCAATCTTTTGTTGTTGGTCCTTCACTTTTCCTCATATCAATCAACCTCAGCGCATTCCACTACTCTTCCCCTGGCCTCTGGCCTCTACATTGAAAGAGAACTGCGTGCACAAGTACTACAAAATGTTTGTTCCCAAAGGAACCTCACGAAACCCTCGGAGGCGCCCACGCACGAGCTCCGATGACTCTGTGAAGCCACCAAAAGCCAAGAGACAACGCTCCGTGTTGCGACAGGAGGGAAATTCGCCATCTGAAATTTTGAACCACGATAATGAGCGAGAGCTTGTCAACTCAGCTACCTCATTTCCGCTCGGTGATCTGCCGGGTGGCGATCTGCATCTCCCAATTCGAGGCATGAAGCCAAATGGAGAATCCAGCAGCGATCTTGAAGGCACAATTGTTTTAGTACGTCAATGCCCCTATATTCAATTTTATTTCATTTTCAGTTGTGGAGTTACCCTTTGCATATAAACATGAATTCAATGTTGAGATACTGACCTGGTACCTCTCCGATCATTCTAGTCAAGCACAGATTACTACACAGTCGAACAACTGCCAGCGTTGCCTGACCAAATTCGGGGCTCCCAGTCAGGTAATTAGAGTTGAAAGTATTGCTTATAGAACTGAACGACCGAGCTAATTTTTCAAACCTTTCCACAGACCCGCTTAAATGCTTTTTTGCAACTGGTCAAGGGTACGCACTCGCGTTAACACATTCGCATGCAGTTGTGTGGCCATATTCCGTCCCGAACTCGACACCATCGCCTTCCGAAACATTCACAGTATCCATCCCCGAGTCGTGCAGAGAACTCAGTGGGCCCGTGCCATTGGGTGTCCTTCTATCGGCTGCCACAGGAGAATTGCCAGGTCTCCTGGTCGTTGTTCCATCAACCGGGAGAATTGTCTACTGGGAAACAGTGTCTGGTGCTGCAACACTAGGTTTATCTCGGCAAAGACAGAATGGAATTCAAGGGTCTATACCCAGTCTTCTGTCTGGTGAATATGCTACCGAGATTATGAATTGTGAGCCCTCTGGGATAATTGCAACATTTTCATCGGGGCGTGCAGCCCATATCACCCTTAGAGACTCACAGGGAAAACCTTTTGTGTCTGTGAATTTCTTGAGGAGCGCAACGGGTATTGGGGGAGGTGGATTTCTCGGTGGGATCAAGAGTGTTCTGGGAGGGGGCTACTGGAGGAAAGAAGTAACAGCAGTGCGTGCCGGTGGATCTCGTCAGCGAGGTCAGCGTGATGTGATTATCGCAACCTCTACCGGTCTTGTGGAGATATGGGATACCCACTGGAACCATGGGAACGCTTTGAAGAAGAAGTATGATGTCAAAAATGATATTATGACTGCACTTCCACCCATGTCACAAGATACTGGGAAGGTGGAGGTGGACGCCGATCTGAAGGTCATGGACTTTGCTTATTCTGGTCAACAATCTTCTGATGATCATGGCCCCCAGGATTCAAATGAATCATGGAGACTATTTTTGGTGGTCAGCTCCGCACAATGGCTGGAGGCCAAGAAAGCTTTTGTCGTCGAAGTAAGCTTGACCGGAAACGAGTCGCAGGTGATATCTACTCGCACTGTAGATCTCAACAGCATCCCAGCTCAACGAGGTGAATTCAAACCAAAGCTACTCGTTTCAAAATACGAAGCTGTCGCATTCATACTGATAGGACAATCACTTGTCATCTTGTCTCTGTCGAATGGCATACAAGAGACACCAAGTTCTCAATTGCTTCGGGGATCAGATGTACTGCCATTGTCTTTCCAGGATACAATTCACTTCCAATCAGGCACAGATCATGAAATTCTGGGCTTTGGTCCAAATGGTATGTTGGAGAGCGAAAGCCGCGCTTCGTGTGTGATGATGGTTCGAAACTTTGGTGTCGTTCGTGTGAACGTGGCACCTCAATACCCAACAGAGAACGAGGTGGACGAGGGCCAACTCAGTGCGAAACACAAGCTTGAGCAGGCAATATTCTTTGGAACAATGGCGAAGAATCCATTAGATCTGGTTGGTGAAGGCGGCTTAAGCTTTGCTACGAATGAAATCGAACAGGCCTCGCTTGATATATGTGGAGACCTCTTAAGGTCAGAATCACGTTTCATCCCTAACACCTCAATCTCCATCGACGAAAATCTGCGCTTGAGAGCTAAGGCTCTGGACGATCTTGCGTCATTGTTGGGCCAAAAAGGGAACCCGTTAAGCCGACCCGCTAGGTGGGAGCTGCTATGGGGAGCAGAAAAGCTTGCTGCCCAAAGAGCTATGTGCGCGTTGGAGAATGTCTTCCGGTCCGGTGACGAGAGTCCATTTATTAGCCATGTCATCGAGTCTATGAATGATAAATTCAAGACACGCCCTTCGGGTACCCAACAAGGTGAAACAACGGATCCTACACGTCATTGGTTCCTACGGGACTCCTTTCAGATGGAGCATATCATACCATGGATCAAAAATGCAATCAAGCCTCGACGCGGTAATTCTTCGAAACAGGCACGGAAGTTATCTGAACAGATTCTTCAAGCCAGCGAGGTACTTCTTGCGATCATGGAAACAGCCTACAACTTTCGTGATCTGCACGCTTCGGCCTATGGGCTTGGGGATGAGTTTTTGGAGGACGGTGTCCTCGCTGGGGGATATGAAGACCTTCCCGAGCCCTGGACATCCAGAGCAGTGGGTTATGCCGAAACAGGCCACCTACTTGATTGGGAGCTAGATAGCTGTCGAGCTTGGATTCAGCAAAAGACAGCAAGCGCAGATGCGCCCGATGGCCAAACGCTGAAAAGGATTGCTGAAAACAGTGCCCGTCATCTCCGTATCCTTGGTCAAATGCACCGGGAGCGAACCCAATGGCTCACTGCTCAGGACGATCCAAAACTAGCAGATGAAAGTGTCTCGATCGAACAGACGCACGCCAAGGAACGCAAATGGCAACTTTTTAAGCTGGCCGGCATTGGTCACCTTCAAGACGCCCTGCGCCTGGCAGAAAGATTTCGAGACATGTCGGCTCTGGTTGAGCTCATAATCGAATTGCAAGACCAGGTAAAAGGCCAACGGACACAGGATGTCTCGGTCGATCCCGCAGCTACGGGGGAGAGTGAAGCCGATGTTGCGCACCGAATCTCGCAGTATTTTGAAAAGTTCGGCGAATCATGGGCGGATGCGTATTTCTCACGTCAAATCTCGATGGGCCACCCAGGAGCCCTACTCTCGATGCGAAAATACCAACCATCTATCACTCGTTTCTTACGAACCACTCCAGCATACTCTAAGTTAAGCTGGATCAATGATGTGACTGGTGAAGATGATTATGAAACAGCGGCTGTTTGTTTGGAAAATCTAGCAATCGACAGCGAAAAACAGTTGTGGTGTCATCGCGTCCAAGTCTCGTTAGCAAAGCTCAACAGATTGGCTTCGCGTGAACATATGCCATCTAGCAATCATGAGTCTGGGTTGAAGGAGGATATCAAACGCCTGGATGGTTACAGCGAAGTTGATGGAGTACAAGAACTGCTCCAGCTCCACGTTCAACCTATTTTGGAGGGTGCAATTGATGAGAAGGCCGAGGCGGAACTGGCTTTAGATTATTTCGGAGGACATCTCACGGAAGACCGCCCTTCCCTGCATGAGATACTCAGCGACATTCTTTCCACTTTAGTGAGCCGGAGGATTGTCGGCTCAGACGGCTTGATTGACTTGCTCACTCTAATGAGCTCATCTCACGAGCCTTCTGAAGAGGGGGACAGTGAGCTTCGTGGCCGGGAGTTCTATCATGCTCTCCGGGTACTTGACCACAGTCGCTATGCTCAACAAGACCCATCCTATTTTTCAGCACTGCGGAAATTAATCTGGCGACGGTGCATGATCAAAGATAACTGGGAAGCTCGCGGGAGAGCCGCCGAGGAACCCAATGGAGATTTCAGCAGCGCTACTAGTTCCACTGCTCTCCATCAAACTTTATTAACCTGTCTAGCCGGTAAGTCACACTGGCATCCTTTTACTCCTCCAAGCCTAACTTTTTTCTTTAGAGCATGCCGAAGCAGGTCCTCAGTCCCTGTACAATCCTCTGTCCCCGATGGATGTTCTTATGGCAGACTCAGAGTCTGACATTCTTGTCTCGCGCTTCCGACCCGAGCAAAGAGCTCGGGTGGCGGTTGACTTGAAGCGAGAGAATGATCTGCTACAAGATTACATCAAAACAGGGAAGCTGGACTTCTGGCACCAAAACCTTCTGTCCTCTATCACGTCCATATCATCCTCCAGCACTGTGGCTCCGCTCAAGGGTTCTAGTCTTGGTAATACACAGTCTGTGGATACTTGAATGTACGGACTATACCTAATGCACAACTACCATGGGCCTGGGGGTAGGGAGGGGAGGGGACTTAGTGATCTCTAGTGGATTCACAGGTAGCATGCTGTGCTGTGCTGTGCTGTGTAGTCATGAAATGTTTGTATTATGTAGCAATTAATTGAATCTAGACGATTGCTTATTTCTCCTGGCGTTTTTTTTAGGAGGCTACTAGTATATATAAGTAGTTTGTGACTTTTTGATATTTCACTATCTGGGTACAGAGGACACACAACGAATTCTGCTAGGCAAAGATCTCAATCGCCATTCTGGTTTTATCTTGTAGCAGGAAGAGGCGTGGGGCCTTTCGACGGGCCCTTGTATGTCGCCTTGGTCTTAGATTCCTCCTTGGTCTGTTTCACTTTCATTGCTGCTGCTGGTGGACTCTACTTTGGTCACCATGTTTTCATTCACCGTAGTCACTTCAGGTGTATCATGGAGCTGTTCTTCGAAGACAGGCTCTGTCTCAACAGTCTCAAATTTTGTTCTAAACTCAGTGAGGCCTTGGGTGCTGCTATTAGAACGTCGGCGAGCATTGGTGAAAGTATAACCAGAGTCTTGTGATTCGTCCCCAGATCGGCCCCTAATTGTTTAGTTATCTCCATGAAATTGATATTATCAAGACACTGACTACTTACCAGTTACCTTTCCCGCCTCCATCTTTCTTGGTCTTGCGTGGATCAGCATCAGTAGGGCCGGACTTGCCAAAGTAACGTGGTAGTTGTTCATGGACCACCATGCCATCGGCTGGGTGGTCCCGATCATTAATTTTGTGGGAACGAGTCACTAGGTCATTAGTAACAATCATGATAGATAAAAGGATAACTTACTGGTGGGCAGATAGATTGAGGTTGATGACTTGAGGATAGATGGGCAGGGTAGGTAAGAAAGATGTTCTTAGTGTTGCGTGACCTATGACCTCATTCATACTCTTTGGAAATAGGAAAATGCGGGGTATGCGCGAAACTTTGAGTATAGCAAATCATAATAATATCTAAAATATCACAATATCTGCCACCACGGTCCACTACTTAATATAATTAAGTATATTATTAAATCATAGAATTATATACAATTATCACAGGCTGGTGCCCAAAGTAAAGTCACAGTTTTACCGTACCTGAGGTATCCGCATAAAGCCTAAGGCGGCAGGCCCCTACACAGAGCCTGAAGCATACGGAAGGACTTAGCCGGATTAGATAATACCCGGCCTTATATGATTATATGATCTATAACCTTATTAGAGGCTAGAAACCCTATAGATACTTAGATTCCTTAAGTATTGGAATTAAGGGGTTGTTACCGCTAAATTATATATACAGCATATGCTATATTATAAGATTGATCGAGGAACACCTCATCGACGCTCATCAGCAATGCAATCTGCCGATCAGTATACAGGATACATCCTATTCCCCTTATCTTATACGCTCATTATATATATTATTTCCCCCTATATTATAGTATTATACTTATTTACACTAATCTCTCTTTTGTTATATTTATTAAATTTATAATTATTATTTACATCATTTAAACAACTTAAATCTCTTACTTAAATAAAACAAGAATCTTATACTTATTACAGGATTCAAGCTAAAGTTAGTACTTAATTTATACTATATACTTTATATAATAAACTAGAATATACTTTCTTCCTTCTAGAAGCCCTTATTCCTTCTATTTCTTTATTTCTTCTTATTAAGTCTAATATTAAGCCCCCTCTAATTATATAATCACTATCCTTCTTAGTATTATATTATATAACTATATTATATATCCCTAATTATATATATTACTATATCTTAGTATTATACTAAGATTATAAGATAGTCTTTTTTCTAAATCCTAATAATTATAAGCCTAGAATCTTATTTAATCTAGAGATTAATTATAAGATTAAATAAAATAATCCTCTAAGTCTCTTTCTTAAGAGCTTATTTTCTCTAAACTATAATTTAAAACTTATTTTTCTTATTAAATAGTATTAATTTAAGATTCTTATTATTAAGAATTTAATTTTTTATTAGAATCTATCTTCTAGATTCTTCTAAAACTTTTATTCCTTTTTTATTAATCTTTTGTTTTTTTTATTATATCTTTATTTAATATTAAAAAATCTATTATTTTTATTTTTTATTTATCTTAGTTTTTATAGATTAATAATATCTAGATTATTATTATAAATATAAAAATATAGACTTAAATTAATTCTTATTAAGTTTTTATTATTATTTAATTAATTAAAAATTTTAAAATCCTAAATAATAAACTAAAATTAATTATTTAATCTTTTTTTAGTATTAATCTTTTTAATATAAATATATATATATATATTTTTTTTAAAATTTATTTATAGATCTATCAGGCTTTTAGCCTGATTTACTAATAAGGTACTATAGGATAGCTAGAATACTATATTATAAGATAAATTATATTATTATATAGTATTAGGGACTAATAGATAGAGTAAATAAATAAAGTAAATAAAGGAAATAAATAATATAAATAAGAGGCCTATTAAGGCTATACTAAATAAACTAAATACTAAAACCTTTAAATACCCCTTTTTTTATATCTAATAATCTCTCTCTCTTACTTATACCCCTTTAATATATCTATATTACTTATTAATCTATTAACCTATTATAAATAATCTTACTAACTTATATACTATTAATACTAATAAAAATAAGCTTAATTAACTAACTAAAATAATAAATCTATAATATTTAAGGGTATTCCCTATAATACTTAATTATATATAACCCTTTATCTTTAATAAATTATAATATTTCTTATATAACTAAAACTAATATAAGAAAATAGATAAATAATAGTATCTTAAGACCTATAAATACTCTAAAAAAGGGTATAATTAGACTATATTAATAATTATTTTATTAATTATATTATAAAATATTTCTAGAAGATAATAAAACTAACTTAAAAGATATATTCTAAGTATAAAAGATACTATTTTAAGAACTAACTTTAGTATTATTAATTATTATATTTAATCTCTAGGATCTTAATTTAGGCTAAGAATCTTAGCCCTAAGCTTAATAAAATTAAAATATATAAATAAGATATATTATATATTTATCTTATTATATTTATAGTAATAATAATCTAAGAGATTCTAATCTAAGATTTCTTAATTAAATATCTTAATAATAATCTTATCTTACTAAGTAATAATAATTACTAAATAAGTTAATAAGACTAGCTTTCTTATTTATATCTAAATTAATATTATATTTATTAGATAATATAAAGATTTATAGAATAAGAATATTATTTTAATAGATATAAGAAATAAATCTTAAATATAATTCTTATAATTAAAAGATTATTATTCTTAAGTCTATTCCTTAAATACTTATTTATATATAATTATATATATAATAATAAGAAGAAGTAGTATATAAATAATATTATTTATAGATTCTATAGTCTTCTTAGTAAATATATTAATATATTTATTATTAATAATATCTTTATATTTTAGAAGTTAATAGATTTAAATCTTTTAAAATCTATAAACTTAATCTAATAGCTTAATAATTATATATAATATATATTAACTAAAACTATAATAAGACTAAATAAAGGCCTAGATAATAACTTAGTTATTTATAAAGATTATTATAATATAAATCTTATTTTTATAATATCTAAGAACCTAATAAAATATAATTTTATAATTAAATAAATCTAAGATTAGCTTAATCTTATATAACTTAGTAATATAGATTAAATCTATAATATTAAGAGTTACTAAAATACTCCTTATTAATATTATTATAATAATATAATAAATAATCTTTAATAATAAGATTCTTATTTAAGATTATACCTAAATAATATAATAAGATTATTAGCTTAATCTTAATACTATAAATTATAATAAAATCTAGAAGAGTAAGCTCTTAGTCTATTTAAAGATTAATTAGATAAAATATATTAATTTCTTTTTTTAAAAAATAAATTAAGTTATATTTAGTAAATAAGAACTTAGAAATATATTATTAAGCTTATTTTTTTATTATTTTATAAAATTATATAAGATCTATATAATTTAGTTATATATAATATTCTTATACTAAGATATAGATATTATTAATATATCTTATTATAAGAATATATCTTAGTATAATAATATAAATATTATTAATTAAGTTAGTATTATAGAATAAATAAAAGATTAAAAATAATAAAGATCTTTAAGAAATATTAATAATAATAATCTTATTTAGATAATAATCTTTTTATAATAATAAAATAATAATATAATTTATAAAAAAACTAATTAATAATCTAATAATAATCTCTAGAATATAATATTTCTATAGATTATAAAATAATTATATATAATAAATATTATTAAATATATTATTATTATTAAATATTAAGAATAATATAATCTATTAATCCTTTTGTTATATATTATATATTATTTTAAGTAATAAATAAATAATATAATTATAAGAATAATTATTATAATTCTTAATATATATATTTAATAAGAGATTATACTCTTTTATTAAATATATAAATTATATTATAATTATAGATTTAAAAGCTTTTCTTAATATTTTTAATAATAAGATTATTATAAAAAACTTATAAATAATATCTTAGTATTAAATAGATATTAAAAAAGATTATAATAATTTTTAGAAATCTAAGAATTTTTATTATATATTTTTATATAATATTAAGAAGTCCTAAAAGATCTAATATATTATATAATATTAATTATTAAATAATAATTTTAATTTTATTTATAAAGATTTTATTAAATATAAGAATTATATTTAAATAAATAAATCTATTAATATAATTTAAGTTAATATTAGATAATAATAAAAAAAATATTATTTTAAGATAATATATCTTTTTTTTAATAATTATAAATTTATAATTATTAATCCTAAATATTAATATAAATAAGAAATAAGATATTTTTTATATTCTTATTTATTTTATTAAATACTAAAAGCTATTAATTAATATTATAATTTTTTTTTTTTAATCTTTATAAACTTATTAATCTTATTTCTTATTCTCTTAGCTTAATTTATATTATAATATATAAAAGATCTTATAATCTTTCTTATTATAAGAATATTATTAATATTAATATATATATTATATTTTTTATTATACTAAAATAAATATTACTAAATAAATAAGATATAAATAACCTAAATAGATTATATATATTAATATTATATTTTTTAATATTATATATATTATATTTATTATTAATATAATAATAATATTAATCTTAATAATAGAATCTAATATCTAACTAAGATCTTTTAAGTTTTATTATTTAATATAAGATTAAAAGATCTTTTATTAAGCTTCTTAATCTATTATTTATTAATCTTATTATTTATAAATCTTTATATAAGAGATTTATATATTAAGCTTAGTAAATATAGGAATATAATTAATACTAAACTATTAATCTTAATATAAAATATAATATATTATATAATCTATTAATAAGATTATAATCTATATTAAATCTAATATATTTTAGATATTATATATAAATATAAGATCTTTAAATATTACTATCTTATATTTTATAAAAAGATTAAGACTAAAATTATCTATTATATAGATAAGATTATTAATATTATTATTAATATTCTATATTTATATATTTATTAACTATAAAAAATAATATAGATTAAAATTATTAACTATTATATATTAATCTTAGCTTATAATCCTAAGATATATATTTAATATTATATATAATATAACTAATCCTTCTTTTATTTCTTATAT